AGAAGTCTCCATAATTTGTCAAGCTGTAAACCCTCTGAGCTACCCTACCAAGACCAAGCTGTAAACCCTCTGAGCTACCCCGCCAAGACCAAGCTGTAAACTCTCTGAGCTACCCCGCCAAGACCAAGCTGTAAACCCTCTGAGCTACCCCGCCAAGACCAAGCTGTAAACCCTCTGAGCTACCCTACCAAGACCAAGCTGTAAACCCTCTGAGCTACCCTACCAAGACCAAGCTGTAAACCCTCTGAGCTACCCCGCCAAGACCAAGCTGTAAAACCTCTGAGCTACCCCACCAAGACCAAGTTGTAAACCGTCTGAGCTACCCCGCCAAGACCAAGTTGTAAACCCTCTGAGCTACCCCACTAAGACCAATCTGTAAACCCCTGATAAGGGCTGTAACGCATTTTTACTTTCAACAATAAAGAAGCAGTTTTATCAACTTCCACTGTCCTACAAGAGTTACTGAACTTCCTCTTCACTGGAGAGCGAGGTAGCGGTAGTGTTCACTTCCGTTTGCGCCTCACCTGTGAGAACATGCTTTGCTGTATCGCCGAGTAGCCTACCATAATATATTATATATACTCTGAATATATAGAGAGCACAGCTCTGTGATCGTGTCATGGTTGCACCATGCAAAAATATTGTCTCTAGGCCAAACCGTTAGAAAGTTATGACTTATATTACCGGAGCTACCTTTAAAAATACATACAGTTGAAGTCGGAAGTTTACATACACTTAGGTTGGAGTGATTAAAACTTGTTTTTCAACAACTCCACAAATTTCTTGTTAACAAACTATAGTTTTGGCAAGTCGGTTAGGACATCTACTTTGTGCATGACACAAGTAATTTGTCCAACAATTGTTGACAGACAGATTATTTCACTTATAATTCACTGTATCACAATTCCAGTGGATCAGAAGTTTACATACACTAAGTTGACTGTGCCTCTAAACAGCTTGGAAAATTCCAGAAAATGATGTCATGGCTTTAGAAGCTTCTGATAGGCTAATTGTCATCATTTGAGTCAATTGGAGGTGTACCTGTGGATGTATTTCAAGGCCTACCTTCAAACTCAGTGCCTCTTTGCTTGACATCATGGGAAAATCAAAAGAAATCAGCCAAGACCTCAGACATTTTTTTTTAGATCTCCACAAGTCTGGTTCATCCTTGGGAGCAATTTCCAAACGCCTGAAGGTACCACGTTCATCTGTACAAACAATAGTACGCAAGTATAAACACCATGGGACCACGCAGCCGTCATACCGCTCAGGAAGGAGACGTGTTCTGTTTCCTAGAGATTAACGTACTTTGGTGCGAAAAGTGCAAATCAATCCCAGAACAACAGCAAAGGACCTTGTGAAGATGCTGGAGGAAACAGATACAAAAGTATCTATATTCACAGTAAAACGAGTCCTATATCGACATAACCTGCAAGGCCACTCAGCAAGGAAGAAGCCACTGCTCCAAAACTGCCATAAAAAAGCCAGACTACGGTTTGCAACTGCGCATGGGGACAAAGATCATACTTTTTGGAGAAATGTCCTCTGGTCTGATAAAACAAAAATAGAACTGTTTGGCCATAATGACCATTGTTATGTTTGGAGGAAAAAGGGGAACGCTTGCAAGCCGAAGAACACCATCCCAACCGTGAAGCACGGGGGTGGCAGCATCATGCTGTGGGGGTGCTTTGCTGCAGGAGGGACTGGTGCACTTCACAAAATAGAGGGCATCATGAGGAAGGAAAATTATGTGGATATATTGAAGCAACATCTCAAGACATCAGTCAGGAAGTTAAAGCTTGGTCGCAAATGGGTCTTCCAAATGGACAATGACCCCAAGCATACTTCCAAAGTTGTGGCAAAATGGCTTAAGGACAACAAAGTCAAGGTATTGGAGTGGTCATCACAAAGCCCTGACCTCAATCCTATAGAAAATGTGTGGGCATAACTGAAAAAGTGTGTGCGAGCAAGGAGGCCTACAAACCTGACTCAGTTACACCAGCTCTGTCAGGAGGAATGGGCCAAAATTCACCCAACTTATTGTGGGAAGCTTGTGGAAGGCTACCCGAAACGTTTGACCCACGTTAAACAATTTAAAGGCAATGCTACCAAATACTAATTGAGTGTATGTCAACTTCTGATCCACTGGGAATGTGATGAAATAAATAAAAGCTGAAATAAATAATTCTCTCTACTATTATTCTGACATTTCACATTCTTAAAATAAAGTGGTGATCCTAACTGACCTAAGACAGGGAATTTTTACTAGGATTAAATGTAAGGAATTGTGAAAAACTGAGTTTAAATGTATTTGGCTAAGGTGTATGTAAACTTCCGACTTCAACTGTATATTGCGGGTCACATTAACTTTGTAAACCATTTTGCGGGTCGTAAACTACTCGTGGGCAGTGAGGCCAACCACTTCTTTGATAACAAACAGAAGTTAGAGCCCTGCTGTATCCACAATGCTTAAACAGCCCTTCTGAATAATTTGTCAATAGCTTCATGCAGACTTTTCGATCCAGATAATCTCACCCTTCTTTGCTCAATGAAATCCCACATTTTCACAATGTTTCATCATGGGGTGAAGCTTTACCCTTCATTAAAATACAGTATTCTCAAACACTTCTCATCCCCTCACGTGGATTTTCTCCATGCCCAAACATTGATTCAATGGCAGATCAAAGTTTCCTCCCACCACCAAACAGAGCAAGGTGCAGCAGAGTAGAGCTGGATTTTCATAAGCATCCCCTCTCCTGCTGCTGCCTACTCACTGGGCTATAGGAGCCCCTTCCAGCGGAATCATACAGATGGGCTCCCATCCAGAGCCAGGGGCATGGAAACTTTTACTGTATACAGCCAATGTTATCTTTTATTTTATTGTAGTCATGAGTCATACATTGAGGGAAAAAAAGTATTTGATCCCCTGCTGATTTTGTACATTTGCCCACTGACAAAGAAATTATCAGTCTATAATTTTATTGGTAGGTTTATTTGAACAGTGAGAGACAGAATAACAACAAAAAAATCCAGAAAAAACGCATGTCAAAAATGTTATAAATTGATTTGCATTTTAATGAGGGAAATAAGTATTTGATCTCCTCTCAATCAGAAAGATTTCTGGCTCCCAGGTGTCTTTTATACAGGTAACGAGCTGAGATTAGGAGCACGCTCTTAAAGGGAGTGTTCCTAATCTCAGCAATCAATCAATCAGATTCCAAACTCTCCACCATGGCCAAGACCAAAGAGCTCTCCAAGGATGTCAGGGACAAGATTGTAGACCTACACAAGGCTGGAATGGGTTACAAGACCATCGCCAAGCAGCTTGGTGAGAAGGTGACAACAGTTGGTGCGATTATTCGCAAATGGAAGAAACACAAAATAACTGTCAATCTCCCTCGGCCTGGGGCTCCATGCAAGTTCTCACCCCGTGGAGTTGCAATGATCATGAGAATGGTGAGGAATCAGCCCAGAACTACATAGGAGGAACTTGTCAATGATCTCAAGGCAGCTGGGACCATAGTCACCAAGAAAACAATTGGTAACACACTACGCCGTGAAGGACTGAAATCCTGCAGCGCCCGCAAGGTCCCCCTGCTCAAGAAAGCACATATACAGGCTCGTCTGAAGTTTGCCAATGAACATCTGAATGATTCAGAGGAGAACTGGGTGAAAGTGTTGTGGTCAGATGAGACCAAAATGGAGCTCTTTGGCATCAACTCAACTCGCTGTGTTTGAAGGAGGAGGAATGCTGCCTATGACCCCAAGAACACCATCCCCACCGTCAAACATGGAGGTGGAAACATTATGCTTTGGGGGTGTTTTTCTGCTAAGGGGACAGGACAACTTCACCGCATCAAAGGGACGATGGACGGCGCCATGTACCGTCAAATCTTGGGTGAGAACCTCCTTCCCTCAGCCAGGGCATTGAAAATGTGATGTGTGCAACCTGGTGGCTAACTACAAGAAACGTCTGACCTCTGTGATTGCCAACAAGGGTTTTGCCACCAAGTACTAAGTCGTGTTTTGCAGAGGGGTCAAATACTTATTTCCCTCATTAAAATGCAAATCAATTTATAACATTTTTGACATGCGTTTTTCTGGATTTTTCTGTTGTTATTCTGTCTCTCACTGTTCAAATAAACCTACCATTAAAATTATAGACTGATCATGTCTTTGTCAGTGGGCAAACGTACAAAATCAGCAGGGGATCAAATACACTGTATGAGTGTAAAGTAACAAAATAGTGTTGTTCAGAGTAGACTGTGGTCTGTACAATACATTCTGTTTCATAAATTGCTTTTTCCTTTGTAGTGTTTGGTCTCAGTGGGTCTGGACTCCAAAAACACGATCTGTGTGTGGGACTGGAGGAGGGGCAAGGTGCTGGCAGCGGCTCCTGGCCACGCTGACAGGGTAGCTATACTACACCATCCTCCCGTCTCTGTCTCAGGCACCAGGCCCAGATCGATCTCTTCAATTACTGTAGCTAGAAATGCAGCCAGGATGGAGCAGGAAGGAGCAGGAGCCCAAAGGAGACACACATAAACAAGTTAGGCCTGATTGATCGTTAGCATTCAAGACAATGGCTGAGGAGACGCTAAGCTAATGAAATTGAATTTCAAAAGATTAAATGTATGCAGCTGCATTTCTTTTTTATTCAACCAAAATACGCACAGTCACAGACATACACACACTAACACACCTGAAGTGTTTTTGTTAAATCTTGTACAATGATGTTAATTGAAGATGACATTCAAATATTGTAAAGTATTTGTTGCACAGTATGTTATGCATTTAACTTACCATGTGATCTTTTCCACAGATATTTGACATATCGTGGGACTTGTACCAGCCAAGCAAGCTTGTTAGCTGTGGTGTCAAACATATCAAGGTACTGTTTAAATCAAGTTCATACCTTACAAAAGTAGCTTACTGAAGGCCCTCAAGCTATCAAAGTGTGTTTGAATGTAGAATATGTTGGATGTTTAGCACGCACAGATATGGTGTCCATCGTAGACCATTCTGCTGTTGAAAAGGTATGTCTTGTGTCTGATTAGCATAATGTTTCCGAAAGTTCTGTAGAGAATTTAACGGTAATGCGCTCCTTTCCTCTTGGCCTTCTTTGCTTTATCGCAGTGATCATATCAAAGCCTTACAAAATATATATGTAAATTCATTTTATTCTGGAGTTAATGGCTATTAAACCATAACATAAGTAGGACCTGCATTGACTAATAGAAATCTCTCTTTTCAAGTTCATCTCTATTAATGTTTCAAGTTTGAATGTCACATGCACAAGTACAGTGAAATGCCTTTCTTGCAATCTCAAAACCCAACAATGCAATAATCAATAATAATGTAATACTAGGGGAAAAAAACACGAGACATAAGAAGAAATATGAAGAACACAATAAGTAAGGAAGTAAGCATACTAAACTCAGCAAAAAAAGAAACGTCAACTGCGTTTATTTTCAGCAAATTTAACATGTGTAAATATTTGGATGAACATAACAAGATTCAACAACTGAGACATAAACTGAACAAGTGCCACTGTCACGATCGTCAACAGATGAAGCGGACCAAGGCGCAGCGTGATAAGCGTACATACTTTATTTAGTACACACACGAACCAAAACAATAAACCAAACGATACGTGAAGTCCTAGGTTATACACAAAACCCTACGGAACAAGATCCCACAATAAACTAGTGAAAACAGGCTGCCTAAGTATGGGCCCCAATCAGAGACAACGAGCTACAGCTGTCTCTGATTGGGAACCACCCTGGCCAACATAGATCAACACGATCTAGAACCAAAAAACATAGAAAACAAAACATAGAAAATCCACACCCTCGCTCAACATATAATAGTCCCCAGAGCCAGGGCGTGACAGCCACAGACATGTGACTAACAGAAATTGAATAATGTGTCACTGAACAAAGGGGAGGTCAAAATCAAAAGTAACAGTCAGTATCTGGTGTGGCCACCAGCTGCATTAAGGACTGCAGTCCATCTCCTCCTCATGGACTGCACCAGATTTGCCAGTTCTTGCTGTGAGATGTTACCCCACTCTTCCACCAAGGCACCTGCAAGTTCCAGGACATTTCTGGGGGGAATGGCCCTAGCCCTCACCCTCCGATCCATCAGGTCCCAGACGTGCTCAATGGGATTGAGATCCGGGCTCTTCGCTGGCCATGGCAGAACTCTGACATTCCTGTCTTGCAGGAAATCACGCACAGAACGAGCAGTATGGCTGGTGGCATTGTCATGCTGGAGGGTCATGTCAGGATGAGCCTGCAGGAAGGGTACCACATGAGGCAGGAGGATGTCTTCCCTGTAACTCACAGCGTTGAGATTGCCTGCAATGACAACAAGCTCAGTCCGATGATGCTGTGACACACCGTCCCAGACCATGACGGACCCTCCACCTCCAAATCGATCCCGCTCCAGATTACAGGCCTTGGTGTAACGCTCATTCCTTCGACGATAAAAGTGAATCCGACCATCACCCCTGGTGAGACAAAACCGCGACTCGTCAGTGAAGAGCACTTTTTGCCAGTCCTGTCTGGTCCAGCGACGGTGGGTTTGTGCCCATAGGTGACGTTGTTGCCGGTGATGTCTGGTGAGGACCTGCCTTACAACAGGCCTACAAGCCCTCAGTCCAGCCTCTCTCAGCCTATTGCGGCCAGTCTGAGCACTGATGGAGGGATTGTGCGTTCCTGGTGTAACTCGGGCAGTTGTTGTTGCCATCCTGTACCTGTCCCGCAGGTGTGATGTTCGGATGTACCGATCCTGTGCAGGTGTTGTTACACGTGGTCTGCCACTGTGAGGAAGATCAGCTGTCCGTCCTGTCTCCCTGTAGCGCTGTCTTAGGCATCTCACATTACGGACATTGCAATTTATTGCCCTGGCCACATCTGTAGTCTTCATGCCTCCTTGCAGCATGCCTAAGGCACGTTCACGCAGATGAGCAGGGACCCTGGGCATCTTTCTTTTGGTGTTTTTCAGAGTCAGTAGAAAGGCCTCTTTAGTGTCCTAAGTTTTCATAACTGTGACCTTAATTGCCTACCGTCTGTAAGCTGTTAGTGTCTTAACGACCGTTCCACAGGTGCATGTTCATTAATTGTTTATGGTTCATTGAACAAGCATGGGAAACAGTGTTTAAACCCTTTACAATTAAGATCTGTGAAGTTATTTGGATTTTTACTAATTATCTTTGAAAGACAGGGTCCTGAAAAAGGGATGTTTCTTTTTTTGCTGAGTTTATATACAGGGTCAGTGCCAATACCATATTTACAATGTGCAGGGATACTGGAGTGATGGAGGTATTTATGTATAGGGGTAAGGTGACTAGGCAACAGAATATAAGATAAACAGAGTAGCAGCAGCTTGTATGTGAGTTCGTGTGTGTAGAGTCAGTATAAAAGGCCTCATCCATATATTTATATATTCTTATTCCATTCCTTTACTTAGATTTGTGTGTATTAGGTTTTTGTTGTGGAACTGTTAGATATTACTTGCTAGATATTGCTACACTGTCGGAACTAGAAGCACAAGCATTTCCCTACACTCGCAATAACATCTGCTAACCATGTGTATGTGACCAATACATTTGATTTGATTTTGTATGTGCATATTATGTGTGAGTGAGCAGATGATGGAGTAAGTGTGTAGAGCCCTGTGAGTGTGCATAGAGACAAAAATAAAAAGGTCAATGAGGATACAAGGTTAACTCAGTCTGTGTAGCTATTTTGTCAGCTATTTATCAGTTTTATTGCTTGGGGATAGAAGCAGTTCAAAAGCCTGTTGGTGCCAGACATGATGCACCGGTACCGCTTGCCGTGCGGAAGCAGAGAGAATAGTCTATGGCTTGGGTGGTTGGAGTCTTTAACCATTTTCCTGGCCTTCCTACCATACCGCCTGATATAGATGTCCTGGATGTGGACTGCAAAATTTCATACTTTTAATGGAGAATTCAGCAGTGTCTCTTGTACTCGGCTGTATGGACATTTTTCCCTTTCAGTAGCTAGGTTTCCATCCAATTTGCCAAGATTTTCATGCGAATATTCTAAAATCTGCATAAAGAAAATATGTGTGTTTTCCCACCAGGGTGAGTTTCCACCAAACGGACTTGTTGCGGATAAAAATCAGTGCGTGATGACGTAGTGCACAACATGTAGCTTTTCACTTAAGTTTTCATGTAAGGAATACAAATCTAAAGTTCTATGTGTTTCCATCACATTTTAAACTCTACCGATAGTTATGTCACAAGAACCGTTGCGTTAAATAGCAAATGTGCCTACTCTGGTCTTGGCACGTACGTTCTAGCCAACAGCTGGCAGATACAGTGCGGGTATAGTCTGTGCGGGTAGGCTAGTCTACATGATGAGATTATGGATAAGAACGAGAATATTTGTATTTGTCAAACGGTAATCAAGCATCGGTCACCAGAATAAAACCCTCAATATTTATTTGGAATGGAGCATCAAGCTCATCACCGTGCACTTTCAACACCATGTGAAGTTCATCATAACTTATTTCATATAGCCTCATTAACTGCATGGTTTCCCAAGTCGTAGTGGGAGGATCACACACCATATAATCGCGTGACTCCAAATTTACTTCGTTATGATGGTTATTATATCAATATTTGTGCATGAAGGCATTTCCACCGCCATTTCTCGCATTGTTAATTTTACCAACCCAAAATGATCCCACCATGTTGAACGAACAAATTATCTGTTAGGATTTATAAAATTGTACTGAAACTTCCTGTTTCCATCACAGCTGTCGTGATTATTTATTTTGATGATATAACTTTACTCACATAAAAACTGTCGATGGAAACGTGGTTAGTGTTCCTGTTGCACTCAAATCTGTTTAAAGAATACCTATTTTTAGACTTTTTCACCAAGTAGATATTTTATAAAGAAGCACTCATATCTCTGCAAAGCCTTGGTGCTCTGTATTAGATTCATGGTGTTCCACTTGAATGGTCATTAAACACTCTACCACAGAGGATGTATATTCCCAAAACTGAATTTAGACCAAATTGTTGTCTTGAGATAGGTATCATATCACAGGGAACTTCTGCTTTCATGGTATCTTTTCCATTTAATCGAGTGCGCTTCTGTGTGTGATTGTGTGTTTATCATTGGGAAATGAATTTGTCCACCTTATCTGTAATGTGAAGGTGCTATCCCCCCTCCCACCACCCATCCCTCATGATAATATACCCCTCTCCCAAAATCCTGCGCACAGAACCCCTATGCAGCAAAGCAATCCTCTCTCTCTAAGTCTCTCTCTTTGTCTGTCTCCCGCTCTATCTCCTGATGCCAAGGCAATCCAGAAATCATCCCACATAATTCCTGAGCCTTTACCCTGCGGACCATGTGACATCTGCTCCGCAGCCCTGTGCTCACTCAGCGATTATAGCACTCAATGCATCCAGGAGATTTAGCCCCAATAATCCCCTCACTACAGTCCCAGGAAAACACAGTCTCTGGGACTACGTCTGCCGCTCCCACCTCAACACAGAAGACAAGAGGGAAGCAAGAGGATCCACCATTAGCTAAAACCATTTTGCCATCAGTAGGTCATTTGATTTGGCTTTGACTGTGATCTTGCTTGGCAGCCCTGTGCCTGGGACTTGCAGACACACACGCGTCTGGCTGATAGATGATTAGTTTACCTCTATAGCTGATTAAGCAGCTCCTTCACGTGTGTCTATCACCATTAGGTGATACCCAGCTAACACATAACGTTCGGAGAACCATATGTTTCTTAGAGCTTGGTGAGAGCATGGTTGTCCTATGGTTATTTCGCATAATGTGCAACCTTCCCACAACGTTCTGGGAATGGTGCAGGATAGTTGCTTGGCTTTGGAAGATTCTCAGCAAATTTAAGGAATTTGACAAAATAACATATTTTTTAGGGGTATTTCATTACTTTATCAGAACGTTTCCTAAAAGTTCAAACATGGTTACATTTAATTTAAATTTTGGTAATGTTCTAGGAACGTTCTCCAACTGGTTTGGCATTGGGAATATTCTCAAATAGTTCAGAGAACGTTAACAAACAACATCCTCCTGTGGGAATTTCAATACTTCAGCATACCATTTCCACCAGGTTTCCTCATGGTTCTATTTAAAGTCATGTTCTCAGAACATTAAGAAAACTTTCCATAAAAACCACAAGAAAACATTAGTAACGTTCAAAGAACGTTCTAAGAATGTTATTGGAAAAACATATACATTCTGTTCTCAGCATCAACAAAACTCTCTCTATTGTCTATCTTATTAAGTGTGTTCAGGTGTGTTTGCCGCGCCCACTAATTTGTCACACCTGATCTTAATGATTGCTTGTTTCCTTTGAAATAGGGTCTGTTTGAATAGACTAAAATAAACAGCTCCATCCTGGTGGCGCAGTGGACGAATTCCATGGATAAAGAACAGTAGATCATAGGTTCGAATCTCATTGAAGTCGTGCCACATTTAAAAATAAATATGTTTGCGTGATTACATTTTAGTCATTTAGTAGACGCTCTTATCCAGAGCGACTTACAGTTAGTGATTGCATACATTTTCATACTGATTAATGCTTAAGCAAATGAATGTCCATGTGTCCTATCTGTGGTTGTAATTCAAAACAGTTAACCCAAACTAAGCTGGCAGTGTTATTAAAAGTCTTATTGAAACATTCAGTGAAAGTTTTTTAAGGAAGTTATTCAAAAACCTCAAAATAACCTATAACTTCCTTTCTCAGAACGTTAATTAAACCTCCCAGGAAAACTTTCAGGGAACCATAGTAAAACGTTCTCAGAACCTCCCTGCAACTAAAAATGAAAATTCCCAGAACAGGCGAAATGTTCACTTCCGTTCTCAGAATGTTTAAAAAACGTTCTGTTTTACCTGTCAGAAACGTATGGCTTCATTCCCAGAACCAATGGGAAACCAAAAATGCATGTTTCCACAACTTCCAAGGAACCAAATGGGCTAGCTGGGTAGACACATCAGGTCATGTAGGTGGCACACACGCACATTCTTATACACTCAAGCACATTACACTGAGATTCAGTCATTGCTGTAAAATTGAGAATAAGTCGTTCATTTCCATAATGCTCAGTGAAGCCGTCAGTGGCATGACATTGAGAGTCACTGTGGTGGTTATGAGTGGCAGGCAGAGAGGGGGAATGGTGTGGTGAGGAGGGGGAGTTGGTGCCTGCCTGGCCTGGCTGATTAATTACACCCTTTCCACTTTGATTACATTAAAAGGTTTTCCCTTGAGTAGCGGTGCAGGGAAGTGTTCTGGTACACGTGGCCATGTTACTGATTGACTGACATTCTGCAGATCCATGGCTAGGCACATAGTGTGGTAGAGCTTCCGCCTCTGCTCTTTCCTCTGGACACACTTTGGCCCTTTGTTCTATTCAATAAGACAGCTCTGCCAAGTTCTTTAGTGGCATTAGCAGCCTTACTTAAATCATGCCCACCTGTTTACCATTGCTTAAAATCACATTCACCAAGGAACAGAGGAAAGGAACATTTCCCCAGCCAGCGGCATTTTTATTTTAAATTTTACAAATAACAAACAAGACATGATGCCCTAAGCAATTTCTGACCATTACTAATAAAAAACGCATTGAATTGAATTTATTTAGCCAAATTAGTTGAATGAGTTGAACAGATTAGAAAGTGAAGTGGCAGCTTGGTGAGTCTTTCTTTTCCCTTCCTCTTGTATGTGACTCAACATGGCCAGCCTGAGTCTTGGCTGGGGAGAATCGGCTGGCCAGCCTGAGTCTTTGCTGGGGAGAATCGGCTGGCCAGCCTGAGTCTTTGCTGGGGAGGATCGGCTGGCCAGCCTGAGTCTTGGCTAGGGAGGATCGGCTGGCCAGCCTGAGTCTTTGCTGGGGAGGATCGGCTGGCCAGCCTGAGTCTTGGCTGGGGAGGATCGGCTGGTCTTGCTGCTCTCTGTACTTTAAAAGAGAGTGGTTTTACTTGTTATTCTGTAGCAGAATTGAAGTGTTCCACTACACTGTCACTAGAGCTCTCTCTCTCTCACACACACACACACACTCCGTCTCTCTCTCTCGCTCTCCCTCTCTCACTTCCTCGCTCTCTCTCTGGCCTCATCATAAACCCTCCAGCCTCTCGTCTCCTCTCAGTAGTAATTCAGAGCAGTGAGGGGATTAGCGGTAGACCACGTCTCCCTGTTTTATCAGACCCAGCACGGAAGGCACCCAGTCATGCTGAATCCATCCCCACTGCATGGCTCCACAACAGGCTGAGACTGGGACACAACGCCCTGCCGAGCTCCACTGAGCTCCACCACTCACAGCTACACAGCTCAACACGACCTGCGCTCACACGCCCAAGCACCCGCTATCTTTTCCTGTACACTACTTTCTGGCTTTAATCTCCCCAGCAGGATTAAGAACTTCCTCCCCTGTCGTGTCCCAGGCTCTCAGATGCTTGGTAGTGGGACACTGGGACGATGATGCTGGCCTGTGATAATCGATCTCTCCTGTTAACACACTGGCCCTTGTTGCACCACAGCACTGTGCTGACTAGGCTGATACTGGAGCCCATCTCTGGCTCCTATCTTACCTCTGCAGACGTTCAGCTCTCTGATATGTAGGACACACTATACTATACTCAGTGCCCTCACTGTTGAGATATTTATACTATCTACAGACTCAAAGGTTGTTTGGAATTTGGATAACACTACTTAAAGCCTGCATGTATAATGCAGTATGATTAAACCTGTAGGCGTTTTACAATTTAACAGAGATCCAGGCACTAGCTAAAGCTAGTGGGATAAATATTGCGAGGGGAGACATCCTCCATAGGCAGGAAAGGAAAAAGTTAATCTCTCTGTGTGCTCTGTTATGTGCCACCGTGCCAGTGGTGCCAGTGGTGCCAGTTGTGCCAGTGGTGCCAGTGTCTGGACTTGGGAAACACGACACACACTCATCTCTCCTGTGATCTTATCGTCATGCAGACAGAGCGGCTCTCTGGTTTATGGACTTTGTCCACAGTCTGGAATGTGCCCATGCATCCCAATGAACTTGTTCATAAACCATGGTGGGGCTTGATAGTGACTGGTGGTGGTGGATACTTTGTGATGATGGTGGTATCTGCCCTGAGGCAGGGTGTGTGTCTGCATGCTGATCAGCTGACTACAGCTCTGACCTCTAGCATGGGTTCACGACTGTGGACGTGGTGAGGGATTTCGATTTTATCTTGTGTGTGTAAGGCTTAGATTTGAGCTTGTGTATGGAGATGGATCTGTGTGTGTGTGTGTGGTGGGAGGGGAGGGGGGGGGGGGTACTGAGATGTTACAACTGAGATGTTACATGCAGGTACCCAATGGGCACACTACGTCATTTCAACGTAGATAATTGACTATTTGGTTGAGACGTTGATCAATGAGTTTACAACCTATATTCACCCACTCAAAAAGACAGCCAAAAGTTAGTTGAATTTCCAGTGGGTTATCAGTATCCTTTCAAACATCTAAAAGCGCAACAAAATTCCAATGGAAAAACAATGTCTGATTTTTGGTTTAGTTGTCACCCAAATATCTATCACTTTGCTTTCAACGATTTAAAAGCACAGCAACGTTCAAATGGGAATACAATGTCAGATATTTTGTTTATTTATACAACAGATTAATGTGTTATCACTGTGCTTCATCTATTAACAGAACCAAATGACCTGGATTGCAGTTGAGATTACATTAAAAGTATATGGTGCAAGTGACCAATGCTGATCGAGATTCTGCGCAGATTATTACAGCAATTGTGAAGTTCTCCAAAGACCTGTGATGACCTATGCATGCTACAAAGTATGTGGGCACCCCTTCAAATGAGTGAATTCGGCTATTTCAGCCACACCCGTTGCTGACAGGTGTATCAAATCGAGCACACAGCAATGCAATCTCCATAGACAAACATTGGCAGTAGAATGGCCCGTACTGAAGAGCTCAGTGACTTTCAACGTGGCCCCGTCATAGGATGCCACCTTTCCAACAAGTCAGTTCGTCAAATTTCTGCCCTGCTAGAGCATCCCCGGTCAACTGTAAGTGCTGTTATTATGAAGAGGAAACATCTAGGAGCAACAACGGCTCAGCCGTGAAGTGGTAGGCCACACAACCTCACAGAACGGCACCGCCGAGTGCTGAAGCGCGTAGCGCGTAAAAATAGTCTGTCCTCGGTTGCAACACTCACTACCTAGTTCCAAACTGCCTCTGGAAGCAACATCAGCACAAGAACTGTTCGTCGGGAGCTTCATGAAATGGGTTTCCATGGCCGAGCAGCCACACGCATGCCTAAGATCAGGATGCGCAATGCCAAGCGTCGGCTGGAGTGGTGTAAAACTCGTCGCCATTGGACTCTGGAGCAGTGGAAACGCGTTCTCTAGAGTGATGAATCACGCTTCACCATCTGGCAGTCCAATGGACGAATCTGGGTTTGGCGGATGCCAGGAGAACGCTACCTGCCCGAATGCATATTGCCAACTGTAAAGTTTGGTGGAGGAGGAATGATGTTCTGGGGCTGTTGTTCAGGGTTCGGGCTAAGCCCCTTAGTTCCAGTGAACGGAAATCTTAAGGCTACAGCATATAATGACATTCTAGAAGATTCTGTGCTTCCAACTTTGTGGCAACAGTTTGGGAAAAGCCCTTTCCTGTTTCAGCATGGCAATGCCCCCATGCACAAGGCGAGGTCCATACAGAAAGGGTTTGTCGAGATCGGTGTGGAAGAACTTGACTGGCCTGCACAGAGCCCTGACCTCAACCCCATCTAAAACCTTTGGGATGAATTGGAACGCTGACTGCGAGCCAGGCCTAATCGCCCCTAACCTGACCTCACTAATGCTCTTGTGGCTAAATGGAAGCAAGTCCCTGCAGCAACGTTCCAACATCTAGTGGAAAGCCTTCCCAGAAGAGTGGAGGCTGTTATAGCAGCAAAAGGAGTACCAACTCCATATTAATGCCCATGATTTTGGAATGAGATGTTCGACATTTGGCCATGTTTATCTTGAACATGCACACTTTATATGACTACATAAGAAAACATTTATAGTTACAGTAACCTCTAAACATTTAAAGAAGATGTAACTGCTTGGATAGTTTCATCTGAGTCACTGGCGTAATCAGTGGTGTAAAGTACTTAAGTAAAAATACTTTAAAGTATGTTTGACTACTTTTACTTTTACTCCACTACATTCCTAAAGAAAATAATGTACTTTTTACTCCATACATTTTCCCTGACACCCAAAAGTACTCGTTACATTTCGAATACTTAGCAAGACAGGAAAATGGTCCAAGTCACACACTTATCAAGAGAACATCCCTGGTCATCCCTACTACCTCTGATCTGGCGGACTCCCTAAACACAAATGCTTAGTTTGTAAATTATGTCTGAGTATTGGAGTGTGCCCCTGGCTATCCGTAAATAAATAAAAAACAAGAAAATCGTGCCATCTGGTTTGCTTAATATAAGGAATGTGAAATGATTTATACTTTTACTTTTACTTTTGATACTTAAGTATATTTTGGCAATTACATTTATTTTTTATACTTAAGTATATTTAAAACCAAATACTTTTAGACTTTTACTCAAGTAGTATTTTACTGGGTGACTTTCACTTTTACTTGAGTCATTTTTTATTAAGGTATCTTTACTTTTACTCAAGTATGACAATTGGGTACTTTTTCCACCACTGGGAGTAATTCCATTCTTTAACTCTGTGGTCACCAACCTTTTCTGAGTCAAGATCATTTTCTTAGTCAAAATGCAAGCCGAGATCTACCACTCAGATTTTTTTTTAAACATGACTTAAAAAACGTAAGCCTATGCAACATTAACCAATTAAAACAGTTTTGTAGCAATAAGGTTAGTGCAGTAGGCTATAGGCCCAATACATTATCACATTGGCTATGCTTGAATTGCCCTGCCAATATTATTCTTCTCAGACCATTTTGAAATTATATTTCAACATTTTATGTATGTCATCACACTGGTAATACACTGAACAAAAATATAAACACAACATGTAAAGTGTTGGTCCCATGTTTCATGAGCTGAAATAAAATATCCCAGAAATGTTCCATACGTACAATAAGCTTATTTTTCTGTTAGTGAGCATTTCTCCTTAGCCAAGATAATCCATCCACCTGACAGGTATGTCATATCAAGAAGCTGATTAAACAGCATGATCATCACACAGCTGCAGCTTGTGCTGGGGACAATAAAAGGCCACTCTAAAATGTGCAATTTTGTCATACAACACAATGTCACAGATGTCTCAAGTTTTGAGAGAGAATTTGGCAGTATGTCCAACAGGCCTCACAACCACAGACCACGTGTATGGGGTCATGTGGGTGAGCGGGTTGCTGGTGTCAACGTTGTGAACAGAGTGCCCCATGGTGGCAGTGGGGTTATGGTATGGGCATTCATAAGCTACGGACAACAGACACAACTGCATTTTATCGATGGCAATTTGAATGCAGAGATGCGGTGAGGAGATCCTGAGGCCCATTGTTGTGCCATCCATCCTTGACCATCATTACATTTTAGTCATTTAGCAGACGCTCTTATCCAGAGCGACTTACAGTTAGTGAGTGCATACATTTTTCATACTTTTTTCATACTGGCCCCCCATGGGAATCGAACCCACAACCCTGGCGTTGCAAGTGCCATGCTCTACCAACTGAGCTACAGGAGGCCATGTTTCAGCACGATAATGCACAGCCCCATGTCGCAAGGATCTGTCCACAATTCCTGGAAGCTGAAAATGTCCCAGTTCTTCCATGGCCTGCACACTCACCAGACATGTCACCCAGTGAGCATGTTTGGGATGCTCTGCATCGACGTGTACACAGCGTGTTCCAGTTCCCAATATCCAGCAACTTCGCAGAGCCATTGAAGAGGAGTGGGACAACATTTCACAGGCCACAATCAACAGCCTGATCAACTCCATGCGAAGGAGATGTTTCGCGCTGCATTAGGCAAATGGGAGTTACACCAGATACTGACTAGTTTTCTGATTCACGCCCCTACTTTTTTTTTTAAAGGTACTGTATCTGTGACCAACAGATACATATCTGTATTCCCAGTCATGTGAAATCCATAGATTAGGGCCTAATTTATTTATTTCAAATGACTGATTTCATTATATTACTGTAACTCAGTAAAAATCTTTGAAGTTGTTGCATGTTGCGTTCATATTTTTGTTCAGTATAGATAATTTGTTTTATTACTTGTGAGGCACTGCTGAGTGAGCATAATATTTTTAATTTTTTTTTACTGGACTGGCCTGCGTCTGATGGTCAGTCTGAATCAAGTGCACCTACCGCCAACAGCGCAAAACGAATAAACAAATAGGAACACAAGGCTTTATCGTTGGTTGGTGACCACTGCTTTAACTTGTATTTTTCATTGAGTTGGAGACGTGAATCCAACATATCATTTGTTAAATTGTCGACCAGTTAATATGCTATTTATTGTTTTTCAGAAGTCATATTGAAATGTGTTTGGTTGTCAACACAACCAATTAACAACATTTGAAGGAGATGTATCTTCTGCTTGGATAGTTCCATCTGTGCCACTAATTAGTCTGGCTTTAATTCTAATTTGTCTACAAATTAATAATTTATATGTTGGATTCACGTCTCCATCTCAACCAAAAATCTAAGTTAAAGAATAGGACTAAATCAAATCAAACTTTAAATGCACTTTAAATATAGTTTGATTTGATTTAGTCCTACTCTTTAACTTACATTTTTGGTTGAGATGGAGACGTGAATCCAACATATCAAGTAATTTAATTATATTATTAACGTAAGACTCTCAGGGACGGATGAGTTGGTTGATTCATTTATTAACCACCATATTAAACTCAGTCTTCTCTCCTGTCTCCCCTGTTTGTTTCTGGGTTCAGTTTTGGAGCTTATGCGGCAACGCCCTGACCCCTAAGCGAGGAATTTTTGGCAAAACGGGAGATCTCCAAACCATCCTCTGTCTGGCCTGTGCCAGAGACGAGGTCACATATTCAGGTGCCTTGAACGGGGACATCTATGTCTGGAAGAGCATCAACCTGATCCGGACAGTTCAAGGAGCCCATGGGGTAATTGTGTGTGTATGTGTGTGTGTGTGTGTGTTTGTGTGATAGTTGGTTCTAACCAGCCTTAGTTCTGCCACGCTTCCTGGTGGTGTCTCTTGTTTATGCGTCAGTAGTGGGCTGTAGCTTGGGGAATGCTAAGCAGCAGGCTCTTCTCAGATCAAGAGATGTCATGCTCTGCAGCTCATGCTCAGGCTGGTTTTCATTCTCCTACAGCCAGCCCCCACACATCTGCCACAGGCCTGCTTTCACAGTCAGACACAAAACTCACTCAATCACACTGCCTGCCTTAACCCACCTTAGTGCTATCGTTAGATCCATCCAGTGGATGATAAAACACATCATCATCCATGTTCAACTCACCCACCTGCGACTGAACAACTCCTCCATCCGTAGAGCTTGGTTTATTTCGACTGATGAAAGCATACAAGAGTACACGTTTAGCAGGGTGACGGTGTGCCATGTAACCCCTGTGGTTCTCTTTTATTTTGCTCAGTGGAAAGGATCAGCAGTTTACTACTCTGGATTAAATTATATCTGTGAGCTCAACAGCTGGATGCAGGGCTGGATGGGTGGGGGGGGAGGGGGAGTGGGGTGGGACCCTACTGTGGTCCATGTCCGTGCTCTGCACTCCAAACATACTTCTGGCTGGCTCTACCACAGGAATCCTTCCCGCCAATCACTGTGTTCCAAAGCAGGCGGCTCCCGGAGCCTGCCAATAAAAAAGATATGAGAAAAAAAACGCTTCATGTAATGCACCGTTGTGTTATCTCTTCACGCAGCAGCTACGGTATAATTGTGAAAGCCTTGTTAGACATGTGTCTGCTGCAGCAGGGCTTTTGGTAGTTGCTGTACTGCTGGTCTGTCTTGCTCATTTATTGTGCACATCCCCACTGACAGACTGTAATTTCCTCCAGTCAGGGATTTTCAGCATGAATGCCTGTGAGGAGGGCTTTGCCACCGGAGGCCGGGACGGCTGCGTCCGACTATGGGATCTCAACTTCAAACCAATTACTGTCATCGATCTCAGGGAAACAGACCAGGGATATAAAGGTGACATACAACTCCCCCATCTCTTCTCCTCTTCTTTCCCACACAGAGCCAGTCCACAGGATGTCAATGTGCACTGAGTCGATAAATTAACCAGGATGTTCTTCTCATGTTGTTCTTTAGTACAGGCCTTTTGTATACCGCTAGACTCTTTTCTATTACATCTACAGGATGTATTCTAGATCACTAATAGTTGTTTCCTTTCTTCTTTCTTTCGTTTGATTTGTGGTCTTGGGCCTAACAGTAGCTAGAGGTGAAAATAGCAGAGGTGGGTAACTGAGCAGGGCACTGTACAGTCAGAGAACCTCCCCTGTCCTTATGTGCATAGAAGTCCCGGTATTGTATTGTTCCATTCCCCTTCTTGGTTATTCAGCCCAAAGTGTTGCCTACATATTTACTGTATGTACATATATGAATATGTACAGTATACATGTATGAATATATGTATACCTCCATTCCTTCTTACCTTTACTTACCCTAGAGACAGCCAACTATACTGTCTCCATAACAACCACCATATTGTGTAGTCCTCTTGCATTCCTTCTATGTCTTGTTCTGTTTGTTACAGCCACTCTGTGTGTGGGTGTCTGTCTGCATGTTTTTATCCATTTAACTGTTTGTGCATGGATGTGTGTTGACAGGGTTGTCAGTGCGCAGCGTGTGTTGGCGGGGGGATCATATCTTGGTGGGCACCCAGGACAGTGAGATATTTGAGGTGGTGGTCCACGATCGCACGAAGCCTTTCCTCATCATGCAGGGTCACTGTGAGGGAGAGCTGTGGGCGCTGGCTGTGCACCCCACCAAGCCCCTGGCCATGACCGGCAGCGATGACCGCTCAGTCAGGTGGGTGACCAAGCACAACCACTGTCAAACCCTAGGACTAGTCTATGCTTATTATATCCACAGTATCCCTCACACAAATGCAGTCACTGAAATGATCTGGAAATCCAAAGAAATGTTTACATAATAGGTACACACATTCACTTCAGGTACTTATATGGTTAATGAGGGAATTGGACCCACATGACTACTAACAAAGCTGTCTCTCCCTCTGTCTCTCCCTCTCCCTCTGTCTCTGTCTCTCCCTCTCCCTCTGTCTCTGTCTCTGTCTCTCCCTCTCCCTCTCCCTCTCCCTCTGTCTCTGTCTCTCCCTCTCCCTCTCCCTCTCCCTCTGTCTCTGTCTCTGTCTCTGTCCCTCTCTCTCCGTCTCTGTCGCTCCCTCTCCTCTCCCTCTCGCCCTGTCTCTGTCGCTGTCTCTCTCTCGCCCTGTCTAGTTCTCTGTCTCGTCTCTGTCTCTCTGTCTCTCTCTCTCCCTCTCCCTCTGTCTCTGTCTCTGTCTCTGTCTCTGTCTCTGTCTCTGTCTCTGTCTCTCCCTCTGTCTCTCCCTCTCCCTCTGTCTCTGTCTCTGTCTCTGTCTCTCCCTCTGTCTCTGTCTCTGTCTCTCCCTCTGTCTCTGTCTCTCCCTCTCCCTCTCCCTCTGTCTCTGTCTCTGTCTCTCCCTCTGTCTCTCCCTCTCCCTCTGTCTCTGTCTCTGTCTCTCCCTCTCCCTCTGTCTCTCCCTCTCCCTCTCCCTCTCCCTCTGTCTCTCCCTCTCCCTCTGTCTCTCCCTCTCCCTCTGTCTCTCCCTCTCCCTCTGTCTCTCCCTCTGTCTCTCCCTCCTCTCTCTCTGTCTCTGTCTCTGTCTCTGTCTCTCCCTCTGTCTCTGTCTCTCCCTCTGTCTCTGTCTCTCCCTCTGTCTCTCTCTCCCTCTGTCTCTCCCTCCCCCTCTGTAGAATATGGAGCCTTATAGATCATGCGCTGATAGCTCGCTGTAATATGGAGGAGCCTATTCGCTGTGCAGCTGTGAGCACGGACGGCATTCACCTGGCGCTGGGCATGAAGGACGGCTCCTTCACTGTCCTACGGGTCAGGTGAGTACAGGGCAGAAGTCAAAGAGCACTTCTGATTCTTTCTGATTAGCTTGGTATATGAACTTCATGTTAACATACTTTATTGTGTGCAATTTCATTACTCATCAACAATATGCCAGTTAGTGGATCCATGGATACTCAATTTAATTCAAGGATGGTTATTTAAGGAATGTAGTGAATTACCTTTCCAGTAACGTCCTCCCGCTCCACAGAGATATGACAGAGGTGGTCCACATCAAGGACAGGAAGGAGGCCATCCATGAGCTGAAGTACTCTCCTGACGGAGCTCACCTGGCCGTGGGCTCCAATGATAACTCTGTGGACATCTACAGTGTGGTGCAGAGGTACAAGAAGGTGGGAGAGTGCATTGGCTCCACTAGCTTCATCACACACATGGACTGGTCCACAGACAGCAAGTATCTGCAGACCAATGACGGCAACGGAAAGAGGCTCTTCTACAGGATGCCAAGTAAGTCTGTCGATGAGATGTCTCGGCATGTAGATAAATTACACTGTGAAGAGCCTTACTGTCTATGGGAAAGAAAGTCAGGATTTCTCTTGTGTCATTACCTCACTGTTATTAATTATAATTTGCTGCTATGTGTGTCATGAACTGTATGCTTTGTTGTGACAACAGTGACGTATGGCCATGAGACAAGATGTCATGATGACTAATGTGCTGCTCATTTGATGTTTTAGTTGCACATGATGGAGTTATTATTGTCTTTCTACTCAGGCGGTAAAGAGGTCACCAACAGGGAAGAGTTGAAGCTGGTGCAATGGTCCTCATGGACGTGTGTGTTGGGCCCCGAGGTCAACGGAATATGGCCCAAATACTCAGAGATCAATGACATCAACTCTGTTGACGCCAACTTTAATAATCAAGTTTTAGTAACAGCAGATGATTATGGATTAGTGAAGCTTTTACGGTACCCGTGTGTAAGAAAGGGTAAGGATTTCCATTGATTCCTCTATTCGTTGACGTGATGTTGTCAGTCAATTCGTTGATGTGATGTTATTGCATTCACAAATTAACCAAAAACTACTCTTCTCTCTATCCCAGGGGCAAAGTTTAAAAAGTATTTAGGTCACTCTGCCCATATAACCAATGCCAGGTGGTCACATGACTACCAGTGGGTGATAACTATTGGTGGCGCTGACCACTCAGTGTTCCAGTGGAAGTTTGTCTCAGACAGAAAGTCGAAAGAAGCTCTTCACATAGCACCTCAAGGTACATCACTGTCCCATTTCTATCACTGCCCCATTCTATTCTACCCCAATGTGAATATGACTCCGAAGTGCACTCTGTGACCCTTCCCCTTGAATGATGTTCCTTATCCCAGCTAAAAGCTTTCTACACCAGGTCATACACAAGAATACATTTGAAGTGATATTAGCTGGAAGAGCACTTTTGTGTTTGTATACAGCTCCTACAACCTTGTCCTCATTTGTAAGTCATGTTCCTCAACTAAATGGTCTTAGACAGAGCTGTGCTGCGCTTTGTGAAATTAAACCACATACTAACTGCCATTCCATTTAATTTTCCTAATGGACCTAGCAAGTAGCAGCCTAGCAGTGCCAGGGGTACTTACTGCCTGGTCTTGGCATGGCCAACCGAGTTTCACTGCATCAGCATTTTTATGTCTCAGTCTGAGTAATAGGGCTGTGGAACAGGGCAAGGAGTCCACCATTTAAGACTTTTCAAAGGCTTGCTTGATGAATATGAGATGTCATCTTCACCCATTTGTGATCTTTGTCTTGGCTAAAATGGCACTCAATACTGGTTGTCTGCTAGTTATGGATTAGTGGGTTTTTAACTCTATTCAACAGACTGATGTAGGAGCATCTGGGTGGTAGATTAGATCTGATATAGTCGTCTTCTCTCCTGCAGAGACGTTGGGCGACTCCAACAGTGAGGAGTCGGACTCAGACCAGTCGGACGTCCCTGAGATGGACTCAGAGATCGAGCAGGAGACACAGCTCACATATCGGCGGCAGGTTAGTGACACAGCACCTGCTCTCCTCTCAGATGGCTTTGCCTTTGAAAATTACACATTATGAACGTTGCATATGAAAAACAACTGATATTACATTGAGTAAAAACCTTAACAGATGTCAGAGAGTTAAATGCTTTATATGGTATTTCCATGTCCAGGTTTACAAAGAAGATCTACCTCAGCTCAAAGAGCAGTCCAAGGAGAAGCACCGTGCGATGGCCATGAAGAAAAGAGAGAGAACACCAGGGAGCGGGGTGAAGCTACACTTCATCCATGGGTTAGGAGACCTCCGGAAGCACCACATACCACCACCAAACATAACACAAACAAATCATAACCTGTGTAAAACGTTCTCACACCAAGCAAACCTGAAAAGCACACACAATAACTCAACATCTGTATAGTCTTTATCTAACCATCTTTTCTACCAACACTACCCCACAGCCAAAAGGTCCAAAACGTGAACGCTGTGTTCTTCATCATTGTTTCCTGTGTTGTTCTGCTCCAGCTACAGAGGCTTCGACTGCAGGAGCAACCTGTTCTACACCCAGACAGGGGAGATAGTCTACCATGTGGCAGCCGTGGGTGTGGTGTACAACCGACATCAGAACACCCAGCGCTTCTACATGGGCCATGACGACGACATCCTGTGCCTGGCCATCCACCCCCTCAAGGACTTTGTAGCAACAGGCCAGGTAGGTAGCACTGCTAACAATGAAATATTCAGAGACAGGGATAGAGTAGCTTGCCCCCTCAGGGCCTAAGGGTAGAGAGGCTGACCTCTAAGGATGCCTTTGGGAGCTGGAGGGTCTTCTGTATATGCTTATGGTGCAAAGTAACTAAATAGAATTTCCTACTGCTAACACTGTGCTGGAATTGTTGCATTGCCCTGTGTGGGTGTGGAAGTTGCTGTGGATGAGTGGAAGCTAATTATTTATTCTGTCTGTCCAGGTGGGGCGAGACTCTTCCATCCACATATGGGACACAGAGATGCTGAAACCCATGTCTGTGTTGAAAGGATTCCACCAGCTGGGAGTGTGTGCCCTAGACTTCTCAGGTAGTACCCCAGGGCTGTTAACAGATGCTTTCCATACACTCTCCAGATAATGTAACACATTGAACACAACAATAACCAATTCTTGCTTTAACCTAGCCTGACATTCTCAGTCAGCCATGGAGAAAAATAACTCTTCCTTCACACAGGAGATGGGCGAGTTGAAATGTGTTCCAATTTAGAAGCATCGCGCTGAACAACCCTTTTATGGAGATAGTCTGTGTACTGTGGCAGGCTGGCAGCATCAAGGCAAAGGCGCTCATCTCTCTCCTGCTAATTGGCCACAGACAGAGGCGTAGCTGCCATTACCTGCCATGGATCAAACCTATACCAGGCTAGTTTACTGTTCCTCACAAAACAAGAGTAAATAGAGAGGCTCTCTGAGTGAATTTTGTATTGAATGAGGTTGTGTTTTGTTGTTCTTCCTCAGCGGATGGCAAGCGGCTGGCCTCGGTCGGGCTGGATGACAATCACACCATTGTCCTTTGGGACTGGAGGAAGGGGGAGAAGCTCTCAGCCATCAGGTTAGTACAGTACAGTAGCTGTTATGGCATCTCAGATGATCCATTCAGATCTCAGCAGGTGTCTCCTCAATAGGCAGACTAGAGAGATCAAAGGTCAAGATAAGTCCTAGGGGTTGACATACTTCATGAACGCTCCACTTACTGATGGAAAACAAGACTAGAAAATGTTTCTGTTTTCTCAATGAGTTAGCTCATAATATGCAGTGCATTCGGAAAGTATTCAGACCCCTTGACTTTTTCCACATTTTGTTACGTTACAGCCTTATTCTAAAATTGATTAAATAGGTTTGTAGAAATGTTTGCACATTTATAAAATATAAAAAACATAAATACCTTATTTACATAAGTATTCAGACCCTTTGCTATGAGACTTGAAATTGAGCTCAGGTGCATCCTGTTTCCATTGATCATCCTTGAGATGTTTCTACAACTTGATTGGAGTCCACCTGTGGTAAATTCAATTGATTGGACATTATTTGGAAAGGTACACACCTGTCTATATAAGGTCCCACAGTTGACAGTGCATGTCAGAGCAAAAACCAAGCCATGAGGTTGAAGGAATTGTCTGTAGAGCTCAGAGACAGGATTGTGTCGAGGCACAGATCTGGGGAAGGGTACCAAAAAATGTCTGCAGCATTGAAGGTGCCCAAGAACATAGTGGCCTCCATCATTCTTAAATGGAAGAAGTTTGGAACCACCAAGACTCTTCCTAGAGCTGGCCGCCCGGCCAAACTGAGCAATCGGGAGAGAAGGGCCTTGGTCAGGGAGGTGACCAAGAACCCGATGGTCACTCTGACAGAGCTCCAGAGTTCCTCTGTGGAGATGGGATAACCTTCCAGAAGGACAACCATCTCTGCAGCACTCCACCAATCAGGCCTTTATGGTAGTGTGGCCAGACGGAAGCCACTCCTCAGTAAACGGCACATGACAGATTCTCTGGTCTGATGAAACCAAGATTGAACTCTTTGGCCTGAATGCCAAGCGTTACATCTGGAGGAAACCAGGCACCATCCCTACGGTGAAGCATGGTGGTGGCAACATCATGCTGTGGGGATGTTTTTCAGCAGCAGGGACTGGGAGACTAGTCAGGATTGAGGGAAAGATTAACAGAGAAAAGTGCAGAGAGATCCTTGATGAAAACCTGCTCCAGAGCTCAGACTGGGGCGAAGGTTCACCTTCCAACAGGACAACGACCCAAAGCACACAGCCAAAACAATCCAGGACTGGCTTCGGGACAAGTCTCTGAATGTCCTTGAGTGTCCCAGCCAGAGCCCGGACATGAACCTGATCGAACGTCTCTGGAGAGACCTGAAAATAGCTGTGCAGCGACGGTCTCCATCCAACCTGACAGAGCTTGAGAGGATCTGCAGAGAAGAATGGGAGAAACTCCCCAAATACAGGTGTGCCAAGCTTGAAGCGTCATACTCAAGAAGACTCAAGGCTGTAATCGCTGCCAAAGGTGCTTCAACAAAGTACTGAGTAAAGGGTCTGAATACTTATGTAAATGTGATATTACAGTTTATTTATTTATTTACATTTTCAAAATACCTGTTTTTGCTTTGTTATTATGGGGTATTGTGTGTAGATTGATGAGGGGGGAAAAAACAATTTAATCCATTTTAGAATAAGGCTATGGAATCATGTAGTTACCATAAAAGTGTTAAACAAATCAAAATATATTTTATATTTGAGATTATTCAAATAGCCACCATTTGCCTTAATGACAGCATTGCACACTCTTGGCATTCTCTCAACCAGCTTCATGAGGTAGTCACCTGGAATGCATTTCAATTAACAGGTGTGCCTTCTTAAAAGTTAATTTGTGGAATTTCTTCCTTCTTAATGCGTTTGAGCCAGTCAGTTGTGCTGTGACAAGGTAGGGGGGGTATACAGAAGTTAGTCCTATTTGGTAAAAGACCAAGTCCATATTATGGCAAGAACAGCTCAAATAAGCAAAGAGAAACGATAATCCATCATTACTTTAAGACATGAAGGTCAGTCAATACGGAACATTTCAAGAACTTTGAAAGTTTTTCAAGTGCACTCGCAAAAACCATCAAGCGCTATGATGAAACTGGCTCTCATGAGGACCGCCACAGGAATGGAAGACCCAGAGTTACCTCTGCTGCAAAGAAACCACTACTAAAGGACACTAATAATAAGAAGAGACCTGCTTGGGCCAAGACATATGAGCAATGGACATTAGACCAGTGGAAATTTGTCATATAGTCTGGAGTCCAAATTTGAGATTTTTGGTTCCAACCGCTGTGTCTTTGTGAGACGTGGTGTAGGTGAACGGATGATCTCCGCATGTGTAGTTCCAACCGTAAAGCATGGAGGAGGAGGTGTTATGGTGTGGGGGTGCTTTGCTGGTGACACTGTCTGTGATTTATTTAGAATTCAAGGCACACTTAACCAGCATGGCTACCACAGCATTCTGCAGCGATACGCCATCCCATCTGGTTTGGGTTTAGTGGGACTATCATTTGTTTTTCAACAGGACAATGACCCAACACACCTCCAGGCTGTGTAAGGGCTATTTGACCAAGAATGAGAGTGATGGAGTGCTGCATCAGATGACCTGGCCTCCACAATCCCCCGACCTCAACCCAATTGAGATGGTTTGGGATGAGTCAGATGGCAGAGTGAAGGAAATGCAGCCAACAAGTGCTCAGCATATGTGGGAACTTCTTCAAGACTGTAGGAAAAGCATTCAGGTGAAGCTGGTGGCTATTTGAAATATATTTTTGATTTGTTTAACACTTTTATGGTTACTACATGATGCCATATGTGTTAATTCATAGTTTTGATGTCTTCGCTATTATTCTACAATGTAGAAAATAGTAAGAATCAAGAAAAACCTTGAATGAGTACGTGTGTCCAAACTTTTGACTGGTACTGTAGATTGACCTGATAATACTAGGTTTGGTCCAGATTCAGTTTGGTATTATTCATGTAAATGTGAGGTCTTTGTCCACAAGCTATGATCCATACAGTAGTTCCTGCAGGATAACTCAGTTATCCACCCAACACTGATTCACAAAGATACGTGTCCAGTCATGCAATATCCAGCATCGCAACCATCCCTTGGCCATTGTACAAGCCCCAGAGCAGAGAGAGTAACAACAAGTACATCAATGCTCCCAATCAGTGGCGGCTCCTGAAAAAATTCTCAGGGGGGGCAATTTTTCTGATGATTTAGGTGACCTACACACATTTTAAAAAAGATATGTCCAGCAACAACATGAAGACAGGGGCAGCATATAAGTCAATACCAGAAGCATTTATTGACTGATCTCAAAAGTGTTGGCTTACCAGGGTTGGTGGAGCCCTCAGTTTCATCTTTGCCTCGCAAAGCTAACTCAAACACTCCGCAAAACTTCACACACTGGATTAGCCGGCTGAGGATGTGGCGGTTCTTGCTAATGTCGTAGTAAATATATTTGTTATAGTGAATATGGAATATGATATGTTGAGTAAAATGTTGTGCTAAGATCTATTTAGGTCAGGAGCTGGTTATAAGTTCTGTTCCTATCCAATAACAATGGACAAAAGGGTCCTATCTTGTCAGCCTTGTCAGCAGGTGGCCAAGGACAACACCCACGCCATAGGCCTCTCAGTTCTTCCAACTCACGAGTTCTTGCTCTGAGGACACACACACACACACACACAAACACACACACACACACATCATCACTGTTAAACACACACACACACACACACACACACACACACACACACACACACATCATCACTGTTAAACACACACACACACACACACACACACAAAAATCCCCTCTCTTAGGCTGAACATTTGAAGACAGAGAACCCGACTCAGAGCCAATGCAACAGTGACAGTAGCCTGGAGGGGACCTCGCCCAACTCATCAGGACCAATCAGAAGATCAGAACTACTAGATTCAACCTACTTCATTTATTGCATAAAATGTCTGCACACAATGTTTCGGGGCTCTCTTCAGATAATAATAATAATAATAATAATATGCCATTTAGCAGACGCTTTTATCCAAAGCGACTTACAGTCATGCGTGCATACATTTTTGTGTATGGGTGGTCCCGGGGATCGAACCCACTACCTTGGCGTTACAAGCGCCGTGCTCTACCAGCTGAGCTACAGAAAGTGGATACTCATGGATGCGCATCGCAATTGTAAAATGTCAACACAATTGGAGACACCACGTCATTTTTGGAGACATGTTATTGACAGTAAACTATTGTAGATGCGACTGCTAACTAAATAAAACATTTTAGCTGGCTAGCTAATCATCTTAGCTAAATGTGGGGCAAACAATTCAGTTATTTACCGTTAATTTGAGGGATTGGGGTGAAAGAAATCGAGTTACATAGTGATACTTTACGATATACTGTATTGACAATATCGCAATATTTTAGCGCTAGTTGGCTGTACCTGCACCAAAACACCATTATTGTTCCTTCATAGCTTGTTCTCAATCTTTTCACATTGGGAGCCAATTTGTTTTCAGCACTTTTATTTCCATGACTGATCAAAACTCGTTCTCATGGCTTTCTGATCCCTCTGCAACAGACATATGGTGCGCAATAAAATCACAGTATCGAATCGCAATACGTATAGAATCATGAGACTCGCAATGCATATATCTTATCGTGAGGTTCCTGGCAATTCCCAGCCCAAGTTCATTTGCCACAACAAATCTCTTCGCTAGCAAACGCGATGTCTTCTCCAAAACGGCAATGTGTCTCCAGCAATGTTTACTTTTTTGACGTTCTATGGCATCTCCACTTTCCAAGCATATATGACCACATGTAATATTTTGGTAAGTGATGCAAATAGTGAACTATGTAGGGCCAGGATGTAAAATATATGTAGCTGCAGCAATTTCTCTTATCTGATATGGTAAGTAATGGGGCTTAATGTATAGCTCCCTAAGAGTTTGACGAACGGGTCCGTGCACGCGATTCCAGATATCTTTACCTCTGAATAAACTGCCTTTATTATACCATATCCACCCTGTCCAAAGTCTCTACTTGGTCTCAGTTCTCCAGTAAACTTGTGATTATCAACACTAACCTCATCGTTGTGGCGGCGGACAGCTAGCCTGTATCCCTCATCCAGTTGAGTGGCAATGTTATTTTTTCGTTCGTACCAATTTTTGGAAAATCCTCGGGTGTAGGACTTTCCGCCTTTAGTAGAAACCTGTTGAATTATTAAATTTGGTCTGGGAGGTCCTAATTGTTTCGTTGCCAATTTATCTTCATTTGTTCGCCGACAAAAAGGAACTTCTTTCAAAGACACAATCGAGTTGCACTGAAGCCTAGCCATTTTGACAGTAATAGTGAATTGATTGACGCTGCTACCCGCTATTTTCTTAGTTACGTTCATGGTTACGTTACGTATGACGAAAGCGCGTAAGTGCAAGCCCTCAGACACCCATAGAGATTGTATTGAAAGCTCTGAAATTTGAAAAAAATAGATTTTACATGGGAGTCTATGACAGACTTCTGGGCGATTTTCAACCTGACTGAAATCGCCCCAAAAGGGGGGGGAGCCATTTGAAGCACGACTTTAGCTGTGGCAGATCAGACGTCTAGATTACAACACTGATAACTACTGTTGCCGTGATATAATTGATTAGAAAAAAAATCCCTTCCTTTTCCCGTTTGGCAGTGCGTCGCCCATATCGCCCTATTGAACACACCGCCCCTGCTCCCAATCTAAACCTTCCCTTTAATTAGCTAGACAGATTGAGCACCTCCACTTTAAATGTGGACATTTATATATGAGGGCAACATTAAAATAGCTGCACTGTCCTTGGTTCTCATGAAGAGAGGAGGGAGGGGAATCACCCTGCAGACTCTTAAAGCTGTTCCTTTCTGAATAGAGAACACTTGGCCCTGTCAACTCACAGCTGAATGATTAATGTCACGCCCTGGCTCTGGGGACTCTAGTATGTTGAGCCAGGGTGTGAGTTTTCATTTGTTTTCGTTCTAGTTTAGTATTTCTATGTTGGCCAGTGTGGTTCTCAATCAGAGGCAACGTGTATCAGCTGTTGCTTGTTGTCTCTGATTGGGAACCATACTTAAGCAGCCAGTTTTCCCACAGTGTTTGTGGGATCTTGTTCCTGTGTAGGTTTGTGTTTTGCACCTTTGGACGTCACGTATCGTTTGTTGTTTTGTTCGTGTAATCATTATTTAATAAATATGTTCACCTTCCACGCTGCGCCTTGGTCCTCTGTACCCGACGATCGTGACAATTAAAGTGTAGGTCTGGTACAGATCTCTGGCCCATCTATCTCAACCTGGGTTCAGACTACATTCACTGTGAGTGCTAATCTCAAATTAAAAGTGTCCATTTAAAAAAAAGACTATTGTGTAAAATCGAATGGCAATTCAAATATCCAGGACTTCAAACATGGTCGTCTAGCATCTATATGGACACCCCGATTTCTCCCAATGTTGGTCTTGTTTCTCTACGGCTTTGCACTTGATATTCATAGCGGTAAAATAGTCCATTGGAATTCCATCAGACTAGTTAGAGCAGTGGAGGCCTGCTCATCTCCTGCCTGCGTGCTGTAGCTGTTGTGTACTATGCTCCCGTGGCAGCTCAGAGACAACTTGGAGCTGCACTAATCTCCTTTGCAGGCCCTGGTGGATAGTGCAGTGAGGCGGGCAGAGGGAAATGGGGCCTGACAGAGCCTGCCTTGTGCACTGCACTGCCTAGTCCTCAGCTGGGAGAGGATGGTGAGGCGGAGAGATAGAGGGGGCAGGAGAGAAAGAAGGCATCTCCACTTTCCAAGCATATATGACCACATGTAATATTTTGGTAAGTGATGCAAATAGTGAACTATGTAGGGCCAGGATGTAAAATATATGTAGCTGCAGCAATTTCTCTTATCTGATATGGTAAGTAATGGGGCTTAATGTATAGCTCCCTAAGAGTTTGACGAACGGGTCCGTGCACGCGATTCCAGATATCTTTACCTCTGAATAAACTGCCTTTATTATACCATATCCACCCTGTCCAAAGTCTCTACTTGGTCTCAGTTCTCCAGTAAACTTGTGATTATCAACACTAACCTCATCGTTGTGGCGGCGGACAGCTAGCCTGTATCCCTCATCCAGTTGAGTGGCAATGTTATTTTTTCGTTCGTACCAATTTTTGGAAAATCCTCGGGTGTAGGACTTTCCGCCTTTAGTAGAAACCTGTTGAATTATTAAATTTGGTCTGGGAGGTCCTAATTGTTTCGTTGCCAATTTATCTTCATTTGTTCGCCGACAAAAAGGAACTTCTTTCAAAGACACAATCGAGTTGCACTGAAGCCTAGCCATTTTGACAGTAATAGTGAATTGATTGACGCTGCTACCCGCTATTTTCTTAGTTACGTTCATGGTTACGTTACGTATGACGAAAGCGCGTAAGTGCAAGCCCTCAGACACCCATAGAGATTGTATTGAAAGCTCTGAAATTTGAAAAAAATAGATTTTACATGGGAGTCTATGACAGACTTCTGGGCGATTTTCAACCTGACTGAAATCGCCCCAAAAGGGGGGGGAGCCATTTGAAGCACGACTTTAGCTGTGGCAGATCAGACGTCTAGATTACAACACTGATAACTACTGTTGCCGTGATATAATTGATTAGAAAAAAAATCCCTTCCTTTTCCCGTTTGGCAGTGCGTCGCCCATATCGCCCTATTGAACACACCGCCCCTGCTCCCAATCTAAACCTTCCCTTTAATTACCTAGACAGATTGAGCACCTCCACTTTAAATGTGGACATTTATATATGAGGGCAACATTAAAATAGCTGCACTGTCCTTGGTTCTCATGAAGAGTGGAGGGAGGGGAATCACCCTGCAGACTCTTAAAGCTGTTCCTTTCTGAATAGAGAACACTTGGCCCTGTCAACTCACAGCTGAATGATTAATGTCACGCCCTGGCTCTGGGGACTCTAGTATGTTGAGCCAGGGTGTGAGTTTTCATTTGTTTTCGTTCTAGTTTAGTATTTCTATGTTGGCCAGTGTGGTTCTCAATCAGAGGCAACGTGTATCAGCTGTTGCTTGTTGTCTCTGATTGGGAACCATACTTAAGCAGCCAGTTTTCCCACAGTGTTTGTGGGATCTTGTTCCTGTGTAGGTTTGTGTTTTGCACCTTTGGACGTCACGTATCGTTTGTTGTTTTGTTCATGTAATCATTATTTAATAAATATGTTCACCTTCCACGCTGCGCCTTGGTCCTCTGTACCCGACGATCGTGACAATTAAAGTGTAGGTCTGGTACAGATCTCTGGCCCATCTATCTCAACCTGGGTTCAGACTACATTCACTGTGAGTGCTAATCTCAAATTAAAAGTGTCCATTTAAAAAAAAGACTATTGTGTAAAATCGAATGGCAATTCAAATATCCAGGACTTCAAACATGGTCGTCTAGCATCTATATGGACACCCCGATTTCTCCCAATGTTGGTCTTGTTTCTCTACGGCTTTGCACTTGATATTCATAGCGGTAAAATAGTCCATTGGAATTCCATCAGACTAGTTAGAGCAGTGGAGGCCTGCTCATCTCCTGCCTGCGTGCTGTAGCTGTTGTGTACTATGCTCCCGTGGCAGCTCAGAGACAACTTGGAGCTGCACTAATCTCCTTTGCAGGCCCTGGTGGATAGTGCAGTGAGGCGGGCAGAGGGAAATGGGGCCTGACAGAGCCTGCCTTGTGCACTGCACTGCCTAGTCCTCAGCTGGGAGAGGATGGTGAGGCGGAGAGATAGAGGGAGAGGGGGCAGGAGAGAAAGAAGGAAGGAGCTGGGGGAGGAAGAAAGATGAGCGGGGGAGGAAAAAGGGGGGGGGGAGAGGGATGGAAGTGAGAAAGGAGAGTGCGAAAGCTTGAAAGGGATAGAGAGATGAAGTAGGTGTCAGTACAGCTCTGTCCTCAGTGAGTGCCATGTAGTGATGCATCAGCACAAAGGCCAGTGATTAGGGACCCAGCCCAGTGTGCACTACGCTCCAATGGATCAGACAGGAAAGGCCACTGATCCTTATTGTTCATAATGGAAGTGATCAAGAGCCCTTAGCCAAACTGTGCAGATGCACTGGGTGCAATCTGATTCCCTGTACACTAACTGTCTTCTAAGTTTATTCCACTTCTATTTCAGATCCATGTCTTTTTGTGCAATGGAATGAATGCAATGTTTGCAATACTTTTTTTCAGGGGAAGCAAGGATAAGATTTTTGTCATCAAAATGAATCCATACTGTTCAGACAAGCTCATCACAGCAGGGGTAAAGCATATGAAGTTCTGGCATAAAGCAGGTAAGAGACCACAAAGTTAAACAAGAGAGTTGACTCCGCAATGTCTCAAAGAATGATGTGATGTGTTGTCATGTGAGTTAATGACACAACCTCTCTTTCAGGTGGTGGTCTGATTGGGCGTAAGGGCAACATGGGGAAGACCGAGACAATGATGTGTGCTGTGTATGGCTGGACAGAGGAGATGGTGTTCTCAGGGACGTGCACAGGAGATATCTGTATCTGGAGAGACATGTTCCTGGTGAAGACAGTCAAAGCCCATGATGGCCCAGTCTTCAGTATGCACGCCCTGGAGAAGGTAGTGGAAGGGAAAGGAAGGGGTTAACACACGGGCCATTTGAAATGTCAAATAGAGATGACACCTCTCTCTCTGTCTCTGTGTCTCTCTTTCTTTCTTCCTCTCTCGCTGTTTCTCTTTTTGTTTGTGCCATTACAATTCTGATGGTGTAGTATTGTCAATGAATACAGTAGCATTGTATTATTTCAGATGTCAGTTTTATACAATGATGCTGTGTGAGTGATTAAAGAAGAGAGATTCTAATCTATCTCCTGTTCTCTCGTTATGGCCCACTCTGTAGGGATTTGTGACAGGAGGGAAGGACGGCATAGTGGCTCTGTGGGATGACACCTTTGAGAGATGCCTCAAGACGTACGCCATCAAGAGAGCAGTCCTCGCTCCAGGCTCCAAAGGTAAAAGTTCACCCTACCACTTCCGTGAAGCCAATCACATTACATACTGGGCTCATTGCTCCAACGCCAAAGGAATAATCCAGTGGAAATCCATTTAAACACTCAATCAATTTAGCTTTAGTGAAGATTGCTGCCTCTGCCCCTTGTTAAATTAAAGTTTTCTGACGTTATCCTATAATTCACTCTATAGGGTTGCTGTTGGAGGACAACCCTTCCATACGTGCCATATCTCTTGGTCATGGTTATATACTGGTTGGGACAAAGAACGGAGAGATTCTGGAGGTGGATAAGAGTGGACCCATCACCTTGCTGGTCCAGGTGAGTGGGTACAGATAGTTACATACAGTATAATTTTAAAGTCAACAGTCTGTCACAAATGTCACAATGAACAGCACACACAACAGGCACCAGCTGTGCTTAACTCAGGCTGGCGGGGATGTGGCAGCCAGGTTTTTGCAGCTTGGTTAGGTGGGAGCCAATGAGGCATTACTAATAAAGGCGCCAGCTGGGGGCACATTATTTTGGATTGAAGGCCTGCAGATGTACTGATGTTATTGATTTCCTTGTGAAATGTTCTAGAGCAAATGAGCAATTTCTTATGGGTGAAGCCGAGCAACAGACGCATATGGAATGAGCTCTAAGAGGCTTCTGGATGCTCGGCTCCTCCATTGATTTTCATTATGCATTTAAGAATTATAAAAACAAATCTGTTGATACGTGTTTGCAAAATACTAGGCTGTGCTAGGCATGTAGCCCATGTATTTATTTAACTAAGTGTATAACATATTTTATGTAGGGGTTAGAAGATGGTTCACCCTATAAAATGTGGTTCCTAACCCCTCTCTGTCGTACCTTGATTAGATTGAATTGAGCTGCACTGAGTGAATGGTATTGTCTATTTGATGGGTCCACAGGGTCACATGGAGGGTGAGGTATGGGGCCTGGCCACTCATCCCCATCTCCCTCTCTGTGCCACTGTCAGCGATGACAAAACCCTACGCATATGGGACCTGTCCCCCAGCCACTGTATGCTGGCTGTACGCAAGCTCAAGAAAGGTGAGTCACTCAACGCTCAAAAAGAGAAGTCTATGCTACATTCATTCACTTCCTTTCTTCCTTTCTGTGGTGCATTCTTATAGTCATTAGGAGCATTGCTCTCTGAGGTACTAACTGACCTCCTCCATAGGGGGGCGCTGCTGCTGCTTCTCCCCTGAGGGCAAGGCCCTGGCAGTGGGCCTGAATGACGGCAGCTTCCTCATCGTCAACGCAGACACCCTGGAGGACCTAGTGTCCTTCCACCACCGCAAGGACATCATCTCAGACATACGCTTCTCACCAGGTCAGACGCTGTCCTCCCTCCCTCCCTCCCTCCCTCCCTCCCTCCCTCCCTTCATCCCTCCATCCCTACTACAAACTCCCTCCACATATTCTTTCCTGAAGAAAGAAAGACAAAGTGTAAAAAATTACTTTGTCTTAAAAAGAAAGAAAAAACAGATATATGAGATATGGCCAGGTATTCATATTTTCCCCCTGCTGTGAGGAGAAGAGGTATTGCTGAAGGCTTGACCCAAATATACTGATGTATGTAACAAGGCCAGGCAGGGAGAGACACAGTCTGTCTGAGTGGGAAGAGAGTAGTGGGGGAGGATAAAGTGAGAGCTAGAAACTAAACTCTCTATCTCATGGCCAGTTAACCTTAATCTACAATGCAAAGGATCGAGTTTCCCAACACATCACTGATAGTGCTTCTAACTGCTTCTCTATACAATATAGATGTCTGCGCTCTTATACACTGTTCAATGTGTTGGCAGATAGTAGTTTTATTGTTAGAAAGAATTGTGACTACCATATACATACTGTAGATATGGAGTACTATTTGTTGTCAGAGTTTATTTTATTTGTGTTGTTATCTTGGCTGCTGACCAGAAGGCCTAACATACTTGTGAAACAGATAAGGAAAACCTTTTGAAACATGGCTGCTGTGTTTACACAGGTGCAGGGAAGTACCTGGCGGTGGCGTCGGGTGACAGCTTTGTGGACATCTATAATGTGATGAGCAGCAAGAGGGTGGGGGTGTGCAAGGGGTCCCTCAACTACATCACCCATCTGGACTGGGACAAGAGAGGTAAACATGTTGGTCTAACAACTACACTGATTGTGGCAGTGACCTTTGCAGCTGACAGTTGACCCGGACCAATGCCATTGAATTTCAGGCTATTCTTACTGTTGGCTCATTCACAATGTGTTGAAATCTATTTTAAACCTCTAGGTAAAGGAATAGTTGTTTTTGTTATTCCAAGTATCATAACTAAATGATAATGCTACTGGGGTCGTCCACCGATTCAGTGCCTTTGAGAAGTGTAAATACTTTTGATTTCACCTCATTTGAGCTTTCTGTAATAAAACGCACATGTTCAACCTCATAAAAAACATGTTTTTCCACCTGAACAGGTTACATAAAAAAATGACTATATTAAGTACCTATCTAGTGCCAAATGGTTGACCGTAATAGGGTTGAGGATTTAATCTTAAATCAGCTATAAATCCCCTCGTGAGAGGAGGAATGGAAGCTTGTTGTGTGCAACAGGGAGTGGCAATTGAATGCAAGCTTCACCAAAAAAATTTAATTGCTAAAACATTTCTAGCCTTTCTATCTGTAGGTAACAGGGTTGATGTGTAATGCTCGACCCGCTCAGTTTTCCAGCACAAAACACCACCCAGTGGGCAAAAACTGTTGGAATCAAGGTTGTTTCCGCGTAATTTCAACCCCAAAAATCTATGTGATGATGTTGAATCAACGCATAAAACTGATTGGATTTGCGAAAAGTCATAAACTTAAGGACATTTAGTCTTTTTTTCACCAAACTTTTAACCTAAATCCAATGACATGGTGACATTTTTGTTTGATCTCATGTTGAATTCACGTTAGTTGACAACTCAACCAAATGTAAATCAAAACTATAGTCTGTGCCCAGTGGGAAGAAAATGGCCAAAAAGAGTAGAACCAGCTCATCTGCTTTTACATTATGATTTTACTATTAGATGTTCAATGTTTCTTTTGAAAAACTATTTTTAAAAGGAATAGTTTCACCATATTAAAATGAGAGTTCAGTTCACATAACAGGGTTGATCTTAAAATGAGGGACAGACGTAAATTAATTACTAATCACATGTAATGAATAATAATCCTAACAAATGACTTTGGCAAAGCAACTAAATAATGATGGCTTTACAATGATGGTGAAAACTTGAATACGTTTTTGGATTAAGTGGGTTGAAATCTTCCAAGAAGTGACACAGGGTTGTCGGAGGGACAAGTCAAAATGCTGAATTTTGGCACTTTAGCAAGCCTTTATTCATATGCAAAATCTGATTGATTGAATTCTTCATGTGGGCAATTCATTTAATATAACAGGCTTCTAAAATGTTATATTGGTGCACAATTTCTACTTAAAATATCAAAGGAATGCAAAAGGAACTCATTTCGTGGAACGACCCTACTATAAAGCACAAAAGGGTTTAATTTGATTTCGGATTCAGTCTTAACTGTGTTCTTTCATTCACAGGAAAACTACTGCAAGTGAACACTGGTGCTAAAGAGCAGTTATTTTTCGAAGCTCCACGGGGAAAGAAGCAGACCATTCCTGCTACAGAGGTAAGCACAGCACAGCACATACACTGCTGCCTGCCATTCCCCATGGCGTTGTCGTGGCTATAGTGGGGCTGGCCTACTTTTTCCCCCGAGATGTCACGGGAAGGGCATTCAAGCATTAACACAGCCCACTTTTCTCCAGCATCATTCTAATTCTGGCAAAGGAAATGGGATAGTGTTTTTAGGGCCTCTAACTGTGTTGTGTGTGGGGGGGGTTAGATAGGGGTTAGATATCATAGATGCTGTCAGGCTAGTGCTGTATCAAATCTCATAGGAACCACTGGTGTCCTCCTCCCACCCCTCATCTCCTCTTTCAGGTGGAGAAGATAGACTGGAGCACATGGACCTGTGTGCTCGGGACGTCCTGTGAGGGGATCTGGCCTGTGGTCAGTGAGGTTACCGAGGTGACCACTGCCTGCCTTAGCAACAACAGAAACGTGCTAGCAACGGGGGATGATCTGGGATACGTCAAGCTATTCAGGTATCCTGTCAAGGTAAGATTATTATTATGCATTAATATCTTCCCATTGCCCTTACTAGAATGTATTACATTTACACTGTTATGTTAATGCTAATGTTAAAACAATGTTATTTTAACTTAATGCTACTTCTTCCCACAGGGAAAGTATGCAAAGTTCAAGCGCTATGTGGCCCATAGCACCCATGTGACTAACGTGCGGTGGACGTATGACGATGGTCTCCTGGTGACGGTTGGTGGGGGTGACACGTGCCTCATGATCTGGACCCATGAGGCCGAGGGGCACCGGGAGGCCAGACATTGTGACAGTGAAGAGTCGGACATCGAGAGCGAGGATGATGGGGGTGAGAAATATACCCCAAACCAAACCTGGGTCTCAGTCTGAAGTCATCATGTAGTCCCTTTCTACTGATTGAATAGCCTCCCTCTAATATTTTGATTATATTTAGCCTCCTATAGATGGTAAAAAAGGCAGCATGTGTTCTGATCTAGTATCTTAATATTTTCTGTCATTGGCTAGGTTATGACAGTGATGTGACAAGGGAGAATGAGATCAACTACACCATCAAGGCCTTATCCACCAATGTGCGACCAATGACTGGGGTCAAACCTCACTTGCAGCTGAAGGAGCCATCTGTGGACGAGAGGTAACAGACCACAGCGCTGTGGAGAGACACCCAAGGGTTCAAATCTCTTTTTCATTTCTTTTTCATTTGAGGCTTTCTTTATTGGGCACATGATGGACACATCTTGAACAGTCCAAGTATTTAAGACAATCAGTTTAAACTGAAATGAGGTGTAGTGAAAGCAAATCCAATTGGAAGCTCATAATATGTCAAAGTGAGACCAAAGGGTCCACCAACCCAATTTGTGTAAATCCAGATTTCCTCAATCACATTTCTTTTTTTGCCTTAACGTGAATTCATACTGTCCCTTAGAGGATAACCTCACCTCTCTCTTCTTCTCTCTTCAATGGCTGTCCATCTGTCTCTGTCTGTCCTGCTCTTCTCTTTCATTCTACTTGAAGGCAGGGGGTAATCAGGTAAGAGACTTTACACAAGACATCACCATTACTTTAGGGAAATGTACCTCTTGCTAGGCACAATATAAACCCTGAGATATCTCAATATCTCAAATCTCAATTGATAAAGCATGTTAATATATGGTATTTTACAGAAACTATGGTCTTTATTTATTTGGGTTTTGGAAATGTTTTTCTGTTTGGTGAATTCTGTGGAAGAGTTTATAATAATAAGAATGTCTGCTTCACACTATGGTTTGACAACCCATGCAGCATCTGTGGGTGCCGGTTAGTGGTTGTCATAGAGATGCTAAAGATGCTGGTTGTTATGAATACTCCATGGCGCTGAATGTGGTGTATTTTATGTTCTCAGTGGCTGCATTGTCAGTGTTGTGTTATGCTTCTGTGTCGGTGGGGCAGCTGTGAACACTGTGCTGTCAGAACCCCTGTTCTAATGTTTCCTTTTTCTTTGTTATTGCTGCCATGGAAGAGGGTCAAGGTAAGACACATCCCCTATGTTCCATATTAAGTTCTGATTGAATATTTCAGACCCACATTTCACTTACATTATTCATAAACGTCTTGACTTGTATTTTGGATCTCTGACTTGAGAAAGATTGAGGGGTCGATGGGGTCATACACAGTAGCTCCTCTTATTCCAGCTGTCTGTTTCAGACCTCCTGTTAGCAGGGCGCTGCCACAGCCTGAGAAGCTGCAGACCAACAATGTGGGCAAGAAGAAGAGGCCAATCGAGGTGAGACTGGTGTTAGCTTCAGACAAATACACACATCCAAATAATGTTTTATGGATGTTAGCTATCGATGCAACCTACATAAACCCACATATCTCATCAAATGAGATTTTTGCATTAGTATTTGTCATGCAGCAAATGGGTTGGTCATTGTTTTGGTAATGCAATCATTTAGAGTCAAGAACTGTGTTCTGCTTTGTCCACTCCAGACATCCTCTTCAGGGACCCTAATTTAACCAGAATCACATCTTGAGGAAGCACATGCTCCTGATGTTCCTGCTGTACCTTCAAAAATACATTGGTTTCATCTCCCTCGGTTGTCATAGAGATGACTTCGATCCTGACCCTTTCATAACTCTTCCACAGGACCTGGTGCTGGATCTGGTTTTTGGTTACCGGGGCAATGACTGCCGCAACAACGTCCACTACCTGAATGAGGGGACGGATATCATCTACCACACAGCTTCTGTCGGCATCGTCCTCAACCTAACCACAGGTGGGCGGGTGGGAGTAGAGAAGGAATGAGCAGAGTTCTGTTCATCTGAAGAGGGTTTTACAGTATTGTTGAATGAGTCTTAATGCTGTTCTTAGAAATTCTAAATATATTGATTGTCCTTTACTGTTCTTACAAGGGATGTCAATTTGTGTGTGTCTGTTTGTGTGTGTTTCCTTGCAGCCTGCCAAAGCTTCTATATAGAACATAGTGATGACATTCTGTGCCTGACTATCAATCAACACCCCAAATTCCCCAACGTGGTGGCAACTGGCCAAGTAGGTATGTTTGTGAGAGGTTGACCTCATGTTTTCTTCCCTATGTGCTGTAACTGTGTGTTCTGCTGGGGGATTAATGTACGCCCCTCCCCCTCTCTTATCTGTGCTCTGAAGCAGCTAACCTGCATAATCGCAATCTCCACACAGTTGAATAAAATAGTAATTGTCATGCATGCTTGCTGTGTGCCTCGCAATCCACAGAAACCTACCAAAAACATATGCCATGTAAACAGCTGTTATTTGTCTCTAAAGAGACAATCAAAAGCTGCATGTGGGAGCTCCTTGTACAATTCCCATGTGCCTATTGGCTCTAAGACCGTGAGGAAAACTACTACAATACAGTATTCTGACAATAATCTTATTAACACTTGGACTGCGTAAAATAGTGTTTTAGAGTTGTACTAGTGCCATTGATCTTCATATTATTTAGTTAATCTTTACATTTTTTTCCATACAGGTGATACTGGTGATATGTCAGGTAAGAACTTCGCCATTTCAATAGTTTTGGTTTGTCCCAGACAGCAGAGGATGTTGTTCTGAGTGAGTGTGTTTCGGTGCACTAGTGGAAAAATATAATTATTTTGAAAGGATCCTTGATGATGTGTTTCTTATGGTAGATTGAGAATAGCTTTCTCTTCTTCATAGATTATATTGATTGACAGCTTTCCAGATACCTTCTACTACATCCACAGTGTGTTATATTGATAGACTGCGACCTAGTGGGTTAGATGGGAAGGGCAGGTGTGCACCTCACACAAACTTGCTTGATCGCTTCAGTTGCTTGTAGCCCTGCAGCTCTTGTTTGACCCCCACTTACATTGGTACTCTATTCAAGACAAGTTTTTTTATATGAATGTACCATTGATATTCAATATCCATTATAACTTATATATATGATCCGGCAAATATAAAACCTCATATTTAAAAAAGTCACATAGTCATTGGATTTCGTCATTTGTGGATTTAGTTTGGGCCTAAAGTTTCTGGCCTCTTTTCATCCAGCATACAGGAAGCTTGAATCTACACTGCTCTTGTTCCCTCCTTCAGCCACGTCGCCCTCCATCCACGTGTGGGATGCCATGAACAAGCAGACGCTGTCTGTGCTGCGCTGTTTCCACTCCCGGGGCGTCTGCTCGGTCAGCTTCAGTGCCACTGGGAAGCTGCTGCTCTCTGTGGGTCTGGACCCAGAACACACCATCACCATCTGGAAGTGGCAAGAAGGTAAACACCTCACACCAACTCAGTACAGGCTATTCACCTTATCATGGTGCACCTGTTAGTGCCCAGCTGCAATGAATACAGGAAGATAGATCACCTACAGAGCTTCTATTAATGCACCATTATTTACAAGGTGCCAAAGTGGCCAGCCGGTCGGGTCACACTCAGCGGATCTTTGTGGCAGAGTTCCGTCCGGACTCGGACACCCAGTTTGTTTCTGTGGGGATCAAGCATGTGAAGTTCTGGACGCTGGCAGGCCGGGCTCTGCTGAGCAAGAAGGGTGTGATGAGTTCCATAGAGGACGCCCGCATGCAGACCATGCTCTCTGTGGCATTTGGAGCTGTAAGTCCATTCCCCACTGTTATTGCCATATGATACCCAATCGGACAATACAGTTACTGCATTTGCAGTTTCCCTATGGAATATGTATACTTAGCATTTATTTGACATTGTGCTTATTGTTAATACATACTTATACTTATTTAATTTATTATCTTAAGAATGTTAACTTGAATTAATGTTGAAAACTTGTTTTTGTATAACCTACCATTCATTTCAAAGGTATGACAACAGTGTGCAGTATGACACAGATATGTTGTAATTACATGTATAAAGCCTATTGAAAGCCTATTGAATAGGGTTAACGATGCAATGTAATTGATTCTTATACTGCTTGATTGTCTGTGCAATGCTCCTCTGCTCTTTTAGGTCACTAGTGCAGGTTTTTTTTTTTTGTTTCAGAATAACTTGACATTTACAGGTACCATTAGTGGGGATGTGTGTGTGTGGAAGGAGCACATTCTAGTGAGAATAGTGGCTAAAGCCCACACAGGGCCTGTATTCACCATGTACACCACACTAAGAGATGGCCTCATCGTTACGGGAGGCAAGGAAAGACCGTGAGTACTGCTCCTCTCCTCTCCTCACTGTACCAGCTACCACTGCTGTTAGCCATGTGATTAATTAATCAAAGTTTTCTTACATAAACATATTTAGGACTGAGTATGAAACTTTAATGGAAACTCAGATTTCGGTATACAGCAACAGTGTTGTGTTTGGTGCCCCCTACAGGTCAAAGGAAGGAGGTGCTCTGAAGCTATGGGACCAGGAGCTGAAGCGCTGTAGAGCCTTCCGCCTGGAGACGGGACAGATCATAGACTGTGTGCGCTCCGTATGCAGAGGAAAGGTAGACCATTCCACCATCCAGTGGGTATGAAGAATAGGGTAACGAGCCATGCAAGTCTATATCTGTATTCCTCATCCACATTTCCCTTGTTGCTGTTCTAGGGGAAAATTCTGGTAGGAACCCGGAATGCTGAGATCATTGAGGTGGGGGAGAAGAACGCAGCATGCAACATCCTGGTGAACGGCCACATGGATGGACCGATTTGGGGCGTCGGCACCCATCCCACACGGGACGTGTTCCTTTCTGCTGCAGAGGATGGCACTGTGAGGCTGTGGGACATCCCAGAGAAGGTCATGAGCCCCTTTACAATGACTTGTTAGCCAGCCAGCTAGTCTCAGTTTATAAAGAGCTAACTTAATTTGATGTAATCTTTCATATGGATGTATTGTACTTGATTCTGCTGATGTGTTGTATGTGAGGCACTAGAAGAACCTTCTGTGTTGACTTTCTCTATGTTGAATCATTTTTGGGGTAACAGAAGATGCTAAACAAGGTGAACCTGGGACACCCAGCTCGTACGGTGGCCTACAGCCCCGAGGGGGACATGGTGGCCATCGGCATGAAGAATGGAGAGTTCATTATCCTACTGGTCACCTCACTCAAGATCTGGGGCAAGAAGAGGGACCGCCGCTCCCCCATCCAAGATATCAGGTGGGGGAATCCCTCTCAAAATCACTCAGAGCCTTTTATGGGGGAAACTCATCCCTCATAAGTGTACTGAGTGTTCTTCTCTGTGTTGTAATAAGTTTCAGAGGACACATTTTAACTGAACATGTTTCTTCTGCAGGTTCAGTCCAGATTCACGCTACTTGGCAGTGGGCTCCAGTGAGAGTGCGGTTGACTTCTACGACCTGACCCTTGGACCACAACTCAACCGCATTAACTGCTGCAGGGACATCCCCAGCTTTGTCATGCAGATGGACTTCTCTGCAGACAGCTGCTATGTTCAGGTAGGCACAAGATCTGTGTGTCTATGATTGTTTGTGTAAGTGCATATTAACTCTCCAATATGAAATCAAGACTCACAATATTCATGTTTTATTGTATTATTTGACTGCATTATTTGCTATTACTCCAACAGATATCCACTGGTGCTTACAAGCGGCTGGTGTACGAGGTGCCATCTGGAAAGCATGTCACAGAGCAGTCAGTCATAGACAGGATAACCTGGGCCACATGGACAAGGTGAGCGTGTTTTATGTTGGGGCCTCCATAGTAATCACACTACTGACAGGGCCATATGAAATCAATACTGGGGACACAGGGGTTACACCAGCATTTCCCAAACTAGGGGTCACGACCCCAAGTGGGGTTGCCTGATTTGAAAATGGGGTCGCAAGAGAAACTCTGAAATTAGTCAGTAAACAGAGCAGTTTCTGTTTTCTTCCTACAAATGTGGCTCTATCTTTTGAACAGTTTAAGCTACAAAATGTTATGACCCCATCATGGAAAGTTACGACTCTCAGGAACACGCATGTTTCCCTCTACAATGCCCACAAGCCGCGCAGGACTCATTAGAACAGAGTGGACAAGACCAGGCACTATATCAGACTGGGGAGAAAAGAACATAATCAATTATTGCCTGATCACAAAAAAGTTTGGGAACCCCTGGGTTACACCAAGTCAAAGCACCACATGATCATTGGAGTTACTTCCTGTCTAACTAACGTGTGATGTCTCACTGTCTGGCAAGTGTCCTGGGAGATGAGGTTGTGGGGATCTGGTCCCGTAACACTGACAAAGCCGACGTCACTTGTGCCTGTGTGTCCCACTCTGGCCTGAACATCGTTACAGGCGATGACTTTGGAATGGTAAAGCTGTTTGACTTTCCATGTCCAGAAAAGTTTGTAAGTATAATCTGTGTTCTATGATGCTGATCTGTGTCTCTGTGTGAATATTGAATTATGTTTGATAATTGTACCTCATCAATCCAAGATAACTGTAAATTCATACATTTCTGCCATAGAATAGTGAGCTCTATTTATTTACGTCACTAACAAAAATGAAATACTGTTAATTGTTTATAACTGCTATTGCATGTTAAAGATAACTCATGAATTGTATCATATTGTACAGTAGCTTACATATTCCCATATTGTACAGTAGCTTACATATTCCCTTTGACTTAAAATAGTAGCATTCAACAGTAATATGAATGGAGATATTTATTTTATTGGTGAACTTTCACTAATGTGATTCAGGCTTATGTTTGTGGTTTCATGTGTACCATTCATCTGTCTCTGTAATGTTAGTGTGCATGTGATTAACCATGATGATATACTGTAACTACAGTGCCAACTAACCTATGCATCTATTCTCTGTCTAAATGATGCTCAGCTACAGTTATTTTGGGGTAGCCATTTTAATAACACACTTCCTGTTCCCTGCAGGCCAAACACAAACGCTTTCTGGGCCACTCAGCCCACTTGACTAATATTCGCTTCACAAGTGGGGATCGCTTCGTCATTAGTGCTGGCGGGGACGATAGAAGGTATAACTCCAGCTTCTATTAGTACAATATTCCTCTGAAACTGTCTCAATTTACAACATTACCATTAGTGGTGTTTTAAGTTCATTGTAGCAATTGACAATTAAATAAACATTTTAATATTGAATGAAATTGCTTAGTGTTACAATGCTGACTGTTAATAAGTGTCTTTCCTCTCCCTTTTCTGTGTCCTCTGCAGCCTATTTGTCTGGAGATGTGTCCATGCCCCTCACTGAGATTCACACCTGGAGTGACACATCATCCATCCACCACTGTGTCCAGTCCAGGGGGTTGCATGGGCTTTTCCCAGCATGGCTATTCAGAGAGAAGAACCCGCTCCACTCTACTGTGGGATAACTACACAGCTAGTAAACATGACTCACTGCCTCAACACTCAGTGCATGCATCAGCGTGAGCCTCATCTACACTACAGCAAAAGCCCTGATTGTTCTTCCACAAGGTGGAAGACATCGAACCACTACCGTTGCTAAATATCCCTCCAAAACATCACATCACAGTTGTAAAACTTCCTATCATATCATCTGCACATGATGTTGACGGTGGTGATTATTTATTTTTAGTATGAGTGTTTCTGTGTCAATGTTCAAAATGGCAGTTTTGCCAGTTTGCAGGAGTTAGTGTGACTGATGAAAATGCAATTTTTAAAACTTGTAGCAAACTAACTTAGCCTTAATCTCCTTTTTGAGTGACTGATGAGGTTTGGAGTGGTTTGATGTTTGTTTAATATAATTTCAATGTTTTGTTATTTTGACATACTAGTTTTTGTTTTCTTAATTATTTTTTACAAATAATTTAAACTCCTGTGGCCTTCCTCATGAATGTAACATCTGCAGTTATGTTCTGGATGTCAGCATGCCAAAGCATTCTATGCACTGTACACCCGACCTGGTCACTGTGTTACCCTGACGGTTTGTGTATGTGACTGTGTTGTCCACTGGTTGAACCTCAAACCACAGAAGTGTGTGACCATATTGATTCAAATGTAGTGATCTTTTAGCTTGTGCAGTAACCCTCCATAACATATGTGTGTGTATACTTGTTTGAGGTTTTGTGTATGTGTGCAATGGGAGTGCATGGCTTATCAAAAGACAATCCCTGATTCCCTGTCCAACCAAATTCCTCAGAAAACAAAGGAAAAAAGCTGAAAATGTTTCAATGCTGTTGCATTTCTCCTTTTGATCACTTTTCAGTGTGCTGCTATGACGTAACATTATTAAGAGCATACATATTGATATATGTTTAAAAGGGAGTGGCTATTTTTACAAGGATATAGGTTTATGTTTCTCGTAAGCAGATATGATATTGCTCAACTGGAATGTAACTGAGTAAATTGAAAATATGAAACGTGCAAAATGTTTTCCCTCGTTTTATGATAATTCTGTTAAAAATAGATTAAATGTGTTTACTGCATATTTTGATTTACATTACATCAATGTAAATATCATTTGTAAAGATATTGTTTTGTAAATTTTTTGTGAAATGTTTCTTAAATCAAATTGTAATAAAAAAAAAAAGATTGACAACACAAGTTCTTTATCAGGCATGGGGTACTAACTCAATCAACAACCTATATCAATCCTATTTGCATACAGACAGTGATCTAAGCTGTACATTTGAGGGTTTGATGAGCTTGATAATCAAACTATGTTGAGATGATTGCCTGTCTACACTGGACACACCTATTAAGAATGAGATATTCACTAATCATTAACTAACATTTTGATGTTCCAAAACAATTTTGAAATGGTAATGCCTTATTGATAGTTGTTACCTAATTGCTGTTTGATAGCCCTATTGTGACTGGCCACACTTCCCACAGTAACTGCTCTTTCATCATTATGATGTAATCAGAAAGCTCCCAATTCACTTGGTAAATACATCATGACCTAAATACCAGTGTTGAGTTTCTAAGGTTAATTTACTTGTGGAAGTACTTAATCTAAGACCAGTTCAAACATTTTGAACTGTATTAATTTGATTCCAAGACAAATACATTTGATGTCATTTTGACACTTTTATTCATAGACATGACCTACATTCTTTATGGGATACACTCTTTTACATTCAAACTATTCCAAAACAGAATCTTAATTCAGTATAAATATATAATTAATCAATATAACATCGTTTTTAATATCGTAGTGAAACTGAACACTGAAAACCAATCCATCTATTTGTAAATACATCCAAGCACGTCTCTGATTCTCATCCACTTTTGTTAAATTTGTAACCAAGCATACCTTCCCTAAATATAGGCTATACCATTCTTTCAATGTTGTTAGTTGCAGAGTTGTTACGAGGATCATCTGTGAATTGTGGAATATTTTATGCACCTGTGAAAACATGGTTTCTGAATATATAATTTCAAATGAAATGCCTACATTGAGGGGTTGAGAGCTGCAAGTCTCAGACCCAGAGTCTCATAACTTGACTGAGAAGGAGGTTCCGCAGGAGCAGCCATGGTCTGCCTGGGGGTTTTTCAGCATCTGGAAGGAGGAGCGAATCAGCTCCTGAGTATAGTCCAGTGTAGAGCCTTTCACAAACTCCAGGCTGTCTTGGTCCACAATGACCCCTACCCCTCCCTGCTCAAACACCCTGAAAGAGAGAGAGTTTAGAATTGAACAAAAATGTGTTGGAAGGGATTGAGGACAAACAGATAACAAACAGATATGATCAGATAACAGTGATTGTGTTACTACACATAATTGTGTTACTGCTGCATGCCATTCATTCAGTTAATCAACAATTAGTTATTCTTGAATGATAACAGAGCGACTGATACATCAATGACAATTACCTGTCCTCCTCGTTCCTAGTACTGCCAATGATAAACCTGTACTGGAACCCAGAGCAGCCTCCCCCTTCCACCTGTATTCTCAGGTACTCTCCCTTATCCATGATCTCTCTTAGCCTCTGAAGACACAGATAGAGAAAAGGGTAATTAGGTCAGTCCTTGACATGTGGAGTGTCCATGTATCCCTTGATCATCCACCAGTGTTGATGAAAGAGGAAGTGAGTGCTCAGAGAAAGACACTAGAGCTTTACAGCCCACACATATGGGGATGGATTTAAATAAGAAGTTACATTATACTGTTTATAGAGTACAGTATATGATTTTTTGTGTGAATAACTGCCCTAACCTTAACACATGATGCACTGAGATATACTTTCTCTTCAACTGGACTGGACTCTGCTGGTTTCTCCTGGGCTGATGTGCTGCTCAAGCATGAGATACTTGTGTAGAGGGGTTGGGACCTTTGGGGACATCTCAGCCATATTGGTTGGCCCACATTGGTGAGAAGGGGAAATGAGGCCCTGTAAGAAAAAACAGAACACCAAAGAGGCTCAAGGTGGAGGGAAGGGGTCATGTAAAGGCTCAGCAGATCATGACAGCTGGCTAGACCCAATTGTAACTAACGTTAGAGCAATATACATACAGTGTTGACTAAGTCCAAGGTATTTGTCTGATTAGATAATAGGACATAAATGTTTTTTTTAACAGCAATCAAACGTATATGTAACTAGCTGATGTAAGCTAAGCTTGACCCCACATCGATAGACAATGTAATGCTAATAGTTAGCTAGCTACGCTGTTCTTCTTTGCAATATAAAGACAGTGTTCTTGTCGATTGAATTAAGTTGTTTATATGCCTTCTTAAACAATTCGTTTATATTCAAATACCCATTGTATACCTAGCAACGGTCCATGATATTGTCTTTGTAGCGCTCAACATTGCTCCTCGTCGTATTAAGAATGACATCTTCCATAACAACCTAGAAAAGCCCGCCCCCAATGGAAACTGCGGCGTCAGATCAAGAGACGCAAAACGATTGGTTAGGAAAATCGTCTGTCTCATAACGTCATAAGAATCGCCTACTCATGCAATATATAAAATATCAGATTCGTTACTTTCAACGCCAGTCAGTGGATCTTGAAAATTCCACCACTGTAAATACACGTCATTTTTTCGTGACAAGGAAGTAAGGAGTGTCTGTGTGCCTGCGCCTGAACCATACAAGAGAGGTCTGTATCTAAAAGTTTTGTTCGCCTAATATATATTTTTCATTAAATAATATATAGCTGTATATTCACCAAACGAAGATGGAAAGGTAGTTAGCTAGTGAACGTCTATTTGTTACTGTTGACATCCCAACAAAGCAAGATCAATGAGTTAATATTCTAATTTTGTCCGAATATTCTGAAAACTTTATTTTTTAGGAAGATGAGCATACAAATGGGCACGGTCTAATTTACTCAACAACCAAGAACGCATATCTAACCGTTGCTTTCTTAATGGACCAGAAAATGAATAGTTATTTCTGGTTGTTTATCAAAGTACATTGGTTAACTGATTAATCCTGTTTTGTAGTATACCCCTCTGGACTACACAATGTACTAATCCGGGCTGTTTTTCCTGGGAGGAGTTAGCGAACTAAATAGACGTCTAGTGCTAACGTTAGTCACACGAGTCATATGATTGAATGAACTGAGAATACTTTGCTGACTGAATTTGTTTGTTGAGACGGCATCTGTAAGAATCTTTCTCTAACCTCTTTCAGGGCCAGATTGCAGCTATGGATATTCACGCTGCTTTCATCATTGTTCTATTCGCCGCGATTGCTCTCACCTGCGCGGAACCTGTGAAATTTGTCGATTGTGGTAGGTTTTGATTGAGGTGTTGTCATTTTGATGAAAAATACTTAATTTATTGACGGGTTTGGTCATATCTTGTCAGGTGAGGATGTATGACCTATTAGTTGCAATGCTCTATTCATTTACCACAAGGGTGGGGTACCAAAATTACAGATGTTACAAGGTGTGAATCTTTGGCTTGGTTTCCTTACTAGAATTAGTGACAATGGAACCTGTCTTCTGTTCTCTCCAGGCTCTGATGTTGGTAAAGTGGTGATTGTTGATATCCACCCTTGTCCTAAACAACCATGTGAGCTCCGTAAAGGACAGGCCTATGCTGTCAATGTGACATTCAACAGTGGTAAGTATATCATCAACAGATTTTTGTTAATTCAAAGTAAATGAGGCGTTTTTGTTAATCCCTCCTGTGCCTCTTGTTTTAGCGGTTGAGAGCCAGACGAGTAAAGCAATTGTCCACGGTTTAATCGCTGGGGTTCCCATCCCATTCCCCATCCCCATTGAAGACGGTTGCAAGTCTGGGATTGAGTGCCCCATTCAGAAGGCACAGAGCTATCACTATGTGACTCAGCTTCCAGTGAAGTCTGAGTACCCCTGTGTAAGTATGCCTGAAATAATTGAGCACACCATTTTAATGCTCTTGAGAATGCTGAAAACAAGATGTTCCACTTTTCATTTCCTCAATGTGACCTTAAAGTATAAAAGGGTAGCCTCACAATGTCTTGACCACAACAGATAAAAAGGGAAACATTTGTGTGCATTGTTGGTACAATGTCCCCTATACAGGACAAAATCTCAATGTGTCTTCATTTCTAGATCAAGCTGGTTGTTGAATGGGAGCTGAGAGATGACACTGGCAAAGACTTGTTCTGCATAAAGTTCCCAGTCCAGATCGTAAACTGAGATTTGTCTGCAGTACCACCTGAAGGGAATTTTAAAAAAGGGATTCTAATGTGACCTGCTTAAACTGAGATTAGCCTACATACACATTTGATGCATTATTCTATAATTTAAGAATTCTGATTTTAAGTATTGATTCTGTAGGTTTTAAATGTATACCGTAGCTTTTTCAGTTGTTTTAAAACGTAACTTCCCATGCAGGCATTTTGGGATGTTGTGGCCGACTGTTTACTCATAACTGCATAAGTGGGTTGTTCCACCAAATTTGTACCTAATAACTGTGGGTGCTTATATTTTTCCTATTCCAGACACGTGTGTATTATACCTATGTGTGAATTGAAAATGTGTTTTTTGCATATCTGAACTCCCCCTGAGACCCTTGGAGAGTGGGGTCACGACCAGGGTCAGCCATTATCAACGGTGATCCTGGAGCTATTAAGATTTAAGTGCCTTGCTTAAGGGCACATCGGCAGCTTTTTCACCTTGTCGGCTAAGGGATTCAAACTAGCGACCTTTTGGTTACTGGCCCAACTCTCTAACCACTAGGCTACCTGCCTACCTTTTGCATCCCTTAATATATTTTTGGTGGAAATTGTGCACCAATATTGATTTGTGAAAGCCTGTTATATTAAATGAAGTGCTCTTTTAAAATAAACTAAATGGAAAATTCAATAAATCTTTTTTTAAAATATGAATAAAGACTTGCTAAAGTGACAATTCAGCATTTGTCATGTCCCTCTGTGCATCCTCTGTGACTTATAGGAAGATCTTAACCCCAACATTTTCACCATCATTGTAAAGCCCTTGCTATTTTGTTACTTTGACAGTCATTTCTGAAGATTATTATTTATTTCATGTGTTTCATCTAATCACATGAAATGTCTGTTTCTCATTTTAAGGTCAACCCTGTTATGTGAACTGAACTCTCGTTTTTAATATGGTGAAACTGTTCTTTAAAAATGTTTTCCAAAGGAACATTTTATTTGTCACATGCACCGACTACAATGGGTGTAGACTTTACTGTGAAATGCTTGCTTACGAGCCCTTCCCGGTGATGCAGAGTTAAATAGTAACACTAGGAATAAAATACACCAGAATTAAGATGTATACAGGGAGTATCAGATCAATGTGCAGGGGTGAGATATTTGAAGTAGATATTTACATTAAGGAAGGGTAAAGTGGCTAGGCATCAGGATAAGAGTAAAAATTAAGCACAGAAGCAGCAGCATATGATTGTGTGTGTGTGTGTATACAGTGCTTTCAGAAAGTATTCACACCCCTTTTGACTTTTTCCACATTTTGAAGAAGAGGATCGAGCACGCCCCCATTCTCATTGACGGGGCTGTAGGGTCGAGAGTTTCAAGTTCCTTGGTGTCCACATCAACAAACTACCATGGTCCAAACACACCAAGACAGTTGTGAAGAGGGCACGACAACACCCTTTCCCCCTCAGGAGACTGAAAAGATTTGGCATGGGTCCCCAGATCCTCAAAAAGTTATACAGCTGCACCATCGAGAGCATCCTGACCGGTTGCATCACCGCCTGGTATAGTAACTGCTCGGCATCTGACAGTAAGGCGCTAGAGGGTAGTGCGTACGGCCCAGTACATCACTGGGGCCAAGCTTCCTGACATCCAGGACCTATATACTAGGCGGTGTCAGAGGAAGGCACCCAAGTCATAGACTGTTCTCTCTGCTACCGCACGGCAAGCGTCCCAGAGCGCCAAGTCTAGGACCAAAAGGCTCCTTAACAGCTTCTACCCCCAAGCCATAAGACTGCTGAACAATTAATCAAATGGCCACCCGGGCTATTTACATTGACCCCCCCCCCCCCCCCCCTTCGTTTTTACACTGCTGCTACTCGCTGTTTATTATCTATGCATAATCACTTTACAAATTACCTCGACTAACCGGTACCCCCGCACATTGACTCGGTACCGGTACCCCCTGTATATAGCCTCGTTATTGTTAAGTAATTTTATTGTGTTTGTTTTTGATTTGATTTTTTAAACTTTGTTTATTTAGTAAATATTTTATATTTCTTGAACTGCATTGTTGGTTAAGGGCTTGTAAGTAAGCATTTCAGGGTAAGGTCTACTACACCTGTTGTATTCGGCGCATGTGACAAATACAATTTGATTAGATTTTTTGATTGATCATAATGAATATGTTAATGTTCCTGTGAACAATCAATTCCTAGACTTTATTTACATTGCAGTGCGGTACAACTTTCTAGATATTTGCTTATTTTTACTGGCTGCTGTTTGGTCTAAAAAGCTATTTGGCATGTACTGTATTTCCTTTTGACTGCTAAATATGTTGTAACTCTACTTTGGGAGGGGATTCTTTTTTCTTCTGTACTGACAAACAGCAAAGACTAGATTTTAAAATCAAGATTTCTAAATAGTTACATCTAATAGTCTTTAATTAATCTTACATTTTGTAGTATTATAGTTTTACCTTTTTGGAAGTTTGCCTTCACATCTGATTAACATTAGGGACAAGCAAATGTCTCAAAATAAAATGCTGTTGTGTGCTGTTGAACTTTCAAAGCTCATAACCAAATAAAATAAGTAACACATGCCTCAGCATTTTCAAGATCATAAGATTTTATTTAATGGGATGACTGGGTTTACTCATTCACCTTGGTAAGACTGATGCACACACATCACTCATTTCAAAAGCAATAAGTGCAACAGAATTGCAGACAAGGTAATTAAACGTATTTAACTAGCTTTTGTTCGTCTGCACAAAGGTCAGCATCAAACAATGACAGTAAAAATTCTAATGACATTTACAGGGTAAACTGATTTGATACTAAGTCAACTTAAATTACACTACAATGGACGATAATTTATTTCACACACAACTAAATTCTCAACACGAATTACGATAACTGTGGAAAATGACCAGAGCTGTAAAACTGATAGGACTAGGAGCCACCATCCTCCAGCAGCTTCACAACATCTGAATTATATACAATACTGTTGACTCTCAGAGGTGGAATCAGTAGTAAACGCTCATATCTTCTGTGCTTTTTACTTACGAACTAAAAGCAGTTTGTTTATCAATGATACATCCTCTTCAACTCATCTTCAGGTGCTTTAATTGTTTGCCTAAAAAGTATGATAGCTTGGGGTACTTAACAGAGAAACATAAATTAGAATATACAATAATATGACAGACACCAGGAAGTCCTCAATTCAGCCACACAAAACTGTAGCTCACATATTTTTCATAACATTTCTCCCTCATCTGACCGCTTCTCAAAATATCAGGTCAATATCAAAATCTGTATTTAGTATTCATAAAAGTAATGTGAATAGTAAATGAAAATGCATTTCCTTGTTTGAAATGTGGTATAAATTATATTTGCCCAAATGACAAAAGCAGCCCTTGAAACCCTTCCAATAATGGCCACTTGACTGTTTTGAATCATATTTCACCCTTCTCAATGTTATTCAAAATTCAGGAGTGTGAAATGAAAAGTGCCAAACAATACATTTTTAACTACCATGACAACAATGAACACTTCAGTAACTATGACATGGGTTATGTAAATGATTTGTACTTTACATTATTCTGACCAAAGAGCATATCATGGTCAATAGTTAAGGCAGTTATTCTTTTAACTTTTACCCCTTTTTTTGTGATATCCAATTGGTAGTTATAGTCTTGTCCCATCGCTGCAAATCCTATACGGACTCGGGAGAGGCGAAGGTTGAGAGCCATGCGTCCTCCGAAACACGACCCTGCGAAGCCACACTGCTTCTTGACACACTGCTCGCATAACCCGGAAGCCAGCCGCACCAATGTGTCGGAGGAAACACTGTCCAACTGCCGATCGAAGTCAGCTTGCAGGCGCCCGGCCTGCCACAAGAAGTAGCTAGAGCGCGATGGGATAAGGAAATCCCGGCCGGCCAAACCCTCCCCTAACCTGGACGACGCTGGGCCAATCGTGCGCCGCCTCATGGATCTCCCGGTCACAACCGGCTGTGACACAGCCTGGGATCGAACCCAGATAGTTAAGGCAGTTTATGAGTAATAATATCAGAGGGGGTGGTTGATGGTTTAGGAAAACAAGTCATATAAAATCCCCACATCTTCTCTCTCTTTGGCTGTTTCAATGAGACATGCACCCACTGATGTACATAGAAGCCCAAGTAGACTTATTTCAGTGGACGACAGAGGACAATTTCATTAAGTAACATACTTAAAGTGCAATCTACCTATGTAGAGGTAAAGCACAGTTAATGAAGTGTGAGAGTTAATTTGGTTAGATCGGGGGGATGATGGGAATGATGACAGAAGATAATCCTGGTCACAGACTGACGCAGCAGGTCTAAATCATTGTTGTGAATAACATAAATATGAAACCCACAGAAAACCAGGGTGAACCCAGGAGAGAAGGTACCACTTATTGTAGTATTAAAGTCAATTTTTGCTTGATCTGAAAATTGGTCATTAGTACTGTAGTAGTAGCCAAATGCCTGCTAAATAACCTGATGAGAAAGGTTGCTATGTTTGAATTCGCATAGTACAATTGATGTCCCTACAACCCCTGTTTCACTTCCACATCATTAGCTCCATTTTGTCTTTCATTGTCCATTTTGCTGCAGCCTCTCTAATCGCTGTAGCAGGGCATTCCCAAAGGCTTCTCTGTAGCCTGGGCTGAGGGTATCCAGCAGTGAATAAACAGTCTCATAGTATTGGGTGCTCAAGCTCTCATCCACCTGGTCAAAAGCGTAGCCAACCACCTGTAAGGTCAAATAGAGAGTGGTCAATCATATACCGGTAGGTGGGGGTGGGAACAGCACAAATTAAATAATGGCACAAATACAATTCTGTTGATATCCCTCACCCTTAGTCCAGCTTCATTAAGCTCAAGGCAATAGCGATTGCCCTCTCTTGTTTCCACGTTTATGTAGGCCACAGCCAAAGCACTGTCCAAATTTGAGGACACATACATTTCGGCCACAGCAAATAGCACATCGTTGACCACTGCCTCTGCTTCCAACCTCATGTCCTTCACGTGATCAATACAGTCTTCGTCGAATAAGGAGACATGCGAGTCCTCTGTTGGTAGTCTATCTCCATACTCTTCACCAGACACACATAAAAACACCAGACACAACTGTGAGGTTAAATGTGCAATCAGTAAGAAAATGAAGTATAGTAGCTAAATGCTAGCTAAGTACAACTGTTTTAACTACAAGTGTTTTACTATACAATAATACATTTGTTTTTGTGGTCATATTACAGTTTGTAAACTATGATGTAAAGCTTCAAATTAACGTTCCTCGCACTATATTCAAGGAGGTAGATGATACAAGCAAGTTCAACCATCATGGAATGCACCTAGCTCCAGGGTTGACTTTTTTTTGTGGGTGGGCCCAGTCTGTGATTGTAAACTAATATTAGCAGGGCTTTAAAGGCTGGTGTGTTGTGATGGTTTTGAATTAATTAATGAATAATGTGAAAACTATTGAGACGAGTTAGAGTATGACTAGCATCTAATAACATAGTTATTACTGTTTACCACTTATCATTCAGTGACAAGACAGTCCACCATCATCACCATGTTAGCTTGCTAGCTAGCTTACGGCCGATAGCAGCCAATGTCCGTGGCTATGGGTTCTCTTTATTGTAGGATTTGTATTTCCAATAACATAAACATAATCATGATTATATGTAAACTTCAACAGTATGAGGAAATATTGTCATTTTTGTCAAATGTGTTTTTTCTAGCTAGCTGCGTTACTCACCTCCTCTGTGGTTGTTTTTACTGTACTTCCGGGTGATCAACAAAGATTTTTGTTCATGAAAATTTCAATTGCTTTATCGGCATGACGTAAGAATGTAGATGATATTGCCAAAGCGTACTTTGGAAATTGTTCATTAACAATATAATTTAAAATAATAATAATCAAGACTGACACAAACAGGACAATCAGTAACGATTCACAATTCCAGTTCTCAAAATCTTTGGCTCTTAGTGACTTCTGATCAATGCCAGTTGTTCTGTTTTAACACCACCGTAGTTAAACATTTTGATAACACCTTCTCTTTCAACATGGCAATTATTCAGAAGTCATGCGAAAAAGGTAAGGTGCAATGGCTTGTGAATGAAAAAGCTTTGCTAGGAGCATATGCGCAGTAAACACTTTTAGTTGATTTACGCAGAAGGGGGTGGAGTTTGAATGTGTACTTCCGTCTGTCTTTTTACGTACAGCGGAACGTGGAAAGCGTCAACGGTGCGGAGTCATGAAAGTGTTTGTAAACAATTCATGCTGAAGGTGAGAAATGAAAGCTATTATGTGATCAAATTGCTATATAGAACCCATTATGTGACATGTAACATACTGTCTTACCATGTCAGTTGAAATATATTCAAAAGAGTGTAGCAGACAAACTGGTTCGAATCCAAGATGTTGAAGAGTAATTTGTAAGTCGCTCTGGATAAGAGCGTCTGCTAAATGACGTAAATGTAAATGTAAGAGGTTCATGCAAATTCGGTGCTAACTAACTAACTAACAATCCCAGACGAGAAACAACAACAAGTTGATGCTGTGGGGATTTAATTTGATAGCCATCGACATACCCTCCAAGCTTGTCATACTAGCTACATCCTTGCTATCAAACTGTAAGATTATTTTTGGGGTAGCAGTATTGTCATACCATTAAAAGAAACCTTGATATCGGATTTTTTCAGTTAACGATATGGACAGGATTATCAAGCGAGCAGACACCCGGTGTTAGAAATGACGTGATGCCAGTGTCTGTTTTGGCTAACTAGCTGATAATGCCACCCATTCGGTTTAGATTTTAGCCCGAAGATTGGAAGTCAGGGTGAGGGTGGTGTAACTAACATGCAGCTACTAACAGTAATGCTGTCTACTGTCTACCTCTCCTCCTAGGAGTGACAACAATATTGCTACTGTACATGGTACGGAATACTGAAGTACCGGTACTGAAGTCTTAACTTGTCATCTAGTGTGGTGATCAAATGTGTAGTTGAGAGTTTCAATGTTATGTTCTATCTCATTGGCAGGTACGGCAACTGAAGTTGAAATTATTGCCACATATCTCCATAGAAATCATAGAATTCTCCCTGTGTGTAAAGGATGTTTAAGATGACATGTTCCTGTTTTTTGGAAGTCGCCAGGATTACAAGACTGATACTACCAATGCTAAATTATTTAAAGATAAATATATAGTTATCCAACATCCTTTTTCTCCATACAACATCTTTGTTGAATACTGAATTCAACAGCCATTTGGAAGCCACCACAATTATCAGACCAACATGCCTTGGCCATTTTCTGAGTCTATAAAGAAGCGGGCATGCAGATACCTTTTGCATCGGTATTTGGGCAATTTCCTACAAGAGAAGCTGAGCTTAGATCAGCTTAGCTTAGACCTCTATCAAGGCACTGGATCACTGGCACAAGTGCCGCTGGACAAGTGGGTAAGTTCAACCTTTGTTATGTAGCTAAGCAAATATAAAAAATTTATGCACACATGACTGTAAGTCGCTTTGGATAAAAGCGTCTGCTAAATGGCATATTATATTATTATATATTAATAATGGGATTTGTATTGACATACATGCTGAGAGCTATTTCTTCCCCCTCAGTCTTTAAATGAGATCCTTGAGTCAGCGGATGCCCCCTTCGAGGTAATAGAGGGCTTCATCCAGACCATCTCTCTGACCGTACCATGGGCGTCCCTGCTGCAGGAGAACTGTGCCCTGGAGGTCAAGGGGCTGGAGATGGTGTTCAGACCCAGACCACATATGGGTGAGGGGACACCTCCATCTTTGTTTGTCTCGTCATCGTCATCATCATTGCATTATGGCTGCTACTAGCGCACACACAGCTAACTAGCTAACGATTCCATATCGGCTACAGATTGAATAAACCATGTTGGCAATGTTGACCATGAGGGTTTCCTGTTGTGTGCCCCTAGCCTCAGGTATGGAACCCATGTATTGGTCCAGCTTCATGACGAGCAGCATGCAGCTTGCCAAAGAGTGTCTGAGCCAGAGACTAACAGATGACTTGGGGGAGAGCTTCCAGCCATTGGAGGGATTGGAGAAGTTTGCAGAGACCATAGAGACAGGTGTGGTACATCATTACCATACAACAACACTTGAGTAGGCTTTCTTTCCAAGCATCAGAGGGTTGATAACAATGTCATCTTTGTCGTTTCTTTAGTTCTGAGAAGGGTCAAGGTGACTTTTTTGGACACGGTTCTCAGAATCGAACATTTTCCAGAAAATTCCAAAACAGGAATCGCTCTTGAGATGCGTATCAACAAGTAAGTTGAGGTTACAAGTAGTGAACTACTTGCACATTTATCTTCAAGTAGTGCCCAATACCTTTTACTTAGGTATTTCTGATTTCATTGAGCATTTTCGATACATTGACACTCTCTACATGAGCTCTTACATCCTTATCTGTGTTGTTCAGGATTGTTTACTGTGATGAGACTGGTGAGGAGAGCTCCAGTGTAAATGTGCACCAACCCACCACATTTGCACATAAAAACGTGCAGCTGGAGGGAGTCACCGTCTTCTGGGATGAGTTCTCAGAGGCGGCCAGAGCCGGCTTCAAGTCCTCACCCACCCCAGCAGTGAGTCTACATTCAAATAATCCTCTGTGTAGTTTTGAAGCGTAGAGAACTGATACTCACTCACCCCTTTTCTGCACCCCCTCAGGAGACAGAGGCCAAGCTATCCCCCAGCTGGAACCCTAGAATCATCTGTGAGCCACACCCCCAGTTCACAGAGCCTGTTTCCTCAGCAACACCCTTTGAACCCATGCAGATTGGTCACCTTAGTGGCAGAATTGAACTGTCGCTTGTCCTGAAACAGAACCAAACCATGCCTGGAGCAAAGGTTGGTACAGCATTCTCACATGATTGAAATGGCACAGCAACTGTGAAACTTGGACACACTGAAATGCACAGAATGTCTATTGTCTTGGTCTTTAAAACAGTATTTTGTTTTTCAGTTGGATGTTGATGGACAGATTAGCACAATGATTGTGCTGCTATCTCCACGGCAAGTTCACTTACTCTTGGACGTGTTTGGAGTTTTTTCAGGCTCAGGTTGGTTTAATGATGGCAATTGAATGATGATATCTTAAAAGGAGCTGCGTCAGACGTTGGTGAGTGAAACACTAAAAGCCTCTGCTTTTGTGTGCGAAGCTGGGCCGGAGTGGGGGAAGGACAAGAGGAACCGGCCCATGCAGCAGGAGGATGAGTATCGGCTCCATATGGAGCTAAACCGCTGCCTGAAGAAGGAGTCCGACCCTGACCTCTTCGAGAGCCAGACCACCAGAACTGTGTCCAGCCGAGGTTCCGATGAACTGTTACCCCCACCTACTATGTTTAATAACCTGATGATTTATATTGAGCTTTTTGTTATTGTAGGCCTATATCTTGTTATCATGAACAATTGTTTGATCTAGCGTCTTTGTTTCTTTGTTGTTGGCACAGAGGATGTCTTCTTCTCCATGGCTGACATGGACATGTCTCATAGCCTGTCGTCCCTCCCTCCCCTGGGGGAACCGCCCACTGTGGACTTGGACCTGTCACTCAACAGTAACTACTCCCCCTCCCCAGGAGAGTCTCCTGGCAATGCCACGGTATGCCTCAATATACAGTATGTATTGTCCATTGTATTGTTTAGCAGCTTAACCTGACCTAATGGTATGGGGATTGTAACATAGTACATTTCTTTGTTATTTTGTCCTCATAAGATCCTCTGGGACTATTATCTGGATGTGCCCAGACAGAGGGAGAAGCAGGCCCAGGAAAGCCCATTCCTGACACGGGATTCACCACTCCAACACAAGCTGCTGAGACAGACCTGTAATACTGCATTCACACAGGCAGCCAATCAGATCAGCTCTGAAAAATAGCTGATGTGAAAAGATCTGATGTGATTAGTCAAAATACAAATTAGTGGAAAAAAGCTCAGAATTGGGCTGCCTGTGTGATTGCAGTCTAAGAACCAGCATCATGCACTCTCACTCACTACCATTTAGAATACATTGAACAGATGGATAAAGATTATTTTTAAAGGAAGAAATCTGTTTGAGTCAGTATTCCTATTCAGTTCTTAAGACAGTAACTTCTTAATCTGACATCGTTTGACACAGGAGAAAACAGAAATGTCATGGTAGTGTTTACAAGTCAATAATTCACACATTTTGTCCTGTGTCTCAGCCCACCCAACCAAAGCCCACAGTGACGAGTCCAGGCCAGAGCTGGTCTTCAGGCTGACTCTGGGGAGCCTGGCTGTGTGTGTTCTCCACATTGACCCCCTGCCCCCGCCGGATGCTGCCCCCAGCCCCCTGGCCCCCATGGCTGCTGACTTCTTCAGGGTGGTCTGCTCTGACCAGCTTCCCGCAGCTGCATTCATCCAGTTAAGGACAGCTTTTGACGAAGCCTGCCCCTACGACCACCTCAGGTGATCTTATTGACATTGTCTATTAATATTTTTTATCTCCGTTACCTCCTTAGGAACCTGACTGACTCAACCCCATCTTGCATATTTGTCCTCTATCTCTCCAGGTTTGTGGCTCAGGGAATGAAGGTGACCTATGAGCACTGTCAGAGCTCCAGCTTGCGCACCTTCAGCACAGACGTGTCCCTGGGTCAGATGGAGCTGCTGGAGTGTCTCTTCCCCTCTGAGGCTCCCAGCGGTGGGTCCCAGAGAGGGGTTCAGTACACCGAGGTAAAGGCCTCCCCACCAACAACACCCACTCACATCCACAGAGTGTCCAAGCACTCAGATTACAACACATGAGCATAAAATATATCATAACAGATGTTCAAATCAATTTTGGGATCTAGGCATACATGTGCTTATAGAGATGCATTTTGATGTTCGCTCTGTCTGTCCTACCTCAGCTCCTGACATTTGACACCTCTGTCACAACTGAGGCACCATCTGCCACCTGCCTCCACCTGCTCTACAAACTGGCTGAACGCAGAGGGCCGCAGGTAAGAGCACATCTTAGTGAGATTAGAAGCTGCAATGAATGCGCTGTAATTGGATTCCCAGTTCCGCAACCCAATTTATGACACTCAAGTAACTGAAACTTAATTTTGCATCACTTATGCATTAATGTCAAAGGGAGATTTGTGTGGGAATTCAAATTACATGTGTGGATCTCAAGTTAGGATTCGGCCCACAATGTACGTAACAATACAGTGCCTGATACAGTACCCCTTTATACTCCTTCGTCCAGGGTGGACAGGTGCGTCTGAGTACCATGCCCAGGAAGGCTGACTTTCAGGTAGAGTTGGGGGCAGTCCGCTCTGAAGTGGATATCAGCATCGTGGACCGCCTCAACTCTCTGCTGCAGCCACAGAAACTGGTCACCACTGAGATGATGGCCTCTCACATGTACACGTCTTATAATAAACACGTCAGCTTGGTGAGGACTGTCTTCACCCACTGTCCCTCTACTTTGTCTCAAGGCCCTTTCAGGGCTTTTTAGCAGTCATATCAGCATTTCTACATTGTAAACATTTTGGTAAACTTGTGTTTGAAGGAAATATGAAAAACAACATCACATCAAATGCTGCTTCCACCCACCCCACAGCACAAGGCCTTTACAGAGGTCTTCCTTGATGACAACCGTACTCCAGCCAACACCCACGTGTTGATAACAGTCAACGCCCCTGTGTTGAACCTGGTGGTGCGCTTCCCTATCCCAGACCTGCGCTCGGACCAGGAGAGGGGCCCCTGGTTTAAGAAGTCCTTGCAGAAGGAGGTTCTGTACCTGGAGCTGGAGGACCTGGAGGTGAAGACCGAGTTCACAGGGGGCAGCTCCCCAGAGCAGACCAAGATGGAGCTCACCTTCAGGGAGCTAGTCGGTATGTGTCATCCAACTGCTAACGGACAGTGTAGCCTCATAACCAGAACCACTTTTGATACACATCATTCATGTACTCATTTTTCCATCCATTCTCACAGGGAAGTTTCAGGAAGAGGAGGACCAGCCTGCAGCCAGGTTCCTCAGGGTCTCCCACACTATGGATGGAAACATGACCATCTCTGACAGCGGGAAGTTTGACTGGCCCAGGTACTGTACATCTGTCCATGTAGTACTGTACTGCTTCATGTCATACCTACACCTTATTCTTTAGATGTTGTGAAACTCCTTACTAACCCTCCCCTGCCCCTCCAGAGTGGTGCTGAAAGTCAACCCCACCGCTGTCCACTCCATCCTGGAGCGTGTGACTGCTGAGGAGGACGAGGGGGCTGAAGACCAATCCCCAGATGAGGAGGAGGGAGGGGGAGCCCACTCACTGAAGGATGTCTGTGACTTTGGGAAGCCTGAACCTTCCCCCTTCTCCTCACGCCGGGTCATGTATGAGAATGAGGAGGTAGGAACACATCATTATTGAAACACTAATTTGAACATAATTAGGACTGATTTATCAACATTTAGCTAGGACTGACAAATCAAATAAATAAATAAAATAAAATAGTATTTGTCACATGCGCCGAATACAACCTTACCGTGAAACGCTTACTTACAAGCCCTTAACCAACAATGCCGTTTTAAGAAAATAGAGTTAAGAAAATATTTACTAAATAAACTCAAGTAAAAAATTATATATATACAGTTGAAGTTTACATACACTTAGGTTGGAGTCATTAAAACTCGTTTTCAACCACTCCACAAATTTCTTGTTAACAAACTATAGTTTTGGCAAGTCGGTTAGGACATCTACTTTGTGCATGACACAAGTAATTTTTCCAACAATTGTTTACAGACAGATTATTTCACTTATAATTCACTGTATCACAATTCCAGTGGGGTCAGAAGTTTACATACACTAAGTTGACTATGCCTTTAAACAGCTTGGAAAATTCCAGAAAATGATGTCATGGCTTTAGAAGCTTCTGATAGGTTAATTGACATAATTTGAGTCAATTGGAGGTGTACCTGTGGATGTATTTCAATGCCTACCTTCAAACTCAGTACCTCTTTGCTTGACATCATGGGAAAATCAAAAGAAATCAGCCAAGACCTCAGAAAAAACATTGTAGACCTCTACAAGTCTGGTTCATCCTTGGGAGCAATTTCCAAACGCCTGAAGATACCACATTCATCTGTACAAACAATAGTACGCAAGTATAAACACCATGGGACCACGCAGCCGTCATACCGCTCAGGAAGGAGACCCGTTCTGTCTCCTAGAGATGAACGTACTTTGGTGCGAAAAGTACAAATCAATCCCAGAACAGCAAAGGACCTTGTGAAGATGCTGGAGGAAACAGGTACAAAAGTATCTATATCCACAGTAAAACAAGTCATATATAGACATAACCTGAAAGGCCGCTCAACAAGGAAGAAGCCACTGCTCCAAAACCGCCATAAGAAAGCCAGACTACGGTTTGCAACTGCAAATGGGGACAAAGATTGTACTTTTTGGAGAAAATTCTCTGGTCTGATTAAACAAAAATAGAACTGTTTGGCCATAATGACCATCGTTATGTTTGGAGGAAAAAGGGGAAGGCTTGCAAGCCGAAGAACACCATACCAACCGTGAAGCACAGGGGTGGCAGCATCATGCTGTGGGGGTGCTTTGCTGCAGGAGGGACTGGTGCACTTCACAAAATAGATGGCATCATGAGGAAGGAAAATTATGTGGATATATTGAAGCAACATCTCAAGACATCAGTCAGGAAGTTAAAGCTTGGTCGCAAATGGGTCTTCCAAATGGACAATGACCCCAAGCATACTTCCAAAGTTGTGGCAAAATGGATTAAGGACAACAAAGTCAAGGTATTGGAGTGGCCATCACAAAGCCCTGACCTCAATCCTATAGGAAATGTGTGGGCAGAACTGAAAAAGTGTGTGCGAGCAAGGAGGCCTACAAACCTGACTCAGTTACACCAGCTCTGTCAGGAGGAATGGGCCAGAATTCACCCAACTTATTGTGGGAAGCTTGTGGAAGACCACCAAAAACGTTTGACCCAAGTTAAACAATTTAAAGGCAATGCTACCAAATACTAATTGAGTGTATGTAAACTTCTGACCCACTGGGAATGTGATGAAATAAATAAAAGCTGAAATAAATCATTCTCTCTACTATTATTCTGACATTTCACGTTCTTAAAATAAAGTGGTGATCCTAACTGACCTAAGACAGGGAATTTTACTAGGATTAAATGTCAGGAATTGTGGAAAACTGAGTTTAAATGTATTTGGCTAAGGTGTATGTAAACTATGTATGTATATATATATATATATATATATATATATATATATATATATATATCCATACAGTGGGGAGAACAAGTATTTGATACACTGCCGATTTTGCAGGTTTTCCTACTTACAAAGCATGTAGAGGTCTGTAATTTTTATCATAGGTACACTTCAACTGTGAGAGACGGAATCTAAAACAAAAATCCAGAAAATCACATTGTATGATTTTAAAGTAATTCATTTGCATTTTATTGCATGACATAAGTGTTTGATCACCTACCAACCAGTAACAGGTCTGTGAGAGCCGGAATTCTTACTGGTTGGTAGGTGATCAAATACTTATGTCATGCAATAAAATGCAAATTAATTACTTAGAAATCATACAAGTTGAGTATCTGGAGCATCAGCAATTGTGGGTTTGATTACAGGATCAAAATGGCCAGAAACAATTAACTTTCTTCTGAAACTCGTCAGTCTATTCTTGTTCTGAGAAATGAAGGCTATTCCATGCGAGAAATTGCCAAGAAACTGAAGATCACATACAACGCTGTGTACTACTCCCTTCACAGAACAGCTCAAACTGGCTCTAACCAGAATAGAAAGAGGAGTGGGAGGCCTCGGTGCACAACTGCTTTAATTTTAGCTTGTAAGCAGGAATCAGGAGGATAGAATTATGGTCAATTAAGGAAACATGAATGATTGACATTTCTTCCCCTCTCCTCAGATGGTCATTCCTGGTAATGTGGCTGAGATGACAGAGTTCCAAGAGAAAACCATGAGCAATTCCCGCTTCATCCTAGAGCTGTGCTTGCCAAATGTGCAATTATCATTACCCAACAAGGCCTTTTATGAGAAACTGCACAACAGGTAATGTGCACGGGGAACATGAGTGATTGGGATTGGCTGGGATGATTTTCTAAATGAAATCTTCACAATGTTGTAGTGAATTGTATTTTTTAAAATTAAATCTCTAATCTCTCCTCCTCCTCTCTTCTGGCAGGATAAACAATGACCTGCTGTTATGGGAGCCCAACGCTCCCTCGCCTGTGGAGACAGTGGAGAACATGCCGTATGGAGCAGGGCTGTCTGTAGCCAGCCAGCTGATCAATACGGCACACTACACCAACGACAGCTTCAGCACGTTCCGCTCCACTGGCCCTGAGGGTGAGATTGTCTCCACATAGTACAACCAACATCTGCTACATCTCAACCTCATTCATGGTTTTCATATGTTCCTGAAGGTCTGTAGGGCACTCTGTTCTGTGCAATAGCATTATATATATATGCACTTACCAAGTACTAATAACTACTATTCATGGTAAAATGTTATTCCGTCTTTTCAAACAAACCGCAACTTGCCTACTCATATGGCTGTGGTGTCCTGTGCTTTGTGATTGTAGAGGAGGAAAGTGGATCGGAGGAGGAGACCATGCACTACTACTCCCCTGCCTCTGAGCAGTGCTTCAGATCTCGCAGGAAGAAGAAGCCCAAGGCCCAGGGCAAGACCTCCCAGAGCCTGTTCTCTGTAATCCTCACTGTCAACCTTGGCCTAGTGGCCCTGCAGACCAATGCTAAGGTAACCCTGAGTTACAGTCACAATGATCTGTCATTTCTAAATTACATTGCATTCAAACAGCTGGGTATTCTCTGAGGCTGTTTGGCTGACTGGTATAAGAAAATAATCTTTATTTTTCTTTCCAGCAGGAGGATGAGGCGGTTTTGAATAACCAACATGGAGAGTTCTGGTTGGAGGTGAAGAATGGTGTCCTGTTCAGTGTGACACAGTTTGAAGGCTACAAAGACCAGCACTACATCTGCTTCCACAACAGTAACATCTGTCTCTATCACCAAGGTAAGAATGGAGACATTAACCCCTTACACTCGTGGAAATTGGCCTATATGGATAATGCTACATTTTTTATGTTGCTTACAAGAGAAATATGGAACGCATATGCATAACCATGGTAGCAATTAAAAGGGAACAGTTAGGAGATTATGGGGAAATTATTAGACCAAAGTTGAGGGGACAACAGTTCACCTGACACAAGACTGAATCCAAACATGACACTGTTGATTTTATGTGTATTTTACATTTACTGTACTTTTTGCTGCATTTGTTGATAAAGAAATCTGAAAATACTATTGATACATTCAGTAACATGATAAGAATATTCCTGGAAAATTTGGGGTAGGTGCAACATAAGACAAAACAACTACACGTGTTTGAGTGAGAGGTCAAACTGGTTTGCCACACACCTCTCAAGTGTGCCCAGTTCCTAAGTAATTTCAATGCACTCGAAGTTTAGTCTTCAGCTATAAGGTGCTTTTTTGAGCTCTCCTAGCTGTGCCGTTGAGGAACTAGAGTAAGCACACTTGTAGTTATTTTGTTTGTTACACAGCCCTGCATCCCCGCCTTTACACAATTACTGTTGTTAATGCAATCCAAAAACGGTCCATTATAAATCTAAATCTGGGTCAGGTGGGCATAATGTGAAAGCTTGTTCTATTGCCAACATGTCTAGCTAAATTATAAAATATGAGCTTATAGTGTTAGGCTTTCACAAGGCAAAGCAGATTGTAATTTTGGTGCGCACAGAATGGAGTTATGAGTGCATTCAGACGCATGGTCCACAGCAAATGTTCTTCACAATAGAACAAAGTAGGCTCACTCTGTTCAGGACAACCCAGGGTATAATGCCATGTCATCTTGTAACTGTACATTAAACATATGATCATAAACATTGACACTGTATATGTCATGAGTTTTATGATATGGACATGTGAAGTGCACGTTTGGACTCACGGGTGTTTGGCTTGCTTTTATGACATCAAACCGGTATTTATTATAATCCTCAACATCTCATCTCATCTTTCAAAATACAGAGTCCTTGTAATTTACATACACTACTGTTCAAAAGTTTGGGGTCACTTAAAATTTCCTTGTTTTCAAAAGAAAAGCAATTTTTTTGACCATTTAAAATAACATCAAATTGATTAGAAATACAGTGTTGGAAACGGCTGATTTTTAATGGAATATCTACATAGGCGTACAGAGGCCCATTATCAGCAATCATCAGTCCTGTGTTCCAATGACACGTTGTGTTTGCTAATACAAGTTTATCATTTAAAAAAGCTAATTGATCATTAGAAAACCCTTTTGCAATTATGTTAGCACAGCTGAAAACTGTTGTGCTGATTTAAAGAAGCAATAAAACTGGCCTTCTTGAGACTAGTTGAGTATCTGGAGCATCAGCAATTGTGGGTTCGATTACAGGATCAAAATGGCCAGAAACAATTAACTTTCTTCTGAAACTCATCAGTCTATTCTTGTTCTGAGAAATGAAGGCTATTCCATGCGAGAAATTGCCAAGAAACTGAAGATCACATACAACGCTGTGTACTACTCCCTTCACAGAACAGCGCAAACTGGCTCTAACCAGAATAGAAAGAGGAGTGGGAGGCCCCGGTGCACAACTGAGCAAGAGGACAAATACATTAGAATGTCTAGTTTGAGAAACAGACGCCTCACAGGTCCTCAACTGGCAGCTTCATTAAATAGTACCCGCAAAACACCAGTCTCAATGTCAACAGTGAAGAGGCAACTCTGGGATGCTGACCTTTTAGGCAGAGTTGCATAGAAAAAGCCATATCTCATACTGGCCAATAAAAAGAAAAGATGAAGATGGGCAAAAGAACACAGACACTGGACAGAGGAAGATTGGAAAAAAGTGTTATGGACAGACGAATCGAAGTTTGAGGTGTTCGGATCACAAAGAAGAACATTTGTGAGACGCAGACCAAATGAAAAGATGCTGGAGGAGTGCTTGATGCCATCTGTCAAGCATGGTAGAGGCAATGTGATGGTCTGGGGGTGCTTTGGTGGTGGTAAAGTTGGAGATTTGTACAGAGTAAAAGGGATCTTGAAGAAGGAAGGCTATCACTCCATTTTGTAACTCCATGCCATACCCTGTGGACGGCGCTTGATTGGAGCCAATTTCCTCCTACAACAGGACAATGACCTAAAGCACAGCTCCAAACTATGCAATAACTATTTAGGGAAGAAGCAGTCAGCTGATATTCTGTCCATAATGGAGTGGCCAGCACAGTCACCGGATCTCAACCCTATTCAGCTGTTGTACGTAAGAAGTAGTCCCGTGTAGCTCAGTTGGTAGAGCATGGCGCTTGCAATGCCAGGGTTGTGGGTTCGTTTCCCACAGGGGGCCAGAATGAAATAACGTATGCACTCACTAACTGTAAATTGCTCTGGATAAGAGTGTCTGCTAAATGACTAAAATGTAAATGTAAGTGCCCATCAAGCCAATCCAACTTGTGGGAGGTGCTTCAGGAAGCATGGGGTGAAATCTCTTCAGATTACTAGAATGCCAAAGGTCTGCAAGGCTGTAATTGCTGCAAATGGAGGATTCTTTGATGAAAGCAAAGTTTGAAGGACACAATTATTATTTCTATTAAAAAATATTATTTCTAACCTTGTCAATGACTACATTTCCTATGCATTTTGCTATATTTCCTATTCAAACTCATTTCATGTATGTTTTCATGGAAAACAAGGACATGTAGTGTAATTTCCCTCACTCGGAAAACAAAAAAATTAGCAAACGTTTACCAATTAGCGGGAGGGATTCGGGGCAACTTTTTATCGCGTGCGGGTCTCAAGTTCAGAACAGCTGTCAGTCAAAACCCATACAGAGCTGTGAAAGGGAGGCCCTGAGATCTGACGTCATGTATAGCATGTTACTGTACAACCACTGCGTTCCAATTTAGGAGCTTATCAGTGTCCAAATCTGCCATTTTCAAACTGTATACGGGCACGAGTGTGAAGGGCTACGCCTAGTCACACTGACATTTTTGTAAATTTTAGGTGAAGCTTCATAGATCCCCTCTCCAAATGAGTAAATATGCCATTGTTCATGGTGATGCCTCTGTGTCTGTTACATTGTGTGGTATTATATCTGTCTATCCAGGTCTGGTGGAGGGAGACACCCCAGTGTCCGACATCAAGCTGCCCTGCAGGACGCGTCCTCATTGGCTGGAGCCGGCCATCTACCCCTCTGAGGCAGCCCCTGATAGGGCGTCCCCCTCTGAGGGCATCGGCCTCGAGGCCCACAGCATGCTGTCTGTTGCCGTCAAGATCTCCACCCAGAACATGGAGCGCAATGTCAAGGTAGGTACAATCCGTTTACATTTGTACTATTGGTGTGCAAAAACTTTCAAACACTAGTCATTTTCTTGAGAAAGAAAAGCCATGTAGTTTTGGACAGACACAAGGATATGTGTTTACTGTTGGTCTGGGTTTCCTCTGCAGGAGTTCCTGATTGCAGTGGGAGTGAAAGGGGCCACACTCCAGCACCTAGTGGTTCCCCCAAAACTGGGCTGGTATGACCAGGTAAACTCAACACCTGTCCATCCAAGGTGTTGTTTGTGTACAGTTCAACGCCACAACTTATCTTAATCATATATTAAGCATCCCTTGGAACAGATGAACCATACTCCTGACTGATCAGTGTTTCTTTGTTGTGTGTAACAGATCGTAGACTTCCTGAATGTGTCTGATGAGCCTGTGTTAGGTTACACCCCCCCTGCCTCAGTCACCACCCTTCATCTCCACCTGTGGAGCTGCTCACTAGATTACAGGTGCTGTTGACTGACTATGTCACGTTCACAACCTAATTAATCTGTATTTTCTGTATAATCAGTGTTTGTATTTTTACATGCTATATTCTCTCTGCAGACCCCTGTACCTGCCACTCAGGTCTCTGATGGTAGTGGAGACATTCAGCATCTCCAGCAGTGTCTCCTTAGACCACTCGTCCTCCACTCTCAGGTACTGTTCCAGCACTGGTCATGTCATTGACAAGAAATCAGCAGTGGCGTATCACTGGATGTTTCTGTATTTCTGTATGTATTTTGTGTTGGTTCTAGGATCATTTTGGATGAAGCAGCTTTGTTCCTCTCTGACAAGAGCAATGCCGTCTCTGTAAATCTAATGCGAGGTGAGCCAATCTGTTACATTTTCAATTTGTATGTCAATCAAACATTCTTTAGACGCTCTGACCAGTAACCCATGTGCTTTATCGCCCAGACTATGTGCAGGTGGTAGACATGGGAACATTAGAGCTGAGGATCACTGCGGTCAAACCTGGAGTGGACAGAGAATTTGTAAGAGCTGGCAACCTCTGTTGATCTATGAGAAACCTCTTTCCAACAACAAGACGGCACCGTTGAGCCAATCTTCTCAATGTGTCTTTTGACAGACTGAGCCCAGATTTGAGCTGCGCTGCTCCAGTGATGTCATCCATATCAGAACATGTTCAGACTCCTGTGCTGCTCTGATGAACCTCATCCAGTATGTGGCCAGCTATGGAGACCTACTGCCCCCTCCTGGGCCGGAGGCCAAGGGCACCAGCTCCAAGCAGAGAGCAAAGGTCAGCTTTTATACCCCTCAGATACATTTATGACTCATAGCCATTACGCTATATCAAACGGTTTCCTTGAGTGTGATGAGCAGTGAATGGGCAGTGGAGAATTTAATGTATCTGTATATTGTGAGACACATTTATGACACAACAAAGCCATTACAATTACAGTATATCAAACTCCTGCGTTGAGAGAGCAGACCAGTCTGGACTGTGTAGATTTTATACAGGTGTGATTCTAAATACTGTAGTGAGGATATGGACTCTGCTGTCTGCTGAGTTCAAATGTTGTTAATGTCTTTGTATGTCTGGTCAGCCGGAGGCTCCAAGCCGACCCCTTTCCCAGGCTCCTCTTCTTCCCGAGGCTGAGCAGCAGATGCTGCAGGACCTGATGAGTGAGGCCATGGAGGAGGCAGACAGTCAGTACGCCCTGGCACTGCAACACAATGGTGAGACTACATACAAACACAACTATTTAACATTCACTTAATGCATAGAAGTGAATTTGACTAGACTCAATTGGTCCCACTCCCTCCTCAACCGCTACAGGAATACACGAGGAGCAGAATCAGGACTTCGACCCGCCTCGCTCTGACCTCTTCCTTTTCCCGGACGAGAGCGGGAATCTGTCGCAGGAGCCGAGCCCCACGTACCTCACCCTCCACTCCCCCCTCATCACCGCTGCCCCTAACCTGGCCTCAGAGAACGACGACTTCTGTATTCTAGAGACCCCGGGCTCCACGGCAGACGTAAGAGCATGCATCTCATACAGTTACTTACGCAGCATGTTGGATAACTAGTATGTTTAGTCTGTCTATTGCATTGGTGTGAAGAGTGTGTTTATTGTCTCAGGATCGGGACGAGGAGCCAGTGGTGAATAAGTTGATCCCAGACTCTATTGAGATCAAAGACAACCACTTTGGCCAGCCCCTGGACAGCAGCGACTCCAGCAGGGGAGCCCTGAACTTCCCCGTCCCAGAGGTGCGCTACCTCATCAGGGAGATCTCTGTCATCTGGCACCTCTATGGAGGGAAGGACTTTGGGAGCGCGATGTTCACCTCCTCTCCAGCTAGAAGTCGTCGGGAGTGAGTGTGTTTGTGCTTTGGACTGTTCAACTGTTCTTTATTACAACAACAATACTGGGAGATGTGATTGAACTGAGATTGTGTCAAATGTCAGGAAGGATAGAGAAAGAAAAGGATCTAGAGTAATGGTCAAAAGGTGCAATAGATGATCAAGTGTCCTCTGTTAATGTTTTGATGATGTTGAAGGTGTACCCCACACAGCTCCCCCTCCCAGACCCCAGTCAGACAGGGCAGGGGTGGAGGACGGGCCGGAGGAGGGCGGGGCAGGAACCTTGACGTCCTGATGGAGATCCAGCTCAGCAAGGTAGGAGGACATGACAACCCCTCTCCTGTAACAAGACAACATTACATTTACATTTTAGTCATTTAGCAGACGCTCTTATCTAGAGCGACTTAGTTAGTAAGTGCATACATTTATTTAATTTTTTTATACTGGCCCCCCGTGGGAATCGAACCCACAACCCTGCCGTTGCAAGTGCCATGCTCTACCAACTGAGCTACACGTGTGCCAAATGGGATGATAAGTGCATCCTTTAGTATGAAGCTAGAGTTGAGGACATCTTGCTCTTTTCCCAGGTGCGGTTCCAGCATGAGGTGTACCCCCAGGCCCCAGTGGCCTCTGGGTCGGCGGCGGACCAGCCTAAGTCCCGGCAGGTGTTCATCGTCCAGGACCTGGAGATCAGAGACAGACTGGCCACCTCCCAGATGAACAAGTTCCTGTACCTCTACTCCAGCAAGGAGATGCCCCGCACAGCCCACTCCAACATGGTGAGAGACATTGTGCATGTAGAGTAATGTCCATGTGATTGTGGTCACATTAAAGACATGGTAGTGGTTAAGGCATGTTTATGCTGAATGTGTTTGTTTGTGGTTCTCTGTAGCTCAGTTGGTAGAGCATGGTGCCAGCAACTCCAGAATAGTGGGTTTAATCCCAGGACCACTCATACTTAAAATGTACAGTGGGGAGAACAAGTATTTGATACACTGCCGATTTTGCAGGTTTTCCTACTTACAAAGCATGTAGAGGTCTGTAATCTTTATCATAGGTACACTTCAACTGTGAGAGACGGAATCTAAAACAAAAATCCAGAAAATCACATTATATGATTTTTAAGTAATTAATTTGCATTTTATTGCATGAAATAAGTATTTGATACATCAGAAAAGAAAAACGTAATATTTGGTACAGAAACCTTTGTTTGCAATTACAGAGATCATACGTTTCCTGTAGGTCTTGACCAGGTTTGCACACACTGCAGCAGAGATTTTGGCCCACTCCTCCATACAGACCTTCTCCAGATCCTTCAGGTTTCGGGGCTGTCGCTGGGCAATACGGACTTTCAGCTCCCTCCAAAGATTTTCTATTGGGTTCAGGTCTGGAGACTGGCTAGGCCACTCCAGGACCTTGAGATGCTTCTTACGGAGCCACTCCTTAGTTGCCCTGGCTGTGTGTTTCGGGTCGTTGTCATGCTGGAAGACCCAGCCACGACCCATCTTCAATGCTCTTACTGAGGGAAGGAGGTTGTTGGCCAAGATCTCGAGATACATGGCCCCATCCATCCTCCCCTCAATACGGTGCAGTCGTCCTGTCCCCTTTGCAGAAAAGCATCCCCAAAGAATGATGTTTCCACCTCCATGCTTCACGGTTGGGATGGTGTTCTTGGGGTTGTACTCATCCTTCTTCTTCCTCCAAACACGGTGAGTGGAGTTTAGACCAAAAAGCTCAATTTTTGTCTCATCAGACCACATGACCTTCTCCCATTCTGCCTCTGGATCATCCAGATGGTCATTGGCAAACTTCAGATGGGCCTGGACATGCGCTGACTTGAGAAGGGGGACCTTGCGTGCGCTGCAGGATTTTAATCCATGACGGCGTAGTGTGTTACTAATGGTTTTCTTTGAGACTGTGGTCCCAGCTCTCTTCAGGTCATTGACCAGGTCCTGCCGTGTAGTTCTCGGCTGATCCCTCACCTTCCTCATGATCATTGATGCCCCACGAGGTGAGATCTTGCATGGAGCCCCAGACCGAGGGTGATTGACCGTCATCTTGAACTTCTTCCATTTTCTAATAATTGCGCCAACAGTTGTTGCCTTCTCACCAAGCTGCTTGCCTATTGTCCTGTAGCCCATCCCAGCCTTGTGCAGGTCTACAATTTTATCCCTGATGTCCTTACACAGCTCTCTGGTCTTGGCCATTGTGGAGAGGTTGGTGTCTGTTTGATTGAGTGTGTGGACAGGTGTCTTTTATACAGGTAACGAGTTCAAACAGGTGCAGTTAATACAGGTAATGAGTGGAGAACAGGAGGGCTTCTTAAAGAAAAACTAACAGGTCTATGAGAGCTGGAATTCTTACTGGTTGGTAGGTGATCAAATACTTATGTCATGCAATAAAATGCAAATTACTTAAAAATCATACAATGTGATTTTCTGGATTTTTGTTTTAGATTCCGTCTCTCACAGTTGAAGTGTACCTATGATAAAAATTACAGACCTCTACATGCTTTGTAAGTAGGAAAACCTGCAAAATCGGCAGTGTATCAAATACTTGTTCTCCCCACTGTATGAACGCATGACTGTAAGTTGCTATGGATAAAAATGTTTGCTAAATGGCATATATTATTTTATAAACTGGTTGGTTTGAGCCTTGAATGCTGATTGGCTGACAGCCGTGGTATATCAGACCGTATACCAGGGGTATGACAAAACATTTATTTTTACTGCTCTAATTACGTTGGTAACCAGTTTGTAATAGTAATAAGGCACCTCGGGTGTTTGTGCTAAATGGCCAATATACCACGGCTAAGGGCTGTATCCATGCACTCCGCGTTGCGTCGTGCTTAAGAACGGCCCTTAGCCGTGGTATATTGGCCATATACCACACCCCCTCGTGTCTTATTGCTTAAATATATTTTTGTTTGTTTGTTTTCTTGCAGCTGACAGTTCGGGCTCTGCACATGTGTCCAGAGACAGGTCAAGCACCCCAGGAATGCTGTCTGCGAGTCTCACTCATGCCCCTTCGTCTCAACGTCGATCAGGTGAGCCAGAGAAAAACGTGCTGGTTTTATCCAGTTAATCATACATCCTTCTGAGGTTTGCAAAAGATTTCAAGCCATGGAAATTGAAGCCATGGAAATTTTCAGTTATACTATTGAGCCCTTTGAAATTACCTTGTCTTTTTTATTTTCATGTAGGATGCATTGTTTTTCTTGAAAGACTTCTTTGCCAGCCTTGCTGCTGAAGTTGAGATGTTCTCTCCACCTGATCAAGAAGGTAAAATATCCTTGGCTAGAGCCTTGTACATTATGAACAATGTAGAGTGTTGAGTAGATTTAGTTTACCCTCAATGATGCATTTGTTGGTCTGCAGCCCTGTGCGTTTCAATGAAGAAGCCGTCTGCCCCAGAGGTGACCTGTAGCTTCACTAAGCATGGAGGTGGGAGCCAGGACCCTGCCCCCATTATCTCTGTGCCTGCCCAGAACCGCTCCAGCCTCAACGGCCTCACCTTATCCAGTAACAGCAACTCTGGGGAAGCTGAGGCTGCCACTGCATCATCCTTCACTGACCAGCCCATCTTCTTCAGGTAGCTGTCCCTTACTATGTGTAGAGGTGGACAGGCACCTGATGTTATTTGGGTTAAGGCATAACTTACCTTCATCTCACCATATGTGATCTACACACAAATAATGACATGTTTATTTTATTATATTTTCTTCTTAAATTTCTTAAAATTATTATTTTATCCCCTTTTCTCCCCAATTTTGATCTTGTCTCATCGCTGCAACTCCCCAACGGGCTCGGGAGGCGAAGGTCGAGTCATGCGTCCTCCGAAACTTGACCCGCCAAACCACGCTTCTTAACACCCACCCGCTTAACCCGGGAGCCAGCCGCACCAATGTGTCGGAGGAAACACTGTTCAACTGACGACCGAGGTCAGCCTGCAGGCGCCCGGCCCGCCACAAGGAGTCGCTAGAGCGCGATGAGCCAAGTAAAGCCCCCCCAGCCAAACCCTCCCCTAACCCGGACGACGCTGGGCCAATTGTGTGTCGCCCTATGGGACTCCCGACCACGGCCGGTTGTGATACAGCCCGGGATCGAACCCGGGTCTGTAGTGATGCCTCTAGCACAGCGATGCAGTGCCTTAGACCGCTGCGCCACTCGGGAGGCACGTGTTTATGGGTTTTGTTAGCAAATTATGAAATATTTGTTTGATTTCCCTCAGAGAGTTTTGGTTTACCTCTGAAGTTCCTATTCGTCTGGATTACCATGGAAAACACGTTTCAATGGAGCAGGTATGTTGTTTTAACAATCTCTAAAAACATACTGTATACAAACACATTCAGTTTTCTGTTCAGGGATTCCAGTGTTGACAGACTTGACAACTGGTGTTGTGCAGCCTACATATTGTGCAATATTTTGGTTAACAAGCGCTGATGATGGACAGTATTCAAATGCGGAAGCACATTATTTATAAATGGAGCATTTCTTACTCTCACAGTAGCACATTTTGCACATGCTTCTTGCGCTGCTCCTCTGTTTCAGGGAACATTTGCTGGTATTGTGATTGGGTTGACACAGCTGAATTGCTCCGAGCTGAAACTAAGGCGATTATGCTACAGACAAGGGTAGGTTTAATCAGTACAGTCCCTTCATATTAGTATGATTTGTTATGATAGGACGTACCAACACTTAATTGGGTCATTCCTTATGTTAAATGATGACACACAAGCTATTATATCTAGTATGAAAAATACATTATGCAGTAACTAGAAGGACATTCTTGGTTTTCTTCCAGACTGTTGGGTGTGGATAAGCTCTTTTCCTATGCAATAAATGAGTGGCTGAACGACATCAAGAAGAACCAGCTGCCAGGACTGCTGGGTGGAGTGGGACCTATCCACTCGCTGGTACAGTTGGGTAAGTAGGACATGTGTATGTTGATAAACTGGTGTTGAAGCGCTGTAATGTCTTTACCTATTAATCAGACAGCATGTTGCCTGTGGTTTAATTTGTAAGAGCTTCCTGAAATGATTAACTGTCTCTTTTGTATTCTGGCTAAGCCTCTCAGAACCATACACTATATCATTGACAATGGTCATGCTTGTTTTAGCCAATTGGGCCACAATGGAAATTAGTCTGAAAGCTTTTGGTTCAACCTAAAAAGACAATTGTTATAAATACACTGAGTGTACAAAACATTAGGAACACCTTCCTAATATTGAGTTGCACCCCCCTTTGCCCTCAGAACAGCCTCAATTTGTTGGGGCATGGACTCTACAAGGTGTAGAAAGCATTCCACAGGGATGCTGGCCCATGTTGACTCCAATGCTTCCCACAGTTGTCAAGTTGGATGGTAGTGGATCTCTACTCTGATTTGCTCGTTCTGTCTCATCCCACAGCTCAATTGGATTGAGATCTGGTGACTGGGCAGGCCACTGCAGTAAGCTGAATTCACTGTCATGTTCGTGGAACCATTCCTGGACAATCCTAGCCTTGTGGCATGGTGCATTATCCTGCTGAAAAAAATCAATTCGCTGATGGATACACTGCTGCCGTGAAGGGATGCTAAATATGTAAAAAATGTAAAAAATAAAAAATGCACCTGATTGGCAATGATGTTTAGATATCCTGTGCCATTCAAACATTGCTCCACTTTTATCAAGGGGCCCAATCTGTGCCGTGAAAACATACCCCTCACCATCACCACCAGCCTGCAATGTTGACACGTGGCATGATGGATGCATGTACTCATTCTCCATACCCTAGTCCTCCCATTAGCGTGAAACAGCAGGAACCAGGACTCATCAGACCAGGCAATGTTTTTCCAATTCTCCAGTGTCCAGTGTTTTCATTCCTTAGCCCACTGCAAACGCAGTTTCTTCTTGTTTTTTGCTGAATGAAGTGGAACTCTGTAAGGTCGTCGGCTGCCATACCCCATTCGTGTCAAGGTATGACGAGTTGTGGATTATTTTATGGGTCTTGGGCACCAATGCTGTACTTGCCTGTAAGTTGACAAACTGTAGCCCGTCAGTTGCGCTGCACAATTAGTGTCAGCCTCCTTTGTCCTCTTTCATCAATGACCCGTTTTTGACCACTGGCCTGCCATTGGCTGGATGCCCTTTGGGTGGTGGACCAGTCTTGATACACACAAGAAAGTTGAGCGTGAAAAACCCAGCAGCATTGCAGTTCTTGACACACTCAAACCGGTGCGCCTGGCACCTACTACCATACTCCATTCAAAGGCACTTCAATCTTTTGTCTTGCACATTCACCCTCTGAATGGCACACATACACAATCCATGTCTCAAATCTTTCTTTAACCTGTCTCCTCCCCTTCATCTATACTGATTTTGAAGTGGATTTAACAAGTGACATCAATAAGGGATCATACAGTAGCTTTCACCTGGTCAGTCTGTCATGGAAAGAGGAGGTGTTCCTAATGTTTTGTACACTCAGTGTATATCTGAGGGTATGTTAATGTGTAGATGTCTTAAACTAAAGTCAAATCAGAAATCCTGATTTAATGGGCCTTTTTTGCATTAACCAAATAATAACACACTTTTCCTTTTCCTCCTTCCTGTGTTCAGTCCAGGGATTTAGGGATCTGGTGTGGCTCCCGATAGAGCAGTACCGGAAGGATGGTCGGGTTGTACGGGGATTGCAGCGTGGTACTGCCTCCTTTGGAACCTCCACAGCTATGGCTGCTCTGGAGCTTACCAACCGCATGGTGCGGACTATCCAGGTAAAAAAAACTCACCCCAGTCCAGAAATACATACAGTGAGGGAAAAAAGTATTTGATCCCCTGCTGATTTTGTACGTTTGCCCACTGACAAAGACATGATCAGTCTATAATTTTAATGGTAGGTTTATTAGAACAGTGAGAGACAGAATAACAAAAAAAAATATCCAGAAAAACGCATGCACACATGACTGTAAGTCGCTTTGGATAAAAGCGTCTGCTAAATGGCATATTATTATTATTATGTCAAACATGTTATAAATTGATTTGCATTTTAATGAGGGAAATAAGTATTTGACCACACTGCAAAACATGACTTGGTGGCAAAACCCTTGTTGGCAATCACAGAGGTCAGACGTTTCTTGTAGTTGACCAGCAGGTTTGCACACATCTCAGGAGGGATTTTGTTCCACTCCTCTTTGCAGATCTTCTCCAAGTCATTAAGGTTTCGAGGCTGACGTTTGGCAACTCGAACATTCAACTCCCTCCACAGATTTTCTATGGGATTAAAGTCTGGAGACTGGCTAGGCCACTCCAGGACCTTAATGTCCTACTTCTTAAGCCATTCCTTTGTTGCCTTGGCCGTGTGTTTTGGGTCATTGTCATGCTGGAAAACCCATCCACGACCCATTGTCAATGCCCTGGCTGAGGGAAGGCTTGACGGTACATGGCCCCGTCCAACGTCCCTTTGATGCGCTGAAGTTGTCCTGTCCCCTTAGCAGAAAAACACCCCCAAAGCATAATGTTTCCACCTCCATGTTTGACGGTGGGGATGGTGTTCTTGGGGTCATAGGCAGCATTCCTTCTCCTCCAAACACGGCGAGTTGAGTTGATGCCAAAGAGCTCGATTTTGGTCTCATCTGACCACAACACTTTCACCCAGTTCTCCTCTGAATCATTCAGATGTTCATTGGCAAACTTCAGACGGGCATGTACAGTGGGGAAAAAAAGTATTTAGTCAGCCACCAATTGTGCAAGTTCTCCCACTTAAAAAGATGAGAGAGGCCTGTAATTTTCATCATAGGTACACGTCAACTATGACAGACAAAATGAGGAAAAAAAATCCAGAAAATCACATTGTAGGATTTTTTATGAATTTATTTGCAAATTATGGTGGAAAATAAGTATTTGGTCAATAACAAAAGTTTCTCAATACTTTGTTATATACCCTTTGTTGGCAATGACACAGGTCAAACGTTTTCTGTAAGTCTTCACAAGGTTTTCACACACTGTTGCTGGTATTTTGGCCCATTCCTCCATGCAGATCTCCTCTAGAGCAGTGATGTTTTGGGGCTGTCGCTGGGCAACACAGACTTTCAACACCCTCCAAAGATTTTCTATGGGGTTGAGATCTGGAGACTGGCTAGGCCACTCCAGGACCTTGAAATGCTTCTTACGAAGCCACTCCTTCGTTGCCCGAGCGGTGTGTTTGGGATCATTGTCATGCTGAAAGACCCAGCCACGTTTCATCTTCAATGCCCTTGCTGATGGAAGGAGGTTTTCACTCAAAATCTCACGATACATGGCCCCATTCATTCTTTCCTTTACACGGATCAGTCGTCCTGGTCCCTTTGCAGAAAAACAGCCCCAAAACATGATGTTTCCACCCCCATGCTTCACAGTAGGTATGGTGTTCTTTGGATGCAACTCAGCATTCTTTGTCCTCTAAACACGACGAGTTGAGTTTTTACCAAAAAGTTCTATTTTGGTTTCATCTGACCATATGACATTCTCCCAATCCTCTTCTGGATCATCCAAATGCACTCTAGCAAACTTCAGACGGGCCTGGACATGTACTGGCTTAAGCAAGGGGACACGTCTGGCACTGCAGGATTTAAGTCCCTGGTGGCGTAGTGTGTTACTGATGGTAGGCTTTGTTACTTTGGTCCCAGCAGGTCATTCACTTGGTTCCCCCGTGTGGTTCTGGGATTTTTGCTCACCGTTCTTGTGATAATTTTGACCCCACGGGGTGAGATCTTGCGTGGAGCCCCAGATCGAGGGAGATTATCAGTGGTCTTGTATGTCTTCCATTTCCTAATAATTACTCCCACAGTTCATTTCTTCAAACCAAGCTGCTTACCTATTGCAGATTCAGTCTTTCCAGCCTGGTGCAGGTCTACAATTTTGTTTCTGGTGTCCTTTGACAGCTCTTTGGTCTTGGCCATAGTGGAGTTTGGAGTGTGACTGTTTGAGGTTGTGGACAGGTGTCTTTTATACTGATAACAAGTTCAAACAGGTGCCATTAATACAGGTAACGAGTGGAGGACAGAGGAGCCTCTTAAAGAAGAAGTTACAGGTCTGTGAGAGCCAGAAATCTTGCTTGTTTGTAGGTGACCAAATACTTATTTTCCACCATAATTTGCAAATAAATTCATTAAAAATCCTACAATGTGATTTTCTGGATTTTTTTTCCTAATTTTGTCTGTCATAGTTGACGTGTACCTATGATGAAAATTAAAGGCCTCTCTCCTCTTTTTAAGTGGGAGAACTTGCACAATTGGTGGCTGACTAAATACTTTTTTTCCCCACTGTATATGTGCTTTCTTGAGCAGGGGGACCTTGCGGGCACTGCAGGATTTCAGTCCTTCACGGCGTAGTGTGTTACCAATTGTTTTCTTGGTGACTATGGTCCCAGCTGCCTTGAGATCATTGACAAGATCCTCCTGTGTAGTTCTGGGCTGATTCCTCACCGTTCTCATGATCATTGCAACTCCACGAGGTGAGATCTTGCATGGAGCCCCAGGCCGAGGGAGATTTACAGTTATTTTGTGTTTCTTCCATTTACGAATAATCGCACCAACTGTTGTCACCTTCTCACCAAGCTGCTTGGCAATGGTCTTGTAGCCCATTCCAGCCTTGTATAGGTCTACAATCTTGTCCCTGACATCCTTGGAGAGCTCTTTGGTCTTGGCCATGGTGGAGAGTTTGGAATCTGATTGATTGATTGCTTCTGTGGACAGGTGTCTTTTATACAGGTAACAAACTGAGATTAGGAGCACTCCCTTTAAGAGTGTGCTCCTAATCTCAGCTCGTTACCTGTATAAAAGACACCTGGGAGCCAGAAATCTTTCTGATTGAGAGGGGGTCAAATACTTATTTCCCTCATTAAAATGCAAATCAATTTATAACATTTTTGACATGCGTTTTTCTGGATTTTTTTGTTGTTGTCATTCTGTCTCTCACTGTTCAAATAAACCTACCATTAAAATTATAGACTGATCATTTCTTTGTCAGTGGGCAAACGTACAAAATCAGCAGGGGATCAAATAACTGTCTTGCATCTCTTTTCAGCTTCTGTGTTACAAGTTTATCGGGCTCCATAATGTAATGCAAAACAATTTGTTTTATTTGTGATCTTCAGGCAGCAGCAGAGACAGCCTATGACATGGTATCTCCAGGATCCGATGAGAGGGAGACAAAGAGAATAAAACGGTTCTCTCATTACAGATTGTCTCATCAGCCAGTTGATCTCCGGGAAGGAGTAGCCAACGCTTACAGCGTTGTAAAAGAGGTAAATTGCATGACGCTAACATTTTGCATCTCATCTGCTTGTAGTGCTGCTTAAAGTGTAACACACTACAGGATGAAGTTACCTGTCAGGACTGTAATAAATCATGCTCAATATGTGCGTTCCCCACAGGGAATCACGGACACTGCTCTGACCATCTATGACACGGCCACGCGTGAGCACGAGCAGCGTGGGATGACCGGGGCAGTGGGTGGGGTCCTTCGACAGCTCCCCCCAGCTGTGGTCAAGCCTCTCATCATGGCCACCGAGGCCACCTCCAACGTGCTGGGGGGCATGAGGAACCAGATTCACCCAGACGCACACCAGGAAGAATCCCAGAAATGGCGGCAAGGGGAGGAGTGATGGCCGACTGCTGTCCAATGACTGAACTGATGGTTGTGCAGAGTCAAAGAAGACACTCTCTCAGCTGTTGCAAGGCCCGATGAGTATTACAAGCTGGAAGGATCTGGCACTGCAGATTGATTACTTTTTGAGGCAAAATGGAGTGTCGCTGAAAAGTCAGCACTGGTGTAAATGAAATACAATTCATCTCATAGACTTGTGGCAGTTTGAGCTAGTGTGAATTAACTTGTGTTACCTTCTATACCACATTTTCCCTTGCAGTACCTTCATGGTAATAATGTATTATACTGTTATAGTACCATATGTTAGACAGAGGGACTCGCAGGAGCAGTTGGTGTGCAGAGGCATAGAGGTCACTGTGCCATACTGTAGATCATAATTGATTACCTTGGCTTGAGGATAGGACTGGCTTGTTTTGAATGTTGAATCTTTCCAGAATGGTAACAGTGAGGAAAAGTAGTGCACCATATCCTAACATGGTACAGAGATGAGGAGTGGTGTCAGAAAGCTCAGCATTTCACTGGGTCCTTTTTTTCTTATTTTTTTACAATCGTGACTGAGTACAGCACGTCTATAGTTTGTCATATTCAACATTCGCTTATCCTAATTTGTGTCAAATAACACTAATATCTCGAAGAGATGCTGTAAGCCTCCTGTAGCTCAGTTGGTAGAGCATGGCGCTTGCAACGCCAGGATTGTGGGTTCGATTCCCACGGTGGGCCAATATGAAAAATGTATGCTTTCACTAACTGTAAGTCGCTCTGGATAAGAGCGTCTGCTAAATGACTACAAATGTTTTTTTTTTATGTAAATGTAAGCTATTGAAGTGTATATCCCCTAACATTTTATATATTGTACCATGTATATGTGTGGGCTTTATAACTTTAACTATTCTATGTAACATTTCTTGCAGACAGCATCCTAAAAGACATTCTCAGCATTGTGTAATGTGTTGCGGTTGAAATGTATAGATCATCTGCACTTTCAATTACAAGTGATGTGAAGGTCACTTGTGACAAGTAACATGGGGGTGTTAGACTTTTTGCTGATTATGGTTGTTTAGTGACTCTGAAATACACTATAAGAGCATTGGAGGCTACAGTCTTATGGCATAATTGTCTATAGTACGAAGCATTTTTAAAAATGTTTTATGTTTAAATAGATTACTTCTCAATTTTATATTTCTCTTATGTCAGTGTCCAACTATATTACACATTTCACATAAATGTCACTATACTTTTCCTTAAATCCGCTTGTGCTGTCTGGTACTTAAAGTCTTAAATATCATACCCATGTTTGCAATATTGTTTGTAGGCATCTGTGCTTATTTTGGAGATGGCTGATATGATAATTGTGATAATGCAGCCTTTAAATATGCTCTACACCCCTGAGTTGTTTTGGACAACGGTTCAATACAAAATGTCTATAACTGTTAATGTAATGGGAATTGTAATGTATGTGATAATAGAGAATAGTGTTTATTGTACATAAGTGTACAGTTGATCTTCACAATTTGTATTAAAAGCATGTGATATTCTTAAAAGGGAAATAAACTATTTAATGTCCACTGAAATATCTTGCCTCTTGAGAAGCCAAATGTTATTCCCTTTATAATAATGCTCATCAGTGGAGGCAAAATAAAGAGGACACACCCACGGGTTGGTTACCATAGAAACAGTGGGAACGCTACAAACTGCCCGGAGATGGTAAGTTTGTTGCACTCGCATACCGTTCTTGTGCAAATAATGATACAATATTGTAACCTTACACTGTCATGTCATATACAATGCTACACAATGTGTCGAGTAAACACTGAACGTAAAGCGCTACATTGATTTCATCGCCACCCTTTGCTGAACTTTTCAGACGATGTTGGACTTCACTGTAAAACTGAACACCCTTGGCTTCGAGTGTGGATTAAGTGAACATGAAAAAGAATTATTATTCCTTCGTGCACGTGCTACTGGATTGACTGTATGTGGATGTGTACATGCAGCCTTCTTATGCAAACTTGCATATTCATTGAGGTATGCTTGGAAACTCACAACACAATATCCCACACAATACAGTAGAACACTCTAGGCAATCATTTTGTTAGGCCTACTTAAATATATATACAGTTGAAGTCGGAAGTGTACATACACCTTAGCCAAATACATTTAAACTCAGTTTTTCACAATTCCTGACATTTAATCCTAGTAAAAATTCCCTGTTTTATGTCAGTTAGGATCACCACTTTATTTAAAAATCGTGAAACGTCAGAATAATAGTAGAGAATGATTTATTTTAGCTTTTATTTTTTTCATCACATTCCCAGTGGGTCAGAAGTTTACATACACTCAATTAGTATTTGGTAGCATTGCCTTTAAATTGTTTAACTTGGGTCAAACGTTTTGGGTAGTCTTCCACAAGCTTCCCACAATAAGTTGGGTGAATTTTGGCCCATTCCTCCTGACAGAGCTGGTGTAACTGAGTCAGGTTTGTAGGCCTCCTTGCTCGCTCACGCTTTTTCAGTTCTGCCTACAAATGTTCTATAGGATTGAGGTCAGGGCTTTGTGATGGCCACTCCAATACCTTGACTTTGTTGTCCTTAATCCATTTTGCCACAACTTTGGAAGTATGCTTGGGGTCATTGTCCATTTGGAAGACCCATTTGCGACCAAGCTTTAACTTCCTGACTGATGTCTTGAGATGTTGCTTCAATATATCCACATAATTTTCCTTCCTCATGATGCCATCTATTTTGTGAAGTGCACCAGTCCCTCCTGCAGCAAAGCACCCCCACAGCATGATGCTGCCACCCCCGTGCTTCACGGTTGGGATGGTGTTCTTCGGCTTGCAAGCTACCCCCTTTTTCCTCCAAACATAACGATGGTCATTATGGCCAAACAGAGGACATTTCTTTGTCCCCATGTGCAGTTGCAAACCGTAGTCTGGCTTTTTTATGGCGATTTTGGAGCAGTGGCTTCTTCCTTGCTGAGCGGCCTTTCAGGTTATGTCGATATATGACTCGTTTTACTGTGGATATAGATACTTTTGTACCTGGTTCCTCCAGCATCTTCACAAGGTCCTTTGCTGTTGTTCTGGGATTGATTTGCACTTTTCGCACCAAAGTACGTTCATCTCTAGGAGACAGAACGCGTCTCCTTCCTGAGCGGTATGACGGCTGCGTGGTCCCATGGTGTTTATACTTGCGTACTATTGTTTGTACAGATGAACGTGGTACCTTCAGGCGTTTGGAAATTGCTCCCAAGGATGAACCAGACTTGTGGAGGTCTACAATGTTTTTTTCTGAGGTCTTGGCTGATTTCTTTTGATTTTCCCATGATGTCAAGCAAAGAGGCAGTGAGTTTGAAGGTAGGCCTTGAAATACATCCACAGGTACACCTCCAATTGACTCAAATTATGTCAATTAGCCTATCAGAAGCTTCTAAAGCCATGACATCATTTTCTGGAATTTTCCAAGCTGTTTAAAGGCACAGTCAACTTAGTGTATGTAAACTTCTGACCCACTGGAATTGTGATAAAGTGAATTATAAGTGAAATAATCTGTCTGTAAACAATTGTTGGAAAAATTACTTGTGTCAAGCACAAACTAGATGTCCTAACCGACTTGCCAAAACTATAGTTTGTTAACTCGAAATTTGTGGAGTGGTTGAAAAACAAGTTTTAATGACTCCAACCTAAGTGTATGTAAACTTCCGACTTCAACTGTGTATATATATATATATATAGATGAGAAAGGCCTTAACTCTAAAACACATTTTCTTTTTTGTAGAGAAAGCATTGGCCTACCTAGACAATTTGCAGATATAGATACGGTTTTACTGCCATCAAATGTATCTAAAAAAGGAAAAGGTCTGACTGTTGGTGTGCTTGGAGGGGGACACATTGGAAAACAGCTGGTCCAAGTGCTTCTTGAAAAGAATGGCCTAAAACCATCACAAATCAACATTTCCTCCAGGAGGCCTGAAACTCTAGGTAATTGAAAAATAAAATGAAAGGAACAAATGGCATAAACTACAAATATAACAATGTATTGAATGTAATATATTTTCACCTTGTAAATAACAGAGGAATTTGTGAAGAGGGGTATCATGTGTTACTTTGACAACCAGCGATTGGTGGCCTGGGCAGATGTGCTGTTCCTCTGTTGCCTTCCCTCTCACCTACCCAAGGTGTGTGCAGAGCTCCAATCCCACCTGCCAAAGCACTGCCTGGTGTACAGCTTCCTCTCTGCCGTACCTTTAAACAGGTAAAAACTAATTTAAAAGATCTCCAAAACCCTTGTGTTATTGGCAAGAAATATTACCTGCCATTCAAATCATTGTCCCGAAAAACATTTCCTCAAAAACTCATATCTTTGTATAACTCCATCCACACCTGCTGGATTCTATATTATGTTTTTTTTTTAAGATTGGCACAGCTTCTTGGTCACAGCTTCATTCTCAAACCACAGTATGAGTTTGTGGCTTGTGACTCTGTCAACATGTGGCTTTCCCGAGGTCATGTGACCATGGCTTTGAAAGACCCAGAAGTAATAGATGCATCCTGTCCTCTTGCCATGAGAGGTTGGTAATTATTGGTGTGGACACTTACTGCATATTTACTGTACGAAATGTAAATGTCTGATGGTATATTCAGACATACAAGATAAGATATCTGATCCATTTTCCTATTTAGGTGGGCTCTGTCTGGATCCAAAGTGGCTGTTTGGGTTGTTGTACAGTCTCTTGAACATGTGCACCGCGGCAAATGTGGGATCCACTGAAGCCCTTGGGCTGATCAATGAGCTGTTCCAGTTAAAAGGTCCAGGCACTGTGGCATTCATCCTGAATAATTTTGTCAATTCCTCCTATGCATCTTCCCTGACGCCAGATGAGTAAGTTTTCATTTTGCACACATTTTGTACAAAGGGTTTTTCTAATGAGAAAAGTTAACTTACATATTTAATGTAACCTGTGTTGAAACTCAAAAATACCCAGGAATAGAATGACAAACATATACTTTTTTTTAACACAAATTAATGATTTGGCTAACTAATCATCATTTTTCATTTGCCTCCCATGTTGTCAAGGTCTTTCCCCTGGATTAATTTAGTTGATGTTCAGTCTAAGGAGACACCATTATCGTGCTTTATATCGAGAAACAACATTATGCAGGATTGCGTCTCTGCTCTATACAATTCAGTAATGGTGGCTCCACTGAAGGGAAAGAAAGAGACTGGAAAACCCAATGATGGAACTGTCTGTCATAACACCAAATCATTGTAAAACATCTGATATTGTGTGATGTTGATTTACTCACAAACTGTAACAGAGTAAAATAAAGGGATTGAGTATATTTTGTATCAGATCAATTCATTTACTCTGTAAAATGTATAACAATCTCAGGTTATCATCAGGGCATGGACATAAGGATGGGGACCATCCATACATCTATCCATACATCATCAACCAACACCAGGCAATCATTTCTCCACTGCTTTATTCAGTGTTCATCATCATAATCATCAAGCTGTAGGCCTAGTTGACGTGGCTTTGTCTGCACACGAAATCCTGAAATGTATCCCTCAACGAAGTCTTAGTATTCCCAGAGTGTAATGAACATTTTGATTTGTCAGTCACGGTAATATTACTGTACCTGCAGAGGCAAGTAGAGAGGAAACAACTTTCTCACGATTAACATCGTCAAATTCCGCTAATACTCGTTAAATTACGGCAATACCAAAATCTGTTATTTTCTGGATGAGAATTTTTCTGCGCAGTCTGAACGGAGTTTTGACAGATCAGATAACGTTGGCTCGTGTGCTACCTACATTTCCGGAGAAAAACCTGGAACTAGCCAAGCAGGAATACAACAAATCATTATCACATGATTATCTCAGGTAGGTTTTTTATTTAATTATAACTTGTTGACGAGTAACAATATGTCGCATAGATCCAAAGAATGTCAGATGATCATAAGACTAGCTAGCTAGCATATACGAAGGCTATAGCTAGCTAGCATATACGTCCAGCTCAGCAGGGTGCAGTCATTGCTCCGCGGGGACAGCAGCTTGCTACTAACAGCAAAATTGGTTACAAATGTTGAAATTATGTGACCAAAAAGATAGCTAGAAATGTAACTTTGTAACTGCGCGCGCATCAGTCGGGCTTTGACGTTAGCTAGCTAGCTAGGCAGCATCGCATTAGTGGAAACCAATACCGTTCTCAGGGCAGACCTGGTTGTAGCTATATGTTTGAGTCGCGTCGGGAACAATTTTAGCTAACGCTTTTCCTAACCTTAACCTAATTATCATAACCTGCCATGTTAATTCTCCTAACCTGCTGCGTATGTTCTCCTATCCTGTTACGGAAAGTCACTTCTGCTGGTCAAAACCGGCAGACACGCCCTGACAACAGTCTTGGTTCCCACTAATGCGATACAGCATTTTGTTTGTTTCATTCTGTATTTGTTTTTCTTTTATGCATGATCTGAATGCCTTCCAGACATTCTCCTCTGATATGATGGTAAACTGCAATTTAGTGCTAAAGACAAGTGTGTGCGTGTGCGAGAGAGAGAGGAGGGAATACAGTACGCGATTTAGAGCGAGACTGAAAAGTGTTTATGCATTCATTTTAGCGATGGAGAAATTAGAGGCTACATCCGAGCTTCAATCAAGATTGACAGCGTTGTCGGTTTCCTCTTTCCCAGGGATAACGTCGAAAAACTGGGAGACCAATCCGCTAGACAGGTAACTCACCTGTTGCTGATTCCTACTTTGATATTTTGCTTTTTAGCTACTGTACTTCGTTCCTGAAACGTGCTATAACTGAATACAATTGAAATACATCACAAAAATGTTGAATATTTGTAATGCATTGACGGTTTTTATGTATGCCTCACATAGCACAATTGCATTGTTTGTTGAATTGTGATTAGAAATTTGATTAGACTGGTCATCTGTCTGTGTACAGGCTCCAGAGCACAGACCTCTCAAATAACTCCAACCACCCCATAAGCAACCCTGATATGGATGGAACGAATGACACAGAGGGGTCCGACCAGCCAGCTGAGGTAAACATCATGTCTGCCTAAAAAATGACATGGCAATGAAATGAATTGGCAGTAATGAATATACTGCAAGCACCTATAGACTTGTTGCATGTGTGTGTTTTCAGGTTGATCAGGAGGCTCCTGGTGGGCAGCAGGCAATGGGGGGAGATGTTGAGGAGAACAGCCGAAGTGGGAATAGTCAAAACCCTGGAGAGAGAAAAGGTGACACACTAGTGTTTCACAACTACTGACACTTAAGAGAACTCATATCTTTCATCCATGTTCTGATGTCTGTATCGCAACTTACTGATAAAAGAATGATCATACTGAAAATATAAATTTGACAAAGGATCTCTAATTGTGTGATACTCTACTATCACACACATTTTGAACACTCTCTGCTCATGTTTGGTTCCCATGTTGTCCTCACATATGGTCTATGGTTGTGCTCTAGCCCAAATGCCCCCACTAAAGCCTCCCTCCACGTGGACGTCCATGGCGATGAAGGAGCTCAAGGCCAAGCTGCGACTGGAAAAGGACAGTGTGGTGACAGTGTACAGAGGAGACATTATGACCGTACATGTGCCCACTGTCCATGAGGGAAAGCGAGTGTGCTGGGAGTTTGCCACAGATAGCTATGACATAGGCTTTGGAATCTACTTTGACTGGACCCCTGTCACCAGCCGTGCCATCACAGTCCACATCAGCGAATCCAGTGATGAGGAAGATGAGGATGAGCTAGAAGGTCAGTAAGCACCTCCTTTTGGTTTGAAATGTGTTTAGTTACCAACACATTTTTTATATTTCATAATCTGAAAAGTTTAGGAATATCTTTGATAATAACTGATCTCAGATCTTGTAATTCATCTAACTGCTTCTTATTCATTTAGTTGAGGTTGTTGTCTTGAAGACTATTTGTGTTGTCTCCTGCAGGACCTGTCAACACAGGGGATGTTGAGAAGGGGTCCAAATCATTGGCCAACTCCAACCTAGGGGAAATCTTACCTGTGTATCGTCAGGACAGTCACATGGCAGTGCAAGGTGGCAGTCATGAGTATCCAGGCGAGGGCACTTACCTTCTGAAGTTTGATAACTCCTACTCGCTATGGCGAAATAAGACTCTGTACTACAGAGTGTATTACAGTGCGTGAGGATCCAGTCCACTATTGCATATGAATGTATGACTTTGAAGAATTATGATATCTATTTTTGATTCCATAGAATATGTTAGGGTTAATTATAGGTGCATATATTTTTTATCACAATCAGCTGGTGTTGCTCGCTCCTAGGCTACATTTAAAATGTGAGAGGACAAGAGAATTATGGAGTGGGAAATTTTTTTCATATGTTTTACTATGTTTATAGAGCAAGATTTTACGAAGCTTTTTGTTTGTGCCATGTTCTGGTGTTTAAAAGTTTTGTGCAGTGAGTTAAGGCAAATTGCCCATATTTTCAAGATATATGTTCTATATATATATATAGTATATATTTTATTCAGACACAATTTCAGTGGCGGCAGCAATCAGGAAACACTGATAGAAAGATGATTGCTATGTCAAAAGCTTAAACAGGAGAGATGCTCTATAGAACTGGGAGGTTTTCTTTTTGTGTCTACACATTGTTTGATATCATATAATGTTGGTGTGTACTTGATGTGTCACTTTTTTGCAGAATTTTGTTTTTAAACGTTGTCAACTTGAATTGTATGATAATCCCAATGCAGCATCTAAAACAATGTTCAGTACAACAATTCCATTATTTTTCTGCAAATATTGATTGGAATGAGTAATTATGTTGATGAAAGTATATTGAATGTTGCTCCGAGTCCAATGCAAAGCAAATGGTCACCCCCTGTCTTTTTTTTATGACACAAATAAAAGCCATCCCCTATCACAAAAAGCTCTTATGTAATACTGGTTCAATATTTACATTGCCAAATCCCTATTTAGTTTGCTGGTTGTCAGGCGGTGGGTTGATCTTGGTGGACAATCACATGAGACTATTGTAGATACTAACAGATTCAAAATATTTCTGAATGACTTGGATTGTCCCTTTAAAGTAAAATGTTATGCACCGATCTCTGTAAAGGAAGATCATTTTGAGTGTGTGTCTTTTCTGTGTTGTGTAGCTCTGTATGCACCTAATCGTGTTCGTAATTTGATTATAGCCGCCCACATGTAATTCCCTAAAATGTTTGTACCTCATCCATCTGTGTTGTGCATGTTTCCAAAGATATCATGAATTGTGCTGCTAAAATATAAGGCAACTGAAAATAAGTTTCAGCTTTGTACTGTACAGTATGTGTTTCTGTTTGTTATAAGCTTTCCTGAAACGTTTTTTCACAATAAAGAAGAAAGATTCTCTCATTTGCATTACGGTATGTTACATTTCTACAGCTCTGCCTCATTTGCTTCATGGTACCATGAAGTAGTCAAGTATAGAGAGCTTGGTCTAAGCCAATTAATATCAAGACTTTTGGGGTTTATTACAGTAATGGCCGGCTCTATGTGAAAGCATTGGTGTTAACCTGAGTGCTACCTGAGTGGCCCTGTGTAGCTCAGTTGGTAGAGCATGGCAACGCCATGGTTGTGGGTTCGATTCCCACGGGGGGCCAGTATGATTTTTTTTTTTATGTACTCACTTACTGTAACTCACTCTGGATAAGAGATTCTGCTAAATGACTAAAATATAAATGCTACATAACCCTCTGAACTGAAAGCATATACACTACATGACCAAAAGTATGTGGACACCTGCACGTCGAACATCTCATTCCAAAATCATGGGCATTAATATGGAGTTGGTCCCCTCCTTTGCTGCTATAACAGCCTCCACTCTTCTGGGAAGGCTTTCCACTAGATGTTGGAACATTGCTGCGGGGACTTGCTTCCATTCAGCCACATTCGGGCAGGTAGCTTTCTCCTGGCATCTGCCAAACCCATATTCATCCGTCGGACGGCCAGATGGTGAAGCATGATTCATCACTCCAGAGAACGCGTTTCCACAGCTCCAGAGTCCAATGGCGGCGAGCTTTACACCACTCCAGCCAATGATTGGCATTGCGCATGGTGATCTTAGGCTTTTGTGAGGCTGCTCGGCCATGGGAACCCATTTTAAGAAGCTCCCGACGAACAGTTCTTGTGCTGACGTAGCTTCCAGAGGCAGTTTGGAACTCGGTAGTGAGTGTTGCAACCAAGGACAGACCATTTTTACACGCTACGTGCTTCAGCACTCGGCGGTCCTGTTCTGTGAGATTGTGTGGCCTACCACTTTGCGGCTGAGCCGTTGTTGCTCCTAGACATTTCCACTTCACAATAACAACACTTACAGTTGACCGGGGCAGCTCTAGCAGGGCAGACATTTGACGAACTGACTTGTTGGAAAGGTGGCATCCTATGATGGTGCCATGTTGAAAGACACTGAGCTCTTCAGTAAGGCCATTATTGTCAATGTTTGTCTATGGAGATTGCATGGTGGTGTGCTCGATTTTATACACCTGTCAGTAATGGGTGTGGCTTAAATAGCCGAATACACTAATTCACATACTTTTGTATATATAGTGTATTTAGAGGTTTTGGAGGATAGAAGTAATATCCTTGGTCATCCAATGTAATTTTGTCTTATTAGCTATAAAGCAAGGGGATAGCCTGCAACTGCTGAAATGACAAGATCACTTGGATAACCGGAATTGTTTAACTCATTCTGAAAATTGAGGCCATGACAGAAAACGCTACAGTATAGGATTTGATCATAAGAGCCAACCTGTCTCACACATACAGAATAAGGCCAATGCTCTTATGGGAGTTTGTCCCATGACTCTCCATTAAGAACAATCATGAGGGAGTTGAGAGCTGATGAAATATCAACATGGTTTTATTTTGAGCTGTTCCCAAACGTAATCAGAGGACGATAGAACGAGGTCACGCGACCCCCATGCAGAAGGGTAAAATGCGCCGCCTAATGGTAAAGATTTGGACTAGATCTGTGCACATAAAGAGAGCAGCCTAAGGGGAGAGAGAGAGAGAGAGAGAGAGAGAGAGAGAGAGAGAGAGAGAGAGAGAGAGAGAGAGAGAGAGAGAGAGAGAGAGAGAGAGAGAGAGAGAGAGAGAGAGAGGAGAGAGAGAGAGAGAGAGAGAGAGAGAGAGAGAGAGAGAGAGAGAGAGAGAGAGAGAGAGTGAAGTGGTGTGGTGGTGGTTGGAAGAGCGCACTTATTTGAAATGGAAAAGTGTCACGGTAGCTATTGATAAAAAAGAACATCAAGACGCGCTCTGTGGGATGCACTGTTGAGCGCTACATCCCGAGGGGTTCATGCTGATTGTATGGAGATTGTGACAGCCGGTTAAATGGTGTCCCTTGAGATGGCAAGAACAAGATGTATGTCAGGAGAAGTGCAGTATTATCATAAGGAGACGTATACTTGGAATACGGAGGAGGAATGGAGGGGAAAAGAGAGGCTGAGGAGGTCTAAGAGAGAGAGGGAGGAAGAGGAAGAGGGTGAGATTGAGTCGGTTAAAAATGGCGGGAAAAAAGGAGATGGTTTGTTAAAGAAGAATGGTAGAAAGTATAAGCAGAGTGAGCTGAAGACAGGAAGAGAAATGGAAGTGAATGAGGGTTTCCAGGGTTAGAGTAATACAGAAGTTGTCATATGCTGAGGCAGTGAAGAAAGTAGAGGAAGATGGGTCAAGGGGGAGGGATCCTGAGAGGAGTGGTGTGAGTAGTAGATCTGTACCAGTATAGCGGGATAGGCCAACAAGTGATATATGTTTCAGTAAGATTGGATTTTCAGCGTTTATAGCAACGGTTATCAACTGTAATGCCGGAATGGAAAGTAAGTAGCAGAAAATTGAGGTTGTGGTGGCAGCTGCAGAGAGGTATATATAATAATAATAATAATAATATGCCATTTAGCAGACGCTTTTATCCAAAGCGACTTACAGTCATGCGTGCATACATATATATATTTTTTTGCGTATGGGTGGTCCCGGGGATCGAACCCACTACCTTGGCGTTACAAGCGCCCTGCTCTACCAGCTGAGCTACAGAGGACGTCTTGGGTGTTCAAGACTTGACATCAGAAGAGTTACAGGGTGTGTTAAGTGGTGGTGTCCCATCCTTTCAGGTTGTTGGCCTGAGGTAGGACTAAATAGATTGAAATAGTGGAGTATTTGTTTTAATATTTTTTTGTTTTGTGATTGTAGTGTTAGATGGTAGGGTATTTGTTTTTTTTCAAGCAAAGTATAAGGGAGTTGTACTCCAGTCTAGTAGGTGGCAGTAATGCAACATTTATTGGATGCCAACCGCCGTTAAACCTCATCAAAGAAGAAGATCTTTGCACACAGCAACCCTCTAGAGCAGATCAAACAGTTCTTTCACCTGTAGTGGATTTGGCGAGCAACTTGGCCTGGTGCATTTGGGACAATCTTTGTTTTTACATTTTAGTAATTTTAGCAGACGCTCTTATCCAGAGCGACTTACAGTTAGTGAGTGCATACATTATTTTATTTTTCATACTGGCCCCCCGTGGGAATCGAGCCCACAACCCTGGCGTTGCAAACGCCATGCTCCACCAACTGAGCTATATCCCTGCCGGCCATTCCCTCCTCTACCCTGGACGACGCAGGGCCAATTGTGCGCCGCCCCATGGGTCTCCCAGTCACGGCCGGCTACGACCAGGATCTCTAGTGGCACAGCTAGCACTGCGATGCAGTGCCTTAGACCACTGCGCCACTCGGGAGTACAGATCAAACAGTTTCGCAGTTTCTAAACGACACGCCCCTTTCACCTGTAGTTGCTCTGGCGAGCAACTTGGCCTGGTGCAATTGGGACAACTTCGTTAACAGAAATCTGTTCAACTTCTCCAAATCTGCAGTTTTGTTGTGGAGAAAAGATGGGACGCCTGACCTCTTTTGTAATCTGGTCCTTTTGTGAGTCACCCCGTCTAATTTTCAGTTAGCTATCAGGTTTTTGGTTGTTTAATTTCTTTTAAAGTGGGCACGCAGCAAACCCCCAATTTGAGCCAACATTATTCCCAATCTTTATCCTTGCTGCAGTTCACAGCAGAAATGTTTTGTCGGTGTCTTTCCCAATATTAGAACTCTGAATTAATCAGAGGTCTTATATTGGGCTATCCTTATCTCTTGGAGCAAGTCCAATTGCCATTGCCACTGCCCAAACAACTTGTGGTATTCGGTCTTGGGGGAATGGACGTCCTTATCAAGCAAGACAACCATTTCAATTGATGTTCTGGTTAGCCAGGACGTGAAGCTGCAGGGGATTGGTACTCTGTCAGCCCAAACTAGGTACATTAGACCTACATTCATTCTAATTAATAACAATTGCAAAAATGCCCATATATAAGGTCTATATTGCCTGTTTTGAAGGTGCTTGACTTGGGAGGGAGATTAGAATGCTGACCTTGTCCAAGAGGCAACAGAGAAAGGGAGGAGAGGAGTGTATGGGAAGATTTTGGTCACTGTTTGTGAGATATGGTTTCTAGGTTGCCATTTTGTACATGTTCAATATATACTGAACAAAAATATAAACGCTACATGCAACAATTTCATAGATTTTATTGAGTCACAGTTCATATGAGGAAATCAGTCAATTTAAATAAATTCATTAGTCCCTAATCTATGGATTTCACATGACTGGGAATACAGATATGCATCTGTTGGTCACAGATACCTTTAAAAAAAAATGGGCCTCAGGATCTCATCATGGTATTTACATTTTACATTTTATATTTTAGTCATTTAGCAGACGCTCTTATCCAGAGCGACTTACAGTTAGTGAGTCCATACATTTTTTCATACATTTCTTACAATAACAATTTACTCAGTCATTGTTTGTAAGCCATTCATGTAGTTCATTCAACTTAAACAATGTCCTATGAGACAACACAACTATTCAAGGAAGTAACAACCTTTTTACTCCATCCACATAGCATTTAGTCATTGTGTATGTGCACCATCATTGCCCCAGTGCTGCATACTTTAGGAATGACAAAAGCAGCAATATGATCATAGGTTGCAGGATCAACATTAAGTTCTTTAAAGAACGTATAAACATGAAGTATGATTACAAAAATACATATAGGCAAGCACAAACAATGTGCAAATGGAACTTCATCCCTTGCGATGACATTTTCCGTCTTGCTTTAGTTGGTTGTTGTATTGTTCAAATCACATTACAATCACACCCATGAAGAGAAGTCGTAGGACCATCAGCAAACTTAGTCCTGCCATGATACCACCTGTCATTATTTTCCCAGATTTCTTGAATCTCATTCCCCATCACTATTATCAGCGCTCCTGAGGCAACGAGGGAGTAGAAAGTCTTGGTTGGGTCATTTGAAATCATGAAGGCCCCATAGGCTGCTATGCTGCCAAACAATAGCCCAGTTATCAATGACATGACACTACCTTTTATCTTGTATCCCATGAATCCCCCAAGGGCTATGGCTGCAGCGTAGCCAAATCCAAGCCAGTCAATTGCCGTTGCAGTGCTGGTATCTGCTAATTTAAATGTAAAATAAATGAGTAAAAATTTACGCCTACACTTCTGTGCTCCCTATGAGTTTGTTCGTTTTGCATGGCCCGGTTTCTTTCTGTGCATTCAAATTGCCATCGATAAAATGCAATTGTGTTCGTTGTCCGTAGCTTATGCCTGCCCATACCATAACCCCACCGCCACCATGAGGCACTGTTCACAACGTTGACATCAGCAAACCGCTTCCCACACCGGTTGTGAGGCCGGTTGGACGTACTGCCAAATTCTCTAAAACAATGTTGGAGGTGGCTTATGGTAGAGAAATTAATATTACATTCTCTGACAACAGCTCTGGTGGACATTCTTGCAGTCAGCATGCCAATTGCACGCTCCCTCAAAACTTGAGACATCTGTGGCATTGTGTTGTGTGACAAAACTGCACATTTTAGAGTAGCCTTGTATTGTCCCAGCACAAGGTGCACCTGTGTAATGATCATGGTGTTTAATCAGCTTCTTGATATGCCACACCTGTCAGGTGGATGGATTATATTGGCAAAGGAGAAATGCTCACTAACAGGGATGTAAAAAAATTTGTGCACAACATTTGAGAGAAATAAGCTTTTTGTGCATATAGAACATTTCTGGGATCTTTTGTTTCAGCTCATGAAACATGTTGCATTTATATTTTTGTTCTGTGTAGTTATTGTGACACCTGTCACATTATGAATGAAACACTGACCAGATACTCCATTCCTCTTGGCATGAATCTGGAATGATTAAAAACGCTGCCTACATAATGTACCAGTATCTTTAATTGTTATTCAACTCTTTCCTCAAAAAGAATGAATCCAGTTTCATCAGCAATACTCCGCTTGTGCCAAGAAAACACTCCAGCCCAGTCGAGCACAACAGCCATCTCGCCCATACTCTACTCAACACCTCTGGGAGTCAGAGGGTGAGTTACAGGGGTTCCAAAGGCAGGGGTTTCTACTAGTTTGCTATGGATTTATCTAGACCTGTCACTACTTTTGATTTTATGAGGCATTTATCCATATAGTGGTCTACATTGTAATTTTTTATTAAATGAAACAGGAAACTAAAGTGTATGTATGATTCACACTTTGCCGATTACAACCTCCAACTCCTCACATCTAGGAGACAGCATTTGCTATGCCTGACAAGACAGAAATCGATGACGCTTTACCTGAGAAACCCTGTATTTGGCCTATGGTAGGCCTCATGCTTGAATATGATACTTTCCAAGTAGGGCATAGCCGCGGGAAGTAGGGGTGCTGAGAGTGCTGCACCCCACCGATAAATCACAATTACAATTTAATTAATATACAGTACTTGTCAAAAGTTTGGACACACCTACTCATTCAAGGGTTTTTCTTTATTTTTTACTATTTTCTACATTGTAGAATAATAGTGAAGACATCAAACTATGAAATAACACATATGGAATCATGTAGTAACCAAAAAAAAAAGTGTTAAACAAATCAAAATATATTTAAGATTTTAGATGCTTCAAAGTAGCCACCCTTTGCCTTGATGACAGCTTTGCACACTCTTGGCAGTCTCTCAACCAGCTTCATGTGTAATGGCTCTGTTACATTAGGCTTGGATGTCATTAAGTCTTCAGTAACAGTTTTATTGTGGCCACTGAAGGCTGTAGCCTAGCCTAATTTGCTATTTTCCTGGAGGGGGATGTTGATTGTCAGTTATGGTGCAAGTGATTACTTTTTATCACAGTGTTGTCAGGTGTCTGACATTACATTATGGGTCGTTAACATTTTTGTATAGATTTTTTAAAAAGTGGCATTCTCCCCATTTGAGAAATGGTATAGGCACCAGATCTAACAAGCAACATCTGTCCTCTGTTCTAGATATGTTCTCACCAATGTGTGCCATCACATGGTAGAGCTGAAAGCAAATAACTTTCTATCTACATTTCAATTTTTTAAGCATGGTTTAATCAACCGCTGCTTGAGATTAGCTGAACTTCAGCTATTTTACTAAACCAATTATTAAACAAATTGCAGACAGACATTTTCACTTTCCTTGTGTATACCAGTCGGCTGGTATTGGGCACTTTCATGTTTTCTATTGTATTTATCCTCACAAATCCACTATGTTCCGGTGTCATGTTGGGCATATGTCAAGATGGGGGAATGTACTGTATGAGAGGTTAAAATGTACATATTCAAACTCAACTTCTCATCATACAAGTAATAAATGGTCTTAACCCAAACATTCTTTATTTTAGTCTTATTTCAAGTCACGAGATTGAAACCAAATGATTAATATCAAAGCATTTTATTGAAGTATTCAATGATGGTGGCACTACTGGCTCCTTTAGATATCAGAGGGGTTATCATGTACATATGTCAGCAGGTGTGTCTGGTTGGCAAGATGGATGACTCACTTTGAAAGCATCTACCTTCAGTAAGGTTTGGTTTAGTCTTTTGATAGTTGGGAACTGATCAACATCCACTTTGAACCTGTTGGGAAAATGTAAAAGTCTCTCTTCATGTGGGTTGTATGTTCAGTGTAAAATCAGTGCTGTGGTGTTTTTCTGTTACAGTTCTGACTGAATGATGGAGGGTGCCTTACCGTTCAGCATTATAGACTTGAGGGACAAGACAGATGTCAGCCATGGAGATCTAAGAGGTAAACATTATTTAGTTAAATCAAGAATTCCTCAACTTGAAGTGAGGTCTACTGTAGATCAACGTCACACATTCATACTGACTCTACACACATTCACATACAATCATATACAGTGCCTTCAGAAAGTATTCACACCCCTTGACTTTTTCCACATTTTGTTGTTAGTCTGAATTTAAAATTGATTAAATTGAGATTGTGTCACTGGCCTACACACAATACCCCATAATATCAAAGTGGAATTATGTTTAGACATTTTTAGAAATTAATTAAGATGAAATGTCTAGAGTCAGTAAGTTTTCAACTCCTTTGTTATGGCAAGCCAAAATAAGTTCAGGAGTAAACATTTTCTTAACAAGTCACATAATAAGTTGCATGGACTCAATCTGTGTGCAATAATAGTATTTAACATGATTTTTGAATGAGTACCCCACACATACAATTATCCTTAAGGTCCCTCAGTCGAGCAGTGAATTTCAACAACAAAGACCAAAGAAGGGCACCTATTGGTAGATGGGTAAAAAAAAATGCTGATAATAAATATCCCTTTGAGCAAAGTGAAGTTATTAATTACACTTTGGATGGTGTATCAATACACACAGTCACTACACAGACACAGGCGTCTTTCCTAACTCAGTTGCTGGAGAGGAAGGAAACCGCTCAGGGATTTCACCATGAGGCCAATGGTGACTTTAAAACCTTTACAGAGTTTAATGGCTGTGATGGGAGAACTGAGGATGGATCAACAACATTCTAGTTACTCCACAATACTAAGTGAAAAGAAGGAAGCCTGCACAGAATAAACATATTCCAAAACATGCATCCTGTGTAAATAGGGTACTAAAAGTAAAACTGCAAAAAAAAAAAAAGGCAAATAAATGAACTTTATGTCCTAAATACAAAGTGTTATGTTTGGGGCAAATCCAACAACACACCACTCTTCATATTTTCAACCATGGTGGTGGCTGCATCATGTTATGGGTATGCTTGTCATCGGCAAGGACTAGGCAGTTTTTTAGGTTAAAAAAACTGAATAGATTAAGCACAGGCAAAATCCTAGAGGAAAACCTGGTTCAGTCTGCTTTCCAACAGACACTAGGAGACAAATTCACCTTTCAGCAGGCCAAATCTACACTGGAGTTGCTTACCAAGACAACATTGAATGTCCCTGAGTGGCCTAGGTACAGTTTTGACTTAAATCAGCTTGAAAATCTATGGCAAGACTTGAAAATGGCTATCTAGCAATGATCAAGAACCAACTTTACAGAGCTTGAAGAATTTTTAAAAGAATAATGTACAAATATTGTACAATCCAGGTGCGCAAAGCTCTTAGACTTAACCAGAAAGACTCACAGCTGTAATCGCTGCCAAAGGTGATTCTAACATGTATTGACTCAGGGGTGTGAATACTTATGTAAATTTGATATTTCTGTACATTTTCTAAAATGTATAAACATTTTCACTGTCATTATTGGGTATTGTGTGTAGATGGGTGAGAAAAATATCTACTTAATCCATTTTGAATTCAGGCTGTAACAACAAAATGTGGAATAAGTCAAGGGGTATGAATAGTTTCTAAAGGCACTGTATGCTGCTGCTACTCTGTTTATCATATCTATGATGCCTAGTCACCTTACCCCTATACAAATCTAACCCTACCACTCCAGTATCCCCCCTGCACATTGTAAATATGGTATTGGCACCAACCCTGGAATTGCCCCTGTAAATAGCTTACCTTGTGTTCTTATTTCTATTTCTCGTGTGTTTTTGTTCTACTTGACTTTTATTTTTTTTGTACTACTGATATTGATGACTGCATTGTTGGGAATGAGCAAGCAAGAAAGTCATTTCACTCTACTTGTGCGCGTGACAATAAAAAAACCTAACTTGAGATACTTAGCTTAACACTGCCAATGTGTTTTTATGTGATGAACGAGTGTCTCCTCACCTCGTCCCCTACGCAGTACTTGCTAGCCGTCTCATTCAGAATGGGCTCCAGGGCTGAGGAGAAACACACAGGGACATGGAGTCAGGCCTGTAATGGTTGTCTGGAGATGAGCTATAGTGGCACGTTGAATGTAAGGCTATTCTAGCCACCTTCAAAACCTCTTTGGATGAAATGCTGCGCCCACTGCACCTTCTCTGCTCCTATCTTCTGTAGCACATACAAATTCTGAAATACAAGATGATCAGACATGATTGAGTACCTCTACAGTCATCATCATCATCATCATCATTGTTGCAATGGCTGTTAAACCACGATGTCAGCATGTCTGAGGTTCTGCCATCTGATTTTGCTTTCCTTCAATACAGTAAACCAAGTTTGTTTTGCAAACTAGGTCAGAGATCTGCAGTGGACTGGTGTGCTTTCAATTTGTTGTATACTTTTCTCTCGTTTACCCACTTTCTTTGTGCTGTAATTCACTCACCTGCACAGGCTGGATCCCGGAGGCGATGAGGTCAGAGATCATGCGCACCTGGGCACGCTTCTTTGGGTCTGCAGGGAGAAGCCTGGGTCCTGGTCTGGTCTCCTCAATGTACTGGATCACTGCCAGCTGAGTGTGAGTGGATAGGTCTTATCAATGCTGTCAGTAGTCAATGTTATATTTAGGGAATTTGGAGCTAGATTTAAGAGGTTATCTTTTGACTTTTATCAGCATCTCAAAAGTACATAACTGTTAACAGTGACAAACCAATAACATTATTGGACTCACTGACTGTGACAGGGTGATGCCATCAATTTGGACAGCAGGCACTTGTTGCATAGGGTTTAATGCCTTGTATTGGTCTGTAAGCTGAAATATACAATAGGTACAGTGTGAGGACATTATATCTGATATACCATTGAGGTTAATTACCTCTACCTGATGAAAAAGCATGATGTGTGAGGAAGTTACCTGCTGACCCCCATCTTTGATCAGATTGACTGGGACTTGGTCAAATTCAATACCTTTCAGAGCAAAAGCTGGAAGAAGCAAAGTAGGTTATTTCTTTCCAGGGTCAAAGTCAGACAATTTTCTAATGCTGTAAAATAGGCAGTGATGTAGAAGACTACATAGTCAAAAGGAACTTACCAATTCGAACCCTCCAAGAGCATGAACTCCTGAAATATCCATGAAGAATGGGCTAAAAGGGAGAAAAGTAAATCAGTTGACGTGATAACAATACAATATTATTATATCTTACTAAAAGGGAGAAAAGTAAATCAGTTGACGTGATAACAATACAATATTATTATATCTTACTAAAGTTAGCTCATTTTTTCACCTTTGTTTGAGTTGCCATAGTATTTAGACAGATCAGGCGTTCAACTACTACAAGTTCCTAATGCTACCAAAAATATCTCAGTTTCTGGCGGCCAATAGAATGCGTTCCCAAATACCCTCCCTGTTTTTTTGGTCTATGACTAAGCACTCTCCCAGTATCTTGTCTGCAAATATTTCCACATGTTTTAGTATCACACACGTGTCTACTTGTTGCAAGCAAGAATTGGTACAACGGGCCTACCTTTGTCAGGCAAGCGAGTGAGAGCCGCATTGCAGGTTATAAGTAGGCTAGAGACAAGTAAACTATTATCGTGTTGGTCATATAAAATGCTTTGACAATGACGTCACAGAATCTACTCTGACTGTTCGATCACGGCTGTCAGTGATACAAACTGGCAATCTTTTCCTTTATCAAGCAGATTATAAATTCCACCGTGTTTCATAAAGGTAGCGCCAACTAATTGTAACAATGTAGCTATTTTCACTTAGTATAAACATTGGCGATAAACTCTGTGACAGACATTACATAAATGAACCAAGTTGAGTGGTCAAAAAGACTGATCCGCGTTTTATCCAATGAAATACTTGCATTGAGAGCTTTTTTCTAATAAAGGCGGTTCGTCTTTAATTGTAAATAGAGATTAGCTAATAGAGTTGCAGTTTCAGCCAATAAGGTTTATATTTTTGTGGGAGGTCTTATTCTAAGCCAATAACTGAGCAGCTATTTCTAGACACTTCCTTCTTTTAAATCCATGTAGTTGAGGGAGTAAGTTTGAAGGGTGTCTCCTGGCCACGGTCCTAGAAGGGGGTTTGGGACATTATTTTGGGATAAATCAAGCAATAAACACATTTTCATCATGGCAACGACTGTAATGAGATCACTGTTGAAGAAAGGGGTAAGAACTCATGTTATATTGCTTTACCCAAGAGTCAATCAAGACACTAACAGCTTTTGAAACACAGGAGGCTGCTGAGGGGAGGACAGCTCATAATAATGGTCACAGTGGAGCCAATGGAATGGCATCAAACATATGGAAACCATGTATTTGATACCATTCCACTGATTCTGCTCCAGCCATTACCACGAGCCTGACCTCCTCAATTAAGGTGCCACCAATGTTTTGAAATGTTTCACATTGTTTACAAAGTGATAGATGCCATATGGCTTGGCTCTTGTCTTGTTCTTGTCTATTCTGTGGGTCACTAAGTTTAAGGAACCATTCCTCCTTAGACCTCTCCTGCTCTTTGTATGGAAAAAAGTATGTGCTTATCATATGCAGCTGCCTGTCAAGCTTTGTACAGCTCTATGACTCCCATGTGTGCTCTCCAGCTAAATTGTTTAATTGATACATTTTTGACTTTTAGTAATCCCTCCAACAATCACTGTAAAATTGACCCCCATGTGCACCTTCATGGCCCTGTTGCACTTCTATGACATTCCGGATTGCCATAGTTGTACATTAATCTCCCGTCCTAACAGAAGGCCTGGAAGTAGGTAGTAGTCCTTTGCTTCTAATGCTATATAGCTGACATTTGAGATGATACTATTCACAATAAATGGATAAACTCATGGATGAGGTATTCTTTACAGCTGACCACTTGCTTCCTCTCAGCAGGTACCTCTTCAGGTCAGGCGCATGTGTTACTCCTCCTCAGTGGTCAGTAATAACAGTTTAATAATACAGTTGAATGATGGTGGTTGTATATGACTACAAACAGATTACCTCTAGAGGATTAATTGTCACACAGATCTGTATTTCTGATAGAAATTTAACATGTTAAACATTTCTCCCGCAGCCCACCACAAAGTTGTTTATTGATGGGAAGTTTGTTGAATCCAAGACTTCAGAATGGTTAGATATTCACAATCCGGTAAGTAACTAGGCCTAATAGAGCTCAAATATAGTCTTCTAAATTGTATTACCCATCGTATTTTATTAGTTGATGCACAGAACATGTGTCACAATGCACAAACAACACCTTGTAAAGTGCAGCCTACTGCTGCACTTTACATTAAGGTCTACTTAGCTGGTTAATCAGTTACCTGAGTTTTGACTTTCAGCATATTATGTTATCCAGTTGCTGTACAAAATTGTCCAAGTTTTCAGCAATGACAAGGTTATAGGTCCATTACTATTATGTAAAATAAAAAGAGCTAGACTTTTATGAGTATACATATAGGTGTGCAATAAATTGTTATAATTCTCAAGAATGCTTTTGCATGAAAGTTCAAAGGTCAGTTAGCTGACACTTTGCTCCTTCGGCCTTCCTTTGCTTTTAGTTTGCTCATATCATAGAGGTTTAGAATGAGATTAGAGCACTCTCAAGAGTCAAAGAAATTCCTCTAGATTGCAATATTTTTGATGAAATGGCCCGATCTGATGGTTTTGTCAGTGTGTGTCAGATCATAATGTGTTGAAGTTATCTGCTCAAGCTGAGCACACAGCTCATACCAATCAAATATATATTTTTATAATCAGGTTACAGTTCACCCACTAATGAATTCTTCCCTCTGACTGTTATAGGCCACCAACGAGGTGATAGCCCGCGTCCCCAAGGCTACACAGGAAGAGATGCTGGCTGCTGTGGACTCCTGCTCACAGTCCTACCACTCGTGGTCTGAAACCTCCATCTTGGCGCGCCAACAGATCTTTCTGCGCTATCAGCAGCTTATCAAGGACAACATTGTACGTCTGTAGCAGGGACAAGAACTTGTAGTACATATGATACAATATCGCTAGAAGCAAAGGTCAAATCTCATAATTCTCTGTTGCACGTTTAACGTCATGCACTTTTGGTTGCACATTGTTTTTCTGTCATGTTTTGGGGTCCAAAGACCGCCCTTGCATGCCCTTTAATTTGAATATTTTATACCATACAAATTCAGCATGGATTTGATTTAATATGAACCCTACTCTCAATGGCACACTTTTAAACATGATAGATACTAGGTCCTTAGGTGATAAGAAAGGAGGAACACCACAATGCCTCCATACTATTTGTTTACAGCTGCTGTTGCTTAGCTTGAGTTACTCATTTTAAATTAAACTGATTTGAGGTGCGTGTTAGCTCATGGTGTATGTGTCTTGTTTTCCAGAAAGAGCTTGCCAGGAGCATTACTATGGAGCAGGGCAAGACCCTGGCAGATGCAGAGGGGGATGTGTTCAGAGGATTGCGTAAGTCTCATGTGCACTGGCTTTTCCAAAGGGCAACATTTAGAGAGATGGTCTATTAGCCTCTGTTAATACTTGTTGCAGCCAAGGAAATGGTTAATCAGTACATTATTTAAGGGTCTAGGTCACTAGTATAAAGAGCTCTTTGGTCTATCACTAATGTGACTCAGTCTCCATATGAGGGATAGTCACACACACATTCTGTGACTGACCCAGTGTTCTCTGTACCTGAATGACACCCACTGTCTCTTCTCCAGAGGTGGTGGAGCACACATGCAGCATCACCTCCCTGATGCTGGGGGAGACTCTGCCCTCCATCACCAAAGACATGGACACCTACACCTTCCGCCTGCCCATCGGGGTGTGTGCTGGCATCGCCCCCTTCAACTTCCCTGCCATGATCCCTCTGTGGATGTTCCCCATGGGCATGGTGTGTGGCAACACCTACCTGCTTAAGCCCTCAGAGCGGGTGCCAGCCTGCACCATGCTGCTGGCCAAGATGCTGCAGGATGCTGGGATGCCAGACGGGACCTTGAACATCATCCATGGCCAGCACGACGGTAAGAAAAAAGCTAAATGTCCCATCACCTGCTGTTCTCTAAGCTATATCTGGAGACATTGGTGCTGTGATGTGAATAATTGAATAATCACTGTGTCTCTATGCTTTGATTCACATGCATTTACAATGCATTGATGTTGTTGTTGCATTACAAAGTGGAGAGATAATGGAGAGATTATGGCTGGCCTGTCAGTGCTCTATGCAAAATGAATCCCTGCTCCGGTCTTTCCCAGCTGTCAACTTCATCTGTGATCATCCGGCCATCAAGGCCATCAGCTTCGTGGGCTCTAACCAAGCCGGAGAGTACATCTATGAGAGGGGATCTAAAAACGGCAAGAGAGTACAGTCCAACATGGTGAGTTTGTGCCATTAATGAACAGAGGGTGGCAGTGTTGGCTTAAAAACGATTGTTGAATGTTGTCCTCTGCTTCTCTTTTCTACCTTGGCTGATTAGCTGTACAGATGAAACAGGGATTCAGATCCAGACAGCCCAGACACTTTGTGGAAAAGATTGAGTGGAAATGTGTCATTTATCTTATTTGACACATTCCCACAATAATGATCTACAAATGAAATGCATTGACGTAATATAAAGCACTTACAATATTGTACTTTTTATTGTTCTTTGAGAGGATGAACTTTCGAGACCATCTCTGATCTAATCTGCATGCAACCACATTGAAGGCATTGCATCAATGCTGCGTAATACATTTTGCAGTCAAACTTTTTCCATTATGTAATCCAACATTTGAACTTGATATGTGTGCAACAAAAGTTAATAATTCCCCTTTTGCTACTATTTCTGTCAAGTTTATGCATACAATTTGATGCATACTTTGGATATATCCAACGTATGCACCACACAGAACGCACTGCAACTGCCTCTGCAGTGCAGCGTTCCATTGGAAATGAATGTACTGCTGGTGTTCCAAAACGCAATGAAGCTGTCGGTCTGATCGAGACGTAATGTGCATTATTTGAATTGGATCACTTTTCCCTGGTATTCAGATCATGGGTATTCAGATCGAGGGACAGGAGGCTAAACATTTCCCACCCTTATGCTCTGCTGTAGGGAGCAAAGAATCATGGTGTGGTGATGCCTGATGCAAATAAGGAGAACACTCTGAACCAGCTGGTGGGTGCGGCATTCGGGGCAGCAGGACAGCGCTGCATGGCTCTCTCCACGGCCATCCTGGTGGGCGAGGCCCGCAGCTGGCTGCCTGAACTGGTGGAACGTGCCAAGGCTCTGCGAGTTAACGCAGGTACCCCACCCTCTCACCCTGCCCACACTTCCCGCCCTTTCCATCCCTAAGGGGCCCTCTGCTCACCCTCTTAAGGCCACCCATGCGCCCTAACCACACCTCTCGCCTCTTGCTGTACCATAACTTCAGATGGGGCTGAGCTGGGAAAGAGGGCTTGTTGAGTCACTCATGCTGCAAATTTGCGGCGACATTTGTGGCCAAAGCTTAAGAGAACTTGATGGGGAGGAGAAGAATGAATGATTCCCCTTATTGGCAATCATAAACACTCTAATTTGTGTGGCTGCACAGGAAACCCCTAAACAGCCATTTTAGAGGGAGTGCCTCAATGTGCCCCTCACCCTGGCAGGGCTTTTGAGTGTTTGTGTGTCTGCGGGTGAAGGTGTATTTGTGTGTACATGTGTGTCTCGTGTGTGTGGCTGTGAGGGAGAGTTCTCACTGCAGGTTGTTTTTCGGGAACCCTCCCAGGGGACCAGGCAGGTGCGGATGTGGGGCCCCTGATCTCCCCTCAGGCCAAGGAAAGGGTCAACAGCCTGATTCAGAGTGGGGTGGACGAGGGAGCTCAGCTGCTGCTCGACGGCAGGAACGTCAAAGTCGAGGGCTATGAGAACGGCAACTTTGTGGGGCCTACCATCATCGGCAATGTCACAGTAAGTGTGTTCTTGCAGGTGCAAATCTTCTAGTTGTACTGCCCAAAAGTATGCTGATGTTATTTTCTGTCCATATCCTGAAATCCGGTCATTTCCTTTTTGTCTCCTAGCCTCAGATGAAGTGCTATACTGAGGAGATCTTTGGGCCTGTTCTGGTTGTCCTTGAGGCTGAATCCTTGGATGACGCCATCAGCCTGGTTAACAATAACCCCTATGGCAACGGCACAGCTATCTTCACCACCAACGGAGCCACAGCACGCAAATACACTCACGAGGTGGACGTAGGCCAGGTGAGTGTCTGTGGACCTGTGTGTGTCCCTACTTCCTGGGAGAATGGAGGCATTCATACCCTCTACCATGTCTATACCTTAAACAAGGAGGACATCGCACCTCTATTCTAAAACATACACTCAACAACCATTATTTTCCATGGCAAGTATAGCCTTATTTGCTTCTGCTCTAAACCAAACACTTCTGCCCCCTCTTCCCTTCACCACCCCGCCCCATGTGGACTATAAATAGCTACAGCAAATATGTGCCTTTTTTATTAAAACAGGGACATAGAAATACATTTTCCTAGTAGGATTACAGGACGGGAAATCTTAAATTAAAGGGATTCCTTTGGACCTGTTAAATATTTAAAGCATAAATAGTGCCTTCAGAAAGTATTCATACCCCTTGACATATTCCACATTTTGTTGTTTCAGCCTGAATTCAAAATTGATTAAAATTTCTTTTAAATCACCCGTATACACACAATACCCCATAATGACAAAGTGAAAACATGTTTTTTGAAATGTTTTGCAAATTTATTGAAATCACCGATTCTGGGTAAGTCTCTAAGAGCTTTGCAAACCTGGATTGTACAATATTTGCACATTATTATTTTAGAATTCTTCAAGCTCTGTCAAGTTGGTTGTTGATCATTGATAGACAGCCATTTTCAAGTCTTGCCATAGATTTCAAGCCAATTTAAGTCAAAACTGTAACTAGGCCACTCAGGAACATTCAATGTAATCTTAGTAAACAACTCCAGTGTGTATTTGGCCTTGTGTATTAGGTTATTGTCCTGCTGAAAGGTGAATTTGTCTCCCAGTGTCTGTTGGAAAGCAGACTGAACCAGATTTTCCTCTAGGATTTTGCCTGTGCTTAACTCTTCAGTTTTTTTAATCCTATATACAGTGGGGGAAAAAAGTATTTAGTCAGCCACCAATTGTGCAAGTTCTCCCACTTAAAAAGATGAGAGAGGCCTGTAATTTTCATCATAGGTACACGTCAACTATGACAGACAAATTGAGAAAAAAAAATCCAGAAAATCACATTGTAGGATTTTTTATGAATTTATTTGCAAATTATGGTGGAAAATAAGTATTTGGTCACCTACAAACAAGCAAGATTTCTGGCTCTCAATTACCTGTAACTTCTTCTTTAAGAGGCTCCTCTGTCCTCCACTCGTTACCTGTATTAATGGCACCTGTTTGAACTTGTTATCAGTATAAAAGACACCTGTCCACAACCTCAAACAGTCACACTCCAAACTCCACTATGGCCAAGACCAAAGAGCTGTCAAAGGACACCAGAAACAAAATTGTAGACCTGCACCAGGCTGGGAAGACTGAATCTGCAATAGGTAAGCAGCTTGGTTTGAAGAAATCAACTGTGGGAGCAATTATTAGGAAATGGAAGACATACAAGACCACTGATAATCTCCCTTGATCTGGGGCTCCACGCAAGATCTCACCCCGTGGGGTCAAAATGATCACAAGAACGGTGAGCAAAAATCCCAGAACCACACGGGGGGACCTAGTGAATGACCTGCAGAGAGCTGGGACCAAAGTAACAAAGCCTACCATCAGTAACACACTACGCCGCCAGGGACTCAAATCCTGCAGTGGCAGACGTGTCCCCCTGCTTAAGCCAGTACATGTCCAGGCCCGTCTGAAGTTTGCTAGAGTGCATTTGGATGATCCAGAAGAGGATTGGGAGAATGTCATATGGTCAGATGAAACCAAAATAGAACTTTTTGGTCAAAACTCAACTCGTCGTGTTTGGAGGACAAAGAATGCTGAGTTGCATCCAAAGAACACCATACCTACTGTGAAGCATGGGGGTGGAAACATCATGCTTTGGGGCTGTTTTTCTGCAAAGGGACCAGGACGACTGATCCGTGTAAAGGAAAGAATGAATGGGGCCATGTATCGTGAGATTTTGAGTGAAAACCTCCTTCCATCAGCAAGGGCATTGAAGATGAAACGTGGCTGGGTCTTTCAGCATGACAATGATCCCAAACACACCGCCCGTGCAACGAAGGAGTGGCTTCGTAAGAAGCATTTCAAGGTCCTGGAGTGGCCTAGCCAGTCTCCAGATCTCAACCCCATAGAAAATCTTTGGAGGGAGTTGAAAGTCTGTGTTGCCCAGCGACAGCCCCAAAACATCACTGCTCTAGAGGAGATCTGCATGGAGGAATGGGCCAAAATACCAGCAACAGTGTGTGAAAACCTTGTGAAGACTTACAGAAAACGTTTGACCTGTGTCATTGCCAACAAAGGGTATATAACAAAGTATTGAGAAACTTTTGTTATTGACCAAATACTTATTTTCCACCATAATTTGCAAATAAATTCATTAAATATCCTACAATGTGATTTTCTGGATTTTTCTTTCTCATTTTGTCTGTCATAGTTGACGTGTACCTATGATGAAAATTACAGGCCTCTCTCATCTTTTTAAGTGGGAGAACTTGCACAATTGGTGGCTGACTAAATACTTTTTTCCCCCACTGTAACTCCCAATCCTTGCCGATGACAAGCATACCCATAACATGATGCAGCCACCACCATGCTTGACAATACGAAGAGTGGTACTCAGTGACGTGTTAGATTTGCCCCTAACATACCGCTTTGTATTCATGATGTAAAGTTCATTTCTTTGCCACATTCTTTGCAGTTTTACTTTAGTGCCTTATTGTAAACAGGATGCATGTTTTGAATATTTTCTATTCTGTACAGGCTTCCTTCTTTTCACTCTGTCATTTAGGTTAGTACTGTGAAGTAACTACAATGTTGTTGATCCATCCTCAGTTTTCTCCTATCACAGCCATTAAACTCTAACTGTTTTAAAGTCACAATTGTACTCATGGTGAAATCCCTGAATGGTTTCCTTCCTCTTTGATATTATGGGGTATTGTGTGTAGGCCAGTGACACACATCTAAATTCAATCCATTTTAAATTCAGACTGTAACACAACAAAATGTGGGCCTCCGCTATGTCCTGTGTTTGCTGTTTCTTCCATCCCTCAGCCAAAAGGCTTGACTCCCGTGTCCAAAATTACTCCTGCATTTTCAAACATTCTCGACCAACCATGAGTTTCCAGTGGCCTCAAAAACAAAATGTTTTGTTTAGTTCTTCTGTCCCTCTCGCATGCAATGCTTTCAACACTGTGAACACAAGCAATGGTTTTCGGGATTGTTGTGACTCATTTTTCATGCATTGTTTGTTCTTTGAACTAGCATTTAGTACACCTTCCTCTCCCAGTGTTACTCATTCAGTTGCTCTGAAGGGGTATTTGTTTCCAATGCGGTAATGGAAGTTTGTGTTTTGCAGATTGGGGTGAACGTTCCCATCCCTGTTCCTCTGCCCATGTTCTCCTTCACTGGCTCACGAGGCTCCTTCAGAGGAGACACCAACTTCTACGGCAAACAAGTGAGTATCAGTTGACATATGGTAACAAGGTCTTTGAAGACAGACAGTAGTTAGTATGGCTGGTCCTAATAAGGGGTTGTACTGTAGGTTGGGGCCTCTATTCAGTGAGTTTCTGTGGCTGACTGATGATGTAAACCACTCAGTCCTAGTGATGGCTGATCAAAGCCAATTATCTTGAGTCCAGATTTTCAGCTTCATTTCATTTTCTGTTATGTAATACGGTCATGATGCCATAGTTACAGAGCAGTCTATTATAATGTCGTCTCTGCTTTCTACAGGGCATCCAGTTTTACACACAGATCAAAACAGTTACTTCACAATGGAAGGCAGAAGACGCAACCGTGAAAACTCCTGCAGTTTCCATGCCAACCATGGGACGCTAAAGGGTCTGGAGAAAGAACGATCCCACTTCCCCATGTCTTTTGTGAAGCAAAATGTCAAAAACTACTGTGCAGTCCCGTCACCATGAGTTGATAATTACCCATAGTAATTTGACAAGCCTTAATGTAGAATTTGGACCCAAAATGATTTTATTTTTTCAATGGTATTTCAAGATTAATTCACTCACTATGGATCAATAGTTTGGCTTCATCATTGAATGACGGTTCCTTTGTTCTGTATACGTTTCTACTAATTGTGTCTGTATCTATGTTACGATTTAGGAAACAATGCAAATAACTGTGGAGCAGTTAAAACAGTGTAAAGTGCTTGCATATCTTTTCTTTGTATGCAACATCTGTGTTCAAAGTATACTGCCTCACCAGCATTTTGATGTTGATGATTGTGTAGCTGCCAAATGTGATGCCACTATTAATCATACATTCAGTGCATCTGAATATTTGAAATGTGTTATGCACACTTGCTGTGGTGCAGTTATTCATTTCGTCCAGGTTGCATTTTAATAAAAATCCATCCGTTTAAATTGAACCCTTTATCGTCCATCTGTCTTTTTCCCCTGTCTGTCTGTTTAAGTTCAAGTAAACTTTAATTCATGACAATGAGAAAATACCATAGAAGCAATTTTCACATAACCATCCACATAATTCTGGAGACACTTCATTTGGACAAGCACATTTCTCAGACCGACTAACACTGCAGGGAGAGGTCATGTGGTCTGGATATCCGGCAGGGCGCTGGGGTTCGAGGGCAGGTTAGACACAGGCGCCTGGGTGATGAAGGGCACATGGGACGGCTCCTCTGTAATTCTGCAAGACATGTCATTATGTAACAAAAAAATCAACAAGGTCTGATAAATCACACTCAGGAATCACTCTCACTGCTAAATGTTTCGGTGGCTAAACATGCTCTGTTGGACATAAATCTACCGAAGCGTTGTAATTATGAAGACAAAAACCAGGACTGTCATGTCCTCAAGCATTCTTTTGGTGTCTTACCCGAGATTAGTGTCGTTCTGGTTTTTCTCTGGGGACGCAGACAACGCCAAAGGTTGACTCTGTTTCCTGCTAAATAAGTTGCATTGAAATGCTGTACATTTAAAAAAGGCATATTTTACCATACTGTGGCACCTGTTCTCTCTAGCTGTTGACTGCAGAAAGGCCTTGTAAGGGTTACATCAGGTCATTATGATTCATACTCTACTGCTGTAAATTCATCCTACGTTGCCAAATGCTGTATGTTTGCAAGGCTAGATGCCAGGGAAATGTTGACATTGCCATGAATGCACATCTCTGCCCTCCAATACCCCCTTATACATTCAGATCCCCTGCACTCAACTTAAAATTAATGTTGCCAGCGGTTCCCTGACCACAGGCGTTCAAAAACGAAATAAACCCCTTGTGCACGTGAAGTGGGGCCAAGAGGCTGAAGGCAAATCTGCGTGGCCAGATGTTTGTTTTCAAGCACACGACTCTGTGGCTGGCCCTATTTTTACTATTGTGCCCAGACTCTTTCTTCATTCTTTTTAAGCCGCTGGACGGAAAAGAAAATTGGTTTAAACCTAACTGATGTTTTATGGTATCCTCTTTTGCTGAGAAAAGAGCTGTTTAAGACATTAAAAAGGAGGAGTCACAAATAAAGGCCCTCTCCCAGACTGCAGCACGGCTCATGCTTCTTATGGTGTCACTGCGTTTTGTTCTCAACATTTATTGTGCTAGTGGTTTCGTTTTCATGTTTAATGATTCCAATTTGATGGTATCATTCTAAACTGAACGCAGTAGAAATAGAAATGAGAAAATAGGGAAGCTAACAATGAGCATGTCTGCTGGCAGACAACACAGGACCCACACAATGTAGTAGCTAGCTGTTACCTTGCTTTCTGTCCGTTCATTTTTGCAAACAGCAGTCTAAGCACTTTCTCCTTCTGCTCCCACGTGAGTTCAGAGATGTCAACCTTGTTGCTCTGGAGATTATTCCTGAAACACAAGTGTAGTGGAAAAATAGATTTCCAAGCTGGAACAGTTTCTACCAGTGCAATGGGGAAATGTACAGTAAGTGGTGGTAAAGACCGCAGGCAGGCCTCACCACTTCTCGGCCTCTTCCAGGTCGGTGTAGACACTGTTGGTGCTGTGAGGGGTTTTGTGGAAGGTGCGGATGCGGGGGTACTCCTGCTTGCCTGACCGGGCCTCACTCATCCTCCTGCGGTAGGCCTCCAGGGCCTCCTGCCTGTACTGCAGCCGGCTGGCCTGGATCTCCTGCTTCACCTGGCCCAAAGCCTCCTGAAAGAAGCACTCCAGCTCTGTGCGCTGCTCCACAATGCTGTGCGCCAGCCGCTTCACTCGCCCCATCTCCTTCTCCCTCATGGCCAGCAGCTTCTGCAGTTTATCCAGCTCCACCTGGCCGGCCTGGGTGCTAACCAGGGCTCGGTGCTGCGTCTCCTCCTTGTCTCTCTCAAACTCCCCCACCATGAGCCCCAGGGCCTGCTCCAAGGTCCCCACCTTCCCCCTAAGCTCTGCTATCTCCTCATTCTGGGCCCTTACCTGGGACACATTCTCCTTTATCATCAGCTCACTGGTCTCCTAGGGGTGGAAAATATAGGAAGGATTGAGGGGTTAGTCTTAAAATAAGAGTTGAGATCATCATGAAAATATACATAAGGCATTCTCCAAAGTAACGTAATTCATTAAAGCCACTAAATGGCATTTTGATAAATGGATAATGTTTTGGGGGACTTAACTGCCAAACGGAAAAAGGATTAAGAATGGAAGAATGATTGGAAGAAATACTGAGCTGGGGTGACTTAATCCTATCCTTGCTTTATCGACATAATCAGGGATGAGATTACGGTACACTGTATTTATTTGCCTTAGAGAAACAGTGCCAGAAATGCTGAGGGGGAAGCCACTGACTTGGAACCCAGAAGCCAGTGGAAACTCATCACAACTACCAGCCACCGAGATACTGGCTCGTACTGTGGAGGTGAGGGGAAAGAGGGGCCGCAAGTAAAACAAACATGGGGTCATCAAAAATAAATAAAACAGGGGAAATACCATCTAAAATACTGTATGTCCACTGGAGATCTGCCACATAAATAAATACAAATTATTTTGTCCAGGCCCTGCCAGTGCATGAAAATGCCCACTGCTCTGTTTGACGTGCCATGGTGCCGGTGTACCTTATGCAGTGCCAGGGAAGTGTTTTCCTCAGCCAATGACACAGTCATCTTCCTCAGGTCATCTACCTCCTTCATATGGCAGCTGAGAGCCTCACTGAGACGAACGTTCTCCTTGAACACTGAGCGTGACGCATCGTCCAACTGGCTGTTAGTGTAGGAAACAAGGAATGCACCGTTTTTTATGTTAGGTGCCAAACTCTGAGGTACAACTGGCACTTCCCCCTCTGTTATCTATCAGTCTAAAGTCACTTCGACAACATCAAGGTGGTGCATTGGGTTTGGTGGCGGGATAGGGAGCAGTCTGGTGATGTGGTAGACTAGAGCAAATTATAAGTGACATTCAATTCCAAGCTTAGAATACTGGGAAGGATCTGGTTTTAATTTTCCTTTGAGTCACTCTCGCTTAGTCACCAAATTGAGACAAACTGGGTCAATGTCAGCTCTGTCTGAAAACACAGGTTACATGCATTTCAACTTTATATATGGCCAAGGATTTAGGTCTAGAATTGGCAATGCAATCGATGATAAATGCCACATTCAGTGTCAATGTTGAAGAGTTTATAGACCATAAAACACACAGAATTCAAAGTACATCCCTAGTCTGTCCTCATATTTTTTATTTTATTTTATCTTTATTTAACTAGGCAAGTCAGTTAAGAACAAATTCTTATTTACAATGACAGCCTACATGGCTTTAGAACTATACAGCACACAGAGGTCTTCCCCACACTCTGTTCCAAACCAGAACACTCTTCCCTGCAAGGCATTCTGGAACTGCTGGGGATGTCATCATTGGCTTAGGTGATGTACACTATCTTGAGGAAGACAAACTGGTGTAGTCAAGATAATAACCTTGTTTTCCCTCACAAATTATGTATTTTGCCTCTTTTTTTCCCCTGACCTGAAGGTGCAGTTTGAAAAGTAAAATTAGCATGTAATTGGCCAGCGGAGACACTCACACAATGGCTTCATTGTGGGCCCTCTCAGCCAGCTGGGCGATCCTCTGCTCGGCCTCCTTCTCTAGGCGAACCTGCAAGGGAACACACAGTACTCACTGTTTCTCTCCCGCCTCTCTATTGCTCAGTTAGGCCTTTTACACCTGAACATCTTTACCCATTTAATCCAATACTTTTTTATTAGCTCAAGGCTAGTTTTCCCCAAGTTTATTTTGCACTGGCAACACCTCCTTGGAACTGTAAGTGCATGTACAAAATAATGTGTCAATTTGAAGCCATCATCATACCTTTTCACTGAAGAATTTGTGCTCCATTCTAGCTAGGCTTTCCTTGTGCTCCCTGTCCGCAATGTACATGCTTTCTTTAATCTAGAAAGTAGAGAGTTGATGATCATTGATAGAACTGTGAAATCATACACAATCAAGAGTGGTACTTCAGGGTGTCAAGCAAGGTTTCTGTCTATGTTGTTCTCACACTATTTAACTCCTGCTCCATCTGGGCTTTCTTTTTTCGAAACTCCTTGATAGTCTTCAGTTCACCCTGGATCATCCTGAACTCATTGGATCTCTTCTCAAACTTCTCTTCCAGCTTATTGATTTTAAGAGTGTACTCTGCAACCTGCAACAACCAATCATATAGTTATATATCTTGAATTTTGGAGACATAGACAATAATGTAACTCTATACAGCAGGTGTAAATAGTGTATACACCACTATTGTTAGCTACGTATACAATGAACATTTTGAGAATGTACACCATCTGTGTGTATCCACTACATATTTGTACGTGAGATGGCAGTTGCCATTTCAGAAATAGAATCTATTCAGATTTTCTGAAAAAAATTACCATAGCTTCCAGGAATAGGAGGAAAACAACCACTTATAATAGCTGGGACGAAAATCAAAAAGTTTAGATGAAGTCCGGCCTTTGCAACCCAACCCAACTTCGGGAACAGATCAGTCAGAAAGGCTGAAATCAGTTTAACTGCTGCTGTGTACACTCCAGTCAAAAATGTGACAAAAATTGCCAAAGTTATTGAAGGCAAGCAAAACATGCACCCACAATCATGTACATGATGACTAAATTATAGGTTACCAACTATTTGATTATATTGTTATGCCTAATTTATATTCTTTAGATAACTCTATAAATGCTATTCTATAAACTTACGACAGGGATAAATTAAATGATCAACAGCTCTCTTTAGAAAGCTCCCATTCCTTCATCAAATCAAATCACATTTTATTGGCCACATGCGCCGAATACAACAGGTGCAGACATCACAGTGAAATGCTTACTTACAGCCCTTAACCAACAGTGCATTTATTTTTAATAAAAAAGTCAAATAAAACAACAAAAAAGTGTTGAGAAAAAAAGAGCAGAAGTTAAATAAAATAACACTAGGGAGGCTATATACAGTCATGGCCAAAATTGTTGGCACCCCTGAAATTTTTCCAGAAAATGAAGTATTTCTCACAGAAAAGTATTGAAATTACACATGTTTTGCTATGCACATGTTTATTTCCTTTGTGTGTATTGGAATAACACAAAAAAAACAGGAAAAAAGCAAATTTGACATAATTTCACACAAAACTCAAAAAATGGGCCGGACAAAATGATTGGCACCCTTAACTTAATATTTAGTTGCACACCCTTTGGAAAAAATTACTGAAATCAGTCGCTTCCTATAACCATCAATAAGCTTCTTACACCTCTCACCCGGACCACTCTTCTTTTGCAAACTGCTCCAGGTCTCTCATATTGGATGGGTGCCTTTTCCCAACAGCAATTTTAAGATCTCTCCACAGGTGTTCAATGGGATTAAGATCTGGACTCATTGCTGGCCACTTCAGAACTCTCCAGCGCTTTGTTGCCATCCATTTCTGGGTGCTTTTTGAAGTATGTTTGGGGTCATTGTCCTGCTGGAAGACCCATGATCTCGGACGCAAACCCAGCTTTCTGACACTGGGCCCTACATTGCGACCCAAAATCCTTTGGTAATCCTCAGATTTCATGATGCCTTGCACACAGTCAAGGCACCCAGTGCCAGAGGCAGCAAAACAACCCCAAAACATCTTTGAACCTCCACCATATTTGACTGTAGGTACTGTGTTCTTTTCTTTGAAGGCTTCATTACATTTTCGGTAAACAGTAGAACGATGTGCTTTACCAAAAAGCTCTATCTTGGTCTCATCTGTCCATAAGACGTTCTCCCAGAAGGAATTTGGCTTACTCATGTACATTTTGGCAAACTGTAGTCTTGCTTTTTTATGTCTCTGTGTCAGCAGTGGGGTCCTCCTGGGTCTCCTGCCATAGCGTTTCATTTCATTCAAATTTCGACGTATAGTTCGCGCTGACACTGATGCACCCTGAGCCTGCAGGACAGCTTGAATTTCTTTGGAACTTGTTTGGGGCTGCTTATCCACCATCCGGACTATCCTGCGTTGCAACCTTTCATCAATTTTTCTCTTCCGTCCACGTCCAGGGAGATTAGCTACAGTGCCATGGGTTGCAAACTTCTTGATCATGTTGCGCACTGTGGACAAAGGAACATCTAGATCTCTGGAGATGGACTTGTAACCTTGAGATTGTTGATATTTTTCCACAATTTTGGTTCTCAAGTCCTCAGACAGTTCTCTTTTCCTCTTTCTGTTCTCCATGCTTAGTGTGGCACACACAGAAACACAATGCAAAGACTGAGTCAACTTCTCTCCTTTTTATCTGCTTTCAGGTGTGATTTTTAGATTGCCCACACCTGTTACTTGCCCCAGGTGAGTTTAAAGGAGCATCACATGCTTGGAACAAACTTATTTATCCACAATTTTGAAAGGGTGCCAATAACTTTGTCCGGCCCATTTTTTTAGTTTTGTGTGAAATTATGTCAAATTTGCTTTTTTCCTGGTTTTTTTTGTGTTATTCCAATACACACAAAGGAAATAAACATGTGCATAGCAAAACATGTGTAATTTCAATACTTTTCTGTGAGAAATACTTCATTTTCTGGAAAAATTTCAGGGGTGCCAACAATTTTGGCCATGACTGTATACAGGGGGGTACCGGTGCAGATTCAATGTGCGGGGGCACCGGCTAGTTGAGGTAGTTGAAGTAATATGTACATGTGGGTAGAGTTAAAGTGACTATGCATAAATAATTAACAGAGTAGCAGCAGCGTAAAAAGATGGGGTGGGGGGGCAGTGCAAATAGTCTGGGTAGCCATGATTAGCTGTTCAGGAGTCTTATGGCTTGGGGGTAGAAGCTGTTGAGAAGTATTTTGGACCTAGACTTGGCACTCCGGTACCACTTGCCGTGCAGTAGCAGAGAGAAAAGTCTATGACTAGGGTGGCTGGAGTCTTTGACAATTTTGAGGGCCTTCCTCTGACACCGCCTGGTATAGAGGTCCTGGATGGCAGGAAGCTTGGCCCCAGTGATGTACTGGGCCGTACGCACTACCCTCTGTAGTGCCTTGCGGTCGGAGGCCAAGCAGTTGCCATACCAGGCGGTGATGCAACCAGTCAGGATGCTCTCGATGGTGCAGCTGTAGAATTTTTTGAGGATCTGAGGACCCATGCCAAATCTTTTCAGTCTCCTGAGGGGGAAAAGGCTTTGCCGTGCCCTCTTCACGACTGTCTTGGTGTGTTTGGACCATGATAGTTCGTTGGTTATGTGGACACCAAGGAACTTGAAGCTCTCAACCTGTTCCACTATAGCCCCGTCGATGAGAATGGGGGCGTGCTCAGTCCTCTTTTTTTTCCTGTAGTCCACAATCATCTCCTTTGTCTTGGTCACGTTGAGGGAGAGGTTGTTATCCTGGCACCACACGGCCAGGTCTCTGACCTCCTCCCTATAGGCTGTCTCATCGTTGTCGGTGATCAGGCCTACCACTGTTGTGTCGTCGGCAAACTTAATGATGGTGTTGGAGTCGTGCCTGGCCATGCAGTCATGGGTGAACAGGGAGTACAGGAGGGGACTGAGCACGCACCCCTGAGGGGCCCCCGTGTTGAGGATCAGTGTGGCAGATGTGTTGTTACCTACCCTTACCACCTGGGTGCGGCCCGTCAGGAAGTCCAGGATCCAGTTGCAGAGGGAGGTGTTTAGTCCCGGGATCCTTAGCTTAGTGATGAGCTTTGAGGGCACTATGGTGTTGAATGCTGAGCTGTAGTCAATGAATAGCATTCTCACGTAGGTGTTCCTCTTGTCCAGGTGGGAAAGGGCAGTGTGGAGTGCAATAGAGATTGCATCATCTGTGGATCTGTTGGGGCGGTATGCAAATTGGAGTGGGTCTAGGGTTTCTGGGATAATGGTGTTGATGTGAGCCATGACCAGCCTTTCAAAGCACTTCATGGCTACAGACGTCAGTGCTACGGGTCAGTAGTCATTTAGGCAGGTTATCTTAGTGTCCTTGGGCACGGGGACTATGGTGGTCTGCTTGAAACATGTTGGTATTACAGACTCAGTCAGGGACATGTTGAAAATGTTGGCCAGTTGGTCAGCACATGCTCAGAGTACACGTCCTGGTAATCCGTCTGGCCCTGCGGCCTTGTTAATGTTGACCTGCTTAAAAGTCTACGGAGAGCGTGATCACATAGTCATCCGGAACAGCTGGTGCTCTCATGCATGCTTCAGTGTTGCTTGCCTCGAAGCGAGCATAGAAGTGGTTTAGCTCGTCTGGTAGGCTTGTGTCACTGGGAAGCTCGCGGCTGTGCTTCCCTTTGTAGTCTGTAATAGTTTTCAAGCCCTGCCACATCCGACGAGCGTCAGAGCCGGTGTAGTACGATTCAATCTTAGTCCTGTATTGACTCTTTGCCTGTTTGATGATTCGTCTGAGGGCATAGCGGGATTTCTTATAAGCGTCCGGGTTAGAGTCCCGCTCCTTGAAAGCGGCAGCTCTACCCTTTAGCTCAGTGCGGATGTTTCCTGTAATCCATGGCTTCTGGTTGGGGTATGTACGTACTGTCACTGTGGGGACGACATCATCGATGCACTTATTGATGAAGCCAGTGACTGATGTGGTGTACTCCTCAATGCTATCTGATGGCCAGATTTGTGCTTAAGAAGTTTTGCTTATGGATGCATCTCTCTTTTCTTTGTTTTGCCTAATGCAGTGTTTTAAATGTAATTAAAATATGACACTGACCCAATAGAATGACTGGAAAACTCTTGATGATATACACTGAGTGTACAGAACATTAAGAACACCTTCCTAATATTGAGGTTGCACCCCCGCTTTTGCCCTCAGAACAGCCTCAATTTGTCAGGGCATGGACTCTCCAAGGTGTCGAAAGCAGGAAACTGTTGAGCGTGAAAAACCCAGCAGCATTGCAGTTCTTGACACAAACCGTTGCGCCTGGCACCTACTACCATACCCCGTTCAAAGGCACATAAATCTTTTGTCTTGCCCATTCACCCATTCACCCTCCGAATGGCACACATACACAATCCATGTTTCAATTTAAAAAATCATTCTTTAAGCTGTCTCCCCCCATTCACCTACACTGATTGAAGTGGATCTAAAAAGTGACATCAATAAGGGATCATAGCTTTCACCTGGAATCACCTGGTCAGTCTGTCATGGAAATAGCAGGTGTCCTTAATGTTTTGTACACTCAGTGTAGTTGTTTGGTTGGCTGACTTTTTCAACATTCAGAGTCACATGTCAGACTACTTTGAGACAAAAGCCACTGCACTCACGTTCTTTGAGTGCTATTAATGCAATGGTTTCCATTAGCTAAGTCAATTTTCAAGATGAACCATTTTATCACTTCACAATGAGCAAATGGATTTGAGGGGCATGTCTTGAAATCACATCTTTAGCTCAACCACATCAATATTTATTTCCAGAATTAGTGCTACATAGGCATATGATGGGGATTTTTTTAGTTGGTCCAGACCGAGCTTCTTTTATTTCTCAAAAGCTTATTGGGTCCTATTTTTACCACCATGAAGTAAGAAATGGAGATGGAAAACAGCTGTTAGCCAAAGCGGCACATTTCCTTGTTGTTGAACCATTGCAACAGATATTTGGATGATCTTTACTCCAATCAATGTGATCAACTGTCAAAATTAACCCGTAAAAAAGTTGCACACCAGCACAAACAATCCATATGACACATGAGGGATGGATAACTTAGGCTATATCAAAACTAGTTTGTATGTTTGAGACCATGCACATTTTAATTAAGTTTTATTTTCTGTTGCCGCATAGCATTACCATATATCATAAATCTAGACTATATGGCTGGAAATGTAGGGATTCGTTTCTTAGTTTTATGTTTTCTTAGCTTGTTTTCTATAAATTTGCATAGGGACTGCCTAATTAAAAAATAACACTGTTGTTCAGACACAACACAGCACATTCTTTTGATGCTGTACATGACATCAGACAAACAATGTATAGCCTTGAGGCTTGCAGGACAATTAATATGATTTACAGTGAGGTAAAAAAGTGTTTGATCCCCTGCTGATTTTGTACGTTTGCCCACTGACAAAGAAATGATCAGTCTATAATTTTAATGGTAGGTTTATTTGAACAGTGAGAGACAGAATAACAACAAAAAAATCCAGAAAAACACATGTCAAAAATGTTATAAATTGATTTGCATTTTAAAATGAGGAAAATAAGTATTTGACCCCCTCTCAATCAGAAAGATTTCTGGCTCCCAGGTGTCTTTTATACAGGTAACGAGCTGAGATTAGGAGCACACTCTTAAAGGGAGTGCTCCTAATCTCAGCTTGTTACCTGTATAAAAGACACCTGTCCACAGAAACAATCAATCAATCAGATTCCAAACTCTCCACCATGGCCAAGACCAAAGAGCTCTCCAAGGATGTCAGGGACAAGATTGTAGACCTACACAAGGCTGGAATGGGCTACAAGACCATTGCCAAGCAGCTTGGTGAGAAGGTGACAACAGTTGGTGCGATTGTTCGCAAATGGAAGAAACACAAAATAACTGTCAATCTCCCTCGGCCTGGGGCTCCATGCAAGATCTCACCTCGTGGAGTTGCAATGATCATGAGAACGGCGAGGAATCAGCCCAGAACTACACGGGAGGATATTGTCAAATATCTCAAGGCAGCTGGGACCATAGTCACCAAGAAAACAATTGGTAACACACTACGCCGTGAAGGACTGAAATCCTGCAGCGCCCGCAAGGTCCCCCTGCTCAAGAAAGCACATATACAGGCCCGTCTGAAGTTTGCCAATTAACATCTGAATGATTCAGAGGAGAACTGGGTGAAAGCGTTGTGGTCAGATGAGACCAAAATGGAGCTCTTTGGCATCAACTCAACTCGCCGTGTTTGGAGGAGGAATGCTGTCTATGACCCCAAGAACACCATCCCCACCGTCAAACATGGAGGTGGAAACATTATGCTTTGGGGGTGTTTTTCTGCTAAGGGGACAGGACAACTTCACCGCATCAAAGGGACGATGGACGGGGCCATGTACCGTCAAATCTTGGGTGAGAACCTCCTTCCCTCAGCCAGGGCATTGAAAATGGGTCGTGGATGGGTATTCCAGCATGACAATGACCCAAAACACACGGCCAAGGCAACAAAGGAGTGGCTCAAGAAGGAGCACATTAAGGTCCTGGAGTGGCCTAGCCAGTCTCCAGACCTTAATCCCATAGAAAATCTGTGGAGGGAGCTGAAGGTTTCGAGTTGCCAAACATCAGCCTCGAAACCTTAATGACTTGGAGAAGATCTGCAAAGAGGAGTGGGACAAAATCCCTCCTGAGATGTGTGCAAACCTGGTGGCCAACTACAAGAAACGTCTGACCTCTGTGATTGCCAACAAGGGTTTTGCCACCAAGTACTAGGTAATGTTTTGCAGAGGGGTCAAATACTTATTTCCCTCATTAAAATGCAAATCAATTTATAACATTTTTGACATGCATTTTTCTGGATTTTTTTGTTGTTATTCTGTCTCTCACTGTTCAAATAAACCTACCATTAAAATTATAGACTGATCATGTCTTTGTCAGTGGGCAAACGTACAAAATCAGCAGGGGATCAAATACTTTTTCCCCCCTCACTGTAGACTACAATGCTGGGCAGGGATGTCAGCAGTTTTAGTAAAACATGCAAATGTTCCTGGTCCATTTCTGACCTGTTTTTGTAAACTGTCTAGTCACTCCCTGTTCTTTGAAATTATGGAAGACTTACTTGGCAGGTTACCCAAGTTTGTTCCTTCACAAAGACTAAATCCTTACCAGTTGTTCATTTTCCTCAAGGGCTTGTTTTTTTTTACTTTTAAGTTGTCCCTCCAGCCTTGCAATCTGAAATAAAATAAAAAATGTTAGGAAACGCCCCAACGAAAATAAATTAAGGTGCAGATGTACTATGGATATTATAAATATCTGGGGACAAAAGTTAACCTTTTCTTCTTTCTCGGCATCTTTCCTCTTCAAGAAGGTAATTATGTCAACTGTGTCCTTCTCTGCACGATACTGCTGGTTAGTGAGCTCTTCATTGGCTCGTGCCAACCTGCGGGCAGCTTCACGGTACTCCACGCGCGAGTGTTCAGTGACATCCAGCCTGGCTTCCCAAAGAGCAGCATTGGCCTTTGCCTTCTCAATGTCAGACTCTTTATCTGCTTTTGACTCATGTTTGCCTTCTTTCTTTCCTTTTCTAGACATTTGGACAAAGAATTGTAGTAAATTAGCTACACAAACCGTGCGTAAAACTAGCTACAGGTAGCTAGCTAGCCAATTCAAGCTATAACGACGCCAAGAAAAAATTGTCTTACCCTTTACTTTTCTTTCCATTTTTTCCTTTCTTCTTGGGCATTGTTTCGAATACTAGCTATAATTTAACTGCTAAGAATTAATGGGACACTTACAGGCTAACTAGGTTAGCTTCACTTCAAGGCACTGGGGAAACCGTGTTTACAACAATGTTGGCATAGAAACGCTGTCATATGGCACTGGCTGTGGACATGCTCACAGCCTACGTCAAAATCACCTGCAGCATGTCTGTAATGTAATGTTAAATGCAACAACAAAAAACAAGTAATGTCATATGTGCACAGTATACACAACGATTCCAGCTAAATTTCAATGAGCATGCAATCACACAAAAACATATCGGATTTCCGACAACTGGGAACTCGGAAGAAAACGTGCTCCGACTGGGAAAAATAGATATCCACGTTACAGCGCTTGTTTACGGAAAACAGACAGAAGACAGAGTGGACCACCTGTGCTAATTAGCTATCTGCTTCTCCAAACACCTGTGTGTAAAAGGAAAACAGACTCCACAAACATGCGGTCACTGAAAAATACTGTCGGCTGTGTATAAACCAGTTAAAACAGTGTATTTAGCATTTGTGAAATTATTTTTATGTGATCTGAAAGTAGAGGGATTTATGTTTCTAGAACATACCACAATTGAGAATCGATTCACGATTAGATGGACTATTTGGCTGTTTTGGCTTCCAGAACCAATTTGCCTTTAAACAGAACAAGTAAGGTCCTTTGACTATAAGGAGTAACGTTGCTTAGTCCATTATAGAGCTCGCCAGCTTGTAGTCCTAATAAACGGAAAATGAGTTACCTCTGGTTCGTTCAGCCATTCCTATGAGGAAAATTAATGGGGAAAGATATGGTTTTGGGATAAACACCAAAAATATGGTCTGAGGTTTACACAGGCTTAGGCGATCTTATACGTTTTGTTCTGAGATAACATCAGTCAGTTAACATGACCTTTATGAATTATGAAGCCTTCATGTGCTTTAGGCTGTGTGCGTTTTCTGATTACATAAATGCATCAAAATTCACAAAAAGTGATGTTAGCTGATAAAGATTATCGCATAGAACAAAAGTATTAGATCTCATAAGCCTGTGTTTAACAGCCCTTATTTTCAGCGTTTATCCAAAAACCCTAAACTCAATTTTCCCATAGTTTTTGTCCAACGAACCATACCCAAGTTAGCGCCTACAACAACACACCATGATGGGTTGGCTGACAACGTCACGAAAACGATGTAAGCGCTTCCATGGGGCAGATGGTGCGTTCAAGACAACTGGGAATATGAGTCCAAATCATGCCGTCAGTGATTTTAAGGTCGGTAAATCAGAGCTCTAGAAAGAGGCCCGAGTTGGATGACTGTTAAACATGGCCGTGCGGGAACCCTAACCCTATAAAGGTGTGTATCACAGGAGGTTGGTGGCACCTTAATTGGGGAGAATGGGGTCGTGGTAATGACTGGAGTGGAATGATATCAAAAACATCAAACACATGGTTTCCAGGTGTTTGATGCCATTCCATTTGCTCCCTTCCAACCATTATTATGTACCGTTCTCCCCTCAGCAGCCTCCTGTGGACTGCATATCAAACCTTTTGTTTTTTTCATAATCAATTTTAGCTGATGTAAAAAATAAGGTTCTTATGGTTCCAAAACCATACCACAAGCAAAATACCCCCTTATAGAATAATCCTTTATCCAATTACTTACAGTATGTATAATCTAATGGAACTGAGAGTCATGATTAAGGGCTAGGCTACACACCATATAATAACATAAAATATATAAACGCAACATGTGAAGTGTTTGTCCCACGTTTCATGAGCTGAAATAAAAGATCCCAGACATTTTCCATACGCACAAAAAATGTATTTCTCTCAAATTTTGTGCACAAATTTGTTTTACTTCCCTGTTAGTGAGCATTTCTCTTTTGCCAAGATAATCTATCCACCTGACAGGTGTGGTATATCAAGAAGCTGATTAAACAGCATGATCATTACAAAGAGACCCCTTGTGCTGGAGACAATAAAAGGCCACTCTAAAATGTGCAGTTTTGTCACACAACACAATGCCACAGATGTCTCAAGTTTTGAGGGAGCGTGCAATTGGCATGCTAACTGAAGGAATGTCCACCAGAGCTGATGCCAGAGAACTGAATGTTCATTTCTCTACCATACACTACCAGTCAAAAGTTTGGGCACACCTACTCATTCAAGGGCTTTTCTTTATTTTTACAATTTTTTACATTGTAGAATAATAGTGAAGACATCAAAACTATAAATAACACATATGGAATCATTTAGTAACCAAAAAACTATTAAACAAATCAAAATATATTTTATATTTAAGATTTCAATGATCTTTGATTCCAACCACCGTGTCTTTGTGAGAAGTGGTGTGGGTGAACGGATGATCTCTGCATGTGTATTTCCCACCGTAAAGCATGGAGGAGGAGGTGTTATGGTGTGGGGGTGCTTTGCCGGTGACACTGTGATTTATTTAGAATTCAAAGCACACTTAACCAGCATGGCTACCACAGCATTCTGCAGCGATACGCCATCCCATCTGGTTTGGGCTTAGTGGGACTATCATTTGTTTTTCAACAGGACAATGACCCAACACACCTCCAGGCTGTGTAAGGGCTATTCGACCAAGAAGGAGAGCGATGGAGTGCTGCGTCAGATGACCTGGCCTCCACAATCCCCCGACCTCAACCAAATTGAGATGGTTTGGGATGAGTCGGACCGCAGAGTGAAGGAAAAGCAGCCAACAAGTGCTCAGCATATGTGGGAACTCCTTCAAGATTGTTGGAAAAGCATTCCAGGTGAAGCTAGTTGAGATAATGCCAAGAGTGTGCAAAGCTGTAATCAAGGCAAAGTGTGGCTATTTGAAGAATGTCAAATATAAAATATATTTTGATTTGTTTAACACTTTTTTGGTTACTACATGATTCCATATGTGTTATTTCAAAGCTTTGATGTCTTCACTATTAATCTACAATGTAGAAAATAGTAAAAATAGAGAAAAACCCTTGAATGAGTAGGGGTTCTAAAACTTTTGACCGGTAGTGTAAGCCGCCTCCAATGTCATTTTCAAGAATTTGGAAGTATGTCTAACTGGTCTCACAACCGCAGACCACGTCTAACCACGTCTAACCACGCCAGCCCAGGACCTCCACTTCCGGCTTCTTCACCTGCGGGATTGTCTGAGACCAGCCACCCGGACAGCTGATGAAACTGAGGAGTATTTCGGTCTGTAATAAAGCCCTTTTGTGGGGAAAAACTCATTCTGATTGGGTGGACCTGGCTCCCAAGTGGGTGGGCCTATGCCCACTTGGGAGCCAGGTCCACCCAATCAGGTCCACCCAATCAATCCACCCACCCAGCTAAATCCATAGATTAGGGCCTAATGAATTTATTTCAATTGACTAATTTCCTTATATGAACTGTAACTCAGTAAAATCATTGAAATTGTTGCATGTTGCGTTTATATTTTTGTTCAGTATAACTCATTTAATAGGATCTCTGTGCTACAGACATTCAGACCAATTAGATAAATGCGGAAACATCCCATCAACAGACCTTTGCATGAATATCAAGAAAACATGTTCATTTTCTGCTTCGGGGATATGTTCATTTGGAAAGTATGTCCTTTCGGGAAAGTATTCAGACCCCTTTACTTTTTCCACATTTTGTTATGTTACAGCCTTATTCTAAAATGGATTAAATAAACAAAATTCCTCATCAATCTACACACACTACCCCATAATGACTAAGTGAAAACAGGTTTTTAGAAACTTTTGCACATTTATTAAAAAAAAAAACAGAAATACCTTATTTACACACAGTTGAAGTCGGAAGTTTACGTACCCTTAGGTTGGAGTCATTAAAACTCGTTTTTCAACCACTCTACACATTTCTTGTTAACAAACTATAGTTTTGGCAAGTTGGTTAGGACATCTACTTTGTGCATGACACAAGTAATTTTTCCAACAATTGTTTACAGACAGATTATTTAATTTATAATTCACTTTATCAAAATTCCAGTGGGTCAGAAGTTTACATACACTAAGTTGACTGTTCCTTTAAACAGCTTGGAAAATTCCAGAAAATGATGTCATGGCTTTAGAAGCTTCTGATAGGCTAATTGACATCATTTGAATAAATTGGAGGTGTACCTGTGGATGTACAGTGGGGGAAAAAAGTTTTTTTCTCCAGAAAATCACATTGTAGGATTTTTAATGAATTTATTAGCAAATTGTGGTGGAAAATAAGTATTTGGTCAATAACAAAAGTTTCTCAATACTTAGGGTATATACCCTTTGTTGGCAATGACACAGGTCAAACGTTTTCTGTAAGTCTTCACAAGGTTTTCACACACTGTTGCTGGTATTTTGGCCTATTCCTCCATGCAGATCTCCTCTAGAGCAGTGATGTTTTGGGGCTGTCGCTGCGCAACACGGACTTTCAACTCCCTCCAAAGATTTTCTATGGGGTTGAGTTCTGGAGACTGGCTAGGCCACTCCAGGACCTTGAAATGCTTCTCACGAAGCCACTCCTTCGTTGCCCGGGCAGTGTGTTTGGGATCATTGTCATGCTGAAAGACCCAGCCACGTTTCATCTTCAATGCCCTTGCTGATGGAAGGAGGTTTTCACTCAAAATCTCACGATACATGGCCCCATTCATTCTTTCCTTTACACGGATCAGTTGTCCTGGTCCCTTTGCAGAAAAACAGCCCCAAAGCATGATCTTTCCACCCCCATGCTTCACAGTAGGTATGGTGTTCTTTGGATACAACTCAGCATTCTTTGTCCTCCAAACACGACGAGTTGAGTTTTTAGAGCTGGCCGCCCTGCCAAACTGAGCAATCGGGGGGAGAAAGGCCTTGGTCAGGGAGGTGAACAAGAACCCAATGGTCACTCTGACAGAGCTCCAGAGTTCTTCTGTGGAGATGGGAGAATCTTCCAGAAGGACAACCATCTCTGCAGCGCTCCACCAATGAAGCCTTTATGGTAGAGTGGCCAGACGGAAGCCACTCCTCAGTAAAAGGCACATAACAGCCCACTTGGAGTTTGCCAAAAGGCACCTAAAGGACTCAGACCATGAGAAACAAGATTCTCTGGTCTGATGAAACCAAGATTGAACTCTTTGGTCTGATTGCCAAGCGTCACGTCTGGAGGAAACCTGGCACCATCCCTACGGTGAAGCATGGGGATTTTTTTCAGCGGCAGGGACTGGGAGACTAGTCAGGATCGAGGGAAAGATGAATGGAGCAAAGTACAGAGAGATCCTTGATGAAAACCTGCTCCAGAGTGCTCAGGACCTCAGACTGGGGCGAAAGTTCACCTTCCAACAGGACAACGACCCTAAGCACACAGTCAAGTCAATGCAGGAGTGGCTTCGGGACAAGTCTCTGAATGTCCTTGAGTGACCCAGCCAGAGCCCGGACTTGAACCCGATCGAACATCTCTGGAGAGACCTGAAAATAGCTGTGCAGCGATGCTCCCCATCCAACCTGACAGAGCTTGATAGGATCTGCAGAGAAGAATGGGAGAAACTCCCCAAATACAGGTGTGCCAAGCTTGTAGCGTCATACCCAAGACGACTCGAGGCTGTAATTGCTGCCAAAGGTTTTTCATTAAAGTACTGAGTAAGGGTCTGAATACTAATGTGAATGTGATATTGCAGTTTTTTTTAAACCTGTTTTTGCTTTGTCATTATGGGGTATTGTGTAGATTGATGAGAAAACCCCCACAATTTAATCCATTTTCGAATAAGGCTGTAATGTAACAAAATGTGGAAAAGGTCAAGTGGTCTGATAACTTTCCGAATGCACTGTAGCACACATTGACACAAGGATCTGTTCATAGGTGTATGTGGAACGAGGTGCACCCCCTGGTATGGAATAACATTTGCACCCCTTCTGAGAGGCATTTTGTACTGTGTGCCCTGGGAAGAACCATGGGCCGCTGACAGGTTACACAGCCATCAGGATCACACAGCTGTTTTGTTGGATTACATAAATTGCGGAGAATCCACAGAAGTTCAACAAATTGCAGTTGACTTTGCAGATTTTGAGAACCTCAACCAACTGAAATAAACAATGTAAAGTTATTGCAGGTCATTTGAATCCAAAGCCCACATTGCATGCCCTTGCAAAGCTGAACTGGCGTCCAAATTCTGCTTTCTGGAGAAACTGGAGGGTGCCCAAGGAACAATATTCAACCAAACGTTGAACAAAAACGTATATCCTAAAATCTCAGGGTGTAGTTACTGTAAATTTAAGAATATAGCTTTTTGCTCTGGCATCATGCACAAAGTTTGGGGACTAAATTTAAAGCTAATTGCTATGACAGGGAGTAGAGAACTGAAATAACCCTGAGCATTTCGAAGCTGTCATTATCATTGGAATTGTAATGACAAGGTTTAGGTCTCTTCAATAGAGTTTTGGGGTAGGACACCCACAAACATGAAATTCCTGAGGGTAACATTGCAGTGTATTAATAATAGATTGCAAGGCTTGGATTACAAAGCATGGGTCACCTCTCGTGCTTTAAAGCATTTGTTTAAGTTGCAACAAAACATCAAAAGTTGTATTTAAGTTAGACTACCACTGAGGATTTCTTATTGGACCTTTGATTAGTACGTGCTGTGTCATACTGCCGGCTAATTTCTATAGGCCTATGCCTCCCTCCCTAAAGCCCTATAGGCTAACGAAACTTCTCATATAGATATTTATATTATTTACCAATTACCTTGCTTTACAAGTTACTGTTTTTCTCAACTATTACAAAAAAAAATGAACAGATATCAATGAAGCAAAATACAATTTTTATCATGGTTTTCAACCACAACCACTGAACAGTTCTAGTTTCGCTTTTTGCAGCTCAGCTCACATTAGTCATATGACCGCCATTGGTCAGAACTTGTCAGACCATGGCTGTCCTCTGAAATCATTGTAATTGGATCATGAAGGTATAGCATATGTTTTGACTCATGCTGTAAACACAGTGTGCGAAAAGTACAAGTAGTAAGATCCCAAGGGTCAGATCCATCAAAACACTGCAAATGATCCAAATACTGTACATAATTTTCTATAGTAGTACTTAATGTAGGTTACTGTATGTCTGAATGCCAAACTTAATTATAAAGTAGAATACGTTTGTCTTTGTCAGGGCAAGATTCATCTTCCCACAAAGGACTTTGGAGATAGCAGCATGGGGGGACAGCAAACACACATCATGGCTTTCGCAAGGACTAGAGTAAGTAACTCTAATATGACATCTTATGTTTTTGAGTGTGAGCAGCCAGCAACCTGTTAAATTGGCTCATAGAGCATTACAATGTCGTCATGGCATGCCAGATCAGAATATTCTTAAATAGACACAAAGTCAATGAGAGGTCCAGCACATGCATGCTTTGATAGGGGGAAGGGACCATAATGGTGAGCCACAGGATTGGAAAAAAGTACCCACAGTATTTAGAAAAAAAGAAAGTGCAATATTTTTAGTCCAAATTACAGTGTTGGAACAGTGCGCTGCACAAAAAAAAAGAACAGCGGAGTGTCCCGGGATTGGAATGTCCTCTCTGTGGACCTCCTCTCTGCCCTCCTCAAGTCCTGCTGCAGGACCGCCGGCCGCCCCCATTCCCGCTCAATTTCACCCTGCCAGCTGAGCTGTCTGACACATTTGTGCTTCACTCACCCTGTGTTTGACTGGGTGGTGAACCAGTTTCATTAGTAGCAGAAGCAGAGTTGGGTGAGACCAGTTCAGCAAGCCTGCATCTAGAAATATACAAATTCTACATGTTTCAGCCCAGTCTTTGTTCACTCTTGCTGCAGCTTCTCGTGGGGACTGAGGGAAGGAAATCTCACTCTGGTGCAAACCTCAGTTCATATGAGGTCTCTGAGTTAGCAGGGCCTCTTTGCTGAGGTGCAGTAGCATATCGTTATTGCCTCCCTCCCTCCTGGAAACTTTGAACATTACAGTACATTAGAATACTTTTGCTGATAGATTGGTTAAAGACGCCTGCCAACCAGGCAACCACCCACCTAAAACTGAGAGCAGCCACTCATGCTTTTCATGGTTTCTCCTGTGAAACTTGCCTTAAATGTATTTCCTAGGAAAGCTTGTGGTTAACACAGGGATGAGTGGGAGTGAGATTATTGCTTACATTCTTTCAGCATTTATGCAAGTTGGAGCTCAAGTTGCATCTGCACATCTCTTGTTAAAGGTTGGTTGGGGATTAAAGGGCTGCAGCACATGTTTTAATGGGGTAATTTTCACACGTCATGATTTGTTCGGAATGTAATACACACGCAAAATGACTTGTGCATACCCAGAGAAAGTTGTCTTGCCTGTCGTGACTTGGGCTTTCAGGTAGTAATGCAAAATCCATCTTGCAACTCCTCTACCCCGCAATGACTAATATTTTCTGTCTGAACTTCAAAATTCTGCTGAAGCATTTGGGGTTTCCTCATTTTAATGATTTTAATGCCATTTTATATCCTCACCACAAAGTCCCACAGTATATTAGATAATGGCTACTTTTCTTTATACACCAAGACTAGAAAAACAAACATTTTAATCAGTTATGAAATAACTATATTATATTTATATTTAGTTATAAAGTTTTGTTTCAAAATACTAATGAGTGCAAGCAACATGAGCTTAAAATAAGTAATCTACTCTAAAATAACTTATTTCTGACATCATGCTAATTAAGCAAATTCAGGCAAATTTAAGTAATTGTGAAGTGTGCATGTAAAAGTCAAGATACAGGGAAGGGATTTTTGTAATTGGCAAATTTGCATGTAAGTCTTAATTAAATACACCAATAAAATGTATTTTAAGAACGTTGCTTCAAGTTTCTGCAAGCCAGTCATTTTGATGTCTTGATATATCCCCTTTCTTTCTTCTTTTAGTGGGATGTTTGGCTCCAGTTTGCACACTAAAGATGAAGAAAGAAAAAAAAACGGTTTAGTGTTACCCAGTTTAGGAATTAATAGAACTGCTTCTGGTAAGCAGGTATTCAGTATCCAGCTCTTTCAGAAGGGGGGACTTTTGAAGGAACTGAGATGGAACGCAACAGGATTGGTGGATGGCCTGTGATGGTGTGGCCCCACATCAAGCCCTTATGTCTTTATATACTGTAAACAGATGACCAGACAGTCCTGAGTGTGCATCGCTACCCACTCTGCCTCTGCCTCTCCGGTTGCCTCTCATCACCTCTGCAAGCTGCTGCCACTGCATTTTGTGCTGCTCCTTTGAAGAAGACTAACTTGAAAAAGGCACAGTAAAGGGTTTTGCTTAGCTTTTACAAAAGCATCAGTGTTTCTTCGGGTGTTAAAACGATGGCTTTTCAGATGCTACTCCTTACAGTAATGTCCATGTGGGTTCTGGCTTGGAACTTCCAAGCGGAGGCAACCTACTATCACCGCCAGACAGTCCACCACGAACACTCTGCTAACATGGAAAACCTCCTGCCCGAAAACCTCCTGCCCGAAAACCTCCTGCCCGAAAACCTCCTGCCCGAAGTTGTGCCTGAAGTCTTGCCTGAGGTCTCCCAACCTGTCAACAGCCGCACTTTCTATGGGATCATGTTTGATGCCGGGAGCACAGGCACCCGGATCCACATCTACAAGTTTATTCAGAAAGACCCTGGTGAGTGCTTTCTCTCTCTCTTTCTGTGTATCTCATTCACTCTCTCAGTCTCAGGAGCCAATAGGGCTTTACACTCAGCTGTCTCCCAGAGAGTCTATGTTTGCTGTTGGGTCATTCGCTCAGTGGTGTAAAGACAAGCATGTCCCGTCAGCGTGGGGAGAGAGCAAGCATGGGCAAAACGGAACCCAGAGGCAGCTGAGTTGTAGTTTTAATCATCTGTTAGTGTGACTGAAATCCCTAAAAACAGACCTCCAATGGACTCTAGAGGTTAATTTGTTGTTTATGTATGTACTCTGTCTAAACATCCGTGATTGTAAAGTAATGGAGTGATTGAGGCAACACAGCTAATTTAAAAGCAGACATAAATGCAACAGAGTTCTATTATTTCACATATTCATATATTGTTTGACAATTGAATGCATCCACTGTTTCTGTTTTTAGTTGAGCTGCCAGTTCTGGACAATGAGATGTATCATGCAGTGAAGCCTGGTCTGTCTGCCTATAAAGATAAGCCTGAAGAGGTATGTATCATGTCTATCATTTTCTCATTTAGGGATTGTGGGAATTAGGAGGTTTGTCCACAGTCCACAAATCATTCATTACAGTCTGCAATGTGATGTAGACCGTATAATTACATGATGTGATTCTGCTGATGCTATCACTACGTCTGATCTTTACGTTCTTGGGATCTAAATTTTACAAACCAGATGATGTGAAGAGCATATGTGGACAAACATATCAACCCCTTAATCAACTGAATATGTTAATGCCGTTATATACTTAATTTACTGTTAAAATATCCATATCAGCCTAGTTTGGTCACGGATATGCTTTGAGAGTGTTCCAGTGGAGACCATGCTCATCTCTTAATGCCTGTTATCCCATTCAGGGTGGGAACACGATCAGAGCGCTGCTGAAGGTGGCCAAGAAGACGGTTCCAGAGCACGAGTGGAAGCAGACCCCGGTGGTCCTGAAAGCCACAGCCGGGCTCCGACTCCTACCTGAGGAGAAGGCTAACGCTCTGCTGAATGAGGTGAGGCACGTTTTCTCTCCCCTCAGACAATTTGGCACAGGGACGACCCGTCCCACCAAGGATAGGGACGAGAAACCGCTAAGTGCTTACAAGTGTCCTTGAAAGAACGGGGAAAAGTCTTCCCACTTTTTGGTGGCTATCACTGTGCAAAAAACAGCTGTTCTGGGGTTGTCTGGAGTAGTGGAATATGTCATTTGAATTATTAAATTCATGTGGCTACTCAAGCTATGCTTGTGGTTTTGAATTCAGTCATTCTCAGACAAATGTGCCTCAGAAGGATTCCTGAGTCTAGTATTTTAGGTTTATGTTTTGTTCTTATTGTCTTTATTCAGGATGTTCTTTGTTAATATGCACTGCATTTATACATTTTCTATGTAGGTTCGGGAAGTCTTCGACGAGTCCCCCTTCTTTGTACCAAACAACAGTGTCTCCATAATGAATGGAACAAATGAAGGTATGCCACTTTGTTGGTATGTCACCAACATCTGTCTCTCATTTTCTTTTACGCTACTGTGGTATTTTGGGTATGTTGGTAAAGAGTGAAACTCATTCAATCATTTAACTGCAGACATTGGTTAGATTAGCTAAACACTGCAGTATTGTCAACCCAGGTGGTTAGTATCTACCAACACTGTCCTCATAACATGTTTTTATAAGAGCTCTATTGCTACCTCATAGAGCAACTAAATAACCTTGCCTGAGTTCCCTTCCCACGCCCAATATTAAGTGATCCTCCACATCACTCATTAAGACACCCGCACTAACTCCTGTTTCATCAAATGTGCAATTCATTAGCCTCACTTTATGAGAGCCATAACATGAGATCTGAGACAGTAGTAATTACCTGGGTTGGTCTATCCATGTCAGATAAATATTACTAATATAACACAGATGCTAAATTATTTTAAAAAACTCTAATCTCTGAACTGACAGTTCAGTCTGTCCTCTATGCATGTGTTCAAATGGCAATATGTATAGTTAACTTCCAACTACAAGACTACAAAGGCAACAATTGCACATGATTTTGTTCAAGTGAATGTTTACACTCTCTCCATCAACTCTCTCTCGTAGGAGTCCTGGCCTGGGTAACGGTGAACTTTTTGACAGGTAAGGCATTTTTCATGTTTTGCTAAGGTGGTCTTAATGGTCAGGGGGTTCATTTCTGAGGTTTACACTGTACACAGTTGCCGGGCAGTGAAAGACTCCTTTCTCTTGTCTGACTGTCTTGTATTGAGTCATGTTGGCCACAATCTGGTCACGATGGGATGCAAAATTCCCTCAATTTTTACGCAGGGTTAGCCTAATAAGAGGAGATTTATTTTCAAACCCATCCAATGGCCCAAACAATAGCCTTCTTCTTCCTGTCGGTGGCCACAGACCTACAGTGCATTCGGAAAGTATTCAGACCCTTTTTCCACATTTTGTTACTTTACAACCTAATTCTAAAATGGTTTAAATACATTTTATTCCTCATCATTCTACACAATACCCCACAATGACAAAGCGAAAACATAAGTATTCAGACCCTTTGCTATGAGACTCGAAATTGAGCTCAGGTGCATCCTGTTTCCATTGATCATCCTTGAGATGTTTCTACAACTTGATTGGAGTCCACCTGTGGTAAATTCAATTAATTGGACATGATTTGGAAAGGCACACACCTGTCTATATAAGATCCCACAGTTGACAGTGAATGTCAGAGCAAAAACCAAGCCATGAGGTCAAAGGAATTGTCTGTAGAGCTCTGAGACAGGATTGTGTCGAGGCACAGATCTGGGAAAGGGTACCAAAACAATGTCTGCAGCATTGAAGGTCCCCAAGAACACAGTGGCCTCAATCATTCTTAAATGGAAGAAGTTTGGAACTACCAAGACTCTTCCTAGAGCTGGCCACCCGGCCAAACTGAGCAATCGGGGGAGAAGGGCCTTGGTCAGGGAGGTGACCAAGAACCCGATAGTCACTCTGACAGAGCTCCAGAGTTCCTCTGTGGAGATGGGAGAACCTTCCAGAAGGACAACCATCTCTGCAGCACTCCACCAATCAGGCCTTTATAGTAGAGTGGCCAGACGGAAGCCACTACTCAATAAAAGGCACATGACAGCCTGCTTGGAGTTTGCCAAAAGGCACCTAAAGGACTCTCAGACCATGAGAAACAAGATTCTTTGGTCTGATAAAAATATTTGGCCTGAAAGCCAAGCGTCACATCTGGAGAAAACCTGGCACCATCCCTACGGTGAAGCATGGTGGTGGCAGCATCATGCTGTGGGGATGTGTTTCAGCAGCAGGAACTGGGAGACTAGTCAGGATGGAGGGAAAGATGAACGGAGCAAAGTACAGAGAGATCCTTGATGAAAACCTGCTCCAGAGCGCTCAGGACCTCAGACTGAGGTGAAAGTTCACCTTCCAACAGGACAACGACCCTAAGCACACAGCCAAGACAATGCAGGACTGGGTTCGGGACAAGTCTCTGAATGTCCTTGAGTGGCCCAGCCAGAGCCCGGACTTGAACCCGATCGAACATCTCTGGAGAGACCTGAAAATAGCTGCGCAGCGACGCTCCCCATCCAACCTGACACAGCTTGAGAGGATCTGCAGAGAAGAATGGGAGAAACTCCCCAAATACAGGTGTGCCAAGCTTGTAGCGTCATACCCAGGAAGACTCGAGGCTGTAATCGCTGCCAAAGGTGCTTCAACAAAGTACTGAGTAAAGGGTCTGAATACTTATGTAAATGTGATATTTCTGTTTTCTATTTTGTATACATTTGCTAAAATTTCTAAAAATCTGTTTTTGCTTTGTCATTATGGGGTATTGTGTGTAGATTGATGAAGAAAAAAACAATTTAATCAATTTTAGAATAAGGCTGTAAAGTAACAAAATGTGGAAAAAGTCAAGTGGTCTGAATACCTTCCGAATGCCCTGTATATCTGCTAGAATGCCAGTCTTTGTCTCAAGCGGGCGGTTGGAAAATGAATTAATTCTAAATGCAGTATGTTCTACTTTCTGTTTATAATGTTGATGATGGATAGCATCCTGTCTATAGTTTTCTATTTCCAATTCTGGAAATGTTTGACTTTCCATCTGTTTGCTTTAGGTCACTTGTATGCCAAAACCAGGAAGACAGTGGGGATCCTGGACTTGGGTGGAGGATCTACCCAGATCACTTTCCTTCCTAAATCAAAGGTAAATGTTCAACTGAACTCCACTGTTAGTGACGTTTTGCAAAGATTTAGATAACTATTGCTATTTAATTACACATTACTGAACACCTCTCTCTGTTCCCATAGAAAACAGTTTTCACCGCCCCAGCCAGTTACATTGCCAATATCAACATGTTCAATAACACTCTACAACTCTACACTCACAGGTGAGTAATCAACCATTGGTAAAGCAGTTACTTTATATGTCATGGCATACAATGCAAAACCCTATACTCACATTACTTTGGCATTGTCATGAATGTATTCTGAATTTCTGTCCTCATTCAGCTACCTTGGAAATGGACTCGTAGCGGCTCGATTGGCAACTCTTGGGGCTTTGGGAGCTGATGGTAATTTGAATTGTCTAATTTACTTAGATATGCAAGATTAACTGCTCAGTCATTCATCTGTACATGATGAATAGAGTTGTATAATGCTGCAAGACACACTTAAGCTTTCTATAAATTAGACACACTATTTACATGTCATCCTTGTGGGGGACAATGGACAATGCTATAGCCAATCTGGTTTACTCTTTCAGGTCTGGACTGGAAAGTTTTCACAAGCTCCTGTCTACCCAAGAAGTTCAGAGAGGACTGGACTTTTGGGGGAATCACCTACAAAGTTAGCGGAATTCCTGATGGTAAGCGCAAAATAAAACATACCATTTCGATAACATTTAATTTTTTATAATCTTCTAATCTAGAAATCAATTATTCAGTCTCAGATAGCTCAATGTAAGAGTTTAGTTGAGTCTGATTTGGGAAACATTTTCCACTGGAGCCAACTGCACTGTGGTGCAAAATGCATGTTTTGTCATTCTTTCTCTCTGCACTCAGACTTTCAACAGTTATAATACAGCAAACCTTGTATTTAAATAAGAGGAAAATTGTCAGTTAACTCCGCAAATAATGCAACGCTCCCATACCACAGTCATGTAGCCAAGAGATACTGGGTTAGTCCCAGAGATGTTATTTCTCTGTGTAACGAAAGGCTTAATGTTGACCGCTCACAATTATGTGGTAAAAATAGATCACCCAACAGGCCTTTGCTAAGTGCTACTCTTGTCAGCACTTGGTTTCCCTGGTTGTAACCAACCAACCAATCCCAGGGTGATGTGAGTGTACTTTTAGGGCTTTTAGGGCTTTTCTAGTGGAGAGCCCATTGCCTCAACCCCATTTTGACCTCATAAAGAGGCTCCAGGGTCTCCCAGTGCATTCCACCACAAGCATGCAGCAAACTCAGTTATTTTACTCTCATTTGAAAATAAATATTTTATTGTTGGTGCTGATTTTTAATTATTCTTGTTAACAATTTAATTGGGGTTTTGTCGTCATAAAGCTGACATAATGCTATAATATAAATATGATACCTACCTTGAAGATTCAGTACAGCTTGTGATAGATACTAATGATACTAATGGTGTGATCTATTTCTCTCTCCAGGTTATGCAGGGTACAAGCTGTGTTACTATGAGGTGATGAGAGTGGTGAAAGGCATCGTGCACCAGCCGTTCGAGATAAAGGGCAGCAGCATCTTCTATGCCTTCTCCTACTACTTCGACAGAGCTGTGGAGTCAGGCCTCATTGGTGAGTAGACACACAGAGAGCAGGACAGCTGCAAAATCACCATTCAGTATGCATCCAGTAAAACCTCACAATGATATGAAAGGGTTTCAATTAAAGAGTTGTTTAGTTGTTTTCTACTCAGATACATTTACTGCATTTTTCATGATATGCTTGGAAAACTGAAACGACAACTGTTGTAGCAGATGACAAAAAGTAGGCTAATCTTGTTTTTGTTTTCCAGATGGCAGTCGGGGTGGTATAGTAGAAGTCAGGGATTTCAAGAAGAGAGCCAAAGAAGGTGAGAGTCCTAGGCTGTTCTCTTAGACACATGTTGACTATATTGATACAGTACACAGTGTACAAACAAGAAATGTTGGCACTTATTTTAGACTCCAACAATCTCACAAGGCCTCACAAAATATCAGTTCCTTACCCCACATAGTTATCCTGCAAAAATACACGCTGTTTGAACTCACACAAATATTCAACCTTGTTTGTGGCCAAACTTCTTCTTGGCACAGCTAACCTAACATTGGCCATTTCCAATATAACCAAGGACCATCAGATGTAATGTCTGATTCATAACTGTTCTCGGAGCATACAGAAACACATTGATATTCTACATACACATGGACATTTAGCTACTTAAGACATTTACACATAGTTGACAGTAATCTGATGCGATGTGAAAAGTGCCCTGACACGTTAGATTGACATATAGCTTTGGTTAATTCATTAGAGTATGTGGCAAAATAAATGCCTGTGTTGTGCTAGATTTACAGCTAGCAGGAGCGAGTTGGTGTGTTATGTAAAGTCTGTTTGCATTGTGAGAACACTTTCACATGGTCTCGATGAACACGTCTGGCATTGGGCAGGTTGGCAGGCAGTTGACCTGGGCAGCTGTGAGCTCTGTCTCTTGTACCTGACAGCCACACAACACCCAACCCGACCCGGGGGCTGAGACTGAGAGAGACACGCTGTGTACAGCTAGTCTGTTTGGCTCGGCCTCCCACCCCCAGACTCACCAACATGTGCAGACCCTTGACTCTTCTCACACCCTCTTGCTCAGTCAGCTAAACAAACTAAATAAACAAAACAAGTTGACCAGCTTTCTATTATGTGGCACACAGGTTAGAGGTTGACTGCTGCTTGACCCCACTTTGAACATGATACAAGATATCTCTAAATACGCCCACCCGTGCTCTCTGCTTTCTGTCAGTGATATGTGAGTTGTTGTTAATGTAGTGCCTACTTGTCTTGTTTTGTTTAAGTGTGCAACAAGATGACCAAGTACCGTCCCATCAGCCCCTTCCTCTGCATGGATATGACATATATCACATGCCTGTTGAAGGAGGGCTTTGGCTTCAAGGACAACACAGTGCTGCAGGTAAGAGTCAGGAACAGGTCACTGGGCACACAGGCAGGGGACATGCACCAAGGCGTTAATAGGATGGTTTATTTTTTATGTTTATTTTCCTTGTTCTGCTCCACAGCTCGCCAAGAAGGTGAACAATGTTGAGACAAGTTGGGCCTTGGGAGCCACATTCGATCACTTCAACAACCTCAACATCCACTAAGGGCAGCTAGCCTACCTGCACTGAGAGGGACAGCCTGTTACTGGGGGCATCCCAACCCCCCCCCCCCCCCCCCCCCCCCCACCAGCCCCTCCCTCCTGCTCAGCAGCACTGCCAAGCTTCTCCAGCCAACCCCTCCCCTCTGTCACCAGCACCCTCCTGCAAATAATACAAGAACTATTGACAAAGAAATCACTATATTTTTATAAGGAAGGACAGCTATTTCTACTGTATGTTTAATCCATAATTAGTGAGTTTACTTTATTTTTTTACAGCAAGCGTTTACATTTACGCTTCCTTAGTGGTGTCTGACCTGAAATGCAGTCTTATTTGGCTACCTTCGAGCGTGTAGAGTAGTTAGAAGCACTGCAACTAGTCAGGTAAATTATTTAGGAAACTTTGGTGCTTACTGTGCTCCTGGAGTGCACTGTAAAAGTACAGTGGAATATTTGGAGAATAAATAAGTTCCAGGAATGCAACCTTCAGTCATAGCTCTGAATGCCTGCAACTCATTCTATCTGGAAATATCTTGTAGGACAGATGAACAATATATTTTCCCTCACAATACACAATATATATATAACCAGCAACGTTTCCCCTCATACTTTGCACATAACACTTTAACTTCCGATGCTGTAGCTGAGATATTTTGCTTGGATGTTGTCTACAGAGTTGTACATATTCATCAACGTTAGAGGTGACCAATTTGCCACAACTCAGGGGGAAAGTAAAGCACAGAGAGGGTGAGAAGATAGTGTTCTCACTGAGTATGTCTTGCATTTGATATATGATAACTATTGTATGTATGACGTTGATGCCTATGTCTTGAAAGTGCAGCCTTAGTAGATGTGGCCTTGTGTAGAATGGCCAGTTGAATTGAATCATACGAGTGAGTGCCTTGAGTTTCTAACTGTTGGTAAAGGCTGTGTTATTTGTGTTGTCTACAGTGGAGCACTAAATGGTAATTGTTCGATCAACCGTGGCAAGACTACAGGACTCTCTCCAAATGAAAATGTAGCTTTTAGCTTGTTGCTGTATTCAGCAACTAGTCATCATTTCAATATCCCTCTAGTACTATATCATTCATAGACTGATACATACAGCCTAAGAAGCATGTCAGAACCTTAAACCCATAAATCTTTCATTTGTAGCGATATAGCTCTTGGTGCAAGACACACACACACAATGCTTATTAATACTGTTTGGAATTTCCTTCTTGTGAACTGTACAAATATTTAAATCTCAGATCCTGCTTATTTTGAATGCTGTTGCAATCTGTACAAAATGAACTTTGCTGTATAACTGCTCTTCGTGCAATGCATTAGCCTATTCAACAATCCAGTAGCAAACATGTACAATAACTACTGCTGTATATAATACTACAAAGTAAACCTGTATTAGTAAAATACTTACCAGACTGTAACTGCTTTGACTTTGCAAATGAAAACTTTATTTCTGCTGCATAATGTTCACAATGTTTTAAGGTGAACTGCTTGATAACTGATCATGTAAATCATGTTTTATGAAAACCTGGTGCAAGTAAAATGCATGTATACATTATACATGTATGTTTCAATAAAATATTAAAAGTGTTCTTGGTGTACAGGTACAGTGCCTTAAGAACGTATTCATACCCCTTGATTTATTCCACATTTTGTTGTGTTACAGCCTGAATTAAATAAATAAAAATAATAATAATAATCTCACCTATCTACACACAAAAGGCTGAAACATGAAAACATGTTTTTAGAAATTTTTGCAAAATTATTGAAAATGAAATAAAGAAACATAATTTACATAAGTATTCACACCCCTTTGCTATGAGCTCCAAATTGAGCTCAGGTGCATCCAATTTCCTTTGATCATCTTTGAGATTTCACTACAACTTGATTGGAGTCCACATGTGGCCAATTCAGGTTCTCCCATCTCAGCCAAGGAACTCTGTGGTTCTGTCAGAGTGGTCATTGAGTTCTTGGTCACCTTTCTGACCAAGGTCCTTCTTGCCCGGTTGCTCAGTTTGACGGCCAGCTCTAAGCAGAGTCTGGGTAGTTCCATAGAAAGAAAACCTGTGTATATACTGTGTATATACAGGTCCCACAGTTGACAGTACATGTCAGAGCAGAAACTATACCATGATGGAGCTGTCCTTAGATCTCAGAGATATCATTATATGATGAGGCATATATCTGGGGACGGGTATAAAACAATTTCTAGAGTGTTGAAAGTTTCCAAGAGCACAGCGGTATCCATTATTGGGAAATGGAAATAATATGGAACTACCCAGACTCTGCCTAGAGCTGGCCGTCCGACCAAACTGAGCAACCGGACAAGAAAGACCTTGGTCAGGGAGGTGACCAAGAACCCAATGAACACTCTGACAGAACTTGGCTGTTCCTTGGCTGAGATGGGAGAACCTGCCAGAAGGACAATCTCTACAGCACTTCACCAATCTGGGCTTTAAGGGAGAGTGGCCAGACGGAAGCAACTCTTGAAAAAGGGGCACATGACAGCACGCCTGGAGTTTGTAAAAAGGCACGTGAAAGACTCAGAGCATAAGGCAAAAGATTCTGTGGTCTGTTCAGACAAAAATTGAACTCTTTGGCCTGAATGCAAAGCGTTATGTCTGGAGAAAACCAGGCACAGTTCTTCACCCGTCTAACACCATTCATACTGTGAAGCATGGTGGTGGCAGCATCATGCTATGGGGATGCTTTACAGCGGCAGAGACTGGGAGACAGGTTAAGGATAGAGGGAACAATGAATGGAGCCAAATACAGGCAAATCCTTGATGGGAACCTGCTTCAGAGTGCAAACGACCTTAGACTGGGGGCGAAGACTTACATTCCAACAGGACATTGACTCAAAGCATTCAGCCAAAGCAATGCTGGAATGGCTTCAGAACAAGAATGTGAAAGTCCTTGAGTGGCCCAGCCAAACCCCAGACTTGAATCCCATTGAAAATCTGTGGAAAGACTTGAAGATTGCTGTTCACCTGCCGCTCCCCATCTAACTTAACAGAACTTGAGAAAATCAGCAAGAAAGAACGGGAGAAAATCCCCAAATCCAGATCTGCAAAGCTGATACAGACATACCCAAGACGACTCAAAGATGTACACTACCAGTCAAAAGTTTGGACACACCTACTCATTCAAGGGTTTTTCTTTATTTTTACTATTTTCTACATTGTAGAATAATAGTGAAGACATCAACACTATGAAATAACACGTATGGAATCATGTAATAACCAAAAAAGTGTTAAACAGCTTTGCAAATTCTTGGCATTCTATCAACCAGTTTCACCTGGAATGCTTTTCCAACAGTCTTGAAGGAGTTCCCACATATACTGAGCACTTGTTGGCTGCTTTTCCTTCACTCTGAGGTCCAACTCATCCCAAACCATCTCAATTGGGTTGAGGTCGGGTGATTGTGGAGGCCAGGTCATCTGATGCAGCACTCCATCATTCTCCTTCTTGGTCAAATAGCCCTTACACAGCCTGGAGGTGTGTTGGGTCATTGTCCTGTTGAAAAACAAATGATAGTCCCACTAAGCGCAAACCAGATGGGATGGCGTATCGCTGCAGAATGCTGTGGTAGCCATGCTGGTTAAGTGTGCCTTGAATTCTAAATAAATCACAGTGTCACCAGAAAAGCACCATCACACCTCCTCCTCCATGCTTCACGGTGGGAACCACACATGTGGAGATCATCCGTTCACCTACTCTGCGTCTCACAAAGACATGGCGGTTGGAACCACAAATCTCAAATTTGGACTCATCAGACCAAAGGACATATTTCCACCGGTCTAATGTCCATTGCTTGTGTTTCTTGCCCCAGGCAAGTCTCTTCTTATTATTGGTGTCCTTTAGTAGTGGTTTCTTTGCAGCAATTCGACCATGGAGGCCTGATTCACACAGTCTCCTCTGAACAGTTGATGTTGAGATGTGTCTGTTACTTGAACTCTGTGAAGCATTTATTTGGGCTGCAATTACTGAGGCTGGTAACTCTAATGAACTTATCCTCTGCAGCAGAGGTAACTCTGGGTCTTTCTTTCCTGTGGCGGTCCTCATGACAGCCAGTTTCATCATAGCACTTGATGGTTTTTGCGACTGCACTTGAAGGAACTTTCAAAGTTCTTGACATTTTCCGAATTGACTGAACTTCATGTCTTAAAGTAATGATGAACTTTAGTTTCTCTTTGCTTATTTGAGCTGTTCTTGCCATAATATGGACTTGGTATTTTACCAAATAGGGGTATCTTCTTTATACCCCCCCTACCTTGTCACAACACAACTGATTGGCTCAAATGCATTAACAAGGCACACCTGTTAATTGACATGCATTCCAGGTGACTACCTTATGAAGCTGGTTGAGAGAATGCCAAGCGTGTGCAAAGCTGTCATCAAGGCAAAGGGTGGCTACTTTGAAGAATCTAAAATATATTTTAATTTGTTTAACACTTTTTTGGTTACTACATGATTCCATATGTGTTAATTCATAGTTTTGATGTCTTCACTATTATTCTACAATGTAGAAAATAGTTTAAAAAATAAAGAAAAAACATTGAATGAGTAGGTGGGTCCAAACTTGGTACTGTAATCGCCAACAAAGGTGCTTCTATAAAGTATTGACTCAGGGGTGTGAATACTTAAGTAAATTAGATATTTATATATTTCATTCTCAATACATTTACAAAACAAAATGTAACATATTTTCACTTTGTCATTATGGGGTATTGTGTGTAGATGGGTGAGGGAAAAAAATATTAGCAACAAAATGTGGAATAAGTCAAGGGATATTAATACTTTATGAAGGCACTGTATTTGTTTTCTGAAACAAATTTTCTGTCATGAAAATATTCCAATAGATTGTGAAACTGTGATACAGAATGATGCTTGGAAGTTCCCAAAATCATCTTCACACAGAGAAAGAAAGACACGCAGGTATAGCAATGTTCATGTAATAACAGATCATAAAATATAACTTCATTAATTTACACTTTTACGTTCCATTCACAAAGTCACAATGGCATATCATCTTTGGAGTCCTCTGTAGCTCAGCTGGTAGAGCACGGCGCTTGTAACGCCAAGGTAGTGGGTTCGATCCCCGGGACCACCCATACACAAAAATGTATGCACGCATGACTGTAAGTCGCTTTGGATAAAAGCGTCTGCTAAATGGCATATTAAATATTAAATTAAAAATCAAACTGCCACTGCAGGACCAGTGTACGTGTCACTTGCTTGCAAATGTCATGATCTGCTCCTGGAGAGACAAAGAAAAAACAAGATCAACAGATCAACTCACAAATCTAAACATCCATTTTCATCCATCCATCCATACTTATCCACAAAAATATCCATCCGCCAGTGGAGGCTGGTGGGAGGAGCTATAGGAGGAATGGAATGGAATAAATGGAACCGAGTTAAACATGTGGTTTCTATATGTTTGATACCGTTCTATTTATTTCATTCCGGCCATTACAATTAGCCCGTCCTCCTATAGCTCCTACCACCAGCCTCCTCTGCCATCCGCATATAGCACTAGCAAGTCTTAATAAAACCGATGACTAGCATCTTTCCCGTCTGCATTAAAAAGTGGCACCACAAACCTCTGTATGCGATATCTGTAAACTGGGAAACTCTGAACATTTAATATGGAAAAATGTCAAGCATAACTTTGGGTCTCCAGGGGGGAAATCCCTTTACAACCAGTTACGATTGCTTTGGTCTGAATCACTTAGTATGGAAATAAAGCCATTTCACATGAGTGGTCTGTAATAAAAGGGGTGTGAAAACACAAGTCAACACCGCCGTAACGCAGCCCCGGGGCCAGCCCTGCACCCCACCCACACACTTTCGGTAACGCTAAATTTGGGGCTAAACTTAGCTGCCGTAGTAGTAGGTTCTCGACCATGGAAATTATAGGCAGTGCTGAATTAAAAAGCCATGTAATCAGAAGAGGGTGGGGTGGGATCATGGGAAAAGCCAAGGTGGGGATTAATGCTGACAGATGCCCCAACCTTGGGGGTTCAAGAAGAGATGGATTCTACTTGAACAAGTGTTGTGTAATCAAAGAGTTGGGGGTTCACTTTGGTAAGTGGCATGACGTGGGACAGGTGGGATTAAAAAGAGAGCCGAAGGTGCGTAAGAGAACCACAGGGGCAGCGTTAGTTGAGTAGAGTCGTTTCATCAGGTCGATGGCGGCCATCATGGGCAGGTTGTGTCGCTGGCGCTCCGTCTCATATTCCAACAGGTGCTGCATGGCCCCTGTACAACACAACACAGAGTAGAGCAAAACACCAGCGGTTACACATCATGGAGGAAAGAGTTTAATATTCTGGACCTGTAAACATTTTATTTTTGTTGCATTAAGTCAATACATTAGAGCTATTCTGACTTCAAAACAAAATAAAATGTAAAAGATTCACATAACAGCATTTCCATTTCTATGAAAACGCAATGTACATACAGTCCTTGGCAGAATGGGCAGAAAAAACATCAAATAAACTTTGGAGGAAAGCCTGTTCTTTTTATAATCAAGATCAACAGCAAGCGTCCTAGCCTGGGTTATGGAAAAGAGCTTATGAGAAACCACTGGCTATGGCTGCTGTGTTTTGTGTCCGTTTAGTGTAGTCACTAACCCAGATCCTTCCTGTTAAAGGCCGCCTGGCTCAGGACCTGAGTGAGGCAGGCCACATCCCCAAAGCCCAGGTTGGCTCCTTGGCCAGCTAGAGGGTGGACGCGGTGTGCTGCATCCCTGCAAAGATAAATAAAGACCCCCACCATGTACACCTAGTCACTACATCTACAGGGTAGGACCAAAGCAAACATTCCCTTGAAATAGACATGAATACCAATAATTGAGTGGAGGAATTAACCAACCATTTTTTAAGATGCAGTCGATAATGATTTTTATATTACCCTTTTATACGTTTACAGAATCAGGGCATATAATCCTTCTATTTACAAGATGCCAAGTCAAATATAAATCATGGTTTTCCAAGGCAAACTGATGTGAAGTTCAATAACTCAGTGTCCCACAGGGATGAGTGGTGACTTACCCGATGAGGGCCACCCGGTGCCTGATGTACTCTGATGCGTGGCCCATGCCCAGGGGAAACATGACCCGGCTTTTTGGGCCGATCCGGGCCACGCTGGGGGGTAGCTGGCGGGCCGAGCCTGCAGACGGCATGAGAACTGACAGGTCAGTGCGGAACAGAGAGCCAGCAGTCTCCACCAGCTCACTGTGGTTCTCATTACTCCACTGGCAGACAGAAACAACACAGATAGAGAGGGAGACAGAGGAAGCCAGGAAGAGACAGAGGGAGACAGGAAGAGACAGAGGGAGACAGGAAGAGACAAGGGGAGACAGGAAGAGACAGAGGGAGACAGGAAGAGACAGAGGGAGACAGGAAGAGACAGAGGGAGACAGGAAGAGACAGAGGGAGACAGGAAGAGACAGAGGGAGACAGGAAGAGACAGAGGGAGACAGGAAGAGACAGAAGGAAAGACAGGAAGAGACAGACGGGAGACAGGAGAGAGACAGAGGGATACAGGAAGAGACAAGGAGACAGGAAGAGCCAGGGGAGACAGGAAAAGCCACGAAGGTGTCAGCGATCGTCCGTATGAGTGAGTAGACCAGGCGCAGCGTGTGAACCAAACATGACTTGAATTAAGTTAAAGTATACAAAACAAAACACGACTCGTGAAGTCCACGGTGACAAAATACTGACACGGAACAAAAACCCACAACACCGCAAGGGAAAACATAGCGATTAAATATGGCGCCCAAGCAGAGACCAACCAGCCGACAGCTGACAACGCGTTGGCCCTCTGATTGGGAGTCACACAGGCAACTAGAAAAGACAACCTAGAACACCCAAACAAAGAAACAGAACCACATAGAATGAACACCCCGGGCCAACATATAGAGTCCCGAGAGCCATGGTGTGACACAGAGGGAGACAGGAAGAGCCAGAGGGAGACAGGAAGAGACAAGAGGGAGACAGGAAGAGACAGAGGGAGACAGGAAGAGACAGAGAAAGACAGGAAGAAGACAAGAGGAGAACAGGAAGTAGACCAAGAGGGAGACAGGAAAGAGACAAGAGGGAGACAGGAAGAGACAAGAGGGAGACAGGAAGAGACAGAGAAAGACAGAGAGGCAGAAACAGAGGGTAGAGGAATAGACAGACAGAGAAGGGGGCGGTACAGAAGAGATAGAGAGGGATGTGGTAGACAATTAGAGAGAAGAAGTTAACAAAGATGCAAACTAGAGCAGAAATGCAGAGCGAGTATACTTTCCTTTCTAACAAAATGGTTTGGCGGCATTACAGGAGCCTTGCTAATTAAAAGAAGAGGCTGGTCAGGCCGTGCTGTTGAATTAGCTTAGTTTGAAAAACATTCCATGCAGTAATGACCAATACTGGCAGACCACAGGTTTAATTAGCAAACCAGGCCTGAAAGCAAGCATGACTGAACCGTGGTGACCCCATTGGCAGGACCAGTAAAAATAGCCGGCTTGGGAAAGCGACTTTAGGCCGGCAAAACGTTAGCATTGTCTACATGTATGATTTAGAGTAGACAGAGTACAGTTACAAGTGCACCCATTGGTATTGGCTAACTGGTTCATTGGTGCACTTACAGTGTGATTATGTTGGTATTTTAACAAGAGCATTTCCATTCATAAATGTACTATTCATATCACATATGGATGTTTCAGAAATGCATTTCTTTCTCTGCTGTATTTTGGCATTTGCTCCTCATTGTCATTAGCTGATTTGGTGGGGTCAAGCCTGACTCACGAAGGCAGAGTTGATGGCATCCACAAAGCTCTCCTCATCCAGCTGCTGTGGCTCCTCGGCATGGCGGTGGCTGGTCGACCACACCAGAGAGCTCTCTGTGTCCGACAACTACAGCAAAAGGAGAGAAGGGGGATGTCAGATAAAACGAAGGAACAGCAACAAGCTCATTTGCACTTTGAACATACAAACTTACCTGTAACATTGCTATTGGTCCTGTTGGAAGGAACCTCTGCCATGCAACATTGTTCTCTGTTGGCTGTATAAGAAGGATATATACTGTAAAACATGAAAATAATGAGTATCACCTCTAGGTGTTATTATATGGTAATAAAGGGTGTGGTGGTAAAATGGACAGGTTGTAAGATTTGCATCTCACTTCAGACAGATGCAGAACAGCCACAACAGCTGATTGGTCGTAATTCCACTTGACCGTGGGTATCCCTGCCTCCTGCCTCACCATCGAATTTGGCCCGTCTGCTCCAATCTGAAAAACAGCCAATCACAGCGGTTACAGCCTAGAACATCATGGTCAAAGGCTAAAAAACAATAACATTCACAACATTCAGAAAATAAAAGAGTTACTACTCAGCTGTTGGACTGACCAGTAGTTTGGTTTGAAGCGTCTGTCCATTGGCCAGGGTGACCTGAACCCAGGGGATGGATTCAGCTACCTGGTGGGACTTGGGCCAGGTGTACGTCACCACCTTGGTTTTGTACTGGACCCTCACCTGATCTGAGGGACAAAACACAGAGAAAAAGCTGGTCAAAAGCAGAGCCTGGGTTCGCCACAGAGAATTGTTTTCAGTCAAATGTGGCCCTCTGTAGCTCAGCTGGTAGAGCACGGCGCTTGTAACGCCAAGGTAGTGGGTTCGATCCCCGGGACCACCCATACACAAAAATGTAGCACGCATGACTGTAAGTCGCTTTGGATAAAAGCGTCTGCTAAATGGCGTATTATTATTATTATTATTATTAAATGCGTAACCCTATTTTCACTAAACAAGAAAGGGACCAGAATTGGTCACAATTGGTCACACTAATTAAGGCTTTTCTACTTGTTTCCTCCAAAAAGGAAAAAAAGAGAGTACGGTTTGGCTGTAAGTGACTAAGGCGGTGGAGGTTCTACAAACCACCTCGTAAAACACCACTGGTTTCCCTCTCTGGCAGGGACCAGTTGCCGAAGCTCACATTGACAATCTTCTAAATGGTCTTGGCTTGCCGCATAGCATTGACTAATAGTGTTTATCTACAAGCAGACCATGCCACACTTTCCACTTGCTGCCAGCATGCTGGGGTTGCACTAAAAACTCCCACTTTCTTGGAATATCAGTAGCCGGTCATCCCGAACATGAAAGGATCCGGAATTACGCTTGGCTTTGCCCACTTGGAGAGGTTCCCATCCGCAGATTGACTACTAGTCCTGAACACAAGTGACAAATATTGGCTTGCAGTGATTGGAGAGCAGAGTTACTACAAAACCAGCTGGCTCAGTGCATGTTTTTCATGTACTTCCTCAGAAGCAGAGAAACATCATGGACAAAGGAATAAAAAATTAAGTAGAGGACCAATGTGATGCACTTAAGGAAAATCTGTTTAGTGCAACATTTATAAATATGTTGTTTACAGTCGGACACACGGCAGTGCTAAAGTTTCATTTATGAACCTCAAAAAGGCCTGTCTAATTTCAGCAACAATATAGCAGAATACACCGCCAGCACTTTAGCATCCTCATGGTGTGGAAGCACATGTCAATGTTAAATAGGTCACTGGACCAATGCACGTGTCTTCCCATGGCACCGGGTCTATGGAGTGCTTTAACTGGCACACAGGAAATATGGCACTTGATTGAAATAGCAGGAAAAACCTGGATGCGTCCAAGAGCTGCACTGGTCTTTAAAAACAGACTGGAGAATGTACAAATAAACAAAAAACAGGGACAGGATGGAACAAATGTGGTGACATTACATTAGCTGCCAGACCCAGTGCCCATTAACAGGATATCAATGGAATCAAGAGGTCTTATGGGGAGAGAGTCGCATCACTACTGGTGCATAGGGAGGGTTTCATGAGAAAATCATCAATGCAACTGGACTGTACGTGAAGCTGCTTTTCTTACCAGAGAGATTCTCCAGCTGTTTCGTCAGGGCTGCCACTATGATGTCGTTCTCCACAATGTATGCCATCTCGTCCTGCAGGTTCTCCTTATCAAATGTAATCAGGCCATCTGAGCAGGCATCCCAAACCTAAATGAGAGACCAATTATCCCTGTGGTCTACAACTCTATCTTTAAATGCACCCCCTTTCCCTATATTTAGCTGGCCAAAGAAGCACAGCCTCATTGAACTGAACACATCAAAGTTGTTCATCTGCAGCCAGAACTTGGCAGCCACTACTTCAAGTACCAAACTAAGTTCTAGGAAGGTCACCAACATCCTTCTGGTTCGCTGGTTGACTTGGTTCTATGGAAGTTTACTGAAGCACGATGAAAGGTCATTAGTGATGTTGATTTATGGCAATATTTTTGGCCCAACAAATAAGTAGGCTACAGTAACACATTTGTTAACCTTACTGAGCAAGTAAATATTTGTTCATGTATCCCAAAAAAGTTGAGTCAGAACAAAACAATATTGTGGCACATGTCATGTTTGAAACGGTTCATGCAACGCAGCAAAGTGATTACACTTATGTAGGACTCTGATGGCTTGCTACCAAGGTGACAGACCTTATCTTTCAGAAGTAACATACAGCTACTTTTTTTCCAACATAAAGTAGTGGGTTTTACTCTACAGAAAACCACTAATGGTGGTGGGTTTGCAACTTGTGACAAGTGGTTGGCTGCTCGAAAGATTTAATGAAACCAAACCGCAAATTGCAAGTAGTTTTTAAGTTGGTGAAAAATAATACTTCTGTTGATAAGGAATTTGTTGCTATGTACTTATTGTCCTCTTTGCTAGGAGAAATCCCCAAACGGGATCTTTAAAAGCTGTTTATCTTTCCATCCTAACACTCAGACAAGGGAGAGACCATTGGAAATGGTTTACTAATGACTCATAGAGAAACCTTTCCTTGCTCAAAACCCTATTTCAGGTTATTTTTCCTTTTTAAGGCAGTAGTTAACTTTTTGGGATAGTGAAGATCTTTTTTTAGGTTAACCTCAACGCACTGCTCCTCTATCCTTGTAATATGCATCAGCAAACAAACAAGCAGAAAAAGGAGCAGAGCAGTTTAGGTATTATGGGAAAGGTATATCACTATAATCACCATATGGTATTTTATGATGACATCCTTGGCCATGAGTGAAACCCTATGGTTTGGTCTTTGATACAAACTGACCACATCTTACAGAAGGGACTCAGCGTGCACCCACAGCTGTAAAACAGGGTCACTTTGCTGCTGACATCCACACATCCCGTCATCTTTCATCTTCTGCCTCCTGTTTGTCACATGAATCTTTATAATTAGTAGACACTGACAATGAGTGCCTAGTCAAAGATGCCAAATAGATTTATTATTCCTATTAAATGTGATCCTAATAAATAAACACTCTGCCACTGTGGCCAGAAGAAAAACCAAACCTTTCACCAAGCCAGTGAGTTTTGGTTTTAAAAGTTTTTTATTTACCTCCTGTCTTTTGGGGTTTGCGGCACCCTGGCATTTGCATGGCCTCTGAGGATGTATAAATTAGACAGAGGAATGAACGAAATGCGTGTTTTAAACCGCTATTGGGTTTGCAACTACATGCCTGAGGAAAATGGCATTGTACAGCACGTTCAGCAAAGTACATGATTGAGTGGAGGTTAAATGGCAGCGGAGATTACATTTTCCTGAAATTGTATTGCCAAACAAGTTACTGATGCATGGAGAATGAAAGTAAGTATATAGTGGTAAAACTCAAACGATTTACATAAAAGGGTTTTAAAATGGAAAAAATACCTTTAGGGCTTGTGGTAGAGGGGAGTTTCCAAGAACTGACCTGCATCTTCTGATAGGGCTTACATCTCATGTTCATAATGTGATCCCATGCTCACTATTTTAATATATTACAAGATGCTCATCTATAAAATGTAGGAATGTTATGTTTGTTTGAAGAAGTTATCATAAGTTGAATGCACCAATTTGTAAGTCGCTCTGGATAAGAGCGTCTGCTAAATGATGTAAATGTAAATGTAATACAAGCCCCATAATGACTTGTTAGAGGAATTTGATCAAATGAGATATGAAGTGAAGTGGGTGAAGTCAATTTACATCGAAGTCAATTTAACTGGCCATGACATAGCGATGGGTATCCGAATCACTACCTTCACTTCCTTATTGACATGCATCAGTGTGTCAAGTAAAACCCAAGGAGACATGAATAACAGTTTAGAGGATGCCATCAATGACTGATGTAGACTAGAGGCCAGATATGATCCCTGCTAAGCATGTGCGACTAGACAGAATGGGACTGATCCCTAACCTACTTCCTGACAACCTTTTATACTAAGCCACACCACAAATAGGCTTAATCAGACAGGAAGCTGGCCACCTAAACAAGAGCTCTGTTGTCATTGGATAAGATATACTGTCCATTTTAACTGGATAAACCAACCCTGACAATAATATTAACTACCAAACTGACTATAAACAACTCTTCACTCCTACTGTTCTTTATGAACCTCAAACTATTGTAGCCGTATGTATCTGCTGGCAGAGAGGTTTCCTCAATTTATCTGATGCTATTAGATGCCAATGGAAAACAGAGATGCTAATGCCATTAGAGAGATTACTTTCTCAGGGAACATGATAATAGTGTTTGGTAATATGGTTGTGTACCACTGAGGAGGGTGGCAGAGCCCGGGCTGATGGAGCTGACTCTGGTACTATAGGCATCTGGGACCTTGTCCCTCACTTTTTTGTTGCCTGCCTCAAGCAGCAGGATCTTCTTCTCCTCCAAGTTTGGATCCATGGCTGTCAAGAATAATGAAGATCTATGAAATTGATTGATGCTGCATCCAAAATGATAAACAGACAGACTATCTAATGATATGATGTTCCGAGCAGTGAAATAGCCTATTTATAACTGATTTCAATTTTGTGGTGGTGCAGCATTGTTATAGCCTGCATTTTGGCATCACTTGTGGTTTTAAGGAGGACAAGAAATTAAAGTTCCTCTACATGTTTCTTTTAATTATACCTTACTTAAGCAACATAGAACTAAGACAAATACTGTATGCTGTAAATCAGCAGCAAAGCCACAATTGCATTCAGCAGCAGAATGATGGCTCCTCCTTTAGAGGGGTTTCCACTAGCTTCTATAGACACAAAATCAGATTACACAGCCACAAAATCAGATTACACAGCCACAAAATCAGATTACACAGCCACAAAATCAGATTACACAGCCACAAAATCAGATTACACGACCACAAAATCTGATTACACAGCGACAAAGTAAAAATTGGCTACAAAAATTTGCTTAATTTAAGGTTAGGGTTCGGCATTAAGGTTAGCAGTGTGGTTAAGGTTAGGTTTAACATTTTAATGTATGAAGATAAATTGTAGAAATAGGCGGGGTTTATGATTTTGTGGCTGTAGAAATACATTTAGAGGGGGCAACTATAGGGGCATATTGGCCTGTCTCTCTTGGCAGTTTCAGGAGATCACCTCGACTCACCTAAAGAGCAAGCCATAGCGGTCCCAACCATTCCTCCTCCAGATATAATGACATCATAAAGCTCATTTTCATGTTCCCCGTGTTCTGCTGCACACGCGAGTCCCCTGCAAATGATTCTTGCTCCTAAAAAACGGTTCACAGCAACACACCGCCGCCCAATTCCATTTAAAGACAGCGATGCTTTAGTGAGACTATGCATCTTTAAAACAACGTAACGAAGGGACTCGTCTAACCCTAAAACAACTTCAACTGTATTTTTGGGATGTTTTTAATCAGGACCAAACTCTCCTTGAATATGTCCTAATCGCAGCGGTGGCCATTCTATAATCCAGCCATGTTGTATATTTATACATATGTAACAGAGGCAAGTACTTCCCGTACTGTTTAACCAATCAGAAAAACGAACTGCACTAGTTTCCTTCACAAGTTGTCTGCACTTTGGTGCTATTAATATAAAAAAATCATTCAAAACTGAATTCAGGAGGACAATGTACAAGGGATACAGTTAACACGCCTCTTGAATAAAAAATGTGTTCCTAAAATTTGTGAACATGATACCTCAAGCTTTTACTTCAGCCAATCAAACATTAGAGGGCTGCAGGGGGTGGAGTCAAATATCTTGGTTTTGCTAAACATTATCCAGTGATTCGAAGTTTATAACATTGTAGCAGTGTGTGTCGATACATGATGTCGATATATGATTGTCTTTACTGTGAAGCAGGAAGAGAGGGATAAGAATGTTGCGCTGGAATAAACCTGCTGTAGTTCTATCGTGCACGAGCATCAGGTTATTTTCTAATGTCTATTTTTCAACATTCCATTATATTTTCATCTCATAATTGATTGTAGTTATGCATTGTGAAACAATACTATTTTGCTGCCCTAAAACAGCAGTTTAGCATGTACTGTACTATGTTAACACCATATACATAAGAATACCTCTGCTAATGTTAGGAGAAGCAGTTTGGTTGCTAGGGCAACCATTGCGTGAGCTCACATCATGTGCTGCTGGAGTTCAGATAACTTTTCCTGATATTTGTCAGTTCTGTGGAAAATAAAAATAGCTGGGTTTTTCTCACTGTGAGAGGTGTTTCTGGAAGAGGTGTTTTTGGAATATCAATCAAAATGTCTTCCCCTTTTCATAGCTGTTTGGTTAATGTCAGGTTCAGGAGGGCACACTGCTGCTAGGATGCAGGAGCAGAGGAACATGTTAGACCTGCAGGCTTTCCTGGAGGATGGCCTGAGATCAGAGCTGCTGCTCCAACGCCAGCTGCAAGCAATGAAGGAGGCCCACAAGCAGCAGCTGCAGGAGACAGAGAGGAGACAGAGAGTGGGCCTGGAGAAAAGGATCCAGCAGAACTCTATGCTGTCAGCAGGCGTCGACAGGAGGTCTAGTACTGACAGACAACTGGACAAGTTATTCAGCTCTAGGTAGATAATAATATAGTATTTGCCATTTAGCAGACACTTTCATCCAAAGCGACTAACAGTCATGCGTGCAAACATTTTATTACGTTTGAGTGGTCCCGGGAATCAAACCCACTATCCTGGCGTTGCAAGAGTCATACTCTACCAACTAAGCTACAGAGGACCACCATCACCCAATGATGTTAATACATTGTAAACACAATTACTAATGAAGGTTGACCCTATTGTTCTATGTTACATAAACATTTTAAAATGCAGGGGACCAAGGAGATCCAGTTCCATGTCTGACCTGACCTCAGGTAAGAGGTCTACCTCCAGGACCTCCCAACAGGTCTATCACATCCTCTGCAGCCTGGGCATCCGTCACAACTGTTACACAGACAGGATCACAGCAACTTCAGCACCAAAGACCAACAGAAACAGAGCAGCTCCAACTAAGTAAAGAGGAGAAATAGGAGGTGGAGTGTCAGAGGAAGTTCCATGCAGTTCCTGTGCCTGTCCATGTGTGTTTGCCCCTCTATGATGAGATGATGCAGGTGCGACAGAGGGAGAGGAAGGAAGGCCATGAACAGAGGAGGGACTTCCTGCTCTCCATGCAGAAGCCATTCAGCTTCCTGGAGAGAGATGAGAAAAAGAGAGAGAAGCTGATGCAAATGATAAGCACGGTGGCACAGACTCAAAAACCCAAGGCCACAAATGTCAGGAAACCAATACCTAAAGCAATCAATGACCCTGCAGTCTCTGAGCATTTTAAAGGTGCGTTGCCTAAAATAATATCTCTAGAGATAGTGCTTAGGTACAGGAAATGGTGTTATAAATGTATTATTATCCTCTCTAAATCTAGTTTTTTTCTCACTGAATTCTGTATGCTCTGTAGAGGAGGAGCTGCGCAGGAAGATACGCACCCAGCTGAGGGCCCAGGAGACACACACAGCACCTATAGAGAACCAAACTCATACTGAGAACCCTGAACCTCACAGCTCCCAGTGCACTAAGAAGGAGGTCCTGGCCTTCCTGGATCAGAAGCCTACCTTCCAGCCCAAGACCACCTCCCAGGTCCCTGACTTTGATAGGCTGCACAAGGCTTTCCACAGGGAAGCCCTGAGAAGGGTAGAGAGGAAAGTGTCAGCCCTTCCACCTGCGGACGTCAACCCTGCCCTCAAGACCAAGCAGGAGCAGCTCTGAAAAATAACAAGTGAGCTTACTGTAGAACTCTGCAAATATAACTTAGTTCAGAGCTTTTTGTTACTTTGGCATTGTTTTGTTTCCTCAGGTTATTTTTGTTCTCAGGAACCCACAGTCAGTGCCTTTTTGAAGAGAAACAATTCCTTTGGTGGTTTAACATCGCTGTCTACAGATACGCGTCCCACCTACATTACAGATGCAGCAAGGAAACGCTGTATGGCAATTAGGTAAGAGGGAACTGTGAACTTCATTATTAGATGAGTCTCTTTCATTTGCACAGATCACAGTAAAGATTAATATTACTCTCTCTGTCCTCTGGTCCATCAGAAGTTCTGTGGAGCAGAGGGAGTGCAGAGTTTATGAGGAAACACAGGATGAGGTCTCAGGCCATGAAGAAGACAGTGGCTGTCCGTGCCAAGGTCATGGATCCTCACTGCAGCCTGAAAGAGGTGTACCATGAGAATCTGAAACAGCACCGGTGAGTACATGGAAATTCCTTAGATGAAAACTGAAAAGAACAGCCTGATTAAAGAGTTGTACTGTATTTATTTACTTAATGTGTCTGTGGCTCTGTAGGGAGTCCGACCAACAAAGGACTAGAGAGTATAAGAAGGAGCTACAGGATATGAAGGCCAGAGTCACTGTCCGTCCTTACCTGTTTGAACAGGTGTCACAGGTAAAGTATGGGCTTGCAATGACCTGGAAACTACATTTCTGGAATTGCAAGCACTTAAGAAGAGCCTTTGAACTGTTAACTGTTGTGTTTTTAACTGTCATGCCCATTCTCTATTCCATTGCTTTTGATGGAATTGCTCTAGAAAAACGCCAAGGATGACGCAGAGCGACTATACAGAGACAAGCTGAGGGAAGCTGGTTTGAATGAGCAGTTTGTCAAAACAAAGGGAGAAGAGTTTGAAACGACACCGATCTTCAAATCTGATGACGATGACGATTGTGATGACCGAAGTGTTGAGAGTGACATGGAGAAAAGGTACCTACAGTGACAACAAGGGTGTGTAGCAGAGTGTCTACCCACTAACTGTTAGTTTTATTCATACAATATGTAATACCACTAGGAATACCACTGCAGCTGGAAATCCAAGGACGCTATGTGGTTTAGTCATATATACATTACAATGTTGCATTACATAATACTGGGAGACTGTAATAAAGTATTTAGTAAAGAGATGACAAATACTGCAGCCAAGCAAAACGTTGATGTAATTACAATATAGACATTTTCTAACCTGACATGTCTGATTTAGGAATGGAAACATAGACGTCTGGGAGAAAATTGAAGAGGTAGAGGAAGAGAGCGTGAAAACCAGAGTGGAAAAAAATGTATGATCAAAAAGTTAGACCCGGCATGGAACTCCATATAGCTATTCTGTTTCAAAGAGCACTATGTTCAAAAATAATTATAGTCTAGTTTAACTATGTTGATCTAGTCTTTGACTGTCTGACATGTTATGTTATGAATTATAACATTTCTAAACAGGGATATATGGCCTATGGAGCTTTTAAATTGATATTAAATGGAGCAAATGTGAGAAAATGAATAAAGGTTTATAGAACTATATATTTATAAGTAATTTTGAATTTTACAATGGCAGGGTATTATGTAATATTAAATGTATGGCTGCATAATATTTCAACCTTATTAAAACTGAATATCAAAGGCTTGTTTGGTTTTATGAAATTAATTTCGCCGGGATACGCGTGGCATTACAAAGGAGAACAGTTATTTGGTAACCAGATGGAAAAAACAGTTTAAAAACAAAACATAGGCCTACAGTACAATGCTACAGATTCTGAATGGTCCTAGTGTAGTTAGTATATCATCCCTCACTGAGAAATCAAAGTGCTGACAGTGATTTAAGTGATATTATAGTACGGTATTAAATCTGTCATGCAAGCCCATAAATATTTTGCCAATGGACGGGTCCTATAAGGACAGGAAACATCTGAAATGGACATTTCTCTGATGCTTTGGTTAAAGTCTCTCGCTATTTCAAGAGCCACAGTGCCAGTTAAGCAAATAGGTCTAGCCATTCATCTGCCATCACAAAGGGCATGTCAGTGCACTGCTCTGTGCCCATTTCCACATCAAATGGGGTTTAATACTGGCCTCCGCTGTGAGCTGAAGCAGTTTACTGGCAAGAATTTATGGGATTTTGCTAACCAGATGGAAACATCTGAATATGTATGTACATTACTTTATATAATTGTTAAGTTGGCTGCTGAAACACACTCAAAGAAGCTGATAGCAGATCCCTAGACACTGTAGCTGGCAGCAGACCACCATTCTAGAGGCTTAGTGCTATCCGGAATCCTAGGGACATCCCTACTCTAAACCTTAACCCTAACCTTAACCCTTACCATAACCATTTTAAATGTCAACTTCAATGGGGTAGTGACGTCCCAAGGATCCCGGATAGAAAGTACCCATTCCAGAGCCATACCTTGCTGCCTCCTTGGAGACCAGCTCATATGGTCATTTGGAGGGTACCGTCACAGAACCATGATGTGAAGTCCCACCTCAAATTTTTGTCTGTATTCAGAAAAAGACTGCTATGGAAGTCATTGAGTGACCTTAAGTGATATTTTACACTGTACAGTAGGGCTGAAATCCCATCAATCAAACCAGCTGTAAGGTTCACATCGGTTGGAGACGCTTGAATGATAGATACAGTCACCTTCATGAGAGCTCAAACATCACATTTCAGAGGTTCAAGGGCTCCAGTGAGGTTGTCATGGAAACCATGTTTCCCCTCCTTACACCCTCACAGTGGTCCAGCAGGAGACTGCTTTGTACCATCTTGGGTATTCCATACAGAAGTTACTATAAACAGATAGAATGCCATGGCTAACAGCATAATATCATATGGAATACAACACTATCACCTCTCTGGCCCAGAGAATAGTAGGGCAATGCTGTTTAATTGCATCCTAACTTTAAAGGTGTGGGCAAAAACCTATGTAATGAAACGGTTGAGCAAACATTCCAATAAAACAGGCAATAGCATGGCTGAGAAAAAAACCCCATCTCTTATGTGGGGTAATGACATGCTGTAAGTTTGTCCACCAGACTTGGTCATCTGAGTGTCTGAGAAGACGCCTCTCCAAGCAGTTAAACAATAACCATATACTTTTGCGAAGGTGGAGCCCTCAGGTCTGCTATTACTTCAGCTACAATATAAAAATTCCCACACATTTCATTATTCAATTGCTCCAGATCAAGTGTCTGTGGTTGAAGCACTACAGAGTTTCATTCAGTGTAGTTTTTGGGCATAAAACTATCTGATGGTAGAAAGATTCATAGCAAGGTTAAAGAGCAACTCCAAAAGGTTAATTTCGGCCCCCAATTGGGCTCTGAAATATCCCATTACGCAACATCATGCTTATTATTAACTGTATACTTATCCCCCATTAGTTCATTGCCCTCTAACCTTATATGAGGTTGACCATTGGAGGCTGGTGGGAGGAGCTATAGGAGGATGGGCTCATTGTAACGGCTGAAATGGAATTAATGGAAAGGTATCAAACACATCAAATATATGGAAACCACATGTTTGACTCCATTCCATTTATTCCATTCCATCCATTACAATGAGCCCATCCTCCTATAGCTCCTCACACCAGCCTCCTCTGGAGTTGACAGTGCAAGTCAAGGTGTGTCCTATATTTGTTTATTTGTGAGGAGGTTGATGTTTTTGACAGCCCATGGTTCACCTGCAGGAGGAGCTGTAGCTCATCACATCCTCAAATGAGAAAAAGAGAGAACTCTCTCCTTCTTCAGTGGCGTGAACAAATCCACAGCGCTGGAGAGAGAGCATAGTGGGAGAGAGAAAGGGGGAGGGACAGAGACAGCAATCAGTGTGACAGATAAGAGCGGCGGATGAGTTGTCTCTCTCTGAATGCACCGTGAGCAAGAGAGCAAGTAAGTGCACAAGGGTGCCAGCCAAAGCAGCTCTCCACACACACACAAATACACACACACACACACACAGACTCCACAGCCTGGCACAGACAGGTAGCGTGTGAGGAGAAAAGAGTCTCACAACCAAGGTATGCTGGGATTTGCACACATACAACGATCATAAGTTCCTCTTTCTATTGTTTTGGTTTTAATATGTTATGTCTTCCCTCTTGTACTTACACTTAGTTTCCAGGTGGGTCGTCAGAGGATTCCCAAGCCGTGTCTATAACAGTGTAATGGGTTGTCCAGACCGGAGGCTTTTCCTCTGATCCTGCAAAGAGGTTGGCGTATTCCTACAACGAGATCTAGTCCTCACATTGAGCGACCCTGGGCATGGAGAAGCTGACGGAGAAAGACAAGGAGCTGATCCGAGTCAGCTGGGAGAGTCTTGGCAAGAACAAAGTTCCACACGGAGTCATCATGTTCTCCAGGTACAGTTCTAAGCTAAAGCTTTTTATTTGAGCAGTTAGAGATGGATGGAATAAAGGAGTTAGGAGAAGTTGCATGTGTTCCTCCATGAAGATTTCATGGTGATTAGTATATCAGTCTTTACTGCATGTGTTTGTTGATATCCGCAGCATTTTGTTTTGTAAGAAAGTTTACTGAAACCTAACCATTCACTACAATTTGCAGTTGGTGCAAATATGCCGGCATAGTGCAAATATACTGTAAATAATGTAGTCCCCATAGTAAACAGTACTTGGATAGAGAAATACACTTAAGCAACACAGATACTGCATCGTACACTCCCTATACCGGGACTGGAGGCTTGACTTGTTGCTTGGCGACTGGCTGCAATAGTCTTTATTTTGGAACTGCTGCTACTAAAACAGACGCTAGAGAAGAACTGTTACCGACAGTCCTATTTTCTTACACCAGACATTAAAATCATATCTATTGTCTGACTTACAACTACGTGTATCTATCTGCACCTACAGTACTGTATTGTATTGTGTTTTGTGTCTGTGCAGACTGTTTGAACTAGAGCCTGCACTCCTCAATCTATTCCACTACAACACAAACTGTGGCACCACAGAAGACTGCCTCTCCAGCCCTGAGTTCCTGGACCATGTCACAAAGGTAACCCTGTGCAGCCCATCACTGTTAAAACTGACAGTTAAATGGCTAATTCTTGGAAACAAATCCACGGCAATGTCTAACTTCTTGCTGCATGTTGGTGTATGTGCACGTTTCTTTGTGTGTGTGTGTGTATACGTGGATGTGCGTACATTCTTGCGCGTGTTTGTGTGTGCTTATGTGTCCAGGTAATGCTGGTGATTGATGCAGCAGTCAGTCACCTGGACAACCTCCATACCTTGGAGGATTTTCTGCTCAACCTGGGGAAGAAGCACCAGGCAGTCGGGGTTAACACCCAGTCCTTCGTTGTAAGACTACTGTCACTCTGATCACTCACTGTAATACATTACTGTCATACTGTGTGTACTGTACACTATACTACTTTTAAGAAACAAAACTTGCAACAATTTATCAATCTATGCCAATATTCATAATATTTGTATGTTGCAGGTGGTGGGGGAGTCCCTTCTCTACATGTTGCAGTGTAGTCTGGGTCAGGGGTACACAGCCCCGCTGCGTCAGGCCTGGCTCAACATGTACACCATTGTAGTGGCAGCCATGAGCAGAGGATGGGCCAAGAATGGGGAACACAAGACTGACTGAAACATACGCTGGGGTCTGCTACCAGTTGCTGTCTAATCCCCTACATGGTTGCTATGGAGTAAGGTTGTATAACTCACAGCATAAAGGGTTGATTGCTGTATATGGTGAACGAATGGTGTTATCACACTTGACACAACAAATAATGGTTGAATCACCTGATGTTCACAGAGTTAACTGTTTTTGCTATGGATGTTGTAGCTGCCAGAGAGTGCTGCTATAACGTTGTGGGGATGTTATGGGTCAACCATCTTTGGACATGCTCTAAGTCTGCAGCTTGAGGGAGCATAGGGTTAAATTAATGTAATAACTGAAATTGCTTTGTAAATAATGGCTTGATGTATCTACTCAAATAATAACAATGATTGTGGTGGTTTTCGTGATGTATCTTAAAGAGTCATACAATTGTCAAACACTGGCTGTATTGGCTGTATTACTTGGCATTACTATCCCTACTGTGATCATTACTGTAGCCGGAATGGGAAGCTATGATATGGGCCCTCTCCCAAATCAAACCAGTGATATAGAAACATTGATCACAAAAGTACAAGATTATTGTATAGAGTGATTATCACGATTCTATCTCTATATCTTTGAGTTAGGTTAGGGATCTGATAATGGCACATACTAATGCTCTCCTTTCTTTGTGTGTGTCCATGACCTGGAGTGTAACAACCCTTAGAGGTGAACTTAATTCTTAAAGCCATTGATATTATTAACAAACAAATAACTTTTGACGATGGTAAATAGAAAATGACAAGAACTGTTAATGTATTCTAAAGCTTTTCTATGTGATCTCTATGACTGTTAGGGTGTCCATGTGCACCTTTGTCTGAAATGTGTATATGGCACTCTCCTCTCCTATCATAATATTTCAATAGGCTTCAACTGACTGTTACTTACTCTAAAATAAACGGTTATTCTCTTCTCTTGAGTTCTAGCTAATTGATGTAATGGAACTCAACAGTAGATTATTTGCTTGAAGGTCTTTGGGCTTGACTTAGCTTAGGCTCAATCAGTTTTCACTAATTGTAAATGTAAAGTGGTGTGGGACCACATACTGTATCTATATATTGTAAATACTGCTGTCATATGTTGTAAACAGGCCACAAATACATTAGTAGGCTACTTTGGCTTTTTGGACCCAGTAGGTAATTGACAAAGCCAGGATTTATTAATACATTTTTTCTTCCCTATTTTGCTCATAGTACTGCAAAGTTAAGTGCTTTTGGAGCTTGGAGTATCTTTCTGTGGACAACCCTAAAGCATTTATTGATAAACAAGTTTCACTACATCCTACCTGAAATAGTAAGCGATGATAGTTACAGATTATAGTTAGAGATGATAGAGATGATAGTTAGAGATGTGTACATCCTTTTTGCTGCTATGAACACATTTACCTATATGTTTCTATACAGTGTGCATCAGTTGTTATCTACCTGTACATTGAAAGTCACAATGCCAAATTAGCTATAATACACCAAGTATTTGATAATAACACTACACTACTGTATATCCAAGCTGCTGATATGTGGTGAATATTGCTTTAGTCTGAGATTACTTTTATAAAATGTATTTTTGTATTTTCAAGTGTTTTACGTATGTGAATGACTATATACCATTGCAAACACCGTTTTTTCAAACCTGTTACATTACCCACAACATATATGTAAAATACATGTATTTTCCTTTTAATTTGCAGCACAAGGCTCTTGGGCATTTTAAGTCTTGATGAATGATATTTTATCCTTACAGCACACATTGAGTGGTTGTTATATCTTAAGTCATGATAAATGTAAGAGAGACATTTCTCCTCAATCAGTATAATTGCCATATGGATGTCTGTTGGCATTGAATACACAACCACCACATTACCATTTCTAAAGGAGATCTCACTTTATCTTTCCTTTCAATCACCTGTGAGCATTCTTTTCAGGCCATGGCAGCACTACTCTAATTCAGATGTGTTCCTCTCTCCCACTTTCCAACTAGGATAATGAGTTTCCCTTACCAGATTAACCCTTCTCCTAAATCAAAAAGCATTATCAATAGAGAATCTACATTGAAAGTGCTTTTTAGTTCAGGAATAAGCTTAATCTGAGTCTAGGAAACCAGACCTATGAGTTTAACACATTTTGTAATATATCTATACATGGCACTATACAGATTGTTGTGGGTAATGTCTCTATTTTCAATGATCTGAGAGTAGGCCTATTTAGTGTGTATGTGTGAATTGCATTGGTACATTTAAATAACATGATATTCTGTTTATGAGTGTCTCAATGTCTACCTCATCAACTCAGCTGCTATTGAACAGTGATGATTTCACCTATAACTATCCTTTAACCAAAAACATGTGACACTTAATGCAAATACATACTCTCTCAACCAAACAGCTCGTAAAATGGACCCCATCCTACACTTATGTAATGTGTTGTGTGCTTACTCAATTAATACTAAATAAAGGTGATCTTCTGTGGACATACTACTGAAAAAAAGATGACAATGTTTATTGTTTTTCTTCCACTTTGTTGGTTTGTTTGTCAGTGCGATGGTAGTAATGCTGAGTTCAGTGTTTGTAATCAATCACACTATGCACGATTTCTCTCGCTCCGGTTGGCTATTCCTTAGGATTATGTAACATCAGTGTACAGGCTGGCCCCTTCCCTGTGGCTATAGAGATGAGAGGGACTTCATCTGAAAACCAGAGAGCAGAGTGAATATCATCCCACTTAATCATGCAAATGTCACATCCATCACATCTCCAGGATTCCAAGAACTCTTAACCGCTACATGGCTAATGTGCTTTCTTGCCCTTAAAATGCAGACATATCTATTTTTTTAAGTATTAAGAGAAGCTTTTTGTGTGTGTGTGAGGAAAAGGGAGAGAGACCAGAGACAGAGAGATGGGGACTAAATTGTTATGTTTCAGATTGCCTGAACTCCATTCAACACATTGGGTTAATCTATCCCACGACGCATTCGCATATTCAATTTGTTTGCATCATTGTAAAAGTCACATCCATGAGCTGGCTGTCTGCTCTGGTGATAAAGCAGTAACTGACATGTCCCAAATCTGTCTCTCTGCAGCGCTCTCCATCGTCCCCTCTGTCTGAGATTTTGGTTGATTGATGCTAGTCACTGGCTGTCCTACTGTGACTCAAAGAGTAACACTGAGGCTGGGGTGTGAGTTCAGGGGATTGAACTGAGAAAAACATTTAGTTTAACACGATTCATCACATAACATGGAGCTTATCTGCTGTCCTGAGGATTGCTATGGCGCATTCACCTCCACTATAGGTATAAAGGTCTTGTGAGGCAGCAGCTGTATAACCCAGGGGCAAAATGTAGGGATATAGAGACGATTTGGCCATAGGTAAAGTATACACAAGAGATGGGTGGATACAGAAGAACTGAGGTAAGTATCTGTACTGCAGAGTGATCAACAGTTGTCCCATGAGGCCACTTGAGGATATTGTACCATACCTGACAGCTGCTGGAGGATCAGTCCTGAGACTTTGAGGGAGAAAAGCCTGGCAGAAAAGACAACAGACACACAATGTGTTTTGGAATGAAGGGGGATTGGATGTTGTCATGGAAACAGTTAAGCAAGGGTCCAAAGTGGAAGGAAGGCAGACACTCTCCTCAGTGGTGCTGACTGGTGGGCGGCTGATATGATACAGAGGAGAGGGGGGCTGTAGAGAGGTAGAGGGGGCTAGCAGACTGGGGCTAATCAGGTTAGCACTCTAAGATCATCCAGCCTGGAGGCAGCTGAGCACTGATGAGTCTGCCAGCTCGCCTCTGCTCCACCACTGCTGCACGGCAACACTTACCTTAGCAACCAGAGGAAAAGCACTTCTCTGTCTGTGCCGTTTCATGACAGTTTTATTACAGTGTTGTTAACATGTCATAAACACGTGAAGATTTTCAGTTGAAACCTTAGAGTTTACAACTGACTTCCCAGTTACCTTGAGGTGTCTCAATTGGCAGAGTGTTTGTTATGTTTTTCTCTCTGGTGGGACAGACTGATCCACTAAAATGTACAGGCAGGGATACAGCACATGGTTCCAGTAAGGTAGTATCTCTCTCTCCACTGACTTGCAGTCTAAACATTAGAAAGGTTACATTCTAATTGAAGTATGAAGCCATGGTAACACTCAGATGAAGCCACCCTCTAATGGCACTGCTCTCCTGCATTAGATAACAGGTCTTGACACCTTTTCTGGGAGCTGGAGACGGAGATGGAGACAGCAGCATTTCATGCTTACAACGTTCCTCTAATGAGCTCAACCTTCTGTGACACGCTGCCTGCCAAGACCTTCACAGCGCCACACTGGATCTCACATCGATCTGGATCTCACATCGATCTCCTCCAAGATCTGAGAGCAAGACAGTGTCCCCCCTCTCTGGCCTTCAAAGCCCTGACTGGCCTGGAACACACTGATCATCTGTCTGAGTACACTCACAACTATAGCCTGCGTCTACAAGTCTACTGTAAATTTATGCAATCCGGGGGTGAAATACAAAGTGCAGCTTATACTTTCTTTACATTTTTAACTAAAGATATGTAAATATAAAACAACAGCAACTGATTAAGCTGAATTTGCATGTGGAAATAAGGAGGCAGCATAAGCCGTGGGGGAATGACAATATGGTGGGCTGTAGGAGGTAGAGACATTTTATTCTGAGCATCTGAGATGAGAGAGAAAAAGCTCTGTACCACACACCCAAAGGAATTCACCTTTCACTAAGAAGCATGCTCCAAGCAGTTGCCTGTGGTGACAGGGGAAAATGTCAGGCATTTTTTTCTCTCTCTCTCATTAGAATAATAGGTTTTATCTTCCCCATTTTAAAGTCTCTGTAAATTAATTATTATTGATAGCGCACTAAGCGTAGATTTTAGGAATGCTGATGCACATTTGTCCTAAACAGCACTAAGGGCAATGTTATTCAGTGGCATTGGAGACTCAGCTCTCCTCCTCTACACTGCTCTGGCAACAGGCTGCCTCATTCAATTAATTGCCTCCATTCGACCTACAATCCCCACATGAAGCTTACGGGACCAATGAGGTCTCCAGTATGCACACAGGCTTGTCCCAGGGCTAGTTTGTATGCAGAAGCACTGCTCCAAACAGTTGGCCATAAGGGAGGTGAGCACCTGCATGCTTTAACCCTGTCGCTGCAGCTCTGACTGGGGCTCTGTCTGTCATATTAAACTCTCCGGCCAGGCACATTCACGGTCATTGCGGAACAAATCTGATCAGCAGAGAAACTCCGTTGAATTCATTCCCCACACAACTTTGATTCAGCACCAACAGGCTGACCATTAAAATGCCTTTTGACAAAACTGGGGATTTTGAAAAGATAAGTGTAAAATATCATTTCTGATGCAACAAATGTTTAGTATGGCACATACATTATTTTACAAATCAGAACATTTGAGGACAATAGTTTGACAATTGCTGAATATGCAAACGTGCTTGGACAATGAGCCTCTGTCAATTGTAGGCTACATTTTCTCATGGACAGCATGAGAAACCACAGCATATAAAAAGCCACTATAAAAGCCTAGTTAACTCTCAGCAGGTCCCCCTTGGCTTTCCCTTGACTGGAAGCTCTGTGCCTTCTGCTGAACTTGTGACTCTGTCCCCTTCCCTACAGACCACAGCAGACGGAGAGGGAAAAAGGAGCCTGTGCCCTGTAGCACAAGATGTGGGGCACTGGCGGCCACAGATTCAGTTTTAATTGCACTCACAGCACTTCAAAGACTTTTGACACAGAACAGCTCAGGTCACTGCTACACACTCTCCTGCTGTTCCTCAACCTCAGGTCAAAAAAAACAAAACAAGCCACACATTTACATCAAGATGACAGAATGTTTGTTTTACTTTATTTCCCTGCAAAAGTAAATGGTTCAGAGAAATCTATAAGTAGTACTTCAGAAAGGACACACCAGTTTCCTGTAAAGGATGAAAATAAGAGCTTGGCCAAAGTTGAAAACCACTGGATCCCCAAAATAGAGCAGGGGCACCCATGGGAAGAGCATTTGATGTATGAGCACAAATGACAAAGAGGTACAACAGAGCTAATTAGGAATCAAATCACAGCAAGTTTTACAAGTACATTCCCTCCATGCATTATTGGAACATAAAGAACCAAGCTTTCTTTACTCAACTTTTTGATGTTTACTCAACCGTTGTGACCACCATAAAAAATAAATTGATGAACATGTTTTTATAGGAAAAGAATAAGAGACAATTTATGCATGATCTGAAAATGTGGTTGGAGGCACAGTATGGATTGTGTGACGCAATTGCGGAGCCTACGGGGACACCATCGCTGTACCGCATCGCTGTGCCCTCTCAAATGTTGTAAGAATGCGGAGAGCTCCGTATAGCTCCGCATTGACATGATTGGTTGACGGTAGGTGAGGGCCTGAGGTCCTATATAAACACAAACTCACTTCCTTGACAACAGCTCTGCGTTGCTCCACGAAGCGCAAGAAGTATTAATGCCCTGACTTCTGCAGAGGCCGTATCGCCGTAAATGCTGCACGGGCAATGCAGACGTCGGATTGACCAAGTAACGCCTTTAATGAACTTCATGACCTGTGAAATGACATACTAAAGCTAAAATCCATAGCACACATTTGGTGGGTTTAGGGACTTTTTCGTTTAGGGTTTCTCTGATGTGCTGTTCAAACTGATTTTACTGTGGTGCTCTCCACTATTAACATCTCCGATGGTAGCCTAGGCCTACACTGTGAACATAACATAGTGACTCGTTTGGGATGATCCGTTTGTTGTTATGCTGGACCTTTGTTCATAAAACAATTCTATTTCCTCCTGAAATTAAACAAATAACTTCAATTTTATAAGACACACTAGATTTATCCTTTAATATTCTGTCCGTTTCACAAAACCACTTCTAACAAACACTATTTATTATAATAATAACAACAAAAAAATAATAATAATATACTTCAATTACTATAAAATGACAACCTTCCCAGGACTGCACTAAAAAAGTACACTGGACCTGTAACTTTGGGTGAAATTTCTTAGGTGAACAATTTTACAGTTCTAATTTTGGAGTACTATTCTATAAATTCTGTAGCTTTCTTTGGGTTCAGGAAAAACCAAGAACCACAACATCTGCATGATGACAGAATGACAAACATAACTACAGCTTATCATAACATTTTAGGAAGGGCCAAGACACCAGAGAAACAAGTTTCAAATTCCATTATATCACAAAGAGCTTGGCTATCATCACAGAATATAGCAGTTAGAAACTGCAAAGACAGAGAGAGTGACACCCACAACAAGGCACCTTAAGCCACAATGATTCCATTGAAAAAACCCATTCTAAGACATCTGAGACTAGCAAATATAGTCGGTGCATAATGAGTCAACATCATTAGCTCAGTGGTCTGTGGAGCGCACTACTTGTCAGATCTGGGTTCAAATACTATTTAGGGTATTTCAATTACCTTCAAAGACATTTTGAAGTAGGTATTCAGATGTTTTTGTTATGAAAATACAAGCAGTTGAATATTAGAATGTATTTTTTAAATACACTTGGAAAGTATTGGAATGCATTTGAAAATACTCAAATACAGACAATTGTATTAAAAATACAAATATTTTAATACCATGCATTTGAACCTGGTCCTAGGGGTATTATTTAGATTTTTAATTTTTAATAGTTTCAAATAAAAGGCTATTTATAGGAAATTATTTGAAAATACTTTTAAATACTTCAAATAGAAGTAGTTGACTTTGGCCACATTATTTGAAAATACTCAAATACACAGAAAATAATAATTTGACATAATACTTAAATACTTATTTAAACCCTGCTTGTCTATTGGTTGAGGGAACTATCCATAGGAAGATGGCTGCTCACACAAATGATGGGAGTAAGATAATAGCTGGTTATGGGTGGCGTTTGATAGAACTATGGCCAGAATGTGTACATACGCTACTCTATGTGTGTTTGTTTATTTAAGTCTGTCTCCCTCTTTTCCCTGGTCTTTAGTTTTCAGTCCATGCAGCATATTTCAGGCCATGCTGGTTTGTCAGATGAAAGGGAGACTTTCTTCAAGGCACAGCAAGAGAGCACGATTACAAACCACAATCAGTTTACATTCAGTTTGGCAAGGAAACTTCCCCTCCCTCGAGCAGCAAAACACTCGCAATACAAAACTTGCAAAGGCTACCGTATGACTGACTGTGTCAGCTGAGTCTTATGCGGCATTAGAGAAAGCTGTTTAGTTTGATGTGTGGACGGAGTATAACAATGTACAGACAAATCCTTTCTCTTATACAGCATTCTCAACATGCAGTGGAGAGGACTGGTTTGGACTACTGAAACCACGATGCAATAGAGTACGATTCGTATTTTTTCATGACTATTTTTGCTGCCGGACCTTTATGGAAAACATAAAACCTAAGTAAATTGGAGATCCTGTTTTGAAATGGAGGAGTACCTGGACTTGTCCAATAAGAACACACATTTGTCACGGTAATATTTATAAACAATAATGGGATGGCACCATAAATAAATTGTTATTAAACAATACACAGCCCGCACCTCGCCCTTCAGCACAATAATATCACATACAACGGGCAAGTACAGAATAGCAAAAATAAAAACCTTGACAAAAAATACAATAGTATCAGGTCCCATTGGGTTCCTTGTGCCTTCTCCTCTATAGGGAGTGTTAGAGCTCTGAGTTCCACTCTGCCCTCCCTCCGTCTGTCCTGTTCTCTCACTGCAGATGGCTTGATTACAACCCGCAACCCTAACCCTCTGCCTCACAGAGCTCTACCACACCAGAGCCAGATCACCTAGAGCCAAGACCATTCTGTCTAGTAGGGTCAATCGGTTAAAACCTACTGAGTTGGTGAAATTCACCCCTACTCCTGTCCCAGTGGCGCACACAAATAGTGTCCTTCCTCGCTACACAGTCACCCCCAGGCAGGTCACATACAGTGTGGAACAGTTCATTCAATCCACACAACTAAGAGGGAAGAAAGGGAGAAAACTATAAAGCAGTAAGTCAGAAAACGACAGCACTTTTGTTTGAAGTATCCTCCATATGGTTCATTTATGATGACAGCTTTGAGAGATGTTGTGGTGTGGTCCCTTTGACTCCTGTACACCGAGGGAGGGAAGGCCACTTGCATCCTGCCCCCACATCCCCGCCACAGGGCTGGGGAAGACATTATTTCAGCCTTGGGTTCCAAAGAACTGCCAAAGACACAATCCAAATGGTCTCTCACAAACATGATCCAGTCAGAGGGGCTGAGGCAGTTGGATGTGATTCTGAGGTTAAAAGGTAAATATGCAGCATTGTGGCATCTTTCACTCTCTTATATCACAGGCGTAGGCATGGAGGTGGGGGTGGGGGGGTGTCACTGGTTACCCACTGGGTTGTCCATGAGGGGTCTTGAGTAGTAGGGGTCTGGGGGCGCCTGGAGCTCTGTCTCAACGGTTTCAACCTGGTCCTCCTCCTCCTCCTCCTCCTCCTCTCTGTCCTGGGAGCTGGCCATGGTCCCGTAGCTCTGGTGAGCTGGGGAGGGCATCGGGGTCAGGCCTAGCTCCGGCTCCAGCAACACAGATGCCACAAACAGCTGAGGGGAGGGACACAGAGACAGCAATAAGTTACTAATGACTACAACTGAGATTTTACTCATACATATATTCTTGTTATGAGACTATTGTACAACTCTGTGAGGAATTGAGGGTGGTGTGATTGAAGAAAGGCAGGTACATTAGATGGGGTGGTGGATGGGGTGGAGCTTCTCTCTGCATTAGCGAAGGTCCCTTCTGCTGGCTGGTCAGCAAACACCTGGTCAGACATCTGAAACACATTGATACAGAGGTAATTTAGCCTTTGAGGGCCTGTGCTCTACACCCACCAGAAGTCCAGGAGGGGTCAAGAGTAATCTCTCACTGTAAAAATGATAGGGATTCAATCTCACCAGCACAGCTGCACTGCTACAGCAGATGCTTAAACACCACTTCACATAAAGACATTGCCCATGGTCGAAGCACTTAGGCCTAATCAATGACTTTAGAGTTTATCGTCAAAAACGATTAAGGCTCTGCTAGCCCAAAACCACGACAGCACTATGTCCCATTGTTAATACTGTAGCTGACCTGGTAGCTTGATGACTTGTCAGGCTGTTTCCTAAGGCATAGGCCAATGAGGGAGAAGGCAAGGCAGGAGAGCAGGGACACAAAGGTGAAGAGGGTGATGGGACGCATTGGGCCTGGAGCACAAAGGAAAGAGAAGAACCACAATCAAGACCACCATATGACCACTAGCAGCCACTAAGCTATATCTGACTAGCCCACATGTATTGGTCTGTTTGATAGGCTACGGCAGGGTTCTTCAATTCCGGTCCTGGAGGGCCGAAACACCTCTGTTTTTCATCCTCTCCTTCTAATCAGGGGCTAATTCAGACCTGGGACACCAGGTGAGTGCAATTAACTACCAGGTAGAAATAAAAAACAGAAGTGTTTCGGCCCTCCAGGACCGGAATTGAAGAACCCTGGGCTACGGTAACAGGAACCAGGAAGTACCCACCCAGTCTGAGCACGGAGAAGAACAGGAGCCAGAACATGCAGAGGATGGGCGCCACGATGACCTGGCTGATGGCTGCAGTGTGGATGCGCTGGTTGAGCTTGGTGGGCACGTAAGCATAGTAGATGTTGTAACGGTCCACCATGTGTTTCAGGATCAGATAGAGCAGCCCTGAGAGACAGACATTACAAAGCTGACTGATGAGGACATGCAGCCAATCACCTATTATAATCTTGTTAACTTCCGTCTAAAGCCTAGTTGAGGTCAATTCAACTCCCATTCCTGTCAGTTGACTTCGGAAATTGACCCCAACTCTGGGCTACAGAGTGAATCACAAGTTAAAGACAGCATGCAGCTGAGCCCAGGTCTGATACAATGTGGAAGGCAGGCGTCAAGGCCTGGAGAGTAGTAGTAAATAAAGGATTGTTGCGGCTCTGGGCAGAGACAGGAGTAAAGTGGGCGTCTGGCTCCCAGCTCGCTGTGTCTGAGTGTCTGGGACTACAGCACATTCACTTCACACAGTCTGCACCAGGCTGGCAGCAGAGGTGACGAAGGTTACAGTATCAGGAGAGAGGCTCCCACTCCCACGCTGAGCACACACACACACACACACACAGGGAGGAGGAGGCACACATTCACGCACACACACTCACCAAAGGGCACAATGATGGGACACGTGATACTGTAGGTCATGCTAACAGCATAGATGCACATGGTCCAGGCATACTGCAGACCAAACTGGAACTCATAGGCCTGGCTCTGGAGAGACAGACAAAACACACAATTGAAAAGAAGAGTTACATCAATAATTCACACAAATAATACAGTACAATACTGTTCCTCTCACCCGTTTGACGTGGATGCGCTCGGCCCCGGGCTTGGCCAAGCAGAGACGCAGAGCATACACCATCAGAGCTGGGATACGCAGCAGCTCCATGGCCGTGCCGATCAGGCTGGACGTGATCACGTAGTTCACAAAGAACGCTCCGTTATCAGGAAGGAACACACACCTGGATACAGAGGAGAGGAAGCACAGCTTAAGAGCGTGTTGGCTGTATATGGCAGTTATTTCAATGCCAGCTAAGCTTGGTACCATGGCATTAGAGGGCAGAACAAGTAAACATACTCAAATTTAATATTCTTGTCTTCGAGGAAATTGACATCAAACAGCCACCTGAAGAACAGGTCCAGACTAGAGATAAAAGAACCACAGGTACATTGGAGCATAAGTACAGGATCTTGGATCATATATAATCTCTGTAATGATCATAGTAGGAAATTATAAATGATCTGCTCCGTCAGCATGTATGTTTCTATATTCATACCTGGATAGACCCAGCGAGGGCAGGATGATCACCATGAACGCCAGCAGTACAAAGCACTTATGCATCGTGATCTGGTTCTCACTGGATCTGAGTACCCCACAACATAGACCACATTACAACAGAGGACATGTAGTTACAAAACACGTTTTGAACATGCAGTATATATATATATATATATGTTAGAATTGCAAAGGAGACAGAACACCGTAACGATAGAAGCTTACACAAACACACACACTCACATTCAATAAGAAACATCTCACAAATTTAATGATTCTGTTTCAAATGCAAAGGACTTCATTGTGGGCTCATTACCACGAGCTGAGCTTTTCACACCAATAACTGTAAACATTTGATTTGCATTAAGTGGTTCACACACCACGCCTTCACAACACATGGGTGGGTGGTGGGGGCGGTTATGTAAAGAGACGGTGCTCATAGGTGCCGTGTGACGTTGTCTCCTCCGGATGCAGAGCTATTCTGCTCCTCAGTGCATAGTGACCATTGTGCATATCATTATCTCCACAGAGATCGCTATGACAACCTGACTAGATAAGTAGTGCAGGCAGACAGAGCACACAGAGCGAGAGAGAGAGAGAGAGAGAGAGAGAGAGAGAACTGAGACAAAAACACATGAAGAGAGAGTCTGTTGAAGAAGAATAAGAATAAAGTGTTCTCTGTTTTCAGGGACAGAACTAGGCCATAGGTTGAGGAGTGTCAGACAGTATCTGCTGGGGCCTGCAGCATTCCGGTACTCTACCTGGTCCAGTGAGACTCGAAGAAGGCAGAGTAGTAGACTATGAAGGGTAACAGGACAGAGAACGCCCAGAGCAGGAGGGTAGGGAAGAACTGAGTGATGATCGGGCTCTATGGGGAGAAACCAAAACATAATGAGTTCATTATAATATAGTTCATTCTGGAGTTTATTTGCCTTTGTACAGCACCACTACCCCATTAGACCCATTCAAACACTAATTCTGAAATTAATTCTGACCCTAAGGCTGTCAACAGGCCGGGTGACGTTGAGTTTGTCCATGGTGTTGACGATGATGGCGGGCGTGGTGAGGAAGAAGAGGAGGAGGAAGAGGAGGATGTTGAGCAGGATGAAGCGGAGCCACCAGCGGGAGCCACACACTGACAGGTTCTCCCTGGAGACAGAGAAGTAAACATGGAGGTCAGATACTCATCTATCCAGATGGAGGGCTGACATGACAGACAAGTATAAACCAAAACCCTTCACCGCCGCACGTCATATCTCCACTCATCTGTACTACTGTGTAAAAGTATGAATACAACAAAAGTGAGATGGAGTATGCTACACCACACTGACTACACTGGAGTGGATAACAGGTTGGACACATCACACTCCAGTGCTCCTTTTTAATGAAGGAAATCAGTCAGTTACCCAGAGCGACATAAAGAGGCAATGTGTCACAGCCGGCCGTGACCGGGAGCCCCACAATTGGCTAGACTACCTGCACCAGGGAGCAGTACTACTCCCTCCACACAAACACACACTGCCGTACACACAACCAATGAGGCATGAAGCACAAACTGTGAGCGCCGCGTGGCAGACCTGTCTCATCGGCTAATCCCCCCATACATATGTAACACTCACATTATGTAACCTCAGGCGGGCTGATGGTTATCATCTAAACCCTTCATTTTATAACTGATCTCAAATAGACTAAACTACCAACGGACAATTTAATTGTAAAAAAAAACACACCATCTAAGATATCCCAAACAATTATAATTCTAAAATCCATCTAATTAAGTTGGTTAAATGGTTGAGTGGAACAGCCACATGGCAGTGACTAGAGATGGCTCTCTTACAAGAGAAAGTAACAGATTAACGACCTCCGCGAACATCTTTAAAAGTCTGTGGCAGGGCACAGCTCGTTAATATGCATCAGTTTGAATTCTGGCCTAAGTACAGTTAGATAACTTAACCAATGGGAGGGAATTTCTATCCATGATCTGCTTCAGATAACCTCCTCACTCACCAGATGATGTCGCTTGGAGCTGGGGCGTAGCCTACACCCCACCTGTGAGACTGAACTACCGTGGTGATGCTTGACTGCTGGGGTCTCCGACGGCAACGGACCCGGCTGTAGTCCTTGACAATACTGTAGGGAGAAAGACAACACACATAGACACAAAGTAATCACACAAAACAGGCAGAGACACACTCATGAACATATTCAATCAAACCCTGTAACAGATCATTATTTTGGTGCGCCATGCATGCCCTGCGTGAGACTGCAGGATAGTGCATTTACATGTCAATCAGAGGTCAGGGGTCATAGTTCACTCACACAGCAGTCATCCTCTCATCCCGAAAGGTCACGAAGGCGATGCCCAGCCTCTTGAGCGAGATCCGATGCTTCTCTGCATTAAACTCATCAGTCAGTTTCTCCTCCAACTCACTGTAGTACTGCTCTGCATCCACCTGCAGAGTTAAAAATATAGATGAGTTACATACCAGTATTATTCATCAAGTCTAGTCATGTCCCTTATTGAATTTCTATTCAGACAGACGAAACTACCCATTGCCGCTCAAATCAAATTTAGCTTTTTAGTGCCATCCAGTGGCAATATGCAATCAATGCAACATAATTACTATGACCAAGACTCACTAACATTTCTGTTACAAAAGTACCTGCTCAAAGCCGCACACGTCACAGCAGAAGATGGTAGCACAGGGGTGGGTCTTAATCATGACCTTCCCCTCCTTCTGGGCCTTAGTGGTAAAATACAGCCTTCCTTTCATCACCTTCCGTCTGAAACAACACAACAACTCAAATCTGCACAAAGGCCAAAAAAACAACAAACCAATGATTGTATTGGATCACTGACTAATTTCTCTATATTATCATAGTTATTGTACCGCTCAGAGTCCAGCCTCATCAGTTTGTGTACATTGAAGCAGAAGCGGACGTCAGTGACAGTACAGCTGGGGTAAGCCTCACTAGAGTGGAGGGAAGAGGGAACAGAGTTAAACCAGGTTTATTAGTATCAGCATTATCTTGAGTGAGTAAAGAAGTGAGAAGTAAACATAAGATTACTGGAAGTGTTTTGTGATGAGGCCTGGGTCTGAGATCTCTCTGGGGATGCAGGTGATCATGAGAGTCCTGGCCACCTGACAAAAAACAACAACAATACGTTTGCCAATAATACAAGTAAGATGGTAAACATGCATTACACACACCTAAAGGTGTCTCTTTCAGTTTTCAGAGACAGTAACCTGACCATGTTACCTAGTAATCATTACACATTTGACCAGTGGTGGAAAAAGTACCCAATGGTCATACTTGAGTAAAAGTAAAAGATACCTTAATAGAAAATGGCTCAAGTAAAAGTGAAAGTCACCCAGTAAAATACTACTTGACTAAAAGTCTAAAAAGGTATTTGGTTTTAAATATACTTAAGTATCAAAAGTAAAAGTATAAATAATTTCAAATTCCTTATGTTAAGCAAACCAGATGGCACCATTTTCTTGATTTTGTATTTATTTACGGATGGCCAGGGGCACACTCCAACACTCAGACATAATTTACAAACGAAGCATGTGTGTTTAGTGAATCTGCCAGATCAGAGGCAGTAGGGATGACCAGGGATATTCTCTTGATAAGTGCGTGAATTGGACCATTTTCCTGTCCTGCTAAGCATTTAAAATATAACGAGTACTTTTGGGTATCAGGGAAAATGTATGAAGTAAAAAGTACATAATTTTCTTTAAGAATGTAGCTAAGTAAAATTTGTCCAAAATATGAATAGTAAAGTAAAGTACAGATACCCCAAAAAACGACTTAAGTAGTAATTAAAAGTATTGTTACACCACTGCATTTGGCCAGGTTTGAGGAGCCCTCACACACCTTCTCGTCCTCTCTGTACTCCAGGCATGAGGAGTGGTGGGCCATACACAGCACTGTGATGATGAAGTAGAGCAGAGCAAAGATACTGTGGAGCCACAGGAAGCTGTCCCTAACAGGAAATAAAGAAAAGGCATTTCACATGACTATTGGATAACCATGATGGTCTCAAGATATTCTTGAACATTTCTTGAAGTTGGCAAAAAGAGAAATCCCAGCCCTTTGACCTACTTTGCAGGAAGATTAGCCACAGTTGTTCTTCCAAAATTTTCTGGATTATCCCCTATAGAAAAGACAACATATGACAGTTTAATGTCTGTAACAGTAATCTTTTTGTAAGATAGAGACATGGTAAAACTTTAAATGGACTTTAAGAGAAATACCCTCATCTTTGTATGGTTAAGAGGGCAATAGCATCAAACAGAGGATTGTCTCATCCAATTTAGTAAAAACTCAGTGAAAAGTTTAAGACAGAATTGAGAGATTAGTCATGTCTCCGCCCTCTATTTTAGTTTCGCTCCATTTGTTTACCGTTTCTATGGTGACCGATATAAGGGTGTTGGTTAATTTAACGACAGGGTGACACAATGGTCCAAATAGATGACAGCCAACAGTAATAAAGTGGCTGTGGAGAACCCTGGTCCCCTCAGACCTCAAACGTGTCTGCTTTACATTCCATATGGGAGCTTACTCAACATTTAACTGCCAAGTGTAATTTCTTCTACTATTCAGCAGTTGTGTTTTGTATACCATTATAGCTAACAACCTCTGACACCAAAGTGTATGTCGGGAGGAAATTAACCTTTTCATATTCATACTCTTTTGCTTGGGGAAGGCCTAAGTTAAATACCACTAATGTAACTCAATTGAGCAGTAAGTCAAATTGCAGACAATGTCTGTCTGTGTTTGTGTCTGTGGTGTGGGGGGGTGTGTGTGTGTGTTTGACTGTGTGGCCTACGTTTAGCATATCCCTGGGCAGACTTTGTCAGTTTGTGTTTATAACTGTGGTGTATATATGTGTGTGTGTATGTGTGCGCGCATGCGAGCCCACCCGCGTGTGTGTATGTGTGTGCGCGTGCATCTGTGTGTTTGCATATGCATGTGTGACCTGGTCTCTCCCTACGAGGTGCCCCTCTACCTCCCCTGGCATTTAGGATATCCCTAGCCCTCCCAACACAGGCCAAGGCCTCCCTCTAAATTACCTAGGAGGTTCCCGGAAAAGTTGACAGGCAGGATGATGGCCAAAGACAGCAGGCAGACCACGGTCATGAGCAGGATGATGTGGCGCTGGAAGGACAGGTAGGTCGTAGCGTCGATGCCACATTTACTCCTGATCTCCTCATCCCTGGAGAGACAACACAGAGAGAGAGGTTCCAAAACTGGGGAGGGAGGGAGAGAGAGTTTCTCCCCAGGGTGGCAGAGTCAGCAGGCTGGGATTTAAACTCACCCTAAAGAGACTTAACACAGCGTTAGAAAGAAGCAGTGTGTTGTTGAAAAGGGGACTACAGGGGACAGCATGTACTACAGACACACTTTTAAAAAAGGGTTCCAAAAGGGTTCTTCGGCTGTCCCCATAGGAGAAGCCTTTTTGGTTATACCTGGAACCCAAAAGGGTTCTTCAAAAGGTTCTCCTACAGGGACAGCCGAAGAACCCTTTTAGGTTGTAGATAGCACCTTTTCTCCTTAAGAGTGTGGGATTGTGGTGGGAAGGGTAGAATCCTCCTCTTCCGTGGGGAGACAGATTCAGACTCAGCAGTACTCCATGGTGGTGATATTGTGGGGCCTGCTCCTCATGCCTCAGTGGAACTATGCCACTCCACTCCTGCCAAACCTGTGGTGGCTAAGGGGAGCCCAAGCGGGAGGGTCAGGAAACCCACTTGTTTCAGAAAGAACAGGAGGTGCCTGCTGGTCCCACAGCAGGGAGATAGGCCAGGCCACACAGAGAGCTATCAGGGTGGGTTAGCACTTTCCCAGGGATCCTAGGGTGAGGTATACAGTCAGCTACTAACACAAGAGCTAAAAACAGCACCCAGATGCACCCAAACTCCACCATAATACTTTGGAAACCATGGACACAGAGGAAGTCACTGGTTTACGGGCCTAAATTTGTTGAGTGAAAGTGAGTCAGACTCGAGCAAGTGCAAATACTCTATGGTAAATCACGGCACAAATGATCCCATGAGCACACACTTGTTTGTTTTCGCTGCTTAATGAGATATAACACGAGAGTTTGCGTTTTGGGATGACATCAACATTGAAGAGAAGGGCAATAAAACATGATAGAAGCGAGGATGGAGTTGAGGGTTAAAGGGGCAAGAGTTTAACACTTACTTCATATGATAGAGTGTTGTAAGCCAAGAGCAGAAGCCCTAGAGACGGAGCAAAGACATAAAACATTCAGTGGATCGCTTATTAAATACAATAGATGACATACTGTATGTGGTAGGCATTGCACAGCACGCCTGGCTCGCCACGCATCTGTCATTTGCATAACATTAAGGCCTACGCGCTGAGAGGGTGATGGGGTTTTAATAGGTCTAGTCTGAGGCGTAAACGACTTTACTGCTGTCAAACTCTGGGAGAAGACCTCATGTCTGAGTCAGTCCTACTCCATCATAAACATGGTGTGTCACCTCGATGGTGGTGGTGAGCCTAACCAGTCACGCAGGTGTCTATGAAGTCATTGTCTGAATAGTCTGACTTTTCTTCTTTTTGTTTGTGCAGCTGGATGTTTTATCAACTCAATTAAGGACATGTGCTTTGGTCAGTGTCACAAAAAGAGGTGTGCCCCACTTTCATTCAAACTCAAAAAGGTCACCCTTCATCAGCTATACCCCTAGACCTATCCTACTGTCTGGAGTTGGATCCATAATAACAGTGGGACTCACCAAGTCCTTGGTCTCGGAGTCTGACGGGCTGGACTCTGACGGGGACTTCTCCTTCTCACTCTGCTCGCCGTAGAACAGGGACGTGAGGCTGAGAAACAGAATACATACCAGGATTATCATATTGATGGTGCATGTGTTCCTTCCTACAGAATAGGAGGGAAGGAAGCTTATCATGTAGATTGGCATCACAAGAGGGCAGATACTATACTGCACGAGCAACAAGTCTTGCGCAATATGAGACTACAGCTGTTAAAACACATTCTTGGAAATATTTTTTCTAGACAGTCGCATGGACAGAGTCCTAACATTACATAGCAAATGTGAACCCATTTTGCGTTGAGTGACTGTGGGAAGTGAATAACCTTTCCTTCCTACAGACAGGTGGGCACAGAGCCTGCAGACAGCATGAGTGCTAATAGTGTGGGCTGGGTCTAATAGCTATTCCATGCAGGCCCCTGTCCTCCTCTTAGAACTCAAGTCAACCTGAAACTGAGAGGATTCTCCAGCGCCGCTAAGATCATATCAATGATAGGAGGGGAAATTAAGGGGATGGACAGTGTTCCTGGAATCCAATGAAGCATTGTGATGATTGAGTATGGTGATGTTTCTTTCATGGCGACGTTGCTGACAGCTCTACAGCGTGACACTTCAAGCGGCATAATTGAATTAGCGCGACGGCAGCCCGCTCGGCAGAGCACACAGATGTCGCTGCCCCGGGGGTGGCAGAGAGCCGCTGCTGGTCAGGCAGAACTAAATCAACCCCACGCTCACACTGGAGAGTGGCTCCAGGTCAGGCAGAAGTAAGCTGTTGCAGAGCCTCGATCTGCAGACCCACACAGACTACTGAGTGGACTGACTTGACCTCAGACCACTTCGAAAGCGAATAAGGTCCTAAAAGTCAGGAAAATCGGAATCCTCCTACAGAGCTGCTGTGTGTGTCTGCCTGTGCCATGAATGCCTTATGAATATTATTGTATCAACATTGGAGGTCTTGGAACAAAAATAGAGATACTTAGATTGTGATGTGTGTAAAAAGTGATTAAAAGCTCATTCTAGTAAAGCAAAACAAAGTATTTCGTGAGTATGAAAATGCCTGAGCAGTACCGTGCCTTCTCAGGAGGAGGCGCTAATGTCAAGGAGCAGTGTCAAGTGGTCATGAATTATGCTTTCAATATATTATAGGTCTAGTATGGAGATCTTGAGTGTTGCCTCAATTCATATACCAGACCTATAATATACTGAGTATGAATGGAGGCGGAGGGGAAAGGCTTTACTGTACCTGTCATTCTCCATCAATAGAGCCAGACGGCCATAGTCCCACGCAGCCTTCCTCAAACAGGAGAAGATCAGCAAAAGAAACTGCAATACAAAGAATGAGTTATAGGACATAAAGATCTCCTCAGAACACACACATACATGTAACCACCTCTCTTTTACCCAAGTCTTAAACATTTAAAAAATTCAATTGAAAATTCATGACTTGCATTTACAACGTGGATTGCAGATGGAACTAAATCTCATGAGAAATGCACAAATAATATTCAGCAGTAATAATGATCTATTTTCCTAAGAGTTGTATGTGGTTGGTTGTCTTGGAAACTACCAGGGAGAGGTCAGCATGTATACTCAGGCTAGTGTAGTCATATTTGAAGACATTGGGAGCTTAGCACAAAGCCAGTATGGAATTTCAACAGCTAAATGCATGAATTTGGTGCACTTTGAGATGAACATTGAGAGATTAGATCTTTTTCAGGTAACTTGCACCTTCCCAACTGCCACAGCAGACACTGGCAGTACTTACAGCTGCTACTGTGGGTCTCTGTACTCTGGAACACTCTCTACTCTGCAACACATACAGTGCTATGAAAAAGTATTTGCCCCCTTTCTAATTTTCTCTACTTTTGCATATTTGTGATACTGAATGTTATCAGATCTTCAACCAAAACCTAATATTAGATAAAGGGAACATAAGTGAACAAATAACACAACAATTACATATTTATTTCATAAACAAAGTTATGCAACACCCAATTCCCCTGTGTGAAAAAGTAATTGCCCCCTTACACTCAATAACTGGTTGTGCCACCTTTAGCTGCAATGACTCTAACCAAATGCTTCCTGTAGTTGTTGATCAGTCTCTCACGTCGCTGTGGAGGAATTTTGGCCCACTCTTCCATGCAGAACTGCTTTAACTCAGTGACGTGTGGGTTTTCAAGTATGAACTGCTCATTTCAAGTCCTGCCACAACATCTCAATTGGGATTAGGTCTGGACTTTGACTAGGCCATTCCAAAACTTCCAATTTGTTGCTTTTTAGCAATTTCCATGTAGACTTGATTGTGTGTTTTGGATCATTGTCTTGCTGCATGACCCAGCTGCGCTTCAGTTTCAGCTCACAGACGGATGGTCTGACATTCTCCTGTAGAATTCTCTGATACAGAGCAGAATTCATGGTTCCTTCTATTAAGGCAAGTCGTCCAGGTCCTGAGGCAACAAATCATCCCCAAACCATCACACCACCACCACCATGCTTGACCTTTGGTATGACGTTCTTACTGTGGAATGCAGTGTTTGGTCAGCGACGTGAGAGACTGATCAACAACTACAGGAAGCATTTGGTTAGAGTCATTGCAGCTAAAGGTGGCACAACCAGTTATTGAGTGTAAGGGGGCAATTACTTTTTCACACAGGGGAATTGGGTGTTGCATAACTTTGTTTATGAAATAAATATGTAATTGTTGTGTTATTTGTTCACTTATGTTCCCTTTATCTAATATTAGGTTTTGGTTGAAGATCTGATAACATTCAGTATCACAAATATGCAAAAGTAGAGAAAATTAGAAAGGGGGCAAATACTTTTTCATAGCACTGTACATCTACAGTGTATTGCCAAAAACCACTCCACAACTTCAAACATAGGTCTCTGTGTCTTGTCTGGTGTTTCTCTCCATCACCTATTCTTCTGTTGCCATCTCTGTGTCTTTCTCTCTAGTTTTAAAGGGCGACTGCACTTCCTGATTTGGCCTTGTTTTAGATTTGGTTTATTAAGAAATGCTAGTGGCCATGACTGAATTCAATCGTGAGTTAGTTTAGGGGTGTTGCTTGATGTGGGTGTCTCATGTGTTCGCAGGTGGAAAGAGTTAGCCAAATTATTTAGCCAATTCGCTTCAGCCGGGAGGTGTGTGACCTGAGTGACTTTGGATAGCCTATCTCCAGGGCTAGTTAGAGACAGTCAATAACTTACACAATGTAAATGAGACAATAATTTCATGTTGCATACGTTTTATATTGATGATTACTAATTGATGATTACTTGTGTGCTGCCAGCTGTGGGTATGTGGGCAGGATTGAAACAAAACCAACCTTAATTAATGTTGTGATGCTCAGTTTTGGATGAGACTGATTTTATGACCAAAATTATCCTATTAAACACTTTGTAGTCAATTTTGACAGAATATTTCTGACTCATATCGATGCCACATTTGCTATTTTCTAAATGAGAAGTAGATTTTTAGTGGCAGTTGCTCTTTGAAGTCACTGTATACTGACACGACCAAGCTGCCCATCTTTTCTCCTCTTTCTGGCTGCCCTCCCCCTTCCCTTCTAATTTCAAGTTTGTTTATTTTTCATATACACATGATATACATGGAGTACTCAGTGCAATGAAATGCTTACTTGCAGGTTAACCTCTCGACAATGCAACAACAGAAAAAGTAAGTAGCTAAGTGAATAATGGGCAGGTATTTTTATTTATATTTTTTACAAATAGTTACATAGCCTATATGGAAATAACAGACATGAGCCAATCATGTTCACCTGTAGAATGGAATAGGTTATAAGACCTCTATGATTAATTTCATTTAGTCAGTTCTACCACCCCCAACAATGCTAATTTTAAACATGGTAAAATATAATGTTGTAGTAAAGTTCAGCTTCAGTCCACAGGAGGGCACTGTGTCACTGTCAGAAGATATACTTCAGTCAGAAAAACGTTCTCTCAGCTCTTCCGTCTCAGCTAGCCAACCAGTCAGTAGCTACCGAAGTGGCTAGCCAGCCAAGCAAGCTACAGAAACGAATCAAATACACTCGCTGGAATTAAACACTTTTCCTAATATCATGACTTATATAAACATCCTTAGCTTGCCATTCACTAAATATACTGTTAAATAACGCTGACTTAGACCCAATAGCTTAAGGATGCTAACGCTAGCTTATTAGCATTAACCAACCCTTATGCTGAGGGAGACTAGCTAGTTAGATAGTACCACCAACCCTGCACAAATATGTGGCTAACTCTGCTGCTGCCTGACGCTAATACTGCACTTTGACTTTCTGGCTGTTCTACCCTCCACCTCATTCACTACTACCTCAACCTGATCGCTTTTTTTTGCCACTCTTTTGGAAAAAGTAAAGAATATCCATATTTGCTCTGTGCTATGCTGCAGACTGACTGAGTGACAGGCGTTTTGCTGAGAGATGACATTGAAATGTAACCATAACCAACCGGTGATGTAGGGGTGAGGGAGGTCAAAGGACGTGAGCAGTCCACTGCGTTGTGAAATCTCGGCCAATCACAGCAGACACCGCGTCACTCCAGGTGCTTCTTACAGTGCCTACTACTGACTAGCGCAGTACATTGTATTGTTTATTTTTGTCATTAAAATGTGTCAGTAAAACATTTTATTTTCATATCAGACAAAAAAACAAAAATAATAATGGTTTGGGGCTGGATCAAAAACATCCGGCCCACTGGTCAATTGCAAGACAACTGAATAGACCTCTGTCCCCTGCTCTCAAACACACAGGAAGAGCGAACCAGCGAGTTATTATGAAGGAGAGAGAATGTGTTGGAGAGCACATCATACACTGTATGGAAAAACATAATTCATCTATCATTTTACACAATATCCTGTGGAATAGATCTATAAAATGAATAGCGTCAGGTATACAGTGCCTTATGAAAGAATTCAGACCCATTGACTTTTTCCACATTTTGTTAGGTTACAGCCTTATTCTAAAATTGATTAAATTGTTTATTTTCCTCAATCTACACACAATACCCCATAATGACAAAGCAAAAACTGGTTTCTAGAAATTTGTGCACAAAAGAAATACATAAGTATTCAGACCCTTTACTCAGTACTTTGTTGAAGCACCTTTGGCAGCGATTACAGCCTCAAGTCTTCTTGGGTATGACGCTACAAGCTTGGCACACCTGTATTTTGGGAGTTCCTCCCATTCTTCTCTGCAGATCCTCTCAAGCTCTGTCAGGTTGGATGGGGAGTGCATGTGTGCTTAGGGTCGTTGTCCTGTTGGAAGGTGAACCTTCGCCCCAGTCTGAGGTCCTGAGCGCTCTGGAGCAGGTTTTCGTCAAGGATCTCTCTGTACTTTGTTCTGTTAATCTTTGCCTTGATCCTGACTAGTCTCCCAGTCCCTAAGCACACAGCCAAGACAACGCATGAGTGGCTTCGGGACAAGTCTCTGAATGTCCTTGAGTGGCCCAGCCAGAGCCCGGACCTGAACCCGATAGAACATCTCTGGAGAGACCTGAAAATAGTTGTGCAGCGACGCTCCCCATCCAACCTTACAGAGCTTGAGAAGATCTGCAGAGAAGAATGGGAGAAACTCCCAAAATACAGGTGTGCCAAGCTTGTAGCGTCATACCCAAGAAGACTCTAGGCTGTAATCTCTGCCAAAGGTGCTTCAACAAAGTACTGAGTAAAGGGTCTGAATACTTATGTAAATGTGATATTTCTGTTTTCTGTAGCAAAAATGTATACAAACAAGTATTTGCTTTGTCATTATGGAGTATTGTTTGTAGATTGATGGAAAAAAACAATTTAATCAATTTTAGAATAAGGCTGTGACCTAACAAAATGTGGAAAAAGTCAACGGGTCTGAATACTTTCCGAAGGCACTGTATACCCAACACTATTCATTTTATAGATATATTCCACAGGATAGTGTAAAATGAGAGATAATTATGTTTTTTCCATACAGTGTATGATGTGCTCTCCAACACATTCTCTCTCCTTCATAATCATTCCCTGGTTCCCTCTTCCTGTGTGTTTGAGAGCAGGGGACAGGGGTCTATTCACAGAACATTCGAGGCTGTAATCTCTGCCAAAGGCGCTTCAATAAAGTACTGAGTAAAGGGTCTGAATACTTACGTAAATGTGATATTTCCTTTTTATATTTTGTATACATTTGCAAAAAATGTCAAATCCTTTTTTTTGCTTTGTCATTATGGGATATTGTGTGTAGATTGATGAGGAAAAAAACAAATTTAATCCGTTTTAGAATAAGGCTTTAACGTAACAAAAAGTCAAGGGGTCTGAATACTTTCCGAATGCACTGTAAATCATCTACTGGTTAGATGAGATCTTGGGTACTGGTTAAGGATGAGTATTATGTTGTTCTGAGAAAAGCAAGCTCTCTCATTAAAGAGGTTGAATAATACATTTCCTAATGGTCTAAAGCCATGCATGGGTAATCAGGACAATGTTTAACAAAGTATTGGACTAAGCTGTGATGAGATTAATAATAAATTCTGCTTTTACTTTCATAGCCAAATGCAATTCGCAAACTCTGCATGATATCCCTTAGTTTCTCTCTCTCTTTTTCTCTGCCTGTCTCTATTGTCTTCTATTCCTTGTCCCTGCGTGGGTGTCCATGTTCCGCTGATGCACCACAGATGATTGTTCTGTGTGAAGTTCTGATTGGTGCAGAGGCATGCTGCCGTCACATGGGGGTAATCTAGTTGACTTAATTTGGACCCGTCATTAAGACACTGCTATTAACCTTCTGTGTTGTCCTGACAACCAGGGAACAATCACAGTGAGTCAATTAAACAGGGCTGGTAGACAGACTGATAAACAGAGAGGAAATCTACCTTGACAAGAACTGACAGTGGAACAGAGGAGGTGTCCATTCACTAATCTGATATCTATTATTATCCTGGAGTGGGGAGGGTAACACTTCTGCATATTTATAAACAGTCAACGCATGTTGACAGAGGAGGAGAATGAGTACAGTCTATGCATCATGTGCATATGAATGTGAAGGCTTGTAGGTAGAGTAAGAGATGTCAAGATAGAGGTTTAGCTTTTTAGCAGCTTTCTTGTCGTATCATACCACTTCCTTCATCTGGGAAGGATAAGAACGTGTTCTAACAGGATACTAAAACGTGAAGGAAGTCTATGGGGGAAATGTCTCCATGGCATCAGAGATGAGATGAAAGGTTGAGATTGTCGTGTGTGTATCTGTGTCAGCAACATACCATCCACAGGATAACATTAATGGCGAGGACCGTGGGCACCCCTCCAAAGGGTAGGCCTTGCAGCACACTGCTGCGGGAGTGGGAGCGGTAGCATCTCTCTGCTGCAGTGCTGTTGTCCTCCCCCAGAGAGTCCAGGAAGCCCAGCACATCCAGCTCCATATCCCTCTCATCCAGAGGGGGCGCCCTCATCACAAAGTCCTCCATGAGTGAGCCTAGGCCTACGTCTCAGGGGCTGAAGTCAAACAACCACAGCTGAGAAGAGAGAAACAGTCAAGTGATTAGTATTAAACGGTATGCAATTTTCCAACGCCTTGCTTTTGATGTAAATACTCAATCTCTATCAAACAGGCCCGCCAATTTCACTCAGTCAATATTACTGAAAACAGCAAAAATATACTTTTCAAATATTGTATTGTTAATCGACTGGCCTTGACAATGACATGCTGCTCTCTAATATACAATATTAATGCTACACACATCCCAATTGCTGCTACCAGACTCTTATTTACTATTGCTTATACTGCACAATTTAAACACTTGCCCCCCAATCCCCCCCTTTCTCTGATACACGTGTAAATATTGGACTATAAATTGTGCCTTCCTGTATTATACTTATGCTAAAATGTTTATTCTATTCTACTGAGCCATTTACTTTATGTTCATATTCTTATCTTGTATTATTGCTCATTGTTGTTGCATTGTCCAGAAGGAAACTACAAGTAAGCATTTAGTTGGACGGTGAATACCATGTGTATCCTGTACATACAACTAATGAAAATACTAATAAAATAGGACTACAGTATGGATTCCCTATGGGCCACTCTCAGCCTTTGTCTGTACAGGCACAAAGAGGATCCCTCCAATGCCTTCAGGCCCAAGTGATATGGCCTTGGCCTTGGTCTGTGTGCCTACTCACAACACATTTAATCTGGAGGTCACAAAGGACCCAGAGAAAACCAATAGCTTCCATCAATCCAATTAGATAATGTTTGGCGTGTGCTTCCTTCATGTCGCTTGTTGCCATAGTAGTTTGTCCTTTCCATTCACCCCAATACAAAGGCCTATTTGTTAGTCTGATTCCAGAGCAATACCCCCCCCCTCCCCCCCGTATTTAAACAAGAAGTGACTCCTGTAACTGTAACCCAACGCCCTCTCTAGAGTCATCTCTCCTTTGGGATATTGCAGTAAGTGTGCATATCCAATAGCCTGGATGTCTTACTAAACAGCAAAGCCATCATATGAAGTATCTTCCCAGTGATAAAACCCATTTTCATCATACCTAGGCTTATTATTGTTCCTCTCTCAGAGAAAACTACGCCGTAAATCAAACATTCTGGTTATAGTAGATCTTAAAAACTATGATAGGTTTAATGTGTGCCTCCGCTATTTTTCACCTCATCAACAGTCAATCATGACATTTATGACTGGGGAAACGCCCACTGAGTGATTAGCAAGCAGTAATGATATTGCCTGGTCTTGTCAACACACTATGGCAGAGTGATGGCAGTCCTAGTATCACAAGCTTGAGGCTTTCACCATGAGCTGAGTAGGAGGAAGTCATGAAGGTCTATTAAAAAGCCATGGATGGTCTCTATAAAGCCGTGTGAATGCAGAGCAGCAGTGGACTGGAGCTCCATGTGGAGATAACAAGCAGCCGTCAATCTTCACTGGCCCACAGACAGACAGGAAGTGGACAGGTCACATAGCCTGGCTGCTGTGAACAGTTGAGTGGGGTAGCCTACAGATACAGCTTCATTCTCAACAGAAAGACGTATTAAAGAACCACAAATCATGATCAGGAGATTAACTGTTTGACCACAGGAGCAGGAACATATTGATTACAGAGTATGCACCACTACACTGCTTCCAATAAGTGAGGTGATGTACAGTAAATTGTTACTGTAAACATGAAGCAATTCATGATACTACGTAGCTTGGTGGCTTTTCACTGTGTACTCAACTGATCCAAGAGCAGCTTGCTGAGGTTCAGAGTTTATTGCCGGTATCTGTGGATTTCCCTGGGTATGTATGAGAACACAGACAAGAACATCACTCACGCTGCTGTGGCCTCAGTCAGGGTCTGAGCAAGCTAACTGCAGCTACGTACACGCCCAAGCTCTCTGACCAATCAATACAAGACCATCTCTTAGCTCTACAATATTTGTATACACTTTTCACTGAGCAAATTGCCACAGTAAAGTCAATATAATCTGAGCCCTATCTGAACCTTACTGTACTGCAAACTAATACTTAGACCTGAGTAGGAGACATGTTGAACAAGGTTATGTTTTCATTTAAAGGTGCTGTGCAGATGGAGAGCTGGAGCAACAAGCAGGTATTTCCTGCAGGCATCAGTGGGCGACCTGATGAACTGCTAGAAGAGGCAAAAATCAGACTGGGACATGGCTACATGAATGGAGATTTGAAAATACATTCAAGCTATAAAACCACTAGGCATATATTTCCCACTGGGCTCATATGTAGAGAGCCATCTGTGAAGAGATTGGTTTCAGATCATTGTGCAGCAACTGTCTGCCGCCCACAGCATCTGGGTTTCCCTGAGGACAACACTGGGAGGGAAGTCCCCATGGATACAGGACCAAATCAGACCCAACATGGTGTCTCTGAGGAGATGTGTTTCTACACTGGGAGGGAAGTCCCCATGGATACAGGACCAAATCAGACCCAACATGGTGTCTCTGAGGAGATGTGTTTCTACACTGGGAGGGAAGTCCCCATGGATACAGGACCAAATCAGACCCAACATGGTGTCTCTGAGGAGATGTGTTTCTACACTAGTGATCGAGTTTGCCATCCTCACTGTCCCAGCATGCCGTTTTCCTTATCTTTTAAACAAGGGTTCCCTTCCAATAAGAGTTATAACCACTTAACTACAGTACAGCCTTGCACATTCAAAAATAAGCTTACTACAGACTTGAAGCAAAAGCTCTCTTCCAACAAGCAATACTGCCAGAGATACAGTAATCCAACCATGAACACTGCTGTTTATGCAAACACAAACACAATGATGGAATAAAACAAATGCCCCAATGTGGTCCAATTGATCAGTAACCAAAAGCACAAGAGAGACTTGCATGACATGTAATACAATTATATTTTCATTACTTTAGTGTAGAATGGTGATGCTCTATCATACTAGTTATAGATTACATGATATGGATAGAGAGGATGGTGAATATTACATAAATTAAACATAACCATTAAGCATTCACTAAAGACAGCAATGTGGCTGCATCACTTAGTGAGCAAGTGTAGACCACAAAACTGAACAAATGTGCACAGGGAGAGATATACAATAGAAGTATACAATACACAGGTAAACAGCCCGACGATCTAAGATAGAGATACTCCAACAAATAAGAGCTTAACATACTGTAGTTCAGACAGACCTGCATCGGCTCACTGAGATGTCCCTCCCCTTCCTCCATAGTCACTCCTTGCTAGCTATAGCATCCCTCCGGAGTCTTTCATCATCAGAGGGCTGAGTTGGATCCTGTTCCTGATGTGAACAGTGTGACTCATCTACTGTACTGTACAGAAGCTCCACACTGCAGGGCAGGATGCTGTGGGCTACCCACTGTGTGAGGTCATGGGGCACTACAACCAACTTCAGTCTCAAGCAACACGACTCAGCAGAATACGCTACACTGTATTGTACAGTACTACACCCCCCACCTCACAAAGTCTCTCTCTCTCTATTTCTCACACTCACACACACATTTCCTCACAAACAAACACCCACACACTCACTTATGATTCCCACCTCTAAAATGCCAGCCTGGTTTAAAAAAAGGCAATCAAATAAAATGTACAAACACTAACGTTTCTCCTCCTCCTCTTCCTAAAAGTCCTTCCGATTCTGTTGCCTGCAGTGGGAATATCAGAGCCTTGGGCTTGCTGATTGTTCCTCTGATCCTCATTCCTGAATAAGAACAATGAGCCAATGCAGCAGATTCGAATCTGGATTTTGGCTCTGGCTGTAGAAGCGCCTCTCTCCCATGAGTGGCTTGCTGGCAGGCAGTACCAGGAACAGAGGCTCCACTGGCCAGTGCATCAAACAGTGGATGGGCAAAGAGCTGATCCTTAAACCTAATTTTAAGGCGAAGAGGCAGAAAAAGGGGCAATTTACAAAGAGCAATGCTAGCTCAGGCCAGCTAATCTGCTCAATGCACCAGAAAAACAGCTGAGGTGGGTGGATGTGTGTGTGTGTGTGTGTGTGTGTGTGCTCGACTGAGGTTTTGCTGCCCTGATGCTCAGAAAAATACTTTATACAAACAAACCCTGAAAAGGTCAATCTGGGTAACACTAAACCTGCAAAGCAAACAGTTCAATGGACTTGCTTTTACCCATTATTCACAACCAGTTCAGTCAAATAATTTCTGAAATCCAGTATCTGCATCTCTGACCACAGCTGTATCATCCAAATTAGAGTACTCCTTCAATAGGTAATTGTGAAACACAATCAAGCCAGCAAACAGCACATTGTGTTACAAAGGCCAATTGGAGGCCGGCCTAGTCCATGTTTTTACCTCAGGATCCTGATTGAAAGCAATTTTCAGTTGGGGTGGGTTGTAATCATGGCTGGTTTTCTCATCAATGCTGCTGCTAGTGCATGTGAGGAACACACTACTGGTTACATGCACACAATGATGCAAATATTGTGGATAGTCAGGTTAATATAGTTTGTTTAAAACGTTTACATGCTTTGCAAGAAGTACGATTTCCCTAAAAATCTTGTCTACTTATGGGACTTTTGATAAATGCAGAAAATTGCCAATCAAAATAAACATTCTACCACAATGACCATGTTATTTTTTAGATTACTATTTGATTCTGAGTTTGTATGTGAAAACAATTTATAAAATGCATACTTTCAGTCGCGCATAAGAGGGGAGCTTGCGCTTCCCGGTGCTGGCACATGCACAGATCAAATACACCACCGGAACACCGATTAAACGGTCCCCATGTCCTAATCATTCGAAAGATTGCTCGGAAAACCAGGAGTTTAAATCTGCGTATTTTACTTTGATTATGACCTTACGGCGATTAAGATAAGCAGAATAAGGTGTTTACATGACTAATGCCATACTCTGCCTTCATCAGTTTAATATCGAATTATTATGGGCATGTCATTTGAATCTGATTCACTCATAAAATGAAGTAGAACAATGAACAGAGTGATG